CAAGTTAGTGATTGAGAATTCCTCTCAACCCATTGTCCAAAAACTTCTGGTAAATAAAAGGTGAAAAAAAAAACAACCAATTTTGCAGCAATAAGACAAATCCCAACAACGTTGAGTTTTGGCCAAAAATGATATGATTGCTTTGGTAGACTCACAGAATCAGATAATGTAAAACAAAAGAAGCCAACAGTGCTCTTTTGAATTTTGACATCCCTACTTTGATATTGAAAATATGTATATAATCATATTGATCGAAGGGTTCAGTGGCTGAAGAATCAAATCGTTGAAAATGTTCATCAATAATAGGGACGAATCACTTCTCTGACTTCATTTTCTTCATTATCTACTCAGGAGTAAAACCAAACGTATAATTAGCTTCACTAATAATTATATAAACAAGTTTTTAACCTTTATTCTTAAGGTAATGACTAACATATCAAAATTTAAGATTTGTTTAAACATATAATATTTAATGTTGTTAATGTATCTTCAAAATAACTTTTAATAAAATATTTTTTTGGTGAAAAGAGACATACACCTTATTTAATTAAGTTTCTAGATAAATTATCATAAAAGATGACAAGTAATATGAAAATTGAATAAGTTTTTTCTATAAATTAAAAATAATTTATTTTCTTAAATTTTAGAGAAATTAAGTGAAATATATATATATATATATATATATATATATATATATTAAATTAGATAAGCATAAGTTAATTTTAACTTATAAAAATAGTTTTATTCATTTTACTACCCCTGATATATATTTATTAAAAAAAATTAAATTGAATTATAACATCATTCTAAGTTTGGGCGAGACATAGATTCTATAATTTTTATTTTTTGAAAAATACTTCTCCCTAGTTTTCCCAACATTCATAAGTGGCCATAAGAACTCTTCAATTACTTATAAAATATTATGAAAACAAAGGTCAGGAAAAAATATTATGATGAATTATAAGAAAATGTATAATTCCAAAATTACTCAGAGTCACCTTTTAGCAGCTTATGATTAAGTCATAAAGTCTAGCTGGCAGTTAAGATGAGATAATTTGTATTGCTCTTCATATTAAAAATAAATTTTTCCTTTTTTTATTCTATTTTTTTCATATTTCTCTCAGTTTAAATAATTTTAAAATAATTTTTTATTTCTATTATCCCTCCCTCCCTCCCTCATACTTATTTATACCTTACTTCTTTCTTTCTTTACATTTTTGGTCGTGATTCTTAATTTTTCTTCACATCCAAACAAAACGCAAGTGAATTTATAATTTTCTAATAAGCAAAGGTTCAAGTGGACTAGATATAGATATAGGGGCTGGCTCATGGGTTGACATGTAAAGGCCTAAAAAAACTAGTAGTTTGGGCCAAAACATTAATAACTCATTTAATTTTGACTCTGTAACTTAACTTGTATAATCTTAAACATATTGAACTTGAGTGGACCAAAAACAAAACCATATTGAACTTGTAGATTGATGCATTAACTCTCTAACCTGCATAATGTGTCTAAAAATATAACAGAATGTAACATAGGGTAATAATTAATAACTGATTCATGTTAAGACATCATCGTATCTAGGATATCTTAATCATCCGGTGAAGCAATATAATGTTTGTCAAATTGAGACATTATTAATGTTGAACACCCCTAATGCTACCTCACCTTAATTATCCATTTCCTCGTGTTATTCTTAAGTCATGCAAATCTTTGAGTGACGTTAATGCAAATGTACACATGTTTGGTGACAAAATAAGAAGATACGCTAAGGGGAAGATGCATGGGAATTGATCTCCATACGCATGCACATAACATTTACAACCTTCCCTTTTTTTTGTTAGCATCATGTTGCATCACCTTTAAGAACCATACGAACAGATCCAGGTGAGCATTTGTAATCTTAATTTTGTATAAACTCGATTTTATAGAATTAATTTAGTTAGAGTTAAATTTGAAATCAAGTGATTTGCATTTAGAAACTTTCATATAAAGGTAAGGTTCTAGTAAAACATAAAAGCTACATTTTTTCACGATATCGTCTATTATTTGTTTTATGCCTATTACTACTCTTATTTAAATAATTTTTATCTAAAATATTTCTGTTAAAAATATGGTTATAAGAGAAAAGGTATTTAAGACTCAAAATTGAAGCAACCAAATAAAATTATTTATCCTAGAATGACAATCTCTGCTTCCAAACTTGATTTTGGAGTCTCCTACCATTTCTCCAAACGTGCTAAATCAGATTCACTGGAACTTCGGTTTTGGCAAGAGTGGTTAAATTTCAATGTTATTATGCTACTTTTGGAGCAACAAACACAGGCTCCCCAACTGCATTAGTCAACAGAAGAACACCAACCAACCAGGAGCAGTATATTGTTAGTTGCTGAAAGGATCAATAAAAATAACCTTTCACCAGCTACCAAAGACACTCACATAAAGCAATGATAATGTCTAGTTGGATGTCCACCATAGGGTTGTTGTGGGGAATTTTAGACAGCAAACATGTTACTATAGTAAGGATTTGGAAGCGGGGTAGGTTGCTATGGCTTTCAGTTTAGATAAAAGAACAGCAAAAAAGTGCAAACAAAAATAAATTCTAAAAGTTGGGGAGATGAAGAACTGAATCCAAAAGTATATGGTTAAATGTTCAAAAGTGGAGCTAAAATGGTCCCCTTGGACCCCAATCCATCAATAATGATGCAAACAAATGAGAAATCTGATCAACCGCTTTTTACTTTTACATCAAATTAAGAAAGTATAATTAATTTTATAAATTTTTTTAAAAGGTTAATAATAAAACAATTATCTTACTGTGTTATTTTATATATTTTAAAGCAACTTGAGAACGAAATAATATTACAATTTATTAAAAATTATTATAAAAAATAAAAGTTAATATATAATTTCTATCAAAAAGTGACTTAAGAAAACAGTTATTAGTAAATGTTCTCCCAATTTAAAATTTTAAAAAACTATAATATTTTTTAACTTATAAATGTATGTAAGAATAAAACGTTTTTTCAACTCAAAGTGTCATAAATATCTTTTTTTTTTTGTGTCTTTTTTATGCTATCAAAGTGAGTCTCTTTTACAAAATTTTTGTACATTTCTTATGTTTTCTTTTTCTCTATTTTTATACTTAACATTGAAATCTCTTATCACTTTTATCTTTTTTTTTCTTTTCTGTTAACTAATTTTTTGTCTGTTCAAATGTGGATTACTTAGTTAACACAAGATACAAACTTAAGTTTCAATAAGATAAAGAATTACTTTTAGTTTATTATAAAAAACTCATAAAAGAAGAAATTTTGAATTTCAGATTTACAAACTTGAGTTTAATAATAATACTAAATTAATTTTAGTTTATAATAGATAACATATAAATAAAGAAATTTCAAATTTCAAATTCATAATTTATATTTCAGAGAACATTTATAAAAATTATTTTTCAAGTAACTATTGAAGAGCATAAGTGTATTCACTTTGAATAATAATATTTGTTAAAGTGATTTGAGTAACTCTCTAAAATGATGCAAAATTATTTTTTAATATCTTTTTTGTTTTAGTGTCTCTTCAAAAAAATTTAAATTAATCACACATTTAAACCCGTTCAAATTAGTACTTTCTCTAATATTCATTTCACTTTGACGGTCAAATGCCAAAACTATGAAGATTCAAATTCATCTAACTTGATTACACTCACTACAATATAATTTAAATAAATTTAATCTATATAGAAACTTTCACTTTGCAATCCATTATTGGTTTCCAAAATTTTATTAAAATGCCAACAGGGGAGCATTTGCTAATTATTGTTAAGAAAATTCTAGCATCAATTTATTTTTTCATGTAATAAGAAGGGACATAGGAAAATCTTACCTCCGCAATTGACTGAATAGAAAAGAGCCATTTATAAAAGAATAATGAACCGGGGGAAATTATAACATTTGGATTAAATTCGTTTCAATGACAGGTTAAAAAATTGTAATACAACAGGCTTGACACTTGATGCTTACGAAATTAGCAAGGGGGGTTTCATTTAGCAAAATTGTAGTACAAAAGGAAAATATTTTTTGAACCAACAAATGAGACACCAAAAGGTGTGTCCTTTGTAAGTAGGATGTGTGAGTACAGAAAAAATTAAAAATAGGTGAGATATAGAAACAATCGTATGTAGTATTACGCACAGTGCCCATTTTTAGTGGTAACAAATGTTATGATAAAACTAACTGAAGCTTCAAAAACAGTTATAAGTAACCATATCATGCACAGATTTAAGCTTCAGAGGTAATACATGCTGAGCATGATCAGTGTTTCTCCCACTTATCAAACACATTTTCTTAGTGCATACGTGAAACTACAGAGCTTCACATGGATACCAAAATAGTTCTAACATAATACGAACATAATTGTCAATTTGGGAAAGCAGGTCTCAGAAGCAGAACAATGAACAATGATATACTATACAAGTACTACAACAACCAGAATGCAGAAACATTTAAGTCATGCAAAAAGTACCATAGTTTTAGTGTTAGTTTGATACCAAAGTAATAGTAGAAACAAAGCCCGATGGATTATCACTTACGAAGAAAATTAAAGTGATAAACTTTCCTTCAAGAAAAACATTTTAGTATCTTTCACCCATACAATAGTTGTTCCATCATAGTTTACATTTCTTTTATTTCAATTACTTCCATTTTTCCTCTTGAGGCGGGAGAGGGAAGATGTTCTACTCATACATCTTCACTCAATTATTTATCTTTGAATGGAAAATATCATGCATCTTACAGCCACGTGAAAAGATCATGCATGACTTCACATAGTTATGTATTATTTCTTAAATACACTGATTATAAAATTTAAAATATTTTTTTATTAAAACATTAATAACATTTTATAATATTTTTTTTTCACTTTCAATTCCTTAAAAAGTATAGCTTTTGCCATCTTCTTTATTTATGCTATTCTACTAAACTCCACCAATCATGATTTAAACTAGTTGAACTTAGCATCTTCTATAACAATGAATAAGAAGTAACAGATGAAAATATAATATGTCTCTCACAAGCTAAATAAGCATGATCCAATTCCAAACAAACCATTATGGCTTCGGATAATCTCTAATCCCTCTGTGGCACCAAATAATACAAAGAAAAGCCCACACAATAAAATCTAACCTACAAAATGCTATAGAAAGGACCACATCGGGAATAGCACTAGTCAAGATCACTTCAATTTACATTTTACTTGATTTGTTTTGCACCCTTCCTAACATACCTACTACACAAACTATACCTATACCTATGGGGTTGTACAGGGCCAGAATGAATGGTACCGAGATATCTGAGGATGCTGTTGATTGGTTATTGGTCTCGCAATATAGATATACAACCGATCCCCACTGTCTTCAGCATAACCATTTCTATAGTCTTAGGATGTTCTATCTGATGGTGTAAGCTCATTTTTATCAGAATTGAGACTGGCATTGGACTGTGATTCTTCAGTTGATGCAACCTCATTCTGTTGATTCTCAGTTTTCTTTGAATTCAGAAACCGACCTCCACATCCTCTTGCTCTTCTCAGTGCATGCAAATGTCGAGATTCATGCAAGTATGGCTGAAACATTTGTTTATAGATCAAGTAAGTACATCCATAGAGATAGATGCATGGGAGCTTGTGAGTCAAATAAATCCAATGAGGCACATAAAAACCAAATCAACATCAAGAAGTTAGCAGTTGACAACACAGCTTCCAAGAACCAGAACCTTTTTCCCTTCTTTTTCCTTTTTTGAATAATATTATGTTTACTTAATCAGGTAGGGATAGGGAGATAGTGATGTACCTTCCGATTCCTGGTAGTCTTTTTTTCTGATTCAGCTTTAGCACGGGACTGTCTACGTCTTAATATACCATGATACTGTTTTGCATTGACAAACACAGGCTCCTCAACTGTATCAGTTGGCAAAGGAACACCTGCTTGTTGAATTCCCATTAACTGAAGATGGACCTGGCACAGGATATGGTTCAATAATATGTGGATCTTAACAAGCACATAATATTAAAAACATCAACATCAAAAATTAGAATGAACCATTGGATGTCCACCATAGGGCTGTGGGGGGTAAGGTTGTGCATCATAGGGGGCAAAGATACTTCTGTAGTACGGATCTGGATATGGGTAAGGGGGTGGCGGTGCCTTCAATTGAAAGAAAAGCAACAGAAATCAATATAAGTGCGAACAGAGTTTACATTCTAAAATATGATGGGACAGAAAATCAACAGCAATGTAGCAACAAGATTAAGAATCCAGAAGGAGGGGAGGGGGGCACAAAAGTAATTCAATCGCCTGACCAAGTCTGAGCAGCCACTTCTTACTTCTTTGATATGACATCAACAAAACAACAGGCACCAGTACTTGCTCAGGCAATCATTCATTAACCTTCAATTGTCAGGTCAAAAAACTTTGGTTATTTCAAGAAATTAACCTCATCACCAAACATAACCTCTAAGGAAACTTATTTACACAGCAAAACTTCAGACAATTGCAATGTAATTCATTATTATTGTCACATTAGAAGTCTTTAAGCCATCCTGGGTAAAATGTATGTGCCGAAGCAGTTTCTAAAACATCAAATTCCAGCATCAAGTTTTCCTTTCATATATATAAAGAAACTTTCATTTTAGTACATCATAAGAGTTAAGACACATGGGGAAATTCTGACCTTACGGTTCAGACTAGTGCTATGAGCTAACTCATTCAAAAATTGAAGGAAGAACAAACTTGGGCTAACAAATTTCATCATTAGATATTAGACAGCATTCAGAATCAAATTTATTCAATGACAAAACAAAATAAACCCTATGTATCCATATCTCTTTTAACTACAACAGGTAAGAAATGTTTGATGGCATCAAATGGCTATGGCCTACCTATACAAAACAAAACATTCCTAAGGATTTTTGAATTTTGAAATAAAGCTCCAATGAGAGCACTGAGGGTGGCAAATCACTGAAGAAACCATATTTTGTTTTTTGCGGCAAAGAAAAGATAGCCCATACCATAGCATGCTCAGTTCCAAGCTGTGTAGGTGTTGCATACTGAACATTCTGAGTACCAATACTTGCATGAGAAATTCCATTTGCAGAAGGTTGCATCTGTGATTCTGACTGCTGCTGCCCATCAGCTTCATTATCTGGAAATAGTTTCAGCCTTCAGATACTACTTTTCTACATTCTTTTGGGGCCCCGAAGGGTAGGATTAATTGAAAAATACAAAACTTCAGATAGCACGGAAAACAAGCTCAATAAAATTAAATAATAATGAGAAGTCATCCTAATAAATAAAGGACCATAAAACAAGGGACAGTTTTTTATTCTGCATGTAACACAACCAGAATGGCAGAAACAAAGGTTTGTAAGTTTTAAATCACAGAGGTTTCTGTAGATATTATTTGGTTTGAAAGAAACAGAAAAAAGTGATATTCTTCTAATAGAACTTTTATGCCTAAATCTCTAAGCCATTAAATAAAGTGGGATTTTATAATTTAATTCCTTTCTCATTCTTTTTTGTAATTTACTTTTTTGTATTTTATTTCGGTATGAAGTGGAGCTTTAGAATCTCAAAGATTTATTATTAATGCATGCTACTTTGGTCAAAAGATAACTTCCTCCGCTACAGTCCAGGAGTGTGTTGCTTCATAATCATTCAATAAAGCAGTCAATAAACACAGAAAAATCAAAGAAGAGAAAGAAAAAGGAGGAAAAAGAAACAGAATTTAATTAATAATAATTGCAAAACAAGAAATACAGATTGTAAAATTGAGAACATAAAAATAATTCTCAGCACAAGTTTTATTTTGTAAAGAATCCAAACAACTAATCAAGTAAGAATTCTCTAAATCATAAGTAAACAAACTAGCTGAGAAAAACTGAATTTGAAAATTGCTAAATATTAACATATATAGTGTAATAGGTGTCATTAAATTTTCTCAACAACAAAACAGAGAGGGTTTCATAGTTTCTTACAAAGTTATAACGCAAAAGGAGTATTTAAGTTCAGACAAATAACTTTGGGCTTTCCCATTTTATAGCTGAAGTTACTACATCATTGGGGCTTAATTTCTGTACATCCTGCAATTAGCTTTTTATAAATATTAGGAGCTTACAGTTTACTAAAGCAATTTTGCCTGGCATTTTTCCAAAGAGAAAATAGATGGACCACAAAAAAAATAACAAAGTACTACCAGGGAATTAGATTAAGCAGAAATGTTTCAATTTTTAGATGGATATTAATAAGATACTCAAATTCCAACTGTCCTTCCACCCTGCAGCCTCCAGCGGGAAACAACAAGCATCAAATAGACATTTACACTTCAATTGTTTACACTTCAATTGTTTTGGGAAAATATCTATCAGCACTGAAATTTTACGCACATTATTACAGCTCAGCACTTCACACCATAAAGTTTTAGAATCTAGATTCCAGATTCACATAATATTTTTCAAAGATGTCATTCTTACTCTTATAAACAGCAAATTAAAAACAATAAGGTAGTAGATTTTGTAGGTCAGACTGGTAACTGTTGCATGAATTGCCCAAAATTAAAATGGATTGCAGATAAGCTACAATAGCTAAATTTGGAACAAACAAGTTCCAAAGTTCAGTTTATGAATATAAAATAAGGGGTCAAGGCTTGAAATAATAAAATATGTGGGTCTCCCTGTGTACCCTACTTCCTTCTAAATAGTATCCCACTATGTCTTTTTGGTCTCCTTGTGTCTCTTTTTAAAGGTGCATATTCAGTAATTTCACATTAACCAGGATCTATGTAGGTCATTGCCTTACATTTCCAAGCCATCCCAAATGGTTTTCCATCTCACCTTCATCCTCTCAACAATCACAACATTCCTAACTTTTGTACTCTATATCTTTTGCTCGATACTGCAGTTCAATACGAAGATTCCAAGCCATACAACACGCATGTATAGCAGCAATTCAACAAAACTTAAACCATGGCACAAAACTTTTAGGAATCCTAGTATTAGCACAACTTGTTGATCTAGAATCCATGTCAAGGTGTTTATTCTGTTGAACAATGTTTCTTACATCAATGACCACATTAGACAACAAAACGCAAAATAGTTTTTCTCATAAATTGTTCATTATTGGGAAATGAATGTAATCCACTTATCATGAATAAAAAAGTAGCTTAAAAATTAAATTGGAGAAAGGAATTTTATTAATGTAAATACCTGTGAGGTCATGAGTAGAGGAAGTCATGATTTCCTGATTTACATGCAACACTGTGCCCTAATCTGGAAGCAGAACAAACATTATTAACAGAATTCAAAAGTATTGCATGTATGTACTATGAAATGAAGAAAAATGCTAGAAGCTGGTAGTCTATGCAATTATAGTTTCTTCAAATGAAAAGGAAAAAGCTATCTTATATACTGTGTTAAAATGTCCATGCAACCAGATAACAAAAAACAAGAGACAAAAACTAATATCTAAGACAGAACGGAGCTCACAGATGAGGAATAAAACCAGGCAAAAATTTAAAGATGTACAAAAATTGATATAAATAAACTCACCAAGTTGCTATAATTGTTATAATTGTTCATTAGCTCTCGACGTAGAAGGATTTGGATTAAAATACGACAATTTCAGAACAATAACATCAAAGAAAGGGAAGAAAGTCTCAGGGACCATGTAGCATGCTAGTTTGGTATGCCCAAGTACAACCACAATAACAACAACCAAGCCTTTTTCCTACTAGGTGGAGTTGGCTACATCTTACATGGATCAAACAATACCATAGTATTCTATTGTGAATCATGTAACCGTTGACCTCTAAATCCTTCTTAATGATTTTACCGATAATTTTTCTTAGTCTCCTTCTACCTCTCCAATGATAGGGCTACCCTCCACCTCATCTACTCTCTTAACCAAGGATTCTACCATGCCAACCACCTAAGGCAAGATGCTACTATGTTTTCTACAATAGGTGCTGCCCAAATCTTTTTTTTTATAAACACTCATTCCTAATCCTACCGTGTCTAGTATGTCCATTCGTCCAATGCAACATTCTCACTTCTGCTATATTGAGCTTATTCTCTTGTTGGATTTTCACCACCGAAGTCTTGGTTTCAGTTTCATACAACATTGCAGGCCTTATAATTGCGTGCTGAAGTTTTCCCTTAAGCTTGAGGGGTACCTTTTAATCATAGAAAGAACTTGAGGCACTCCTCCATTCATCCACCCCACTCAAATCCACTCTTCCATCACATCTTCATCTCCGTCAATATCTGTGATGGACCCAAGATACTTAAACCATGTAACTCGTGGTAAAGCATTGTCTCCAATTTTCATCTCTAAACTAGGATTAGCATGCCTCTTGCTAAACTTATATAATCAGTCATTTAACATAAGATCTCTTAATGCAGCTAAGGGAATATAGAGTATAGCAAGTGATTTGATTTTCATGCTCTATAGAATATGAGTAGAGTTCACTAAAAGGATTTGCAAACAATAATCCATTCACATACGATCAAATTGTTTTAGTACCATCTGTTAATTATAGCTTTAAAAATAGGAGCTCTCCAGCCATTAGGGATGTCAAAGGGATAGATCATATGAATTTTGGATTGAAATATAATGGATGAGAATAAACCATTCATCCATTTAAGATTTGCTAAAATTTAATAAAAAGGAAATCACAAACAATGCATCACTCCGACAAAAAAAGAAAAAGTTACCCCACAATATTCCCCTGCTCAAAATAAAAGTTGACATTATTCCTCATATTGAGTTTTAACCTAAAAAAAATTAATTACATAACTATCTCCTAACTTCACATCTAAATACCATTTTAAATAAGCAGACTCATATTCACCGCTAATCAAGTTACCAATCTAGTAATTGCAAAATTTGCATGCAAAACTAGAGACAAAATCCACACTCGGTGTCCATTCCCAAAGTGTCAATTCTGAACCCGATACCATCAGGTTCAAAATCAAAGATTCATAAGCATAACCAACCAATAATACAAAAAACACAAGTTCACAATAAGTCAACAAGTAAAAATTCTTTTCTAATTTCTGATTACCTATGCGATTCACACAAGCACAAAAATGAAAAAAACCCAAAACAGATAATTCAGACGGGCAAGAATACGAAAGACCAACCATGTAAATAAGAAAAAGAAAACTCCTTTTTAATTATTTGTTGGCACAAGTACGAGAAGCAAAGCTTGGAAAAACAAGAACGAAGCCCAGAAACAAAATAGCAAAAAGATTCAAAATTGGGTGGAAATGGGAGATTTTGGTTGAAGTGATATATGGAGAAGCCTAAGAAAAGGGAAAAACAGAGAAGAAGGAAGTGTTGTAGTTAGCAAATTGAATTGAATTGTGTCGGTGGTTGGAAATTGGAAGTGGAAAACAGTGACAGAGAGAAGAGAAGAGAAGAGAAAGTGTTCTTACAACTTAGGACTGTGTCTGTGTCGTAGTAGCTGCCACCTATCCACACGACACCCACCCAAATCATAAATCACACAAATAAAGGAACACTTAACTACGTTTATTTTTAAGCTTTTTCATATTCTTCATTTATCAAGTGGTTTCTTTATCAATTTTAAAAATATAATTCTTATTCTTATTTTATTTTTGAATATTTCAAACTTTTTATTTGTGTTTAGAAAAATTAAATGAATGAGAAACATGTGATAATTAGAATTGAGACTAAATCAAAATGTGGTAATATTAAATTTTTTATGATAAAAACATTTTATGAATAATTTATTAAAAAAATATCAAAAATTAGTTAAGTCATAAGCCAAAATGATTTAATTTTTGTATTAATGATATTAGTTAAAGAAATTAAAATATATGTTTAATTAAAAATATAACAACTAACATATTTTATTTTTTAATTTAAACAAATGTGTTGATTTTTTTTCACTCTCTTGTTAATTTATTTTTCTTAATACTTTTCTTATTTATTGGTATAAATTTCTCTACCTGATACTTTATTTTAAAAACAACTGGTCAAGTAGACTAAAACCAAACATGTTTGCATTCTCAGGCATACTCTCTACATGTATAGCCATAGATGTGTTTTGGTTTTGCAGCCTTAACATGTGTGACTAATATTGTTTTTTTGTTTGCATATTTTAATAGTATTTTTAAATATAATTAATTTTTTTAATTTTATTATTGTTAAAATTATTTAATTATATATTTTAATAAAACAAATATAATAAAAAATATTTTTATAATTAACATTTAATATGTTAGTCTGTTGTATAAAATAAATTACATCAATTAAGTTAAATAATTTTCACAATAAATTCAGATAAATTTTTAGACTGTTTCATGTTTTTTTATACGTAAAAAAATTATCATTATTAATTATATATTAATAGACAGTAATATTAATAGTTTATTTAAAAAAATATATAAATATCTTTTAATTTCTAAACATGTTTTTAAGTCTATAATTATCGTAGTAAATACTATGTATTTTTTTTATAATACTAAAAACAATAAGTTAACTTATTTCATATTTATATATTTATTAAACTTTAATTTTTTACATGTATTTCTATAAAATAACAGTTGTGTTCGAGTGAGAATGTCTATAATATAATAAGATTAATTTTTTGAATATCAAGTTTTATAATATAAATTAAAATTTATTATTTTAAAAATGAAGTACTCAATGAAATTATTACTTTTTAATTTATTATATCGTATATTTTAAAATTAAAATTATTTAAGGACGGTATGTAAATTGCATTTTCTTTAACTACAATAATTTTAACTTTTTTATCTATATTTTTATTAATTTCATTTTAGTTTATAAATTTTTTTATTATCTTATATAAGTTTTTAAAATTTTAATGAATATAAATATATATATATATATATATATATATATATATATATATAATCTTAAATAAACTTTCAAATGCTTTTATAAATATTTGTTAAAACTATTGAAATTAAGCCTATGAAGGTAGAACCCGTTGAAAAGTGTGATAATTGTGGTTGCAACAACAAGTTATAGTTTTGAATTTGACATCATAATTTGGAGAGGAAGTAAGGAATGGGGAAAAGACTTTGCCATAAGTGATGTAATTAATCTAGAGTATGTTTGGGAGAGAGTTCTTGAAGGGAAAGAGAAGGAGGGCTTATTTTTATATTTTAAATTAATAATTTTTAAAAATAGAATATATAAATTAATATAATAACAAAAACTTAATATATTAATAATATATTTTCTATCCTAAATAATATATACTTGTTTAAATATAAAATTAAAAAATAAGTTTTTCCCTTCAAAAATTATTTCCTAAACATATCCTAACATATTGCAACAAGAATAAAAGACGGTTACAAAAATTAATCTAATTAGTATATCACATTATGTAAAATGACATTATTTTAATATTTAAAAATTATTTTTTATAATAAATATTAACACTAAATAATTATTAGTTCTCATTCTTTAATATTACTTGATAATTTAGGAGATATTCAAAAGGAAAAAAATGGAAATACAAAAAAATGGAAAAGATTTATCATTTTTTTAATTTCAGTTTATTAAATTTATTATAAAATAATAATTGTCGTGTCATAAATTTCTTAGATAAAAGTTTAATTATTTTTTTTATAAGAGATATGTTTTTTTTCCTCAAAATAAGCTAAGTATTAAACATAAGTAATAACTTGTTTGTTTTATAGCTGAAAATTAATTTTTTAAATATAATATTTTAATAAAATATGCAATTTTAAATAATCTCTCTCTCTATATATATATATTAATCATAATTAATTTAATGATTTAAAACTTTGAAAAAAAAAAAAAAAAAAACATTGAGTATCTCTTCCAACCTAGCATACTTTCAATTCCAAAAAATCCTTTGAATTTAATGATAAAGGAATACCTTTTACTGAATACTGAAGCTTACAATTCAGGCAAGCTAGCTCTGCGAGCCTATGCCAGTTAGTTAAAAATTACAACACCTTATAAACATATAATTTTATAATCAACGTTAACTTATATTTCAAGAACGTATATTAAAGGCTAAAATAAAATTATCTAATTAATTATTAAAACTTATTTTATTTTTGTGCTCACGTGAATAAGCCCACACCAGTATGTTTTTTTTATGCAAATTTAATATAATTAAAGTAAAAAGTAAACATTTATTTAGACCTTAACTTTTAGTACCCAAACACTACATATAACATCATAGATGGGATGGGGATAATGGGATTGGGTCATTTATGGCCTCTCACGGACGCAACTAGTAATGTATTATTTAAGGTAATTTTTATATAATTTCTGTTTTTTTATTTAAAATAATTAATATTATATTAAATATGTATATTAAAGAACGAAGAAAAATAATTTATTTTAAAACAAATATGATATATTTTTTATTATAAATATAAATATTTATACTTTTAAAATAATTAAATAAATATATAGCATAATCTTTCAAATTTATAATGACGAAACACTTTTATTTATTTTCATTCTTAATATAAAATTAACATATGGTCGCATTTATTTTTGAAGAAAAGGAATTAACTAATAACCAGTGGGGGTTTGAAGTGAGGGCACAAGGGACTAGTGGAGACGGGAGTGACACTCCGAGGAGCCAAGACAAAAACCCGACCTTTCCCTTTCTCCAAAGGATCATCAAATCAAACCAAACCTCTGTTAGAAGTTGTAACAGTTGTTGTTGTGCCACCTTATATTAAGACCCATCAATAAAGTTCTTTGCTTTTCAAAACCCCTCTTTGTTCTGCTGAGACACTACTACACCCTTTTTTGTTCTCGATCTCATGATGGCTCATTTGGCCGTGTCTCAGGTGCATCCCCTTCACTTACTTTGTTTTCTTTACTTTCTCATCATTTTTGGCTTCCCAGAATAAAAGGGTCACACCTAATGGAATCAAATTTTCACCTTTTCTTTTCTTTGTTTATTTATTCAGTTGTTGTATCTATTTTCTAATTGGGTTCTTAAGTGGATAATGAAGACGTGTTTCTGGAACGTCAAAGCTAAAAAAATTTAACCAAAGTGGTGGTTTAAAATGATTTTATTTTATTTTTTCGTTTCTCAGTTACTGAACAAAATTTCATTGATGAATACTATAAGTCTAAAACTTTTGTGGGTTTTAGCAGATGGCTGTAACTGTTCCTGTTGGCAGCGATTTGTCTCTGAGAAGATCTGCGTTTAAGGTTTGATAATACTTCTGATTTTTTTTTTGTCTGCCTTTGACTTTGGAAACGTGGTTATTTGAATGCTTCTGCTGGTTATGTCATGTTAAATTATAGATCTAACTGTCTGAAGAATCCGTAGTTATGCTAAATTTTTATGATTATTTTAATTTGGGATGGCTGTTAAAAACCGTGGGGGATCAACTATAGAGATTGGTTGTTCATGTTTCTTTCCGAATGAGTTCAGAAGAAACTATGTTTTACCATCCGTTTGATTTGGTTCATTTTTGTACCTGCAAGACTGTGTTTTACTATCCTTTTGATTTGGTTCATTTCTGTACCTGCAAGACTGTAATGGTTGCAGAAATATTGGGCATAGGTTAAATTTTTATTTTTGGTCAAAAGAAGCAATTGACTGTTGTTGGTGTAGATGATATTCTACTTAAATTTATGCAACTGTTTATTTTTATAGTAGAAATGTATAGCTCTAGAGTTGATGTATTTTGGTTTTCTAAGTGCAGCGATGTTTTAATTAAAATGTGTACTTAGTATATGTTTGTTTATGCGTTTTACATCTTGTTTCTGTAGAGATACTTGTTTATTATTATTAATGGATTTTCAAGAGTGGTGTGGTGAACAATGATACTGAAGTTGTTAGAATGAGGGACTATGTTTACATAATTTTATTTGAAATTTAGCTTCCTGTTTGTGTTATATAATTTGTACTTTTAATGAAAGCTACATTTGATGCTGCAGGCCTCTAACTTAAGCTTTCGGGATAAATCATGGGCACCGGTATTTATTCTAGACTTGAAGGCAAACAACTCTTGTTTAAGAAGTCATCGTGTGATATGCATGTCCGTTCAACAAGCAAGTGTACCCAAAGTTACTGTCTCACCCTTAGAATTGGAAGATGCTACAGAACCTCCATTGAACTTGCACAAGCCTAAAGAACCCTACACAGCTAAGATTGTTTCTGTAGAGAGGCTAGTGGGACCAAAGGCTCCTGGGGAAACTTGTCATATTGTGATTGATCATGGTGGGAATGTTCCTTACTGGGAAGGACAGAGTTATGGTGTTATTCCACCAGTAAGTGACTTGTTAATGGTAGCCATTCTGTGCTTCCTCACATTGACTATTTTTGCCTTCGTATCTTTTGGATAAGTCAATTTTGACGGAAGGAGCTCATATTAGATATTTTGCACTGTTCAATTATGCGTCCTTTCCAGAGAAATTTAATATTACAAGTCATCGGCTGAATTTAAGCTGATTCTGGCTTCCCTCCCCACGTTGCATCTCAAAACTAAAATTCCCTTTTGAACTTATTAGTTCATTTAGAAAGTATTTTTGCTTTCTTTTGTGGGATATGATGTGGAATTTCATGCAGTTAAAATTGTGAAATGATTTTGCAACTTACAAGTACTGTTGTATGTGGGTGGCAGGGTGAAAATCCAAAGAAACCTGGGTCTCCCAATAATGTTCGACTGTATTCAATTGCTTCCACAAGGTATGGAGACTTTTTTGACGGTAAAACAGCCAGCTTGTGTGTGCGTCGTGCTGTATATTATGATCCTGAGACAGGAAAGGAAGATCCTTCCAAGAGTGGTGTTTGTAGCAACTTTTTGTGTAACTCAAAGCCTGGAGACAAAATTCAAATCACAGGTAAGATTTAGCTCTTTTTACTCCTGCAAAGGTTGATTTCTAATTTCTTTTACAACTTCTCAAATTTGTATTTCAATAAAATAATGCCTTAGTGCCCCTTGCTCAGTTGAGAGTTGAGACAGTTTCTATTTTCTATTCTATTCATATTTATACACACTTGTCTTGCTCAGTTGTCTCGTTATTCCTGTTACAATTGATGTGTCCTACACACCTTATATATGATGTGGCAGTTTTGCTAAGTCATACCTCCTCAAATTAATGCATGAATGCTTCATGCTGTAGAAACTTTTTTACTATAGAAAATGTAGCTTGTAGTAGACTACTTCTGATTTATCAGTTATTCAGTTATAATTTATACTGTGAATGGTAGACTCTGTATGTGAAAGTAGAACTTGCTTGAATGGGGTAAGTGAGAAAGCTTCCTAATCATGTAATAAACAATGATTTGAAATTGGACAGACATGGTGATTGGTGTGCTTAAATTCTCTTAACTTTGTAATGTTTGTATGCTACATTCTTGTAAACCATTTTTTACAATTTAAAACCCCATAAATTTCAAGTTTTTGTCTGTTGGTTAACATCAAACTCTTATCATGTGGAGCATGGTGAAGAAAAGTGATGAATTGAATAGCTAAGAAGCATATTATAGGGGTTAGATCACTGGTTATTACTTGACTGCATATCCATACTCCCATGAGTTAAGAGAGTCCTGGTTCAATGTTATTGTTATGCCCCTATCAGATTTTTGCCTTGTGTAGTTTCCATTGTCCATTGAATATAATGGTCATTCTTCCTTTCCTCTCCTTGAATATTCGTCTTTCTTTTTGGTTTGTTCAGCTCTACTTTAAAAGTTACAATTTTGTTTATATTGTTTGTCTGTGTTTTCACTCAAGCTACACTTATGTATGTCTGGGTTGCTTTGTGTCAGTGTCTAAGCAACATTTGATGTCTTAAAATTTAAACTAAACTTGGAAATTTGGTGGCAGACACATTGATCCTTGGGGATGTAAAGCCCCACCCTAATCCTTAAAAATCACAAATTTCGGTCATATTATATCCTTGAAAATAAACAAGGCAAAGTTTCTGCATTCTTAGGGGCTATTGTATGCAATCATTCTATAATTTTCTGATAGTGATAGAAAAGGATGCATAACAACAAAACCTAATTGAGCTCCATATTCTACACAAGGCAAATTATAGTGTTGATTTCCTGGCCTAGTTAGTAGTAAGTAGCCCCTGATGTTGAAATGGTATGGAGCATAAGGATGTATAACAAAACCCACTTCCTGGGCATAACAATGTCCTCCTGGTAGATGGCATAGGGATCTTGTATTTACGCTAGTTTGCTCCTTTTATTTCGTTTGTTCTTTTTGTCTTAACTTTCCCCTTTTACGGAAAATGAAGGATGTATAACAAAAAATGGTCTTAGGCTGTCAAGGATTTCACATTGTAAATGTTAGTGAATTTGCATCTTCATGGCTTCGAATTGAGTCATCTACAATCTTTTGGCAGGCCCCTCAGGGAAGATAATGCTTTTGCCTGAGGATGACCCAAATGCTACCCATATAATGATTGCCACCGGCACTGGTGTGGCTCCATTTAGAGGCTATCTACGCCGAATGTTCATGGAATCAGTCCCTACATTCAAGTTTGGTGGACTAGCATGGCTTTTCCTTGGTGTTGCCAATACTGACAGTCTTCTCTATGATGATGAATTTACCAAATACCTTAAGGATTATCCAAACAATTTCCGCTATGATCGAGCCCTTAGCAGAGAGCAAAAGAACAAGAATGGAGGCAAAATGTATGTTCAGGATAAGATTGAGGAATATAGTGATGAAATCTTTAAACTCTTGGATAATGGGGCCCACATTTATTTCTGTGGTCTAAAAGGGATGATGCCTGGGATCCAAGAAACACTGAAGAGAGTTGCTGATCAGAGAGGAGAGAGTTGGGAAGAGAAGCTTTCACAACTTAAGAAGAACAAGCAATGGCACGTGGAAGTCTATTGATATACTCTAGTGCAGATTCCAGAGTAGTTTCCTTTATCTGAAATGAGAAAAAACAAAACAATGCAAACATTTTCCTTTGGTTCTTAATAATTGCTTTAATTAATAATATTATTCATTGGGCAGCGTGAGTAGCTGTTCCTGTACCTTTTCTGTAGTAGTGAATCACAATGATATATTGTTCTCATGATGTTTACAGAATTGAAAAACCAAGTCACTGATGGTGGTAGAGTCATGTTTGGGCCATTTTCTGAGGGCAGCAAAATTTTTTCTTTGCCAAATTTATAATTGTCATGTTAATTGAAAAGGGTCATCATCCCTTTGAAAAAATTTTACCGACTAAACAGAATATAGTAAATAGGGAAATATTTAAATCCAATTTAATATTTATTTTATAAAACGGTGGGTAAATTTGAAAAGAAAAATAAAGTAAACTTATAGTGTGACAAGAGAAAGAGAAAAAATGAAGAGAAAAGCAATAATGAGGAAAAGACAAAGGAGAGAGCGGTGGCACGAGGACTTGATGAATCTCCGACAGTGACAGATACTTACGTTCCTTACCATCAAATACTTACCAGGTAACATCAATTGCTTCAAACCTAAGCTACCTCATAAACATACCACACTAAACCCACTTTCCATTTTCCGCTACCCCTAAAACGACACCGCATCCGTCCCCTTTTTCATTACAAAAACGGTTTTCTTAAATTAAATTGAGTTTCGACACTTTTAAATAATGATTTTTATTAAAAATATATCTTTAGTGTAAACATAAAAACTTTTAAAATTAACGCACTTTTTTTTTTAAATACTTTGTTTATTACTGAGTTATAAATTACATCAAACTGAAAGTAGAACCAAGTTATTTAATAAAGAAAAAATAATAATAAATTCACTTCATATAAAAATATCTAACGTACTCCGTCTTAAGTTTTATCCAAATTAAGATCAAAGACTGTGCTGAAAATAAAGTGTCGCAGTGTGTCTTTGTATCTGTGTCTCTATATATAACTTCATTCTCACTTTCATCTTTTCCCGTTGCGATTTGTGATGGCGTCGCTCTCGGGATTCGCCACCATCACGATCGCTCTACTCTTCGCCGGAAGCTCCGCCGGCAGAGATCTCCGGCCATCGGAGCATGGCCTCGTTTTCCAGTCCTCGCCGCCGGCAAATTCCTCCGTAGAGATGAGGTCCTTCTTCAACAGCAACAAGGGCTCTTCTTCGACCGATTCGCCGCTTCGGAATATCACGGAGTCCCTGCCGCCGCCGTGGTGGAGAAGCAGCGACGGCGGCGGCGGCGGAAGCCACTTGGGAGGAGCATTAATGATGGCGAGTTTGGTGTGCGGCATCACAGGTGGCGTTCTATTAGTGGCTTCGGCTTTGCTTTATCTGTTTAAGCACCGAAGAAAGCACAACCAAAACGATTCGTTTCGTGCTCATAGTAGTAATCATACTAATAATAATACTATTAATAATCGCAATTACAATAATAATAGTGCCAACAAGCTTCAGTTAGTGCCAGCAGTGCGTAATCATTGAGTTCTTTTTTCCTGCATTATATTGAATTCAAATTCCACTCTTTTTTCCCCTCTAATGTTTAATGTATGCAAAGGTGAAGTTAGTTGTGTAAATTTATAATTATGCGTTGTATATGCAATTTATTTATTTACTGGGTTTAAATTCTTTTATTATTGATTATATGTTACATTTGTTGTAATAATAAATTTAAGTACTTGGATTTTTTAACTGTTTGTTTGATTAGATCTTTTTAATTAATTTACTAATTATTATAGTGGCTGATCTAACCCTTTGCCTAATTAGAACTCAACGTGACCTGTCGAAGATTGTATGATTGCTAATAAGTTTCTTTGGGATTTCCACACTTGTGAGTCCAAACCGATTTTCAAAGAACCAAAAAGCCTTCGGCACCCCTTCTTGATCCAATAAAATAGTTTATGCATTAATAGAATGGAACAAAGGATACTTAAAGACATTTTTAGGAATATAATATAATTTAAATGGTTTAATATTTTAATAATATATCCAAAATAAAGTAGAAGTGTAAAGAATCTAAAGATTCGGTTTTGGCTGCCCGTTGTACCACATAATCCAGTAGTTGACTTCGATGTAACTTGAAATAGAATTTTAATTAAGTTGCGCATGGCTTTGTCTACAAGTGCTTGGCTGTGAGGGTATTCATTCTGTAACAAAAAGAAATGATTACACAATCAAGTTTACATTTACATATAAATAATTATGCATTTAAATAGTTTATCTTGTTTATACTTTTTATAATAAATATCAAGAATATTATCAGCTGCCCAATAATAGGAGAATATTTACTTCTAAACGTAAAAATCATCGAAGCACATTTTATTTCACGCAACAAAGTATTTTTTTTCCACAAAAAAGTATTTTCATATATGTTAGCGATTGTGCCGATTAGATTTGCACCGTAATAGAAACTAAACTCTAATTCTATGATGGTTATCTTTTAGAAAGTTATCAACTTGAAATTTTAGAACACTATTATAATTAGATGAACGCGCATAGTTTCTCGTGAACATAATTAGATGAACGCATGCACTGGTATTTACGCACAAAAGTAAACATGCGGTGATGATCAACGTATTAGCAAAACTATGTTCTCCTGTGATTTTTTTTTATCTGAAGAAAATTTACTGAATGTTTGGTCAGATAACGTAACAGGCATAAATTAAATAGACAAATATTTGTTCCTCTAGGGCGATGAGCCGATGAACCAAAAGCTGAAGAGAAAAAATTACAGAGATTTCATAAAGAAAATTATAGGTTAACAGCAATTAAGTACCTATTGATCAAGAGGAATCCACTCGAGTTCAAGATCTAATTCTCCACATTCAACATTCTGGAGCTTGAGCGACATCATTTGTTTAACTTTACCATCAACAATATTCACCGTGCTATCCTCAATAAGTGGATTGTCATCGGATTTTAACCATTTTCCTATCTGCATATCGCCAAACATTCCAGCATCTCCGAAGGCCATAGCAGATGTTATTAGTGACTGAAGATCAATGTCTGCTTCTCCCATTATATCATCAGCAGAAAATGTGTCATGATCAAATACTTTCTGCAACACAGCCAGTTGATAAGATAAAAGTGTCGTAATTCTCACCAGGAACAAATTAATTATCTTCTTAACCGCGTGCACAAGCATGGAAGGATTGAAAGAAAGAAAAGCAGCACACAACACACACAGTGAGATGCATCTTACATAAACACCTGAACACCCAGCTCCATAGAAGAAACCCATCATTGAAGGGTACAAACAGCCAATCTACCTCCAAACAAACCAAGAGATTTGTAGCAAAACTTCAATACTAACGGATAATTAAAAGGGTAAGATTTTCATTCAACAAGAGCTAGAGATGAAATGGACAAAACAAGAGGGGTGCAGCGGTAAGAATTCTCCCAACTTTTGCGTCAGGTGTTCCAGCCGTTTGGGGAGCCAGGTTCATTGTTTTTGTGATGGTCTATTTTCTTGTGAGAATTGAGTTTCAGAGTAGATTCGTAGAATCTATCAGTGAGATATCGACACATCAATCAACCAACTGCAGGAGATATCTAGTTAATTTAAGAGTTTTGAGGGCAACAAGAAGGAAAAGCACTTCCAGTCGTGTTTTTAATATTCACTTGAAGGGCAATGCAAGAGTAATAAAAAAAAAAAATTGCCTCCTCATCTACTCTGGCATGATTGTACCGGCGCTTCTTAGACAGACACATCGAAGCATAACTTCATTGTTTTTCCCCCTCACTGCATTGCCGTTTCTTTTTCTCCCATTCCACTAAATAACAGTATTCCTGATTGCATCACATCTCCGACTCAATCTAAAACTCACTAAACATGATGTTGACTAGTAAAGGACTAATATTCCAAGCACAACTGAAATAAGGCAATTTTCTAGAGGAAATATTATTATATATTAACCAATTTTTTACTACACATCAAATTTTCCTTTTTCCGTTCCATCATGTTGAAAAATGCAAGAAATTATATTTTGTGGAGTTCTTAGAAAAGCAGGTCATTGGCTATAGACAGAATTGACAAGGAAACAAAGGAACAACAAGAGGCTGTGAATCGACGGGCAGAAACTTTCTATTTCTATACCTAAAAGAGATATCCCAGTCAATTATTAGTTATCATACCAAAATGACAAAGCAGGTAAATGAGGGATGCATAGACATGGATACTGTTTATACAATTTCTTAATTCATTTTTTTTTTATAAATTCATACTTCTACTTTCTGGAAAGCTATTGTAAGTTATAACCAAACTACGTACTGTATTTAATTTCCAACAGCGAGAAAGGATGTAAAGGTAACTTGGTTTCAACACAAGAAAGTGGTTTTAAAAGGTAAAAAATGTTGCATGTTGAGGAATGAGAATGGAGGAACACATTTTTCCTCAATAATGTGGCTCTATATAATAGAATACACAAATTACTGTTGTTTTTCACATCAAAATTCATTCATACCAATTTCAGTGGTCCATAGTGCTCAGGAACAGACAGCATATATTCCTCATTCCAGACTGGATTCAAGTTACTCCTCACAATAGTTGTCTGGACAGTCTGTATGCATTAGGCAATACCACCAAATCAATTTCAGAAAGAAAATTATCACAGTTTATGATTTTTCAACTATAAATAGAAGATACAGAGCAAAAGGTGCCAAGATCATACAGTGACAAGAACAACCAACCTGCTGGCCAAGGTTCAAAATAACATATGGATCACTTGACTTTATATCCCTGATTGCTAAATTTGTGCCTTTGATCACTTTCACCTTCAGCATTCCAATAAATTGTACCATACCTTCCTGTTGTTACCACCGATGTCAATCACAATCTAAGGAAATCACTCATGAAAATAACTGCATCGTCATTGCTGCCAAACTGACGAAGTTGGAAAATGCAACATGCTTCATCTCATATATATTTAATTATCTTGCATTAGAACACTTTCATCTAGTACAACAATGATTCAAATCAGTGGAAATCTAGTTCACAACAAGATGCATACTCCAATTTGGTCCCAATATTTCTCCCCCGATGATAAAAGTAGTCAGATAATCAAAGGAACTAATGCATAACATAAAGTTACCATTCTCTGTGAACTACTAGTACTTTTAAAACTATCCATAAAACTTTTGGAAGAACTTGAATCTAGACTGCTCTTTCCAGACACAATGCGCAAACTTGGTTTCAAAAATTCTTGAAGTTCATATTTTGACCTGCACTCAAAATAGTCACAATTAAAAAAGAAGTTAATAAATTATAGCATTCACCTGACTAGTTCAAGAACAGCAGAAAGTCAAGAAAATAAATGACTAAGCAAATGGGTCAAACAAATACCCGGAAGAATCAACAACCTTCACAATTACCTATTTCATGGTGATGAGATACAAAATTTTCAAAATGAACCAAGAGGCTTAGAATGGGAGATATACAGTGCATTGTGACAATTGACATAGTGTATATGAAAACATGTCTCACCGAATGAACTTTGCACGCTGCTCGTGACCAGCATCTGCTCCAGGTTTAGTACATCCTTCTGGAATATATGCCTCATAAATTGAATTGGCAGAAGCATTTCCCCCAACTTCAATCATTGCATCTATTTCATCGTCTGACCAATCATCCAACGTCACAGACAAAACCTGAAAGTAAAGAATAATGCTGTCAAACAGATGAGTTCAGCATTCTTTCCACTCTTAACTTGATAAACAGTAACAAAGCCCACTGAAAAAAAATAGATCAATTATAATCATCAGTCATTTTATGAACATGTGGCTTACTTGCATCCCAAACCTAAGGTTATCTGTTTTAAAAATTCACCCTGAACATAAACCGTAACAGTCTAGGCTAGTCATGGATGTGCAAAAACAAGCTTCAACAACAAAATGAAAACCAAGGCTGAAACTGAGGTGCAATTGCCATGACTTACAAATTTAGTAATTTTCAATTTTGTATAAGCTATATAGTACCTCAAAAAATACCACTAAAACCTATAAGATGCCTTATAAAAAGGACAGAGAGAGTAGTATTGAATTCCAATTCAATGACTTTGGTCAGACTAGGTAGTTTGCTACTTTGTTAACAAGGTATTATAGATATTCCTTTGCCAGTTTTCAATTAAATTGCTGGAAACTCAGTCCAGTAGTTGTACAGTTCCCACCACTTTGAGATAAAATTCACTTACCCTGTGAATCTGATTTAAAAATTTACACATGCAAGACATTAAATGATTTCACTTTCCACATTTTATTTTCAATAAAAAAAAAAAATACAAATCTGTATAATGTTTAGTCCAATTAAAATCAAATAACATATTTGTCTAGTAAGATAATGAACAGAAGCACGTAGCATAATACTGTTGTGAAAGGACAACACTACTAATACTTTGTTATTAATAATATAGAATATAGGCAACGTTCAAAAGTTAGACATGGTGAGTTAAACTTCCATAAATATGCCTATAATCATAAATTTAATTGACATGAGGATAGATGCCTAGTGATAATTTAACTTATGACATTGCTTTCGATTGCGAATGTAATATCGTGTAACTGTCTAATGCATCTATCACATCTAACTAAATTTCTTTGCAGAGAAACATGTATCAAATTTAAATAAAACTTGGATTGAAAACTATGAAAGTAATTGGTTTTTTTCCCCTTCATACCATGTCAATTCATTTCTTATACAAGTTCTGGAAAATAAAAAATCCAAACAGATGAATTATCAGTCTTTCAATTTGTTGAAGACAACAATGAGGAGATACTCAGTTCAAACATCCAATATTTCATGTTAGGGAAAATAAATTCTTAGGCAGCAATGCCTTCACAACAATGAGACAACCTGTGAGTGGTTTATCTTTTTTACTTTGGTACATGTGAATGGTTTTACCTTTGATATATGAGTACCAAGGCTTCTGTGCACACCACAGCATTTTAGGCATATAAAAACTCCAATGTTTGCAGATCTGAAAAGAAGTTATCAAAAAAAGAAAATTCAGAGTTTAAAAGAGTAATATTCATGAGGCATTATTATATTTGGCAAGCAATCAGATTCACAAACAGTTCACCAAAAAAGGTATGATAATGCCCATTGATATAAACCACAAACTTCAGAGTGAAAAAAATGAAACACTTACGCCCATTTGGGATCTGGAGCATTACAATCAGCACAAAAGCGATTATCACTCTGAAGCAACAAATCTTTCAATCTTCTTCTACCTGTAAACAACCTGCCAATCATTCAACTTCTCGAGAAAAACAAATGAAAATTGCTCCGGAATATCCCCCCAAATATACTTCATAGGTATTCTAAAGATTTTCAAAGCTTCAACAGCTAAGTTCAAAATTTTTATGACATTATTAGATGGAGGAGTTTGGGAGTAAAGGGAATGGGCGGTATTGAGTTTTTTTACTATAGAAAAAGAAAGGGAAAAAATGGGATATTATACTCCATTATCCCCATTCATCTTTTATAAATATAAATGTTTTATTGATTTCTCAATTTAAAAAATGAAAACCCTCCCTTCCCTTTCCCTCTAGACCCCTCCATCCAAAATTCCCTGATAAAGTATGCAATTCTTAACCAGATAAAGTTGCCATTCATAACCATCTAGTCAATAGCCATTTGCTGAACCTGAAACTACTTGAAAACTTAGATGGGCTCAAAGTATTAAACAACATCAGGAAGCTACAGGAAAAGCCAACCTAATAGGAGTGTCAGTAAAATCTTATGCCCTCAAGTCCTTCAAGAGTTGTGGCAGAAGAAAAAGGAAAATGTTATATTTCAAGAATTTTTTTGCCGATGAAAAAATAAGTTGGCCTGATTATTGATGCTTGGATAGATGATTCGTCCCTACTTCTTTATCTTATCTAAGGATTGTTCTTTAATCTAGCTGAACTCTTCAAAATTACAGCTTTTCTTTTTTTGCTGTATAGCATTACTCACAACAAAAACTCATCAGCGAGCATGGCATTTAGCGATAAATTGTGAATAGACCCAGTAAAAACTCTACAAATCCAAGTCATTACGATAGCATATGGTTAAAACACTTTTATGATGTACAGGACCAACCTTTTGCACTTATAAAAAAGGTCAGTAGAATGTCATTACTTGTCCTTAACCAACAAAATGTTATCCTCAGTTGTAAACACCTCATTTATGTATCACCACATTAGGTATCATAAGATTACCTGAAGCAGGCCTTGCAAGTTCCATTCGGTAATTATTCGTTGACAAACTTGAAGTCCACAAGCATCCAGGCTGCAACCTCTAAATTAGTCTTGCAAAACCACCTGGAACAGAAGAAATATCTGTTTAAGCAAAAAAATTTCACTGCCAAATTGTGTCAACAAACTAAGAACTCCACAAAATCCCATAACTGCAAAATTTGTCCACTACATTCAATCTTACACCGCAGGAACAAAAGACGATTTAGATAATCACACTACTAATAGAATAATTCCAGTAAAGAATAGCCTAATCTTAAGAAAAGGAAGAAAATAGAAAAACATATACAGAACTCAGTTATTGAAGTCATCTGCAGACATCCAAATTGTTTTTCTCACTGTTTACATATACTATCAGTATAAAGTAGCATACAACATGCACACTTATAATAGGTCAGTAGATAACAAAAACTATAATACTGAACACACCAACTTCCATAATTGCTCCTCCACACAAAACATAGATAAAAAAAAAGGGTACAGAGCATTCTCCATATTCATTTTGCAAGTAATACAAATCTCAAAGTAATCAAAGAACAGAAAATTAATATTGAAGCAAATTTCACATTATCTTTTACCTACAGCGAATTGAATAATGATGTGATCAGTGCCTAAAACAACCTACGAGTTTGGTCAAATTGATTGATTTCAGAACAGTGATCAAATTCCATTGAGGAAAATTCATGTGTGTTACATTTGCATGAAACGAATCGTATCATCTAGAAATCAACGACGTTGAAAAACAAATGAAAAAACGAAAAATTAGATACAGAATTGTGAGTGTGGAATTGAGATCAAAAGGAGAAAGTAAAGCTTACAAGTGAATGAAAGAATCGAAATGGCTGAATTTGAAATCGACAGAACGCGACGCGAGAGATGCGAGGAGGGTGGTGATGTTTTCAATGTCAAAATTGGATTATTCCATCACAACTACACAATGGGTTCACTAAATATTTTATGTTAGTTTCAAATATATTTTGGTTAATTTTATTCCAAAAAAGCTTCTAATTTAACTTTTCTGACTGCAATGTCCCCATCATATCTCATATTTTTCTTATCGTGTTATGATGATAGAATTAGTGCAATGTAGAAGAATGAAATTAGAATTAATTTTCATGTTTATATTATTATATTTATAGTAAAATAGTTAGTCCTTTTAAAATGGAAAATAATTGAAAAAGTATTAAACAAGTCTCCCAAAGATTAAAGTGTTTTTAAATAAATCTTTAAGAGATTTAAGCAATAAAATTAATCTTTTGAACTTTTAAATTATTATTACATTAATCGCTCAAATGTCATCAAATTAATCTTTAAAAAAATTAATGCTCTAATTAGTTTTAAAATATATATTTAATTATACATCTGTCATTTTTCACTTTTACTTTTTCTAGTTAAAATATTTAAAAATATAAAATATAATAAAAACAAATTAATAATTTAATAATCTAAAATAAAAATAAAATTAAACGGTCTCTTGAAAAATTAGATAAAAAACAACTTAATGATAAATTATTTAAAAAAAAATATTTAATTAATTTTTATAAAAAATAAAAATGATGACAAAAAATTTCTTTAGTAATAAAGTTAATACAACAATAAATTAAATTCTTAAAGAAGTAATTTAATTTTTTAAATAATTTATTTAATGAAGTTTGTATCTTTGAAATATCAACTGTACGAAATGGAACAGTTCTCTCCATTGTTCCAAACAAAGTCTTACATCAGCGGCCTGTCAAAATGTTCGACTCCGTTGCGTAAGCAATGAACCCATAACCATTAAATACGAGTTAAACACTTTTTAATATATTTTTTATTATTAATTAAAATTTATTAAAAATTAAAGAAATATAAAAATATTAAATTAAAAGCAAGAAAAATATTTTTTTTAATAAATTTTAGTCAAAATAAAAAATCTCACAAAAAGTGAGCGTTATTATTACTCTTTAAATATTCGTTTAGTTTCAAATTAATAAAATTAACTTTGATGAAATTGATTTTAAATTATTAGCAACCTGCTTGAAAATAAGTTAAGGCCTTCGTTTTACGTTTCAAAATACGCTTTAAGAAGGTAAACAAATCGATGTTATTGAATTGAATTTCTTATGTAGTTGACATTTGTGCAATCACATTTTTAATTTAAACGAAGAAACACTCAATATAATTAAAGTATGTGTACAAATTAGTATGAATCATATATTTTTATTAGAATATGTATTTTGCATAATAAATGCAATAATTAATTCAACCCAAAGACAAACAAGCCTTGCACCGATTTTGTTGAAAAGTGGAATAGTTGAATTTTCAAACCAAACCATATTACTAGTTTCAATTCAGATTGTTTGTTTTATATTTTCATGAAATCTAAACCATGTTCAATCCTAGTCATTAGTTTACCTTCAATATTATAATACTCTTACTTTCAAATGACAAATAGGCCACTAAACTAGTGTTGGTTGACTTTTTATTTTTATCACTTCAAGCATTCTCAAGGAAAAACATTTTCATATTTTAGATCTTTGAAGAAATAATTTAATAATAAAATATTTTTTAAAAAAATTGATATAGTAATAATTTAAATATTGAAAAGATTATTTTAGTAACCTAAATATGTAAATAATTTATCTGGTGGCACTTTCAAATTGACATTATTCTTCAATTTATTATTGAGAAACACTAATTATGATTATGATAGAAAATAGTAAATTTATTACCTAACATGAAACAAAGTTTAGGATAGATTTTGAAAAAAAAATATTAGTTTATAAATTTTAGCATGTAAAATTAAAATAAGGTTTAGATAGATTTTGATATTATCTTTAACTTAAGTTTTAGTTTTTATATTTATTTTTCATAAATATATGTAATAATTAAATGAACATCTTTTTAATGCATGAATAAAAATACACAATAAAAATTTAATAAACGATAAATTTTTATTAACAATTATTATATTTAATATCATTGTATGCTTTTCAGCAGAATAAATTTTATGAAATTTTAGTAAAAAATTATTATATACAGATTTTTGTTATATGTCATTGAATACATGAAAAAAAAAACTGTTAAAAGAAAATATAAAAATGAGTACTCATGAATAAGCCAACAAGATTAAACAAATAATAAAAAGATAAATAATATTATAAAAACTAAAGCTTAAAATAACAAAAATAATAAAAACCAAAATTTTATTCTGACCAATTAAAAAGTGATGACACATGTACAAGTCCTAAGTAACATCTGACTCATCCATTTCTAAAGACGTGTGAAAAGAACAAGAGAAATTTAGAGTGTACCAATAGAAAAGTGACACATAATGATTCTAATCAAAAGCTGATGACAAATTCTTGTGTGCAGATAAGATAAGAAGATGGTAACTGCAGTTGCTAAGGTAAACATAACTAACATAGAGTTAATTCAAAGTTCCATGGCTAACTACACACACCCTCATATCTGTCAATGTTTGAGTCGTTTGCTAGCTTTCCGGCGACATTTTCCGGTCACAATCGCCGGCCACCGCCGTAAGAGCGGCCAACAGTTGGTGGAGGAAGTGTTGTCATTGGCACAAGGCCTGCTCCAGCTAGGACTCGCACCTGGTGATGTGGTTGCTATCTGTGCTTACAACAGGTGGTACCCTTTGGTTTGTTTCTTATTCCCTTTTGCATGTGCATGCATTAGTATTTGTGTGTTACTAGTAACAGGTTTTTTCTCAATTTTCGAAGAGGGTATTTCATATTTCATTTTGGGACACTATGCACTTTCTTCCTCTTGAACCAAACACAAAAGTGATTAAGCTTTTGTTCTTGTTTCAAGTTCATATATCCCAGTGGTTTGTGTTTAGAACCTGAGATAATGATAAAGTGGGTCCTTCCTTTTTTAAAGTCAAATGAAGCCATAAATTTGTAATGTGAAATGTCTACAAATATGAAATACCCTTTTAGAAACTTTTGAGGTTGAGTACTCTTAGGCACTGGTTAATAAATTAATAAAGATAAAAATGTTGAAAATTATGCTGCTGTGCGTTGAAATTGTGAAGTAAAATGTGGAGACATTTAAAAATTGAAGATTTTAGTCCTTAAATATGTAGGTTACACTGTTACAGTGCTTCACCACTGGACACAGGAGTACAAGAAAGGTTTTTAATCCTTCTGGGTTGAGGTCTTTTATAGCTATGTATTTTTTTTAAAAATACTTGACCTTATGAACACACCACATTCCCAATTAGTGTGACTAGGATTGGTCGTTGTTTTATAATTTATAAACACGTCTTATCCCTATGAAATTTGTAGTTATTGTTAGTTCATCAATGATTTTATCAATGATAGATTGAGTATTTTCTTTTTTCTTTTCAGTGATTGGTATCTGGAGTGGTTATTAGCCATTGCTTTTGTTGGAGGAATAGCTGCTCCTCTGAACTATCGCTGGGTGAGTAAATTAACTTTGAACTCGATTGCTAACCTTTGCGCTATTTTTACTTGGTATTTTTGTCAAGCACTCTCATGAAACCATTTTCATGCTAACATGGCACTTCAAGCCAATTTCAGCTGTCCTCATCATTCATTATGCACAGGCATTAATGCATACTTTAACTCACCGCACATTACTTCTTATTTACCTCAAAAGTTAATATGTTTGCAGCCTTCTTGTTGTTGTTACTTCATCTAGACTCTATCCCTTCCCACAATCTATTTCATACACTAATCACAATGTTATGCTATTAAAACAATTTCCTTCTCCTGCAGAGTTTTGAAGAGGCAAGATTAGCAATGGAAGCAGTGAGGCCAGTGATGTTTGTGACTGATGAAAGCTGCTACACATGGTACTCAAAACTCCATCAAAATGACATTCCATCTCTGAAGTGGCATGTTTTGTTGGATTCCCCTTCCTCAGATTTTACAATGTGGAATGGTAGGATAGGAACTTTGCTTGGTATTTAGAAATTATGAATGAAACCTTTTTTTTACTTGAATAATCCTAATATCTAATGGCTCTTACTGCTTTTCAGTGTTTACTCCAGAAATGCTTAAGGGGCATCCTGTAAAGCTTCTACCATTTGATTACACCTGGGCTTCTGAAGGAGCTGCAATAATATGTTTTACTTCAGGTTCAAGATTCTGAGTCAGTTGCTTTTACTCTGAACTTTAATTTCTTGTGGTTTGTGGCTTTGTAGAGAAGCAAGGCAGGGAACTAAATGGTTGCTAAAATGGAATACTAAGACCATTTATAATAAATTAAGGATGAAAAACGTTAATAACAGGATTGGAAGATTTGTAGCTGCAAAGGGAAATTCAGATGATTAGGAGTAAATAAATTAATTCCAAAGCTATATAAGAAAATTAGGAAAGAGACCTTCAACAGAAAGCAATCATTTCTATACTATTTCAACATGTGCATGCGTGATGAAAGTAGTTAACACATGCAAAACTTATTCCATCTGGGAATTAGACACTTCTTTAACTAAGTGGAATTTACTTTTTAAAATTGATTTACGTGTGAACTGTGAATACATGGATTGGAGCTGATTAATTTTTTGAGGTATTCATTGAAGAAAGGTAGTAATATTGGAGGTTTAAGTTTGTTCAATGAACTTAAAAATTATAGTCAATTTCATTTTAGTTCTAGTAATAGAAATATGCACTCTAGACTTCCCAAATTCTTGTTTACAAGCTAGTTGCAGATAATTAGGAGTTTGAAATATAGATGGACTTCTATAGATTTTTTATTCTACTGAAGAAGGTCCCCTTCTACATCACTGGCATGATTTTTAGGGGGCAATAATGTACATGCTACTGTCTAAATATTTCGCTAAGGATTTATTTTTTGATAAAATAATTCCTCCTTTATTTCCTGAAATTTTTTTTTTCTTGACTCTAGGAACTACTGGAAAGCCTAAGGGAGTTACCCTAAGCCATGGAGCTCTTATCATACAATCTCTAGCCAAGATTGCCATAGTTGGGTACAATGAGGATGATGTATGTCATTCTTTGTTACATGCAGTTTATGTTATTGGTTATGAAAACTTACCATGATATCAGAACACGCTATCAATGTTAACTATAAAGATATTATTACATACTTCCAAGTTGCATAATAAATCATGCTGAAACATCAGAAGGATGATTAACTTCATGTTATGCCATTTGTTCTGTAACAGGTCTATCTACATACTGCTCCATTATGCCATATTGGTGGCTTGTCGTCAGCCCTGACCATGCTCATGGTTGGAGGTTGCCATGTCTTGATGCCAAAGTTTGATGCAGAATCGGCTGTTGGCACCATAGAGCAATATACCGTGACATCTTTTATCACAGTTCCTGCAATAATGGCCAGTCTGATTTCTATAATTAGGTATATTCTACAATCAAAGATCATCACAAAATATGTCATCTGAAAACAATTTTTTTATAAAAGAAATTATTGCTAAATTAGCATAGAAATCTTTTAACCTCCAGTAAAACCAAATATTATTTTACCTGCTCAAGATAATTAATCTCTTGTATCCCAGGCTTCCTAGTTTATACAGTACTTAATACTAAATAAGGTCCTAAAGTGGTCATGGTTTGTAGAGCAAACTCTGTTTTATCCTTTTTATGTCTATTATGCAAATATTTTTTCTGCTTAAATGTTTTGCTATCTTGTTACCTTAGGTAAAGGCCAAGTTAGGGATTTATTGTTTTACAACTATTCTCAGTCTTGATTTGGTGTTTTAATATTTTTAGGCACAAAGAGACCTGGAAAGGGGGAGACACTGTCAAGAAAATACTTAATGGGGGTGGAAGCCTCTCACTTGAGCTCATCAAAGACACTAGCATACTCTTCACCAAAGCTAAACTTATTTCAGCTTATGGTATGTCTCTCTTTTACTTATTTCAATTTTGGTCTAGAAGAAATTTATTGAGTAATTTTAGATATGAAAACACATATTTTAATCGAAATATGAACAAAAATCCTGTGCAACTAGCAAAAGAAAAAGATAAATTAGACAATCGAAAGAGAGAGATGATAAAGAATTATGGGAGAGAAGAGAAAAAGAGTTCAGGAAAGATAAGAATTTCAATTGCTAATTTTTTATCCAACAATCAATAACAGTATGAGAACAGGTAATTTACAAAGTGGAGACAAGTTTCAAATAATTAGTTCAACGGTGAAAGGATCAAAGGAGCCATGTTGGGAGCCAAAATCAAATAATATCCTTAATTCCTTACTATAATACTAAAACAAGTCACTACTTATTGAAACTCTATTAATTAGAATCTGTGTGCCTAGAAACAAAAGTCCCTTGATATTTCATTCAAACTAATGAAAGTTGATCTCCCTTATAGAACCAAAAATTTGAATGTAGCCAAGCTTGTTACCTTCCTTCCTTCTTCAAGTTGCTTTATATGAAAAATAGCAAAGCTACAAACAGCTAGATCTACATTGAAGAATGTCTTCTTTTGTTTTTGACTTGTGACAAGATCAAAAAGTCTCAAATTTTCTCCTTTTTATATTTATTTTTGATAACACAATATACCAAATGACAAGAATGTAAAATATATGAAGGTCAGACTAACTTTGACCCTTCCAAATTTCTCTAGGTTCTCTTGTACCTTGGGTATAATAGATGTAATTCACTAGTCTTGTCTGTTTCATTTATCAAAGGGATGACAGAATCATGCTCCTCATTGACATTCCTGACACTCTATGACCCAATGCATGAAACCACTAGCCAGCTCCTTCAAACATTTGGTGTGGCAGGATCGAATCTCATTCACCAGCCCCAAGGTGTTTGTGTTGGCAAGGCTGCACCTCACGTAGAACTGAAGATATGTGCAGATGCTTGTGGTCACATTGGGAGAATTCTAACTAGAGGACCACATATAATGCTCAGGTATTGGGATCAAACTCTCACAAATCCATTTAATCCGTATACCGAAGCCTGGCTTGACACAGGTGACATTGGATCAATTGATCGTTATGGTAATTTGTGGCTCCTTGGACGAACAAACGGTCGTATCAAGAGTGGTGGAGAGAACATTTACCCTGAAGAGGTAGTACAAGTGTCCCTCAACTTGTTTGCCTTGTCATAAAAAACAAGTTACAAATTTAAACCAAAATAATATGCTTCTTGATCACGAATTTTTATCCTCCAAAAGGGACACACATACAAGTAATGTATAACAAATAAGTAATGTAACACTAGAACATTTCTTCATCATTTCCTGTGTACTGTGACCAGTTGAGTGTTTGTCTTTTCTTGGTTTATGATACTTACAACTCCATGGAAGTGTGAAAATATTGTTTGTTTGAAGTAGGTTGAGGCAATTCTACTACAACATCCAGCGATTGCAAGTGTTGTTATTGTGGGAATCTCGGATGCTCGCTTGACAGAGATGGTGGTAGCATGTATCCAACTAAGGGAACATTGGCTTTGGTCAGAGCAGTCTGATTCAAATGAAGAGTTTCACCTATCTAGAAAGAACCTCCAGCAATATTGTATGCAAAATCAATTAAGCAGGTACTTCTTCAAAATCCTTTCCTGTTAAATTAAAGTATGTATGGGCATAAGTTATTTTTATCAGAGCTTATTCTATAAATTTGATACTAAAACTTCTTAGAATAAGTTAAAAAGTACTTATTTTGATAAGCTATACAGAGAAGCTTATTAAAATAAGCTGAATAGAACTCATGGGTGCTATAAACTATGTTACGTAAACTCTTCTGCTTAAGTCTTGAGAATGAGCTAGTTGAGCAACATATAAATAGGAAGGACTCATTTACTTAGTGCATGTTTGAATAGGTTATTTTGATAAAGTGATAATTTATTTTTAGAAATTTTTAAAAATTAAACAACTATTCTCCTAAAAATAATCTCATTCAAACATGTAATGTCTTAGAATTTTGGGTTAAATGTAGTGTTTAGTCAACTTGTGTGGTTTGTTTTTTATTTGTTAATGGAGATCTTTTTGGTGTGTTAGCCCACTTTATATTTCCTAACACAGCTGTTTAGCGATGATTTCTTATGATTCTTCTTTCAGATTTAAGATACCAAAATTATTTATTGTATGGAGGAAGCCATTTCCAGTCACTACCACAGGAAAAATAAGAAGAGACCAAGTCCGAAAGGAAGTTATGTCTCAGCTACAATTTTTGCACAGTAATCTTTGAATATATCAAAGCTCCAATGCCCCCCCTTAAACCACTGCATGCTCCAACATATTTTAATGCCACAAAAAAGAAGAATGGCTTGAATCTATAATGCCTCAGAGATTCCAAAATTATGCCTTTGATATACGACCTTACCATTGTCAGTTTTCCACACACAAAAATGAACGGTTTTGACTACATATAATGTGAGAATGTTGATCATTTTGTTGAGTAGGCACATTAATTAAGTACATTTTTTGTATAGAAACACATTCTTTTCCCTCCCCTACTTTTATCCTTTCTTGAAACCGTTTTCTACTTTATGATACTAGACTTTAAGACAAAGTAATCAAGGAACCTGCCATGCAATTAAGAACTTATTATAGTCTTTAAATTTCTAGAAATAAAAATATAATTAATTGATGAAAAATATTTTATAAAATTCAAATATTTTTGCTGATATTAAGTGTCAAACTTGGACACTTATACTGCTTAATAATATTTCAGGGAATGCAAAATTAAACAATTCAATCATTAATTTGAAGATTTTTATCAAATAAATTAATTTATAATATTTTATAAAAAAATTATTAAATATTTTGTCATATTATTCTATTTTAATGAGTAATATATATATATGTATATATATATTAATAACATTCTTACAAATATTTAAATTGATAGTGGTGAAATGAAAAGTTATCCTCGTATAATACTATGATCGAAGAAAATCTTGGGATTCCATGGCACGTTAGAAGATGCCACCCCTCAAAAAGTTTGGCATATTCTTTTGCAAAAACGGTGGATGATAGCAACTCTACCAATGTGCTTTTCGCCCTTTTCTGCTTTTCAATATTTTTCTTCCTTTACCATTAAGTATTCATTATTGATTATAATTCCCTAAAAAAAATCTTGGTTATAATGAAAAACTCCTTTTTCTTTACCGTTATTGTTTTTATAAAAGTGAGAATTTGTTTATTCTAAAGTTAGATAAAAATATTTTAAACCATTAAAAAAATTTAAATCTGTGTTTAAATAAATTGTATCCATAAAATTTATATTAGAACGGCGGAAATAATTAATTTTGACATTTTACAACAGGCGCTAAATTACATCAACTGTAGCAATAATTATAATTAAAATTTCTTTTATTTAAAAAAGAAAATTAATTTATATTAAATTTATGATGTGCGTACTACGTATTATATAATTGACTTTATATTAAACTTTACCGATTATATTTTTAGTCTCTGTAAGTTAAAAGATGGGTAAATTTAGTCTGTCAAAATTTTCTGGTCAATTAATGCTTTATTTTTAAAAATATCGATTTTAGCCTCCAGTTGATTTTCTTCTATCTTAAACGCCCAAATCCTCATTTCTATTAAAAAATTATGAATTAAATTTATTAAATTGTTTTATAATCATAATTAACTAACTAAAATATCAAATTTAATCTCAACTAAAAATAAAAAAAATTTCCTTCCCAAATCTTAATTTCACATCTTATATCTTTTTTGAAATTTATCAAAATTGTACAAACTTTTGTTTTATTTCTAAACTTTCTATTTTTAAATGTTTTTTTTTTCATTTGTAATTAACAGGAGAGGTAAGATATTTATTTGGTTTGCAAGGAAAAGACAAAGGAGAGAATATTTTTTAATTCATAAATTAATAAAAGAATATTTTATTTTTCTAATAAGTTAAACTAAACATGCACATAATTAAATTATGAAACACCTCCTTCTCAGCCTTGGACACTTTTGTTCATTGACCAATTTGGTGGGGCTACTTTTAGTTCTTTTTTGTTGTTGTTTGTTTCTTCTTTGTTTTGGATTTTCCATTCATAAAAAGAAAGTGTGAGTGTACATTCCCTTTTTTCTCCTCTGTCGCTTTATAGCTTTCCCAGGTGTCCAAAATTAACAAGAAGCAAAGTGTTTGAATAAATCAATTAAAGGTAATCCTTCCAATCTTATTGTGAGTATTGATTTATTTTTAATTAATGATAGTTATAAATTGTGAATAATTTTTTTAATGATAATAATAATTTTTTTATGACCATGTCCTAATTTCCATTTATGGAAGATTAATTTTTTGAGAGCGTCTATTTAATCTACACAGAGTATGCATAAAATCTGCCTACATAAAAATTTAATATAATTGCTGTCATAACTATGGAAAACTATAGAGTAATAACACTGAAAAATACTGAGAAGGGATATTATGTATATATTAAAGTAGATATAATTTTTGAATTTATATTTGACTCGAATAAATATAATTTAAGATAACACAAGAATATAAAAAAGTTTATGTTTTATTTAGATATTTTTTTCTGAGTCCACAACTTACTATATAGCCAAAAGGAAAAAAACACGGCGATCATGATATGGCCATGATTGCTAGACAAAATAATTGATTTGGTTCTCTTGTGGGACAATTAGTACATTGGGAATTTTTTAAAATTTAATATATTTACTATGAATAAAATATAAATTCCTCACATGTGTTTCTGCTCAATTTTTTTATTTATAATAATTAGTTAACAATATAAGTAGAATGTCCTTTCTCTCAATTTGTTCTCCCACACTTGATTTTTTTAATTTTAATTTTTGTTTTTAACGATAATTGCTTTGAATATATTTTGAAGGGAAAGGATAAATTTCCTTCACCGACTATCGCTTTTATTCTTCCCCAAATACCTTTTATTTATTTTATGGAATATGATTATCACTTAGTTAATAGCCGTATGCAAACAAAGTGAGCATGTGTATAAAAATTCTCTATCACTTTCACATTTGTTATTATAGTGAATTTAATTAAAAAAAATCAAATCGCTTGTTGAAAAAAGATGATGAAAAAATATTTATTTTTATGTTTTTTTTTCTTTCACATATTATATCACTTTATTTTTTTCCTTTCATATAATATATCACTTTATTTAATGATAAAATATTTTTAATATATTTTTTTAAACCGAGTCTTGATTAATTAAAATTTAACTAATTATGAAGACACACTTAAAAAGTATTTCTACCTGTTTAATTTAATAATAAGAACATAAAAATCCAAAATGCAAAATGCAAACAAATGAGATGTTTGAAAGTCAATTGAGGAGGGGAGAGGGTTGTGATTTTGTTGATAAGCGGAGGGTATATTTTAGTTACCTTTCTCTCTCCCGCTCTCACCAAATCTTTGATGCAGGAACCTTTTCCATGTTCTGCTCTGCTAAACCCTAAAAAAAACCCCACAATCACTAATTCAACGCTCTTCTTTGTACGCTATTTCTCTTTTCGACATTTCCAACTGTCACCTAGGATTCTCCAATTCTTTGTTTTGGCCGTTAATTCTACATCATACGCCTTCACTGTTTGGTCACATAAGTAAGTCTCTGATGCCGTTCAACCAAGCGGTTTTTTGTCTTCCAGTTTTGAATTTATTGTTCCAGCTTCAATCTACATTGGAGCTCCAACTAACTGTCTCTGAACCTCGATTTTTAATTCTCCCTCAACTTTCAGCTCCAGCCTCATTCTTCCTTCAGAAATTTATGTTAGCCAAGAAAAACAGTTAAAGGGTTTTCCTTCGATGTATTCAAATCTACTTTGATGAGTTTGGAAGTGAAACACAGTGAAAAAGGGGCATGAATGAAGTTTGGATTTTTTTAGGGGCCGGGGGGTCATATTTCTTACCCGTCTTTTTATAATTTGAAAATTTGAATCATTTGCTACTGATAAACAAGTATTGTTGTAAGTTTTTTTTATGCATTTTTTTTTGTCTCTGATAAGTGTAATAATTTCTTATTTGTTTCCTTCCTATTTTGGCAGACAGTGTACTGGGTTTGAGAGATTGATTTGAGCTCATGTTTTGAATGGCTCCAAATTGCTGATTCTTGTTTGTAAAGCATAAATCTGACAATGGAGAGCTTTGCTGTTATGGAGGGTGGTGAAAGGATTTATGACAATGGTAAAGAAGACGAGAGCCTTGGTGATCATATACTTGAGGAGATGGAGTCCTTTTTGGTCGACATTGATGAGCGGTTGATCATCTCTAGGATGGTGAGTGACTCCGTGATAAAGGGCATGGTTAATGCTGTTGAAGAACAGGCAGCTGAGAGAATTGCTCAGAAAGAATTGGAGGTGGTTGGGCTAAAGAATATGCTACATGACTGCCGTGTGGGTTCAGACGAAGCTAAAACTTTGTGGTCTTCGGTAAATCATCATGAACCCCATGAAGCTGCTACATATCATTTTTCAGACAGTGGTTTAGAGTTTGATAGGCATATGATGTCTGTAGATAGTCTTCACATTGCAGTAAATGAGCAGTTAAATCAACTCAAGAAAGAAATAAATAAAATTAGAGGGCCTAGTTCCATTAGAAGAATTAGTTCAGGTTCTGATTTGGTGGGTTTAAGTGGTATTCTACAGGAGGATATGCCGGAAAAATGGATTTATGTCGATAAAGCTTTTGAAAGTCTAAAAGATACCCTAGACACTTTCTGCAGAAGAATGGAATTTGTGGATCAGTTATCAAAGATATCACTTTCTGAATGGCAGCAGGAGCAGGAGTTTCAATCGGAAATTGAACGGATGGTAATCAGCTATGGTATCTGGAGTTTGCAGCAGGACTGTGAACAGAAACTATGGAATCTGTATGATTCTGAAAGTAGAAATTGTTTTGACCAATATAAAGAGATCTCTAGTTTGCGTCAGGAATTGGATTCAATTTTTAAAACACTATCTACTTCTGAAACTGGGCAGCTTATTTCTCTTGGATCCTTGGAGAATGCTGAGGAATGGTGTCATAATAAGAGGGCTGATCATTTCCACGTGAAGCTTTCAACAGATCATTTACCACCTTCAACTATGGAAGAAAATGGCAAACAGGAGGACTCAAAGATTATCAAGCCTGAGAATTTGGATTCAGCCTCACTAAAGCACTTGTCTAAAGAAGAATTGGTTACTTATATAACTAAAATGAGAAGAAACCATGAATCTCAGGTGCAAGAGAAGACTGAAGAGAATTTTCGCCTTAGGCGGGAACTATTGAATTTGAAAGAAAGAGGTTCTTCTTTCCCATTGAAGAAGGACAAGGAGTTTGAACTGTTGAAGAAAAAAATCCCTGATGTCATTGCGAAGTTGAATCAAATTCTTGTTGGAACTGATAAAGTGCATCAATTCAGGGAAAACATTGAATCTCTTAGCAGTTTAAAGGATAGATTGGATTTCTTACACTCTGAGAACCACCAACTGAAGGACATGCTAGCAGATAAGAAGAAGGAATTAAAGACTCAATCTTCTCAGCTTTCTGCTGCTTTAGAAAAATTGTCACAGCAACAACTGACTGAGAAAAATTTGTTACATACTATTCAGAAGCTTGAGGTTGATGTGGAGGATGCACATACCGAAGTTTCCATTATTCAAGATGTATATAAATGTCTCTTTGAAGATTTTGCAAGTGAGTTTAGATGCATCACGGAAGAATCACATCTGAAGAATAGTTTTATGCAAGAAATGTATGAGGTAATATTCAAAGAAGCTGCCCACAATGCTCAAGCATCTAGTGGGTTGGGAAATGAGGAAGCAGAAATGGAGTTAACGATGATGCAAGGACTATTGGATATCAATCATATATTATTTAAAGAAACTTTGGTGAATGCAGATGAAGCCTTAAAGTTGGAAGCTGCTGAGAAAGAGAAACTAAAATATGAATTGCTTACGTTGAAGTCAGTATTGGAAGAGAAGGAAATGTTAATACAAGGAGCAGCTGATGCTTTGGCTCAAGAGAAAGAGAAAATGGAATTTACCTCTGAGCAGCTCAATAGTTTAGGAGCTGAGATAGTTCAGCAACATAAATTAATAGCAGAGAACAGTAAAGAATTGGATATCACTAAGGGTGACCTGGTTGCAGCATTGAAGGAAATTGAACAATACAAGGAGCAAATGCATGAGTTGAGTAAAAATCTTGAACAAAGAATGGATGTGCTTAGACAAACTGATGAAGAAAGAAGAGTACTTTCTGCTCTTACACAAAAGCAACAAGAAGCATTAAAACTGACTGAGGCTAAAGAAAGGGAAAACAGGAAGCAAATGGAATCGACTGTTTATCTCATCCATAAATTGTTGAAGATGGTTACTGATTTTGAAGCTAGAGTAAATGAAGATATTTCAAGAAATTGTATGAGGTATGCAACAATTGTCTCAAGCTCCTTTTATTTATTTATTGTCCCGTGAATTTATGATAAACTACAACTTCTATGATTGCTTCTCTGTTTTATGTGGTCTTCTATCAATAAGGAAGTGTTAAAGCTTATGTGAACCAGCAAGTGCATCAGGTGTGCGATTACATTTGGATTATTCTGAATGTGGTGTGCAACTGTGCATCTAATTTGTTGAAGCAATAATTTGGAGATCTAACTTAGTAATTTTTATTTTTTGACCTTCGGATTTTTTAATTATTGAGCCAAATACAAAGCTACTAGCATGTGCTGCATATTGTAAGTATCCATTCGGGATAAATGCCTTCAGATTGCTCAGCAAGCAAGAGATATACTATATGTATGAGAAAGAGTTCTAATGTAAGCGGCAAAGATATTTGTCAAAAGTTTTTATTTGATTTCAATTTGGCCTTGTTAACTGTTAACAGCCTGAAAATTATGTGGGAGGAAACCAATATGCTTCAATTTCGTATCCTTATGTCACAAGCAGGTTAAATTATAATTTTGTGATTCTTGTATTGTCAGAACCAAGTCATATATGTAATAATCTTTTCAGGCTTGAAAGCATGAATTCTGAGTTCTGTTGGCTCAATAACAAAGCCAATGTACTTAAATCCATGGGATTGAAGTACAAACAAAGGCTAGAAGCAAGATGTTCAGATCTTGCCAAGGCTGAAGCAGAGGTATGTAATTAAAAGCATTGTTTTCTTTTTCTCTCTTGTTAGGATGTCAGTGCCCTTGAATATCATTATTAGATAGTGCTTGTGGACGTACAATGAATGGGTTGAGGTGGTTAGCAGTCTTGATCGCTTGGAATGAGTATGGGAGTTCAAATATCAGGGAAGCTTGAGCACCTATTGGAGAGGTGACATAGCCCTTGTGTTAAAAAACAGTCTCATGGTTGTTTGTTCAGATGGGTAAAACTTCCCGAAAACCAAAAGATAGTGGTGCCTGTGGAGTGAAAAAAACCTCAATTGCATATCAAGGCCTGTGGTATCAAGTTTATGTTGTAAAGTTTTGGTGAACTGAGATATGCCATTAATTCCCAACTTGAAATGATATATAAACTTCACTGGATAACATTATTTTCAATTTAACTTTTTTTCTATTTCAATGTTTACGTCTTGTAATTGATCCAACGTATACCAGAAGTACTTACTTTGGATATTTACTTGGAGTTTCAGGTTGATCTTTTGGGGGATGAGGTAGATACTCTTCTTAGCCTCCTTGAAAAAATATACATTGCGCTTGACCATTATTCACCCATACTACAGCATTACCCTGGGGTGAGAATCTTTCCCTTTCTGAACATCTTTTTAATGTCTGTACATAATTGAAGTGTGTATAATGTCAATAGATGTGATATCACTATAAACTATTAAGAGTCTGTTTCTCTGAATACTTTTCCTTCTGGATGTAAAGTTGTTCTAGGATATTAAAAGCAACTACTCCTTTCTGCATTGAGACAATAAATACTTGACCTAACACTGTCAAAGAAAAACCCGTAAATTTTGTTTTAGGTTTAGGAGATTTGAAAATCTAGCAATTATTCAATGGGCTTAATATTTTTTTCCCCATATTTACCGTTGTTAAGATGTCCCAGTCCCACATTTGCTAGCAATATGACTAGAATAGTCCTCATAAGACTTGGGCAATCCTTTACCCTTTAATTAGCTTTTGAAGTTGAGTTGGGCAAGCTCTAGAGATCTAGTCATGAGCGGAAGAGGTATGTGTTAAGATGTCTTGCATTTGTTAGAAATATGGCTAGATTACTGTCCATTTCCAATAACTGACAATGGAACTAGTGTTCATTGGTTTCTGTTTTTTTTCAAAGATTAATGTGTTCTTAACTTCACCTAATTGCTCTTGATACTGACAGATACTCATTTAGTTATCATGCACATACACATATATTCCTTTTTTGTTGCTCAAAGCAGAAAAAAAGTTAAGAACCTCAATTCAACTTAGAATTTAGGTAATTGCAGCGGTAAGGTTAAAATGGGAGACTATTAAGGAAGTTAGGGAACACCAGTATAGGCACTGTTGTCTGGTGGAGGTGAACAAAATTGGAAATGTTACCATTGGGAAAGCCAGGTTTTGTTCCTCGTAGCAATTGATGTAATTTACAAAAATACAGAGGATGTGAGATTTCCCTTATTTTGGAAGTACTTTGCCATGTTCACATTTGGTATGCAAGATGGCATTTGAGCATTTCCATAGAATGGGTATGAAGTAGAACGAGCTAGAATGGAATAGCGATTCTCAGTCTTAGTTTGCTAGATTTAGGAATTGAATTCAGTACACGGAGTCAATGTAGAATGAATAAAACTTGATTTAAATGACATAAACATCCCTATGAGAAAAAAAATCATGTGCATAGAGCATATCTTGTGACAGTAGTTTACTTTATTGTGATAGGAGCAAAACCTTTATTAAAAATTACCTAAAGATCAGACGATCACATATAAAAGTCAAATGACTCTGTTTTAATCTTATAATCTTGGCCATTCATGTACAATTTAATGTTAAGATTTGCTCCTTTCATTGCATTAAACTACTCTTCTCCCTAGATATGAACATATGAATTATTCATTATTAGGCATATGATATTATGATGATGCTTAAATTGATTTTTCCACTTGATTAAAAAAGGTGCTTGACTTTTTGGTAAAAAAAAGATGACATTTTGTGTGAAAAAGTTATTGAGCACAATTTTTTTATGGGTAATAGTCATCATTTTTGTGAAAATTGAGGGATATTGAGACAGAAAAAAACTAAACCTCATTATATGAAGTATGGAATCCCAATCCCATCTCTCTAGGAAACCACCTATATCAAGGTATATGTTAGGAAGAGATGAAGAGGGTCAAGTCTCAAGCTGTTTAAAGTATAGCTGAGTGGGCATGACCAATGTAACCACCTGCTATGATGGCAGTCAGTGGAATTGAGAGGAAGTTTTGCCATGGCTTGTAATGATGTACAAGGGCAGGGGAGGAGAGGGGAAGTCACTAAGGAAGAGGATAATTTAATAAATATATTTGCTTGAGTTATATTCAAAACATGTTTCAGTTTTCTATCATAATTGTGCTTTTTGAATTTTATTTAAGGAGAATAGACATCAGATTCAAGCTTGCTTGTGAAAACATGGTATGGAATACTAATTCTGAAATAATTAATAATTTTTTTTTTACTAATTTTGTATTGCAATTAAGGATATTCCTATGCTTTACTTTTGGAATAATTTTATCTATTTATATATAAATAATTTTCTCCTAAGAAATATGCTTTTATATTATATTTTTCATTCACTTTATTTTTTAATAACTTTTTTCTTGTTAATTTTTTAAAACACTATAGTTTAAAAATATTTTATTTTTTTAGTTTAATTTTACTGCACAATACAAGAGTGCTAGACTGTTATGATATATGAGAATAAGCTTTGGACAACCTGATGAGTGATGATGTACTGTTGCCATAGCTGTACAAGCCAGCTTTTTGTATTAGTCCAACTAAAACCGTGTATAGCTGGCCTACTAACTGAACACCACCATTCAGCTAAGAATTGTGTCTGGTTAGATAGCTACTGATGAACCTCCGTGTGGAAGTTTTTACTGTTTTTAGTGTCTGATTAGATTTGTGTAACTCCAAAGAAACATTGGGGCATATAATTTTCTTCACATTTGTGTCTAAAAAATAACTAGTACTTTCTTCATGAAAACAGTTAACTGAGATGATTTTATTTTCATGAACAGAATGCTGTGTTGTGTGTACTGCTTGGCCTCCATAAGCCCCAATATAAAAATGTTTCAATTATTATCCATTCATTTTGCAGATTATTGAGATTTTGGAGCTTGTACGAAGAGAACTGAGTGGAGAGTGTAGAAAATTTGTTTAGTTTGTATGTTCTGGCCAGGTAAATTGGCAATCACCCTCTTGACAAAAATTGTATCTTTCCATGCTCTGGATTGGTAAAACCCAGAAGCATTGATAAGGAAATCATCATCTGCAAGCTCCCACATGATCATTTATGAACCACTAGATATGGAAAATTGCAAGTCACTTTTTAGGGGGAATCATCATGGTGTTAATTGGTTCATTTTTTCATCTTTACATCAGCTTCATCTATAGAGAGATCAGAGATGTTAGAGTTCTGGTAGTTGCACTTTTTTTTTAATTTATGCTTGGGGGTTATCTTCTCATATCTATTTATGCAGAACAGTGGCAATGTTATTGCATAAATATTTTAGCCCATACTTTCTTCTTTTGAATTACAATACGAGGGGCTATGTGCAAATTAATCCACTTGTACATGGGCTAATAGCATTTGTACATGTATTTTATGAGATATGACTTTCTATATGGCTTATTGATATAGTTTTGCTCTATAGGCAGTGTACGATATTCTTTAGCATTCAGTGAATTGTGTTTAAAATGGTCACCATTATTGTGTTTTGTTTATATACTACACGTGTGCTGCTAGAATTACTGATCTTTGTGACATCTGGAGCCAAAGTGGTTGATGCACCTGTTATGTAATGTAATGTACATGCAGGGATGAAATTCAATAATTTTTCCTTGTCTGAGTTTCAATTTTATTTTTGCCTAAATTTTTTATGTAGGATATGTACAAGTATGTTTTGAGGAATTATTTTAGGACATAATATTCTGTTAAACGTAATTACTTAACGTTTTATCAGGAAGGGAGAGTATACAAATTTCAAAAAAGGTCTTGTTATTTTAAAATTTACCAATTATAGGCTATTATTCTTGAAAACTTGTGATATGAAATGTATGGATATTTTACAAGTAACCATTATTTGAAAAATCTAACTTTATATATAAATGTAAGTTTTCATTTTAAAACGAAAGCATTTTTCGATTATGTTATTTTTTTATTATGTTATGTAATTTTTTTTGCATTTAATTTGAAATTTTTTAAATTAATGGTAAAATTAAACTTTAAATATTGTAAACTTTTTTTTAATTTAATAATAAAGATAAAATGTATTTTTAATTTTTATTCAATTTTAATTTAATAATACATATACAGTGTATGGATGTATATATTAAAGCAAAATAACATCCTTGCAAACCAGCATACATGTGTGCTTGGTTCTATGTTCAACGTGCCTTAGATCTCCATTAGTCTAACATTGTTCAGAGTAATACTAAAATCTTAGACGCACGTTTACTGCAACACATCCAAACGTGCACGGCATCTTGTACCAAGAGAAAATATTTATTACAAGGAAAAAAGAAGTTAACTCTATGAAGATTGATAAATGTTTTACATATATTGATTATAATTCAATTTTTTTTTAATAGTACATAGAAAAAAAAATATTTTGAATCATAAAGTTCACATATATGTTTTTTTATGTCACGAAAGTGATTAACTTTTACTGTTGTTAATAAGGAAATACATTTAGTAAGAAAAGAAAAATTGAAAATGAGAAACTGCTCATAAATTCGAGGTTGGTAAAAATGGAAATGCCAATTTTGACAATAATTGAAGTATAGGGTAGAATAATGTGGCATAGCAGTGGTTCTGGTGAAGATTAAATTAATGAAACTGTTCAACTGCTGAGTGATGAGCACTGTAGAAGCAAAAATACAAAGGACCCTTGAAGGGGTACTCTTAGTACGGAATAATACGAGAAGACATTGACATTTGACATTGCAGTACATGTTTTACAGAGATTGAAAAACAGGGTCAGTTTGGGAATGGCAATAGAATAATTGCACAACTCATCATGTGCAGGACAATGCCATGTGACCCACCTCACAAATAATGGAACCATCCCATCCCGCTCTCTTGCCTCCATATTAAATATTTCAAACTAAATATTAATCAATTTTTTAAAAAATTATATTGCATATAATTATAATTACCATTAAGTAATTCAAATTTACACTTTACTTACTAAAACTGGCAAGCATTTCATAACACTGAAATTATATTGTTAACATTTTTCATTCATCAAAGTTATGAGATAAAGAAAACTGTACAAGAAAATAAACTTAAATTTTGTTTATTGTGGACCCAAAAGATTTTAACGTCTTATATTATTTATATCATGATAATAAACTAATAAAATTTGGATCGTTACAGAAAAAACTTTTTAGAGGCGTCAAATCAAGAGAAATTTTGTTACTGTTATCAATAATGGACAACAGTTAGAAGGAGGAAATAAGATAAAGTACCAATTTAGTAGAGTGAGATTCTTGGCTTATTGTAAAAGATACAAAACCAAACACAGATGAAATGAAATGAAACTTTTCCAATCTGTTTCCAACCACACCCATGTATTGATGTTATGATTTCCTTTTTTGGTTACTCAGAAAGAGCCCATTTTGGGTGACATTTCTGATTTTGTAGTGTTCCCTCTGGATTCCTTATCACAAGTCACCAAAGTTGTTGTCTTTTTTGTCAATCTTATTGCATTGCCACTTCTTGCTTGGGACCCTGGTCCTTCAGGCTCAGATCTGTGAGTTTCTGTTTGTGTGTTGGAGATTGATTGGTTTAGCAAAAGTTGGAGGTGGGTTTTCTCTTTCAACTCTTTGCTGTGTGTGGGGAAAGTTCACATTCATATGCCCCAGAAGATTGTTTTGCCTAGTTTGCTATAAAGGCTTCAACTTTTACGAATGCTTCTAAATTTGGATGTCTCTCTTCATGAAAGTTCATTTCCTTGTTCAAGATCTTGGAAGAAAAGAGGTTGTTTCTGTGATTGAGCATTGTAGGCTTTCTGGGTCGGTATTGATTTTTACTCCCTGGTTTGTCCTTTTGCTTGTTCTTCTCCTTTGCAAATTTTGATTCTTCTTCTTAGAAGATAATTGAAGGGTCTTTTGGGAGAATAGTTGTAATAATGGGGAAGGTCCTTGGGAATGGACTCTTTATTGTGCTGTTTCTGGTGATTGTGTCGGTGACGTTTAGCATTATAGAGGCTCAACCAAAGTCATTTCACTTGAATTGTGGTTCAAATTCTTCTGTGAATGTGGAGGGCAGGATATGGGTTGGGGACATGGCTACTGATACCAATGTCACTCTCAGCTCCTCTGGTGTTGCTGCTTCCACTTCTACATTAAGTGGCAGTTCAGCCTATGATCCACTCTACAAGACAGCTAGAATTTTCACGGTTCCTTTAAATTACACAATCAAAGATGTTCAAGGAAACTATTTTGTTAGGTTCCATTTCTGCCCCTTTGTTACTGAGAACTACAATATGAATGAGTCCTCATTTGGTGTTGTGGTCAATGGTCTGAAACTATTGTCTGAGTTTGAAGTTCCAGGTAAGATATCCCACAAGAATATGAATTTGCAGAGTTCTGGAAGGAATTCTAGTTCATTCTTCTTGATCAAAGAATATATTCTGGCTGTCAATGATATGCTTGTGATTGAGTTTGTTCCCACCAGAAGCTCCTTTGGCTTCATCAATGCCATTGAGATTGTACAAGTTGTAGGTGAGCTTTTTTCTGGCTCCGTTAGTAGAGTTGGTGGAAGTGGTGGAAGCTTAAATTTGATGGGGCGTGGGATGGAGACTATGTATAGGTTAAACGTTGGCGGCCCTGAGATTCAATCTGATGAGGATCGTGATCTTTGGAGAACTTGGGAAGTAGACTCAAGCTATATGATCACCGAAAATGCAGGGTCTAGAATTAAGAGTAGTTCTAATATCACATATGCTTCCATGAATGATACTTCAGTGGCTCCCCTCCTTGTGTATGAAACTGCAAGGGCAATGTCTAACACTGAAGTCTTGGATAAAAGATTCAACATGTCATGGAAATTTGAAGTAGATCCCGATTTTGATTATTTGATCCGGTTACATTTCTGTGAGCTGGTTTATGAAAAGGCTAATGAGAGAATATTCAGGATCTACATTAACAACAGAACCGCTGCAGATAATGTTGATATTTTTGTACGAGCAGGAGGGATGAACAAAGCTTATCACCAAGATTATTTTGATCCTGTGTCGTCAAGGATTGACACGGTTTGGGTTCAGCTAGGACCTGACACAGCTGCTGGTGCTGCAGGAACTGATGCTCTCTTGAATGGTTTGGAGATTTTCAAGCTTAGTCGAAATGGTAATCTTGCCTATGTGGAGAGATATGATTTTGGTGGCAATGCAACAAGCAAATCAAAAGCAAGAGTAGTTTTGGTGGGAGTTGGAGCAGGACTAGCTTCTATAGCTATAATTGCATTTATAGTTGTTCTTGTTTTCTGTTTTTGCAAAAGCAGGAGGGAAGAATCAAGTGACACCAAAAACAACCCTCAGGGATGGCGACCGTTGTTCCTGTATGGAGGAGCTGCTGTAAACAGCACTGTTGGTGCCAAGGGATCAGCAGGAACTCAAAAGCCATATGGATCTGTGGTCTCAACCCGACCTGGCAAGCGGTTCACATTGGCAGAAATCACTGCTGCAACAAATAATTTTGACGAAAGTTTGGTAATTGGAGTTGGAGGATTTGGTAAGGTGTATAAGGGGGAGATTGAAGATGGTGTACTTGTTGCAATCAAGCGTGCCAACCCGCAGTCTGAGCAAGGTCTAGCTGAATTTGAGACAGAAATTGAGATACTCTCTAAACTCAGACACAGGCATCTAGTGTCCTTGATTGGTTTCTGTGAAGAGCAAAATGAAATGATTTTGGTTTATGAATATATGGCAAATGGAACTCTAAGAAGCCATCTATTTGGGAGTGATCTTCCTCCATTAACTTGGAAGCAGCGTCTAGAAGTATGCATTGGAGCTGCAAGGGGACTTCACTACCTTCATACAGGGGCTGATCGCGGAATCATTCACAGGGATGTCAAGACAACTAATATACTCTTAGATGAGAACTTTGTAGCCAAAATGTCTGATTTTGGTTTGTCAAAAGATGGTCCAGCTTTTGAACATACTCATGTTAGCACAGCTGTGAAAGGAAGTTTTGGCTATCTAGACCCAGAGTACTTTAGAAGACAACAATTGACTGAGAAATCAGATGTTTACTCCTTTGGAGTTGTGTTGTTTGAGGTTGTTTGTGCTAGAGCTGTAATAAACCCAACCTTGCCTAAGGATCAAATCAACCTTGCAGAATGGGCAATGAGATGGCAAAGACAAAGATCACTTGACACGATCATTGATCCTCAGCTTAGAGGAAATCTTTGTCCAGAATCATTGTCTAAGTTTGGTGAGATAGCTGAAAAGTGTCTTGCTGATGATGGCAAGAGCCGCCCCACCATGGGAGAGGTGTTATGGCACTTGGAATATGTGTTGCAACTACATGAAGCTTGGCTTAACATGAACACCAAAGAAACTTCCTTCTCAAGTAATCAAGCTTTGAGAGGTCTAAAAGATGAAGGACTAGAAGTGGTTCAAGAGCCTTCCAAGTCAACATGAAGATGTTGGTTTAGATCTCAAAGAGACACATGAATCTGATTGAGTCTACAAGAGGAGGTTGAGAAATGAATGCTGCAGTAATGCAACTTGAGTTCAGTGATTTCTGAATGGTTGTCATCCATTGAAGAACCATGAATGATCCTTATTATAGCTAATATCCTTTACATATTCTTTCTATTTGTTTTATTGAATTCAACTATTCAAGTTTATTATTCCTTTTTTTTTTCTTTTGCATCTGATTTTTGTATACAAGTGGAATGGTTAAGTTATCAACATTAAAAAAAAAAATATCAAAATTTGTGATATGCTCTGGTGTTGTATTGAGTTGGCTATTGAATTGTATTCCTGCTGGGATCGTGCTTCTCAAAAGCTCGTTGGATAATTGTCATCAGTCATTTCTTCAAAGTATTTATTTCAATTTGTCTTTAAGATCAACATGTGATTTTTTTTGTCTACATTAATTTAGTACTCGCTTTGAAGGTACACAACTTATATTAAGTTTCTTGTATCCTTGACATTAAGTTTTTAAAATTTTAAACCAAATAGTGATGTGTGAATAATTTTTTAATATATAAAGGTATATTCTCAAACTTATTTGAATATTGACACAACTATTTTTTTATTAATGAGATTAATATTTTAAAAAAATCTAGTTCAGCCGTGCTTTTATTTGATTTTAAAACTTTGATAGTTATTTAGTTTAAAAGGTTAAAATAATAAAGAAAAATGGATGAATTTTATTAAATTAAGTTTCGCACATCAATGTTGTTTAAGGCCTTAAAATTTATAGACAAATTAAAAAAATGGCATTTATGCTGCAAACAGAATATATGTAAAGTCACATTTATACTATAAAAATGGATGAATTATGTAGTGCATTTAATAATTAAAAAGTCACATTATTTTTTTAAAGTTGTCATGTTACTTTTATAGTTGTAAATATTTAAAAAGATTGAAATTCTTTCATTTTTTGACGCGAACATGACCTTTATGTGTTTGTATTTTTGCATTTTCGCTTAAGCAAAAATACAAAAATACGAAACATGAGAGTCATATTACGGAAAAGAATCCTGATCCTATGTAAAGAGTGTATATATTCATAAGAATTAAATTGTAATTTCATTTAAAAATTTAAACGACAGTAAACAGTATATATGTAAAGATGAAAAATATATTTAAACAATAAATTACTTTATTGTAAATAGAATTGTATAAACTTCTAAGATATATGTTAAAATTTTTTAATATATCTTATTGAAAACTTTAAAAAATTATGTTATTTAAAGTTTTGTTTTGGTTATTTATATTTTTTTAATATTATGATTTATTCTTTTTTCTCATGCTATATTTTAATTTTTTTTGTCAGTGTTTTGTTTATACATTTAATATAAAAATGCATTGCATGAGCAAATTCTCGTTAAAAGATTTTATACACACGGCATGTCTAAAATGATTTTATATAATTATTTTATTTTTTCATCTATTTGTTTTTCTAACATTTTTTTTTTCTTGATTACTCTTCATTTTTAGAATTTCAAAAGCTTAAAATTATCAATTATTCTAGAAAAATTATACAAAATAAGAGCATGCTTGATTTTCTATTTAAAAAGCAGTTTTTTATTTTTAAAAATAAATTATAATACATATTTTCTTGTATTTTTTATAAATTAAATGTAATGCATTAAATTTGTTGTGTAATACAGAATAAATGAACCTTAAAATGTGTTATAAATACTTAATAATAAAAAAGAAAATAAAATATCACACTGTTTTCTAATTTTAATTAGTTAATGATAATTCTACTACTTGTCGTTGTAGACTTGTAGTTAGCAAACTAAACTTATTACCGAGTTAGCTCAGTTTTATTTGACTAAAATTTTAATTTTAATTTTGATATTAAATCAAATTGAAAGTTTTTTAGTTTCATTCAATTAAGGTCAGAAAAGTTTCATAAAAATCAAATTTGCTGGACTTAGACATATATTTTAAATTTGAACTATTTTTTTTTTTTTTTTGTCGACTCACTAAAGTTTATCGCTTATAATAGATCAATTCAAATTAATTATTAGTCATTCACAAGTTTTGTCAACTCAACTAATTATATATTCAACAACAAATTTAATTACATTCTATCTAACATAATGAAAAAATAATAAAAATTCAATAATACATGTATAGATGAGTGAATAACAGTTTTATTAAATATTACATTAAAAAGGATCAAAAGTTTCTTAATTTTTAAGTGAAGAACAATTTAGGTGAGTTAAATCTTACAAATTAAAGAATTTTTTTTAATTTAGCACATTGTTTAGAATTAAAATTTCTAATTCAATAATGTTGTTTTTTTTTTTGTGATTCTATTTTTTTATAAAAAGAAAATACGTGTTATGATATTATTTGATTATGTGTTACAAAATATTTTAATTGTTACAAATAATAAATTTATATAAATACTATTATATACAATTTTAAAAAATTCTGTAGTGTGAAGAAAAAATAAAAATTCTTCAGTATTATACATAATTCAATTACAGTTGAACAAGAACTAAATTAATAAATCTCAATTGATTTAATCATCGATCCAATTTTAAAAATACTGTGGATTAATATTTGCCTTGTACTTATTATAATTAAAAAAAATTACAATTTTAAAAAAGGTGAAAGTGGCACCAGTGAAACTGGACGAATCGTGAGTACTTTCTCACCTTTCCCGTTCTACAAAACCCTACACAAGCCACGAGCTTGAGATTCTGCTACGCTCTCGTTCTTCATCAGAACCGAAACCTTTCGCCGCAAAATGCCTCCCAAATCTGCCAAATCCAAGGAAGCTCCAGCTGAGCGAGCCATCCTCGGTCGATTCTCTTCCCACCTCAAAATTGGCATTGTATGATTCTTATTTCACTCAGTGAACCCACAAATTTTCGATTTTTTTACTATTTTCAGCACCCCTTTGTCAATCACAAAAATGGGCGTTGCCCTTTTCAGCTTCATTTTCATGCTTGATTGATTCTGTTTGCAACTATTTCATTCTTATATTGTGGGGTCAGATGATAATTACTGTGCACTGGAACTGAACTGGAAATATTTTATGTTGCTTTTTTTTTTTTTTGTTTAGATGTTTTGATTGAGTTATTGAAATGAAAACTGTCATCTGAAGATTTTCTATGAGTGTTTTATGTTATTTGTTGTTCTTCCCTTGTTCAGGTGGGCTTGCCAAATGTTGGAAAGTCTACTCTTTTTAATACTCTTACCAAGTTGTCAATACCTGCTGAGAACTTTCCCTTTTGCACCATTGAGCCTAATGAGGCGCGGGTTAATGTCCCCGATGAGCGATATGAGTGGCTTTGTCAATTATACAAGCCAAAAAGTGAGGTATGTAATGGAGCTTATATCATTGTCAGTGAATCTGGTGATCTTGTTAATTGAAATTTACTTTTGTTAATCCGATAGCTTACACTCGAGCTTTAACTACTAATTCTATCTGTTGCACCTGACCTGACATATTCTTCTTTTAGTTGTTTGTTGTTGATGGATTGGTCTTTCCTGTGTGATGGTGTGTGTTTGTTGAAATTGTAAAACAGGTCTCAGCTTTCTTAGAAATCCATGACATAGCTGGATTGGTCCGAGGTGCCCATCAGGGGCAAGGATTGGGGAATAGTTTTTTATCTCACATCCGTGCAGTAGATGGCATTTTCCATGTTTTACGTAAGATGATGTGTAATCTTTCCTGCAGAGTGCAGACCACTTTTGTTAGTGCTGCATCATGAATTTATGCCATTGTAATGTCAGTTCGGGAGTCATTAACCTTGAGCCCTTGCTGCTTGTTAGGTGCCTTTGAGGATTCTGACATTATCCATGTAGATGATTCTATTGACCCAGTTAGGGATTTAGAGACCATTACTGAAGAATTGCGGCTGAAGGTATGCATAATTAGCAACTTTTATTTATCACAAAAAATGGCTATTGGACCAACAATTATTTTATTGTTGTTTGATGAAACATGAATTTTATTGATAGGTTGTAAAGTATATACTCTTTTAGGGGGCGTTTTCCTGACAGATATGTGGAGTAATTGGGTAGCTTTGCTCCATTGTATCTTTCTTCGTCTTTGTGTAACTTTTTTTAATATTAAGGAGGATCCCTTTTCCTCCAGTTCCTTGTAATTTTTTCTTTAGTGCAAATAAAAATCTTATACCTGTTTGTATACTGTAATATAACTGCAACTAAGCCTTTCCCCCTCTGCACAATATTCTAGGATATTGAATTCATGGAAAGAAAGATCGAAGATATTGAGAAAAGCATGAAGAGGAGCAATGACAAGCAGTTAAAAATTGAGCTCGAATGTTGTCAAAAGGTCTAACTTTGGTTTCTGAGCATTATATGATTCACCCCCCCCCCCTCTTGTTTCATATATCTTATACAGTGCTCAATACCTACTGTATTTGCTAAATACACTGGGACAATTTTTTTACTTGTATCTCTTATTTATTTGTTTTTTGGGTGGTATGTGTTGTTGGTGCTTTCTGTGATATGGTTCTCTTATGGGTTCCATGATACATTACTACATTAAAAGGCAGCAAATTTCTCAAACATGGACAGGGTTTAACTTGTTTTGGGAATAAGTTTTGCTGTAAATTGTGTTGCATTTGGCATGTAAATGTTACTTGTTTTTTATCAAGAGAAAATGTATCTTCACTTCCATGTTTATTGTTGATCAAAAGTCTTTCATCCAATGGTTTAATGGAACTAGTCAAGACATAGTGCATCATATCAATCAACTATATGGCTAGGTGTCTGGAGAATTTCTTGATTTCTGTTCAGCATGCTGGTAGCTTCCTGCTCATTTCACCTTTCACTTGGTGTTTATGACTGGAGTTGACATCACTTAATATCTCCTGCTTACGTGCAATTCTCATGGTCCTGTATGAAATAGAATGTAAGTAGTCAAGTTAAAGTTTGTCATCAATGGAGCTAACTTATTTTAGCTCATGACAAAGCACAGAAATTTTGCTTCTGTAGTTGCATTTATCTTATGCCTTGCAGTCTCATCAAATTTTGGTGCTATCTCTTAATTGTCACTTTCACATTTTTTCCTCTTCTCATATGTTGAAGTTTCTACATACAAAGAATGTGTAATACATATCAGATGAAAATTGTGGTGGTGATTCTTCATGTCTTCAGGTGAAGGCATCGCTTGAGGAGGGAAAAGATGTACGTCTAGGGGATTGGAAAACTGCTGATATTGAGATTTTGAATTCCTTTCAGTTGTTAACTGCAAAGCCTGTTGTATACTTGGTAACATTCTTTCTCACTCTCTTAGAAAGTTCGTTTTCTTTGGAGTGTAAAGGTCCTTATTGTTTATTATGTACAAGTTATAATACCTGTTGGATACCCTTTCAGTCGCAGCACTTCATCTTATGTTAATTTATCAGTGTTTTTCTTAATTTTTATTATGGTTTTGAGGTTCATATTAGTGGGAAAATGGAAGCATGATACCAAGTTAATAGATGACGTTAATTTTTATTTTTTTTAAATTCAGGCTTATTTTCTCTTGCTTGCCTTTTCTTTATATACATTCAGCATTATAGTTTATAAAACCATCTATGTTTATGTTAATGTTTGATTTGACTAAATGTCATAAATGTGTTTGGTATGCTTAAAAGGTTTTTGGGAATATTTTCATGATGATTATGGCTAAAACTTTCCTACTGTCACAGGGAATCTTGGACTCCCACCCCTCTAGTGGGAATATGTTTTGGTAAACAGTTAAAAAAACATCACGTTTCTTAAAATGTTTATGCCAAACATGGGAATCTAACATTCCCAACTTAGGACTCTTGGGATACTTAAGAATCCCAAAAAGTTATTTCATATCTTCCTGCCAAACACCCAAGGTAGTAGATTGTCTGTGCATCTTATGAAGATAGATGAGCTGTAATCTATGTCTTTTGATACTGTATTTCATTACAAATTATTTTTGTGAATAAAAAGTACTTATGAGTGCTTTAATCTAACATTCACAATTTTCAGAATGTGTTGTCATTGTTACTGTTTTGTGTCATACCTATAATGTTGGTGCTTCCATAAAGTATTTCCTTAGTGAACGAGGAGGGGAGTTATATCATAGTCCATATTAGTGTTATGCCATTCAGACTATTTTACATGAAATTTCTACCTCTTGATCCCTAAATTTCATTCACAGGTTAATATGACTGAAAAAGATTATCAAAGAAAAAAGAACAAGTTTCTTCCCAAAATTCATGCATGGTATGTATCTATGTAAGCCTTTTGTTTTATTTTTTAAAAAATATTTTTTCTTTCATCAATCATTTAGACCTTGCCTCTCTCCATGACTATCTCTGTATGAGTATGAAGGTTGCTAAGAAATTAGTTGTAAAGTATTCTACATATTTGTATGCAAAATATTGAACATATATGCCCTTCTAGTGTCCTTTCTTCTGAAAATGTGCTACTTACTTAACTTAGGTTTCCTTTCAAATATTCAACATATATGCCTAAAAAATGATGTGTTCTTAAAGATGTTCTTGGCAAGGGAAATGATGGGATGGAAGAATGTACTATACTTGATCTGTGCATTATGCTTTGGTGTACATAGAATATGTCAATTTTCATTTCTTACATTCCATTCCTGCTTTGGACTCGTATTAGCTATACACCCTAGCCTAGGTAACAAAACGACAGTGCAAGAGTGGGTGTGAAAGGGCAACTGCAAACTAGCAAAGGCATCCACTTATAATTATAGTACTGGACTGGACTGGACTGGTGGTGCATCTATGTTATTTATATTAAAATTATGTGTGTAATCTATTTATTATAAGTAAAGGATTGAACTGAAACTGTGCTCCGCTGCACACATAAGCTCTGTTGTTTGTAATTTTTTATAGTGTTTGCAGTAAATAAAGAAGTGTAACTACAGTCTTAATTGAGTTAATTATATCCTAACAATTACAGCTTGTTTGCATCCTACATATTTTTCACTTGCTAAATCTAGCACTCTTAACAAAACTTAAAAAGTATTTACATATCCTTCTGTAAAATTATCAACTTTTAAGTTTAAGCAATACAATATTTTCTATAAAAGACCATATTTAGAAAAGAAAACTGAAAAGTGGAAAATGAAAAATTACAAGTTACAAATCAATAGAAAAATCATATATTGGTTGTTTTTAAATATAGTAAATTTAATTTTGTGACTTAAAAAAAGACAAGTATTGGATGCAGACTATAGAGACTGCACAAGTTTCATCAGGAAAGCAGACTGTAGAAGTCACATTGCATGGCTGGTGACTCAGCAACTTCTACTAACAATTAAAAAATTGATCTTCTAGATTGCTGAGCTAGAATTTTGGGATGCGAGTTGATCCCATGCATGCTTTAAAGTAAGAATCCACACATGCTTCAGCCACATGCTATGGCTGCATGCCATTGCCAGTAGATTTCAATCCGTGTAGCTGTTAAATTGGAAATGATATTGTAGATTATATCATTACTTCTGTTTGAAATTTTAATACTAATTTCTTATTATTCTTCTGTGAAAACAGCGTATCCTTTGTATTAGTAGATGAAAATGTCAACTAATTTGTCACATTTTGTTGTTTCTTATGTAAAATTATTGACTTTTTTTTTTCCTTTTTTTTTGTATTATTCTCTTAATATTTGGTATTTTGTAATGTTGAAAAAGAAATTTAATTAACTGTGAACTCCTCTGTTCTCCAGGGTACAGGAGCATGGTGGTGAGCAAATTATTCCTTTCAGCTGCGCCTTGGAGAGGAATCTTGCAGACATGCCACCAGATGAAGCGGCTAAGTATTGTGAGGAGAACAAGGTTCAAAGGTCTGTTCAAAGTTTTTGTTTTACTGATATTAAATGTTTGACTTCAAATTAGTAACACTAACACCTTTGTCCCTTTACTATGGTTAATGTGTAATTTTGATCCCCTAATATTTCTTTCCCACAATTTTTTTAATTGCTATAATCAAGTCTTCCATCAGTGATGAATTTGAGGTACTGAAATTTTAGAAAACAATGAATTGTGCGCTTGAAAGGACAAAATGCAGTAAGTAACCATTTTTAAAAATTCAAATGATTTAGATTTTAATAAAATAGAAGACATTATGAGTATTATCTTATAATTTTCTTTTTAACCCATGGTACCAAGTCACACTCTTTTTGCTAATTTCTGTGCATGTACACTGTGTCTCAATCCTTTTGAATTGAGGATCAGCAGTGGCCTCATTAAAACAATTTGAACAGAAATACCTTTTTGATCACTATATAACTACATCAAGAGCTTATTCTGATTGTTTTGCTATTTGCCAGTAGTTTTATCCATTTTGCTACCAAATTTTAGTTTAATGCTTATTAACTTTGAATAGTTGATATGTAACTATATTTTCTATGCTTCTAACATTTGACATTCTTCATTTCAACAGTGCTCTTCCCAAAATAATAAAGACTGGATTTTCCGCTATTAATCTTATTTACTTTTTCACAGCAGGACCTGATGAGGTAGTATATCTCTGCACCTCCTTTCTTACTGATGAAGGTTGTCTTTTAATTTTTTTCAAAATATTGTGTGGTATTTGTGCAACAACCTCACCAAACTATAATTTTATTATTATTTTTTCTAATGTTGACTGTTGAGAATATTATGCACAAGTAAGAAAAACTTTTCCTGTCATCCATTGTGTGATACAAAGGTATTATATTATCGACATATCATTGTCAATATTCTATATAAATAATATTATGCAAGAAGATGATTTACTATTGTAACTGGAGATCAAATTTGCAGCTCTAAAATTAATTGACTTTGTCGTGATAAGGTCTTGGTCCTTGATGCTTGTTTTAAGATTAGTAAATAGAGATTTGACAAGTTAATATTCCTAGAATTAAGTGGTGGCTACTTAAAGGTGAGAAACAGTTGGAATTTCAGAAGCAATTTGTAGAAGAGAGTAGCTGGGAGACACAAAGTAGTGCCAACATCATTTGGAACAATATGGTTACGAAAGTCGAGAAAGTTGCCAAAAAACTTTTAAGTGAATTTATAAGTTTTAGACCAACAGACAAGGAATTGTGATGGTAGAATAAAAGTATGCAAGAAAAGATTAGAGAGAAGAGGATGTGTTTTAAAATTTTGCATATATGTAATGCTGAAAGTTGGCCAAGGCATCGGAACGTAAGAAATTAGACAAGAAAAGCATTTTAAAGCTTTTGAAGGGTTCTATTAAATTCTTGGGACAAAGTATGGTAAAAAAGGATTTATAAACTTGCTAAAAGTAGAGAAAGATAATCTAGAGATTTGGATCAATTTATATGTATTAAGGATAAAGAAGGAAAAATTTAGGTTTTGGATCAAGACATCAAAGACAAATAAGAGAAATATTTTTATAAACTTTTTAATGATAGACAAGGAGTAAGTGGAAATATAGTAGGACTAGAAGTGTAAGCAAATTATCTAAATTTGTCATATTTCTGTAGGATTCGAATTGAAGAAGTAAAAGAAGCTCTTAAGAAGATGGAGAATGGTAAAGAAGTTGGCCTTGATAATATTCTTATAGAAGTTTGGAAAAGTTTCGGAAAACAAGGGCTTGAGTGTAACTGACATCAAATGTGTTTCTTGAGGGCCCTTTTTCCCTTAGTTTTGAACTTTTGATATGTTTCTCTGTTGGGCATTCCTTGAGAGTACTTTTTTTGTCTGAGCTGAGAGTTGCTATTGCTGTTTGTCTCAACAATATTAAGAGTACCTAGGTTGTTTATGAAATATTTTCTTACAGCCATTTTACTCTGCCATTCCACACTGGTTCCTTTGTGTCTGAATTCTGTTTCTTTTCTTCATATATGATAACTATGGTTGGGATTCTACCATGATTCACTTACGCAGCATTTGTTTCCTTACCATGTATAATGTGCTTTTAGGTTAAATGTTGGCAAATTAGACGCCAAACAAAGGCTCCTCAAGCTGCAGGGACTATCCATACTGATTTTGAAAGAGGATTTATTTGTGCTGAGGTTAGTTCATCAATTTTTTACTTAATTCTGATTTGTCATATTCTCCCTCCTATACAACAGCCATTATTGGCTTAGCATTAGAATTCTATAATTATTGATTAATACTGTTAAATTATGTGTGAAGGTTCTATAGTACCCCAATATGACTTCAGAATCTTAGAATGGTTTGTCCTGCTTTAGAAGAATTTGTTCAGGAAATAGGATTTGTATGTCTGAAAAACCTTCAATTTTCCGTTTTGGTTTAGGCAGAACCTGAGCCAGGTTTGCCCAACCCATTTTCTGCGTGACACATTCTGGAATAACTTGAATTGATGAAGTCATGTATATTTGGGCAAATTGGTTTTATTTAATGCTACTTTTGGTGCAAAGAGAACAATTTGATTGATTAAGAATAGGAATTAGTAAATAAAAATTAGAATCCTGTTCCATAGTTTGCTAAAATTAGAAATAAAATGGCGTGAAGTTTAACCTTTTTTATTTCATATTTTTTGTATATAATACTAATATCTAGTTTTAAAGAAAATTTAAATGTAAATGTAAATTTTAAGCAACATAATGAAATCAATCATGGCGATACTTTTTTTCTTAATGATTGTTTTTAATTATTGATATGTTGCAATTAATAGCTATGGCCATATGCTTCATGATAGTGATACAATATTTAGGTAACTATTAGCATAAAAAACTATCTTAAAAACTAACTGATGATAATCTGGAATGGCAATTGTACTATGGAGAAAACTGCAAGGGCAAATATCCAACGAAGTAAGAACTGAAAATTACACACCATAAAATCAATATTTTTTTTCCATGATTCTAATCAAGAAGCTGATTCACTCTTGGAATATGAATTTACTAGAAGGTAAGAATCAAATTGAATCATGCATGCTATTTGGAAGATGGTGTCTATGGTACAACCTACTCTATTCACTTTAGATTATGCATTTAGATTTGTTCAAAAGTCATTGAACAGTTTTAATTTTCTAATTAGGAAGAGATACCATGTAATTCCATTATTTGAAATTGCAAATTGAACAGTTTTTTTTTTGTTACTATTCAGATAACTTGCTGCTATTTTTATGACCTATTTGGCATAGCTGTTGTACATATCTGAATGTATTTGGTCTCTTCACTGGTTACATAGTTTAACTTATCATAATTGATCAGTTAACTTTTTCCCTTTTGCTATAGGGTGTTTTTATTGTTACGATGACTTTTATATTAACAAATATGTTCAATATTGCAACAACTGATTTAGGTGCTTTGTTAATGTTGTTTCAGGTGATGAAGTTTGATGATCTAAAGGAACTTGGTAGTGAGGCAGCTGTGAAGGTATGAACTTTCTTTTAATGTGACTTTTACTGTTTTGTTGTTGCTTCCTTGAATGTTGTCCTAGTGGCTGGCATCAAATCGTTAACTGAGTGATGAAACAGAAAAATGACCCATAAATTTTAAAGAATTTGCTGGAAAAGTGAGGAAAGATTCTTACTCACTTGGGCAAATTGAGATAGCATTCCAGGTCTAATTGCTTGGGTTATTTGTGGCTAAAAATTTGAGACTGAGGAAATCCACTCTAGCTCTTTTTTTCTGTATGTAGTTCAACGTAGGGTCAGTTAGCTAGAATTTTTTTTTTTTTATGTTTCAAGTTAAGTTAAAGTTGTTTGTCACTTGCATTTATGTTATTATATTGGAAATTGTTTCAACACATTTTGCAGTTCCCATTTTTCCCCTCACTTATTCCTTTAAAGTTCCAATATTCACTATCATATAGAATAGTTGGTTGTGTAGTAGTATGATTACACTAGTTCTTTGTATGTCACTTATAACCCCTATTGAAACTTATGTTAAACAAATAAAGACTCAAAATTTAGCCTTAATGTAAATATATTCCTGAAGGAAAATTTGTAGATACGCCTTTAGGAGTTCTCTTGTAGTTATCTCATTATACATGTATGCTATAAAATTGATATTTTAGGAAAACCTGCCATTAAGCCAATTAACATTTGAAAATAGATGGAGAGGTTCTATTTCTTGACTAAATATATGGAATGAAAAGAAAATAATGTCATGTTAATTTAATTAGGGCCTTTAGAGAAGTTATTTGTTTGTGGAGAAGATTTCCTTTTCTACTTTCCTTATCTATGACCTGGAAACTTCCATTGACAGTTGTCAAAGAGCAACTACTGTACAAAATCTTGTTCTTAATTTTATCATACTTGCATTAATTTGTAATAGGACCTGACTTCGACTTTGTTTTATCTTCCTTTAAGTAAGGAATAAAGAAAAAGATGAATGCTAGGAGATGTCATACAATAATATGAATCAAAAGATGGTAAATTTTTGCAAGGTGATTTTTTTTTAGACTACCAAGAATCTTCCATAAGATAATTGTATGCGAGCTGGTCAGAACTGTAATGAGCAGCAAAATTTGGCTAGATGATTTTAAATAGAATGTGTTGCACTAAGCGGGAAAAAAAGAGCAACCATGGCTTATAGCTTTGCTGCATTTTGCTATTCTGCGGCAGAAGACGTGTATTTTTTAACAGGAGTCAGTCTGATTTCTTTTATTGGGTTTCTGACATTTGATGCTGATTGCACTGTATTTAGGTTAAGTGCTATACATGTGCAGCATTTGGTTTCAGCATATGAAACCTTTTCATTTATGTGCTTTGTGCTACTAAAGACATAACCATTTCTTCTACTTTGTTGTATTGTCTATTAGGCTGCTGGAAAGTATAAACAGGAAGGGAAAACGTATGTGGTCCAAGATGGGGACATTATATTCTTTAAATTTAATGTTTCTGGTGGGGGCAAGAAGTAAAACCAGAGATTCACCTGAAATAGCATTGGCTGGTTTGCATGGAGTGTGTGTTTCATGATAGGCATGCCTACCATGTTGCACATTTTGTAATAGCTTGAAAATGTAATTTTTTGACCTTTTTAAAAATTATTTACCTATTTAGATTTAAATATTTGTAGCGGATTTTGACTTCTCAACCATTTCCATAATTTCTGTTATGTTACGCTACATCTTATAGCGCTTTTGAATGTAGAGTACTAATGAGTTGATGCTTACTGAGTTATTGTATGCTGGATCAATTAATTTAATGTTACATAGACGCCTTCACAAAATTTTGATGTTGGCTAGTAATTTTGCTGTTACTACGTGCATCTGAATGGTTAAATTACGTATCTTTGGCAATGGATTCAGTAAAGAACTGTCTGTGACAATCATTCCCAGCTACTGTAACATGCCTTTTGACGTAAAATTAATGGCTGAGACATAGATTACTCAATTATATTTAATATTTTAAATTGAAGGGCCTTGAGTCCATCAATGTAAATAGTTTTATCATGGAAATAAGTTTTTCTTTTCTCAAGCTCTCGGCCGAAAAAGAGTAATTAAAAAAAGGAAAATGTTAAGGAGTCAATGGAAATTTCTTTTAATATATTTTAACATGATTTTTAATAATACATATTATTTATTGATTCTTAAAAAAATATTTTAATATTATTGGTTAACAAAACTCTTTTAAGAAAAATGCATGTTTAAAATTATAATGGCTCTAAAATTAAATATATTTTTTATTTTTAAAAATAGAAACAAACAAGCTTTTAGCCTTTTATTATTACTTCTTCTATTTTGTTTAAGATTATTTGTAGTTTATACAAGTATTTAAAATAAGGATACGATTGAATAGGTAAGGAATGTAATATTTTTATGATGTAGTTGTATTTTTTATTTTTTATATTTTAAAGAGAAGTTTTAAAATATATTTAATAAAACAAATGTTGATAAGAGTTCATAAGTATTAGAAAAAGACAAATCTTAATTTGATGGATGAGAGTTGTGTGCAAAAAATAAATGAATAATCATTTTAAATGAAGGAATTAATGCTTAATTTTATTAAGGAAGAGGACAAGTACAAAAACATCATAAACGTAAATTTGGCTTTCTATAATTAAAAAAAATAAAATTATATAGTTATAATTACTATTAAAAATTAATGATATAAATCCTAATAACTTTATAATTTGTTATGCATATTATTGTATTTAAAACTGTTACTTTTAATTAATGTATCATTTAAGGTGTAAGTAGGATCATATTAATGTCTGTTTGATTTTGAGTTGTTGAATATAATTGAAATACATATATAAATTAATTTAAATTACAATTTTTATTCCATCGTATATAATTTTATAACTTTAAAGCCAGTAAGCCATCAACAAACTTGGCATCAAGTTGCTTCATGGCCATGGGTGACTAATAAATTTAAAGCGCCCACCGGTTATGTATCCATTTTATACTCAAATCACAAGTAATAAAAATCTATAGGTTTAGTTATATTGTTTTCATATTATGTATATATGTATATTTATTTAATTAGTTATCTTTCTCTGAACTATGAGAAAAAATTATAACATATTTTTTGGTAAAGATAACATTTCTCATATGTTTATCCCATTCTATATTTTCGTGCATTTAATATAAATTGTATTTTATTCCAACTAAAAGACATGTTTAATATAGAGTAACATTTATTTCACATAATCATGTCTGTCACAGAAAATATCTATACATGTTCTACGAAAAATTCTTCCACCAGTTGAATATAGACTGTGAATTTCTCATACACAATGAAACCTACATCTAACTCTAACCATTATTATTAGGAACGAGAAAACAAAAAAAAGTTAAGTGTTGATTTGAGTGAGTTTGACTTAATTATAAATATAAGGTTTTAAATTTTATTTATTTACTTTATGAAGTTCATTCTCTTTTATATATTGAGTCAAATGTTTTTAATAGTTTGAATTGACTATATTTGAATATCCAATATCATTAAATATCAAAAAGACTATTTTTAAGTTAATAAAATAAAACTTTTCATATAAGTTAAAAGGTTGAGTCTTCAAAACAATTGAAAATAGACAACTTTATAGCAACAATAATACTAATTAGGGGCATACATTAGTGACCATTGACTTTTGGCTATTGAATTGTTGCCTCGTCCCATAGCATTGCATGGAATCACTCTTGCGTAACAAAGTAGTAGTTGACTGAAATTAATGAATACCAAAAATTATTCCATTGGTATTAGAAGTGAATGAATATTAATATAAACCAATGGGGCCAAAATAAAGCTCAATAAACAGCACTAACGCTAGCAACTTATTTCTAACACACTTTTTAAACATATTTTTAACGATTAATTAAAATTGATTAAAATCATACATATGTGAAATAAAAATATTAAAATAAATTTGTAAAAAATAAAATTTATATAATATTTAATATATTTTAACTAATAAATAAAAATATATTAAAAAAAGTATGTGGCAAGTTACACCGACATTCCGTAGCGGTCCACTCTAAAATGTCCAATGATATGGGGAAAATATAATGCATTTGTTACCATTATGCGCGTGGGCATAGTCTTCAATTTTCGGTGAAAGAAAAGAATACTTACAATGATTAAGAAAACAAATCAAAATAATAATCTTTCAAATTTTGTACGTTAAAATCGTTCCATAAGAATTAAAAAATAATTAATGTTTTAAATTTTACAAAAAAAATTACTTATTCTTTTATTGTATTCTTCATTTATGTTAATTGATATCTTGTTTATTATCTTTTACTAAATAAATATTAATTATTAAAATTGAATCATGAAAAAGTTTCAATTATTCATTATTTTTATAAAATAAAAATAATAAATAAATAAAATAAATTATTAAAGTTTCGAAAAATAAATAAAGAAAATATCATAGAGAAGCTCTAATATAATATTTTTATGCACCGTGGAAACCCCCAACCTTTCTGTTTCGGTACAATTGTAACATTAGAGAGGGCAACACTCCCTGTGTTTTTAAGTGCAGTTGGCTAAGCCGTTTAATTTTAATTATAAAGTAGTAACGCATACAAAAACATTAATTTTAAAATACACTAAAATAAATACAAGAATATATGTTTTTAAAAAAGAGAAAAAGTACTAACATTAATTTTAAGTATTTAAAAATAGAATATTTTCATTAAGAATACAATATTTATTACACTGATATATTTTTAATATAAAAATATTAATTTTTAACTTTTAAGGCTAAAGATAAGTAATTAAAATTATTATTTTTTAATTAAAAAATATTTATCACCTTGAAAATATAAAGTATAACAAATGTTATATTTATAATAAAAAATTACCATTTTTAAATGCTCAAACCTAATCCTAAAAGCTAAAATTAATAAAATTGTTTTGATATAACAAATTATTTCCTAATAAAAATAATCAATCTTAAATGCTTAAATTTTTCCTTTAAGTTTAATATTAACAAAATGGTAAATCTAGAAATCTCATAAGTGAAAAGAGGATACTTTATTTTTTTGTGAGAACCATTTCTGTCTCTGTTGTAGTTGGCTCATATTACAGGCCATGTTTTTTGGCACAGGGCTAGTGACCCATGTCCCTATCCCCTTAACCTATCTCCATTATTCTCTCACCAACTTCACCTCTTCAGTGGGGTGTGTGTGTGTGAATGTGCCTTAATTGAATAATTTTGGAACCATTGATCCCAACAAGAAACCCTAGTCAAAGGGGCAGTGGTGGGTCACACCATTCCTACATGGCACTGTTGACACACCTTCCAACCTCTATAACCCAAAATCTTAAACTCTATTTCATAAAATCTTTTGACGTCCACTAGGAAAGTGAGAGATTCCGTGTCCATTTTTGGCGGGTAAATCCCTAATTTTTTTGCTGAAAGGTTTTTTTTAACACCCAACAAAATTGACAGAAGCTAGAGATAAAAAACCCTAACTTTTTTCCCGCTTTACTTTTTCTCCTTGCCTCCATGTCAAATTGCATTGCTGAATGCAGACACTAAGAACCTCAAAAGGATGAAATCTAAGAACTTTATCTTTAGACATTTCATAAACTAACCATTAGGGTTTATTTTTATTTTCCTCCATTGCTACATTGTCACATGCATGCTAAAAGACACAAGTTAAAAGGGACAAAGGTACTCTCTTTTTTAAGGTTTTATTGTCACTCACCATTAAAGTAAATCGTGGGGTTATTTACTGTTCTCAGAAATTTTAATACTTTTTTGGGTTGTAAAAATATCTCCATCCATCAATTAAAGCTTTTAGGACAAAAAAATTTTCTGGGTCCCTTCTCCTTTATTGCAGCATGGAGTGTCAACTGGGTACTCATTTCCCTTTTCTCCTTAACTTTGTTTTAGCTACAATGTTGCTATACTGTACTTCAGTTCTGAAGTTTTGAAGTTATAGTCTTTGTGCTAATCTCTCATGCCTGCCTCAAAAGTTTGATACTTGAGGGTAGGGATTTTTGCTTTGGTCTACATTGTGTTCAAAAGAAGTGATTTTGGTAAAAAGAAGATAATGTGTTTTGTGTTCAGATCTCTAAACATTGACACATTTTGTTTGGTTCATTTCAGTGCATTTATGTTTTCTGCTTACTCTTTGCAGCTAATGGTTGTCTCAGCTGAAGAAGCTGCACTGCATGTGTAAGGTTTTTCTTTTTGAAGGACAATGAATCTCTTGGAGCTTCTGGTTTCCCATCATTTTATGGTTGTTTAGCATGTAAAGTTGATGACTTTGTGAAACATTGTTTTTAGTCTCTATTTCTGGGTTTATCATTTCTCATTGAATGCTGTCTTTATTTGCTTGCTTAAGGTTTTGGACGCTTTGGGTTTTGGCACTAAGTCCTTCACTTAGTGTGGATTGAGAAGCTTGAGGACCCTACTCTCTTCTTCTTGGATATTGAGCTTGCCTGCTTCTATTCAAATTGGGGGTTTCTTTTGCAAGAAGTGAAAAAGTGTATCTTGGAAATATATTTGTACCTTTTGTTGGTCGGTGAGATAGATAGTTGCTTATCTTTTTGAACTAGAAGTGTAAAAGCTCCCTGTCTGTCTTAACTTGAGTGTGAACTACACAGAAGTAAACATTCAAGTGTTTATAGAAGACTATGAAGCCCTTAAGCCTCTTAGTGTTATCTTTGTACTTCTATTCCGTTGTGGGGCAGCTTCCTTCGCAGGACATTTTAGCATTGTTGGAGTTTAAGAAATGCATCAAGCATGACCCTACTGGTTATGTCCTCAATTCCTGGAATGAGGAATCCATTGACTTTGATGGATGCCCATCTTCGTGGAATGGAGTTCTGTGTAATGGTGGTAATGTTGCTGGGGTTGTCCTTGATAACTTGGGTCTCTCTGCTGACACTGACTTGAGTGTTTTTTCAAATCTCACAAAACTTGTGAAACTCTCAATGTCTAACAATTCCATATCAGGAAAGCTACCTGACAACATTGCTGATTTCAGAAGCCTTGAATTCCTGGATATCTCCAATAACCTCTTTTCGTCATCCTTGCCCTCTGGAATTGGTAAATTAGGTAGCTTACAGAATCTGTCATTGGCTGGAAATAACTTCTCTGGCCCAATTCCTGATTCTATTTCAGAAATGGCTTCCATAAAGTCTCTGGACTTGAGCCTCAACTCTTTTTCTGGAGCATTGGCAGTGTCTTTGACTAAGATGACTAGCCTTGTATCTCTAAACTTGTCTCATAATGGCTTCACTGGAAAAATTCCCAAAGGTTTTGAGCTAAACTCTGCTCTTGAAAAACTTGACTTGCATGGGAATAGGTTTGATGGTCATTTAGATGCTGAGTTTATGCTTTTATCAAGTGTGAGCTATGTTGATTTCAGTGAGAACATGCTATCTAGTTCTGATTCCAAGCAGTTTCTACCGCGGATATCTGAAACTATTAAGCATTTGAACCTAAGCCACAACCAGCTTACTGGATCATTGGCTAGTGGAGCTGTGGAACCAGTTTTTGAAAATTTGAAGGTGTTGGACCTCAGCTACAATCAATTGGATGGAGAATTGCCTGGATTTGATTTTGTTTATGATCTCCAGGTCCTTAAGCTTAGCAACAACAGATTTTCAGGATTTATTCCTAATGGCCTACTAAAAGGAGATTCTCTGGTTTTAACTGAACTGGATTTGAGTGCCAACAATCTCTCAGGTACCTAGGCAGTTCCAAATTTTCTTTTCCTCATAATAAATAACCTTTCATAGTTTACTAATGGAATTGGTTGTTTGTGGTATTGCATAAGAGTCTTGAGCTTCACTGTTATTCATCTAATGTTCAAAATCTTTTTCAGGGCCAATTAGTATAATTACATCAATGACACTTCATTCTCTTAATCTCTCATCAAATGGGTTCACTGGTGAACTGCCACCTCTCACTGGAAGCTGTGCTGTACTTGATCTTTCAAATAACAAATTTGAAGGAAATTTAACCAGGATGCTGAAATGGGGGAATATAGAATTTCTTGATCTCAGTGGGAATCAGTTGACAGGAGCCATCCCTGAAGTAACTCCTCAGTTTTTGCGATTAAATTATTTGAATCTATCCCGTAATTCTCTTAACAGCTTCCTTCCAAAAGTCTTAACAGAGTATCCAAAGCTTAGGGTACTTGACATTAGTGCCAACCAATTAGATGGTCTACTTCTGGCTAATCTGCTCACAATGCCCACATTGCAAGAGCTTCATCTTGAAAATAATATGCTCTCTGGTGGCATCAATTTATCATCTTCTCTTGGTCAATCTGATCTTCAGATTCTTGATCTTTCTCACAATCAGCTTGATGGCTATTTTCCTGATGAGTTTGGGTCATTAACAGGCCTGAAATTGCTGAATATTGCTGGAAATAACTTCTCTGGTTCTCTTCCAACCACAATTGCTGATATGAGTTCACTAGACTACCTGGATATATCAGAGAATCATTTTACCGGCCCTCTACCAAACAACATGCCAAAGGGGCTCCAAAACTTTAATGCTTCACAAAATGATCTGTCCGGAGTTGTCCCAGAAATTCTTCGGAAGTTCCCTAGTTCTTCTTTCTTTCCGGGGAATACCAAGTTACATTTTCCAAATGGTCCTCCTGGATCAACAACTTCACCTGCTGAAAGTTCCAAGAGGAAGTCTATGAACACTATTGTTAAAGTAATAATTATAGTATCCTGTGTGGTTGCACTCTTCATATTAATCTTGCTGGCTGTCTTCATACACTACATACGCATATCAAGATCTCCGCCAGAATATGATACAAGTAAGGATATTAATAGGCATCCTGAACCAATTATTTCTGGCCCGGTTCGTGCAACAGACCGGGGTAGTGCTTTGGTTGTATCGGCTGAGGATCTTGTGACTGCTCGTAAAGGGTCACCATCAGATGCAATCACCCCTGATGAAAAAATGGCAGCTGTAACTGGGTTCTCTCCATCAAAGCAGAGCCACTTATCATGGTCACCAGAGTCTGGTGATTCATTTAGTGCTGAAAATCTTGCAAGACTTGATACGAGATCACCAGATAGGTTGATTGGAGAGCTGCATTTTCTTGATGATACAATAACATTGACACCTGAGCAACTCTCAAGGGCACCAGCTGAAGTTTTGGGCAGAAGTAGTCATGGCACTTCTTACAAGGCAACTCTGGAGAATGGTTTATTGTTGAGAGTGAAGTGGTTGAGAGAAGGTGTGGCTAAACAGAGAAAAGAATTTGTTAAGGAGACAAAAAAATTTGCAAACATAAGGCATCCAAATGTCGTGGGATTGAGAGGATATTATTGGGGTCCTACGCAGCACGAGAAGCTTATTCTTTCAGATTACATCTCACCAGGGAGCCTTGCAAGTTTTCTTTATGGTAATATGTTGACATTCCTTCCTTTCGTTAGTTTGAACCTTAAATAAAAGGAGAGGGGGGGGGGGGGTTGGGGGGTCACCTCAGGAGTGGTGTTGGGTAAGTGAGAATCAATGAACAGGATAAAGAGGATAGGTAGGAAGGGATAGTATAGTACGCCCTAAAAATAGTTAAATATTACATAACTGGCTAGCAACATGATACTTGATGGTCTTCTGAGTTTTGAAATGCTTGGTTTTACTTGCCATGGTAACTTATACTCTAACATCTGCTTGTTCACCAACATATAGATGATATATCTACATTGAAGGCCTTGTATAAATTTGTAATTTTCAGTTTGATTCCTTCAAATTGCACCCTGAAAATCACACTTTGAAGAAATACAACATGAATGCAAGGAAAGATCTTGTTTTGTCATAACTTGCCAAAAAAATCCATTTAAAGTGCAAAGCTCAATCCTTTTTGATTGAAATATAATAACGCCTGATCTCCCATATCTGAGGCATAGAACGAGTTGTTGCATGATTTCTAGTTCTAGTGAGCATTGGGTGCTAGAATAAATTTAGGTTGTCAGGAGCTTTTAAATCACAATATTGTCACTCAATTACTACAGTGTCTTCAGTGTGCAATAATTCTAATGCATATCATAATGTGGGTGCAGTAAATGTTTCTCAAGGTCATCCATTATGTCTATTGGTGTTGTGTGTCATCCTTAAATATTTCCAGTTTAACTTAATTATAATTTAAATTGTCAGATCGACCAGGAAGAAAAGGTCCACCATTAACATGGGCTCAGAGGCTCAAAATTGCAGTTGATGTAGCACGTGGCCTGAACTATCTCCATTTTGATCGTGCCGTTCCTCATGGAAACCTCAAAGCTACAAACGTGCTGTTAGATACAGCAGATATGAATGCACGTGTTGCTGATTACTGCCTTCACAGACTTATGACTCAAGCAGGTACCGTTGAACAGATTCTTGATGCTGGAGTCTTGGGTTACCGCGCACCAGAGTTAGCTGCTTCTAAGAAGCCTATGCCATCCTTCAAATCAGATGTTTATGCTTTTGGAGTGATACTTTTGGAACTTCTAACTGGAAGGTGTGCTGGTGATGTGATATCAGGTGAGGAGGGGGGTGTTGATCTGACAGATTGGGTAAGGTTGCGTGTAGCTGAAGGTAGAGGCTCAGAATGTTTTGATGCTATCTTGATGCCAGAAATGGGTAATCCAGTTGTAGAAAAGGGAATGAAGGAGGTTCTTGGTATAGCTGTTCGATGCATTCGATCTGTTTCTGAAAGGCCTGGTATCAAGACTATATATGAAGATCTCTCTTCTATATAGTTTTCTAGTGCTAACTACTTCAACTTTTGACACATTATGGGAATTAATGTCTCATTAGTATCCCATATTTGTTCAGAGTTTGGCTCTTTAACATGTTTGTATTAACCATTTTTTAGCTGTAAAAATGGGGCATATGCCAAAAGCATATACATGGATATTTCTTGATGGGTCGTGACCATCTAATTTTGTCTTCAAATGGGATGTATTATGAGTGATCATTTGTTTGCAAATACTAGTTGAAGGCAGTACATGTTGGACAGGTAATGGTTAGCACATAGCAGTTTTATTTTGATTTTTGATTGATTTAATTGATCGTAGAGTTGATCGGCAATTTGCATAGATGTTAGACATTTGTCATGTAACCATTGTGGTTGTGGAAGCCATGTTATGTTACATTCAAACCTTGCATGTGTTGGTTTTATTGTGTAGAAATTATCTAAAAATATAATTACTTGCTTAGTTCCAAAGTTTTTTAAATATTAAAATTGCGTATTGGCTAAGGAATAAAATGATTTTGTGATTAAAAATTATGGTGAGAGGATATTAATTTTTTCTTAATAAAAATTGTTTGATTCTTTATCCAGTGTTACTTATTTGCATTTTGCTTAAATTAATAATTAAATTTTCTATTTTTATAAACTATTACGATGCTGAACATGTTAGTCGTTCCAATTTCTTTCTGGCCACGCTACAGCCTGTGCTAGCCCAAATGAGCATTACTGAAAGGATCCATTGGATTCTCTTCAGCATTACTTAATATCGGTTTAGATTATTTATATTTTGTAAAATTAAATTAAGTTAAAAGTGAATTTATAACAAAATAATTTGTGTTTGAGAATTAATCTAAAACTAAGTTCGTAACATGGAAGCGAATAAAGTCCCGAAAATAGCTCAAATCTTAAAGGATTTTCGATTATGTTGGATATGTTAAAGACATTTTAAAGGAAAAGACAAGTTAATTTTTTATATTAAATATTTATAAATTTAAATTTTTTAGAACAATAATTATGGAAATCACCAAAATTGATTTTTTAGATATTAAAAAATTTTATATTCATTCACATATACTATAATCATTAGAAAAATATATTAAATATATTTGTTGCATGCTACTTTATATAAAGATGAACGACGAACTCTTACGTATATTTCATATTAGTATGAAATGTTTACGTAAGGTTTATCAACACAAAATAAAACTCACTTTAATAATTTTTATACGAAATTTCTTTAATATGTTGAAAACTTTGTTAGTATCTTACTTGAAAATATTTATAATTTGATTTTCAAAATTAAAATTGAAAATAAATTGATGAAACTTTTACTGTTAAATGTGAATCAATTGATATAAGACTATTTTAACTTAATCAATGGTATTTATTAACTTTGGATTTTGAGTATGCACGATAAATATTCGAAGAGTGAAAAAAAAACAATCTATCTATATTATATATATATATATATATATATATATATATGTGTGTGTAAAATTGATTACACCTACTGTCTTACTTGTTACTAAGTGTATTAAATTTTGAAACATAACTTTGTCTATTTATTACTCTACACCTTAAAATTCAGAATGTATAAAGTCATTTACATTGACTCCACTTACTTATTACTTTCTGCAAAAAAAATCAAAACATATAACTTATGAATTAAAATTATATTTTATCATATTTATTATAATTTAATTGTATTTAAAGAATATTTATTAATATTGATGGTTATATTATGTTACAAACGGCAACATAAATATTTATACTATAAATTAGCTTAAATTACCGTTATTAAAATTAATTATAATATTTTTCATAATTTATGAGTTAAAATTATTATTTTATTTTAATATAATCTATATTTTATTATATACTTCAAACACTAAAATATATTTTAAATTAAAAAAATTAAACTTATAAAATTATTAGTTTATAATATATGTTGTTAAATTAAATTTATAATAAAAGATAAATTTACATATTTAAATTATTTTATTAATTCATTAAAATAATCTACATTTCAATATGTACTTCAAATATTAAAATGTAATTTAAATAAAAAATCCACATTTAGAAAATTATTTGTTTATATTATATATTATTAAATAAAATTTCTAAAGAAAATATAATTTTACATGTTTAAATTATTTTATTAAATATTTTAATATAATCTATATTTTAATATTTACTAATAATACTAAATTGCAATTTAGTTTACAATTACTACATTTATCAAATTATTAGCTTATAATATATATTGTTAAATTAAATATCTAATAAAAAGACAAGTTTATAAATTTAAATTATTTTATTAATTATTTTAATATAATATATAGTTTAATATATATTTCAAAAACTAAAACTTACTTTAAAATTAAATAAATTATACTTACCTAATTATTAGTTTATATTATATATTGTTAAGATTAAATAAAATAATTTAAAATTAATTTCATAATTTGCATAATTTATTAATTATAATTATAATTAATTCATACTTATTATTTTTAATTGTATTTAAAAAAATTTATTAGAATTGATAATTATATAATGTTAAAAATAACAATAACAAAATTACTGTAAATAATATTTAATAAAAAAATATTATAATTTATTATAAATAATTTAAACGAATTTCAAAATTTTCTATGTCAAATGTTGAAAATAGAAAAAAAAATATTGATTAAATTACATAAAAATACTTTTAAAATTTTTTTTATGAAGTTCTCGATTTATCTTTTAATTATAAATAAAAATGTATCTTTGTTTTTAACTTTTATTTAACATTTGAATGTTAATTATTATTTTATATTATATATTATTAAATTGACTAAACCTACTTATTAATGAGAGTATTAAATTTTGAAACGTAACTTCGTCTACTTATGAATAGATGTGATTAGAGTGGTCATGCACACAAAATTTATTGAAGAAAAAATAATTGCTTAAGGTAAGATAAAAGAATGAAGAAATTAATATATAAATTATAAATTTGTAATATATTGTTCAAACTTTTTCGATCATACAATAATTTAAAAGATTATATTTTCTATTAGGTCGTAACTTGAGAAAAATAAAACAAAAAATGGTGAACAAAAGACAACAGTAGAGGATTTAGAATATTGAACCATTTTATTACAATTATATTAAAATAATTAATAAAATAATTTAAATTTGTAAACTTGTCTTTTCATTAGATATTTAATTTAACAATATATATTATAAGCTAATAATTTGATAAATGTAGTATTTTTAAAAGTAATTTACAATTTAGTATTGTTAGTAAATATTAAAATATTTAATAAAATAATTTAAACATGTAAAATTATATTTTCTTTAGAAATTTAATTTAATAATATACAATATAAACAAATAATTTTCTAAATGTGTATTTTTTATTCAAATTTTATTTTAATATTTGAAGTACATATTGAAATGTAGATTATTTTAATGAATTAATAAAATAATTAAAATATGAAAATTTGTATTTTATTATAAATTTAATTTAACAACATATATTATAAACTAATAATTTTATAAATTTAATTTTTTTAATTTAAAATATATTTTAGTGTTTGAAGTACATAATAAAATATAGATTATATCTTATTATCCTATGCATTAAAAGTTGAAACGTATAACTTACGTATTTAAATTAGATTTTATTCATACTTATTGTCTTTTAATTATATTTAAAAACTGTTTATTAGAATCGATAGTTATATTATATTAAAATATTTTTTTATTGAATTAAAAAAACACATTTATGAAAAAATTACTTTTATTACAGATTGTTAGATCAATTTTTTAATGAAAAGATAAGTTTACATATTTAAATTATTTATTTAATTAGTTTAATATAATACGTAATTCAATCTGTATTTCAAAAACTAAAATTTATTTTAAAGTAAAAAAATTATTAACTTAAATTTCTAACAAAAAAATTATATAATAAAAGTAATTTATTAGAAATTTTATTATATATAATATTTTATTCTTAACTATTATACAAATGAAAAGATAAATTTTATTATATTATTTATTTATTTTATGACTTTTCATATATCTCTAAGTAAGAATTTATCTTTACTTATATAAGTCATGTTTAGTTGTTTACACAACTTTTGAAAACTTGTTCATCATCCTTTCTATTGTCAATCTTTTTTTGTATTTTGTAATCATGTCAGCGGTCAAGAATTATATATCCACGCAAGTAAAGTTGTTTTCGAGTTTGATATTTTCTTTCTATTGTCATCTTTTTTCTTTGTATTTTACAATCATATCAGCGGTCAAGAATTATCTATCAACATAAGTACATGTGTTTTTGAGTTTGATATTTACTTTGATGTTTTTCATGTTTTTGTAAGAGAACAACAAGTTTCAATGAAGATAAATGAACTTTTCTTAACAATCTGAATTCAACAACATATGATTGAAAAATAAAAGTGCGAATATCACGACTGTGGAATACACTAAACATATATCGCAAGAAAGAGTTAATTAGTACTGATATGGTACTGATTGATGAAAATGTATTATATTTGTTTTTCCTTATAAAAGAATTATTATTTTTTATAAATTATAATTATGTTGTCTTTTATATGTTGTTCTATAATAACTAACTAAATTTATTTCTAAATTTTCTAACTGATTAAATTTTTTTTATAGAATAATTACATACATGCTTCCATAGGACGAGGTATTTCTTACAGGTTTAAAGGTATAATAAAGGAAGGAAAAGTATACTCCATAACAAATTTTACAGTGACAAAGAAAAAAGATAGATTTACTGTGGTTGAAAATAATCCTTTCGTATTAAAATTTTATACCACAACTATTATTAAGGAAGTAAATGATGATAACATAATTTCTTTCTATATCTTTAAGTTTGTGAACTTTGAAGATCTGAACAGTCATTGTGAAAATAATGTCTTAACAGGTATTTTGCTGTAAAATTTTACTAAAATTTGTTATATAATTTGTATTTAATCTATCAATTAGTTCATTAAAATTATTTATTTTATTAATAGATGTGATTGGAGTGGTCATGTATAGAAGTTCTATTGAAGAAAAAATAACTGCTCAAGGCAAGGTTAATGCCATGACGCTTCAATTACAAGACATAAGGTATAAACAATTATTCTAAAATTATTATTAATTAAAGAATCTTATCTATCAACATAAGGATTCAAAAATCAATGTTGCAATATTCACATTTACTATTGTGAAAGAATTTTAAGGTAATTGTATTATTATATTTTTAAAATATTTTATTGAAATAAATTATATATATATATATATATATATATATATGCTTCATATTTAATTATAAAAAATATGAGTGTATGTATTATAAGTAATATTTTTATTTCCATATCAAAATCAACAAAGATCTATGTCAATATTGACATATCAGAAGTTACTCATTTTATAGATTCATTCAAGTATTAAAATTATCTAAAATCTCTATTTATGTTAATTATTGTTAATTCTTTATTTTTTATCTTAACCATATTTTTAATTATTCATTATTACTTTGTTGTAGGGATTTTAATGATATGCATATTACTCACAATGTTGATAATACAAGATCTACCATTCTTCCTAAGTTAGAAAATTTCAAAAACATATCTGAAATTTTGATAATGGCAAAATCAAAGAGTAATATAATAAATTTAATTTCTCTTATGCTTTGTTTTTATTAATAAATTTTTAAACTAATTTTTTAATCAATTTTTAGAATGTCGTAATTGGTTGTATTGCAACTGTGAACGATATATTGCTTAAAAATGGTTAGTATTATATTTCTTGCCCCCATTGCAAGAAGAAAATTTCTTTCACAGCTACAAATTTTAAATGTGAATCATGTTATAAAGACGTTGATTATCCAATGACAAGGTAATTAATTTATCACTATATATTCAAATTTTGAATTTTTCATGTTAAAATAAATTAAATTATATATTATTACCTTGATTTATATAAATTACAGGTTTCGTCTAGAGCTTGATATTAAAGATTTTACGGATTCAACTATATTTATTTTATTTGATGAAGTTGTTGAACAATTAGCACAAGTAAAGTTAAAAGATCTTATTGAAACATTTGAAATTGTAAGCAAAAGTATTAAGTTCTAACTTATTGAAAAATTTAATCAAATATTTGATTATATAAATAAAATATATTAACACATATAACTATTTTTATGTGATAATTTTTTTAAGGGTGATGGTGAAGGGTTAAAGTTGCCTCCACAACTTTTAAAGATTATTGGCACTTCACATATTTTTCAAATAAAAATAAGTATTTACTTTGAAAGTCGTGGAAGACAAAGTTTTTCGGCAAATAAAATTGTAAAGCCGATAGTAAAGGTAATATAGAAGATTAAATTAGAGTTTCATTACTTTTATCTATAATGTTTATAGATACGATGATGAATAACTTTATTTTTATTGTCTAATATTTACAGATTGAGAAGGAAGAAGGTTTAGACAATACAAATACAAATACAATAACAAAAGAAAATGACTTGGCAATAAGTTGTTCACGTATATCTCTAACTGTGGAAACACCAAATTTACCAAAAAGAAGGAGAAAATTAATGTATAAATTTATAATATATAGTTTAAATTTTTAGATCATACAGTAATTTATATTTAATATTTTTTTTTAGGTTGTAACTTGAGGAAGACGAAACAAAAAATGGTAAACATAAGGCAACAATGGAAGATTTAGAAGATTGAATATTTTTTATTGAAATATTATATAAATACTTTTAATATTGTGTAGAATCTGAAAAGTAAGATGTCACCAAACATTTACGCCTTTTTATAAAATAATTTTGTTATTTTATTATATCTCTCCCTCTTACTTTATTATGTATTGATTTTTGTTCTTAGTCAAATCTTATATGTGACTTATGTAAATTTTATATTATATCAATATCTGTAATTTTAATTGATATAAAAAATAATTATTATATTGAATACAATCATTATTATTTTTTAGTTATTACCTAAATCTTAATTGAAAATTTTTTAACAACAATTTTTTTCTCTTCATCTATTATTTTATTTTTTTAAAAATAATTTAATAAAAATTGATATATCATAATTATATATAACCTATTAACATAGACAATATTTTATTTATATTTTATATTATAATAATTATGATGACAAATTTAATTTTTTTAAATTAAAAATTAACAACATTTATCCTTAATGATTTTGTTGTAATGTTTTTTTTTATATAAAATGTTATAATGAGAATGATAAATTCGAAATTCTCTAATTAAAACTAATTAATTATAACAATTAAACTAAATTAAATATTATTAAAAATCATAACAATGAAAATGAATTTGATTTGATTTTTCAATTTTTAGGTAATTGTTCCATTTCTATATTTAAAACTTTTATATTATAATGAATGAATAAGTAAAGAAAATATAACGTTTTAACTCTGAATTATGTTCAAATATTATATTTAATTTCTATATATATCATTTGTTTCAATCTTTGACGGATATTTTTCTTTATATACTTTTAAAATTATTTGAGTATGAAGTCTAAATCTTCACAATTATCGAAAGATTTTCAATCCGAGAAAAATAGAAGTTAGTATTTAAAATGTTATAGAAATATTTTTTTATATTAACATATGAAATTAAAATTAATTTTTTTATTAAATACAATCATTCTTTTTTTTTAGTTTTTACCTAAATGTTAATTAAAATTTTTTTAACAACTCTTTTTTTCTCTTCTTCTATTATTTTATTTTTTTAAAAATTATTTAATAAGAATTAATATATCATAATTATGTATAACCTAATAACATAGACAATATTTTATTTATATTTTATATTAAAATAATTATGATAACAAATTTAATTTTTTTAAATTAAAAAATAACAACATTTATCCTTAATGATTTTGTTGCAATATTTTTTTTTTTTATAAAATGTTATAATGAGAATGACAAATTCTCCAATTAAAACTAATTAATTAAAACAATTAAACTAAATAAAACATTATTAAAAATCATAACAATGAAAATAAATTTGATTTTATTTTAAAATCTTTAAGTAACTGTTCTATTTGTATATTTAAAACTTTTATATCGTAATGAATAAATAAGTAAATAAAATGTAACGTTTTAACTCCGAATTAAGTTCAAATATTATATTTAATTTTTATATATATATCATTTATTTCAAAAGTTTACAAATATTTTTCTTTATATACGTTTAAAATCTTTTGAGTATGAAGTCTAAATCTTCACAACTATCGAAAGACTTTCAATTCGAGAAAGATAGAGGTTAGTGTTTAAAATGTTATAGAAGTATTTTTTTATATTAACATGTGAAATTATATTTATTTATTAAAATTTCATATTCTAACTATATGATTATTCAAAATTTTCAGATTAGAATATAAGTTCTAATGCTTTTGAAAATTTTTCTGAGAGCATTCAATTGCAAATATAAAGAACAGTGCTTTTTAATGAAAAAATTCAGTCATTTTGTGGACTTACAATTACTTCCTAAAATATAAATAAAAATACAGGTATGATACATAAAAATATGAAATCAATATAAATATTTTTTTATTAATATAATTATTTATTATGTTATATTCTAATTATATATTTTTTAATTTAAAAAAATATTTAAATCAAGTTCACTAAATATCCTTTTTTGTAGGATCAAGTAATGTATTAGGTAATGTTTAAATTACAAGAACATTCTAATATAGTATCACTAAATTATACATATTTTAATTTTACAATATTATTCCAATATGTATGATATTGTTTGTAAATAAATTTATTTATATAACAATGCAAAAAAGAATATATTTTAATTTGCATACATTACCATATAATTTTTTTAATGTATTTATACTGAAATTTTTATTATTATCATTTCTAATAAAATTATGATAGTAATAATTTATTTATTTATAAAATAAAATATTTGTTAATATCATCATTAATTTTTTTTAATTAATTTAAAAAATTTTAAAAAATTTCTAAGTAAGTTGGTATTTGTTTATTTATCTTTTAAAATTTATTACAATTATTACCATATGAAATTTATTTATTATATTATATTTTAAAATAAATTATAATATGTATGACAATATATATATATATATATATATATATATATATAATTTACTTATTTATTTATTGACTTTTTTAAGATACAACATATTATTAGTTCTATTATTATCTTAATAAATATTATCATAATTTTATTAATTCTATTATTATTATATTAACAAATAATTATTTAAAATTATTTCATATTTTTAATTTATTTTATTATTAATTCTATTATTATTAAAAAACCCGTGCAACGCACAGATATATTTACTAGTTTTTTTTTTTTTTTGTAAAACATACCTTATAAATGTTATGGAATTTATGATGAGAAATATTTTTTTATCATTTGAATGGAAACTAAACAAGCTCACACTGAATTGGAGAAGTTATGTGTTTTTTAAATGAATCCAACTATATATTACATTGTCTCCGACTAGAATGAGAGAAAAAAGAAAACTAGTGAATTTAAGAATTTTTTATTTTAATATTAATTAGTTAACAAAGAAAAACATTTTAAATTAAAAATATTTAAATAAAACTGATAATAAATATTTTAAAATGACAATAAACTGTCCCACAATACGGGTCTTCTTTAAAGGTAATAAAAAAATTAGACCAAATAAATTAACTTGCATAATTGTTATATTTTGATGGAAGAAAAATATTAATAATGTATTCACCAACATACTGTATGATTTTTTTTAAATAATTAAAACATTCATCTCATATACTTTTATTTTTTAAAATTATTTTTAACTTTTTAAAAGATTAGCAATCACAATAGGTGGGTTGAAAAATATGTTTTAAAAAAAGTGTGTTGCTGTGAGATAAAAATTCACTTAATCCGGGCTAAAGCGAGTAGGACGGGTCGGGTTAGATCCAAACCACAATGTTCATAACAAAAGCATTGAGGAAAACTAAAGAGGAGCTTCACAATCGCGCAAATCATCGTCTCTCTTTAAAACCCTCCGCCGCCGGTTCTGTTGCACAACGTCTGGTTCCGCCGCTGCCACCGTCGTCTCCGGTGTCTTCGTGGTACAGTTATCTATGCTTTCCATTCTTAAATTGCTTTTATTTTTAGTTAATATTTGTATGTAAAAATCAGGACACCTCTTCAATCACTCCTTAAACAATTGTGAAATGTTGTTATTGTGCTTGAAATTTCTGATTAACGAGACTAACTATGCATTAACCACGTTTATTATAATTCGAAGTTTTGCATTCTCAAACCTTACCTTAAACTTCTAGGTTTAACCGTTCTGCTTGGTCTGTTGCTTAATGATGTAACGACCTGCAAGTGTTCTGTTTTGGATTTGCGTTTTTATGTTGCTTTCGACCGGGTATCCTGTATATTCCTACAAGCTTGCTCTTACTCTGTTCTTATTTCTGCATTGTGGCTGTTTGATGCTAGTTATTATCCACCTAACAGAAATTAATTGTATTTAATCTTTTAAGAGATTGAAAAATAAAACAAGTGTTGCTGTAAATGAATGTTCCTAAAACCTTCGAAACTATGTACTGCATAAGAGGGTTAGAGTTCAGTTTTTATGTTTGTTGAATATCTGTAAATTTCAGATTAGACTCGGGACATATTTTTGGGGAATCTGTGTTTCAGGGATTAATTTGTAGCGGTTAGCCTTCTTGCTGTGTAGAAAATGGCTCTAGAACTTTTTGATGGCAGTGATTCAGAGAATGATGACATCTCAAAAATCAAGATAAACAAGGAGTATGCTCGTAGGTTTGAACACAACAAGAAGCGGGAGGACCTCCAGCGTTTTGAGGAATTAAAAAAGAAGGGTGTTATTGATTCACCTTCACCGTCACAGTCTGAAGATGAGGAAGAATCTGAGTCTGTGTCATCTGAAGATGATGACCATGAGAATCTTTTCAGTTCTAGGAGTGACAAGGAGTTCTTTGATGCCTTGCTTAAGGTCAAGAAGCAAGATCCTATTCTTAAGCAAAAAGATGTTAAGCTTTTTGTATCTGATGATAGTAGTGACGACGGAAGTGATGAAAAGGAGAAAGTTAAATCAAAGGATAAGAAGGGTGAAAAACCAATGTATTTGAAGGATGTGATGGCAAAGCATTTGATTGAGGAGGGCCCAGATTTTGGTGATAAAGAGGAGGAAATAGATGAAAAGGAGAAACATAAATTAGAAATTAGTAAGGGTAAGAAGGTAATGCCTGCCAAGGATAGGGATTTTGTGAATAAGGATGGGAAGAAGACTTATGGCGATGAGCAAGAGGAGTTGAAAAGGGCTTTTCTCAAAGCCGTAGAAAAAGAGGGCTTGGAAGATGGTGAAGGGGAATTTTTCTCTGTGAAGGATAAGGTAGGTGATGAGGACAAAGTAGATAGTGATGACAAGGAATTTGAGGAGAAACTGGATGAGTATTTTGGTGGAGATGTAGAATTGAACGAAAGTTCTAAGTTTCTAAGAAGCTATTTCATGAACAAGATGTGGATTGACAAGAGTGGGGGGAATTTGAATGTTGGTGAGGAGGAATTGCAAGATATTTCAGAGGATGAGATGGAGATTGAGAGACAGGAAGAATACGAATATAGGTTTCAGGAAAATCATGGGGATAGAGTGTTGGGTCATGCTCGGAAGGTGGAGGGATCAGTGAGGAAGAAGACTAATCCAAGGAAAGAGCAGAGAAAGAGCAAAGAGGAGAGATTGGCTATAGCACAAAAGGAGAGGGAGGAGGAGTTGAAACATTTAAAAAATTTGAAGAAGCAGGAAATACAGGAGAAGGTTAAAAAGATAATGGAGACTGCGGGGATTCTTGATGATGATATTATCCCATTGTCTGTGGCCGAAATTGAAGAGGAGTTTGACCCAAAGGAGTATGATAGAATGATGAAGGCGGCATTTGATGATAAATATTATAATGCAGAGGATGCTGACCCGGATTTTTGTAGTGACGATGATGACATTGAGAAGCCAGATTTTGAAAAGGAGGATGAACTACTTGGGCTTCCTAAAGGTTGGGATGCAAGTGGATCTAATGATGGTTTTTTGGCCGCAAGGGAAAAAGCATTGAAAGAAAAGATTGAGAGTGCTAGTGATGATGATCTCCTGGATAGAGAAGATCAAAACGAAGAGAAAATTCCTGTGGAAGGTAGTAGGAAGAGGAAGCGTAAGACAGCACTTTTGGAGAAAGCAAGACAGGCAATGATGGATGAGTACTATAAATTAGATTATGAGGATACAATTGGGGACTTGAAGACAAGATTTAAGTATGCCAAAACAAAGCCAAATAGATTTGGCATGAATGCTTCTGAGATACTGTTGATGGATGACAAAGAATTGAATCAATATGTTGCCTTGAAAAAGCTTGCTCCTTACCGGGAGGAAGAATGGAAACTAAGCAAACAGAAAAGATACATGCTGAAGACAAGGACTAAGGAGCTCCTTCGTGCAGCAAGTTTGGATAAGAAGAAAAGGAAGAAGTCGAGGGTTGATTCTGGCAAGACAACTTCATCAAATAATGTTGTGGAGAATGAAAAAGCAAGCGCAGAAGATTCAAATATTAATACGGATAAGCTATCAAGGACAGCCAAGAGAAGGCGACAAATGGCTACTTTAAAATTATCACAATCAAGGCTTAAAGCATATGGGAAGATACCCACAAAATCTAAGCACGGAGGAAAGCATTGAAAGCTATGCAGGTAATTTACTTCAGTCTCGGGTTAATTTGGACTACTAAAATAGAAATATCTATTGCTGTTGTTAAATATGATTGATTTAATATGCGTTCCTTTCTAACTAACAAGGCAAATTATTTTAAATCAACGCAATTATATTCTATTGCAATTAAAGGTGGTATTGGATTAAGTTAATTTATTTTGAAAAAGAATTGTTTTCTGTCTTCTCCCCTTCCCCAACTTTGCCTGCTTGTAAACTTTTGAAATGTTTTGCAGAAGGAACCAACTAACCGAGGGACGTCTCTGAGAAGAGGATTGGAGCTTAATATTGCAAAATACAGTATGCTGGATGTGTTGGCCAAATGATTGTGCAGAATACTGTGGAGAGAAGTTTTGCATATTTTGTTGTTTCTCCAAATGATTAGAGTCTAAGGAATTTGTTAGTCCTAAACAAACTGTCAATGGAACCAGCAATTCAGTTTTGACCGAAAGGCGTGCTCGTCTGTATTTTCAGTATTGCATTTAGAATTATGGATCAAAACAAAAATTATATTGCGTTTAAAATTTGTGACTTAATATTGCTTATCGTGCCATTTCACAAGTTACTTCTACTTGAAAACAAGAGTATCAGTGTTACCACATCACGTCCAATTGATCTTTCATGCCATACAAGCTAATAATTATTCAAGGAATAGGATCACAACAGTTTTATGTATATAACTAGCGCAGCGTCGTAATTTACTGATCAAGGGGCTCGTCCTCTCCAGAGTAATAATGGCGAAAAGCACATGAAAAGTCTTTGGCTTCATGGCCACTGCTGCAGAGCTCAGCATATCTGCACAAAACAAAGTTCGTCAGTAAACAAGCTACTAATACTTGATATACTCAGGACTATCAGAATTTGTATTTATGAGCAAGATGTTGCCAAAGAAAACCTGCCCCCTTGCCTTAATGTTTAAGGATAAATAAGAGTTTGGTGAAAACACTGCTAGGATTTTGATGCTTGACCGGCACATTCATAATATAATAGTTTTTGGTATTACGGTCCAGAACAATTTTCACAATGGATTTAATAGCACGAGTCGTACCTGAGATACCTAGGTTATGCAAGAAGAGAGACTTACATCTTTTGTGCTTGCGATGTTAGTGGGTATTTACATCCAGCCAGTTTAGCTGATTCTACTGCTAGGTTCAAGTCTTTAGCCTGGACCACACATACAATTAATTCTGCTTATTTTTAACCACCAAAATTTCAAATTAAAGCAACCACACTTGTTTATCAAACTTCAAGTTAATAGATAATAAACTTGATCCCTCAAAGAAAAAAAAATTAATCAAAATAGACTTCACATTCGATATAGATTTGGGCTTTTTGTTTAAAAAAAAAAATTCTTACACTTCATTTAGCAAGTTTTATATAATTTTGAATAACGATTCCAACATCAAGTTTCAAAAAACAAAGAAATAAGATAAGCACACAAGAAATGCATTACGAACTGCTGAGAATAAAGTGAAAATAGTAAAGAAAAAGAGAAACAGCATGGGAGTCTACATCATTGATATATGATATTGCAAAAGTTCTAAAAAAAACATTGTGCACCAAGTAAACAATTTCTAGCAGTTTCCAGGCTGTAGCTCAATAAAATGGAGTGCCAAGTACAACCCTTTCGGCTTAATGGCAGAAATTATTGCATATTAAGAATTATCCTTTCTCTTCGATCAAGATGAATGAATTTGGTTGAAGAGAATCAGTAGTACCCAATTAAATTTGATTTTGAAATACGTGTCACTAACATGACATAATTCTGCTTAGTCGCATTCCACTATAAGAACTATTCATACTATAGATTTTCCAAATGGTACAATTGCCAAAATTAAACACATGCAAGTTGAGTTAATTAGTTAAAGCTCAATTGCTCACCATAAGCTTTGATGCAAACCCTCCATTATAATCCCTTGAAGAGGGCACACCTTCCATCAGTCCAGGAACCGGGTTGTAAGCATCACTGTAATCAATGCAACTACCACCTATTAATTTGATTGTCTAAATACCAAAACTTTTTAACATTCTAAAAAATTCCTTAAAGATTGTGAGCTAAGCTGTCTGTACATTGAAAGTTTTCTGAATGTACATGTTGCTGAAAAAGGAGTCATTTTACTGTTATCAGGAGCAAACTACTAGTATAAGGTCTAAAAGAACAAGACAATATATACAAGGACTGTTATTCTCGAGGAAAACAACGAATGAAAAATGATGCAATTTCCAAAGACTCTTTGGAATATGTCACTTCCAGTAGAGCTAAGTCAAGGCAACTAGTTAAGTGTCTGACACAATGTACTTCAACATTATGGCTTTTGAACTTCGTTGTACTTTCTACTGTATTAGGGGAACTATACTCTTACCTGTTCCATTATAGCCACAATATGACAAATCTAATTCTAAGGCTTCTAAGAATCTTTGCTACCACATTGTTAAAGATGCAGACAAATCCAACATAGTCTTGCAGCTAATTGTCATATTGAGTTGAGAGAAAAAGAGCTGCATACCTACTCCAACAACGGGCACTAGAGCAGTTAAATATTTGTGTCAAGGTGCTGGCAGAAACACCTAGAGATTGGCCCAGTGCAAGGGCTTCTGATATTCCCAGCATGCTTACAGCCAAAGCCAAATTATTGCAGATTTTTGCTGCCTATTAACAATAACAAAGCCCATGAAAAAATCTACGTGATTTAAAGTTAAGCACCAAAAACCCTACCTTAGTTATAAGTATGTAACTTACAGAACCACTTCCTGGTCTGCCACAATATATTGCACTTTTACCCATTGAAAAGAATAAGGGTTTTGCAGCAAGAAATGCTTCTTCAGAGCCACCAACCTGGGGAAGTTCCATATCTTGTTCATTACTCAAAATTTTGCCAAAAATTTACAACTTCGGTGCAAGTGTTTTAACCCTAACCTCATTCCCGAGCACAGTCCATCACAATACAACCTTTGTTAATTAACCAATCAACCTTTTAATGCATTATAATAATATTGTGGAATGATTATTATCAAACTTTAACATCAAATTGAGAATCAATATCATAGAAACTTTAGTGAACTCCCAGTTTGGTCATTAGAGTACCAAGTTGGTCCTCAAATGATAATTTTGACACCATAATAGTCCAAAAGTTACTGCAAACATGGACCAAATCGGTGTCATTCAATGACCACAGATGATCATTTAAGGTCTGATGTGATCTCACCAATTTTTCAAAGATCAATTGTTGAACAATTTTGGCTTAATGCCTTCTTTGATTCTATTCTCCTCCATAAATTATACAAACTCATTTACAAGTATTAATGACAAAATAATTTTATTTGCCAATTTGTGAAACCTAAATTTGGAAGTCTAATTACAAACAATGAATAGACTAATTCCTATTCCTAATATATACAGCATATAATAGGAACAATAATAATAGTAATTGATTCTCTCATTAACACAAATTGGGAGTCTACTCTAAAAAGTACCATCCCCAATAAGAATTGGAAAAATTAGTGATAGAGTTTGTCTGGTTTCTAGGATCAAATGCATGGTCATCGAACAGACAACTACTACCAAAATTGTAAATAAAACGGTAATACTACCATAAAAGTAAGTGTCCCAGATTCAGCTGCAATAACACTTCCAGATACAGGAGCATCCAACTGGAAAGGCATTTCCCAATCACCTACAAAATGTTTAATCATTCAGTACCACATCGGTAAATCATTTAGCCTATTATTAAATGCTTGAAAGCAAGTGATAGACCAGGAGGATTTTATGATAGCCCCTCTATCATTCATAAGAAAAATAGAATGAGATAACTTATACATTAGAAGACTTTAATTTAAGAATCGCTTTCAAATGGATAGAGATTTGAACCTAGTTACATTAATAAAAGCTAGACAATAGCATTGGTAAGAAGTGGGCAATTTTCAGTTTGGAACCAGTTAGGTTGTAGTAGTTGTACATTCATTTTACACGTGCCAAAACTGCATACCTATTATTAACATCAACATCAATTAAAAAGTTAAAGGAACACAACGTCACAAAATGACAAAAATTAGCTCATCAGTAATTCAATGAGAAATTAGATAAACTCTCATGAGAAAGACATGTAAAGCTAATAGGAATGATATTAGAAATATTTGCCACATGATTGGCAAAAGAAACAAGCAGTTAGCTGACATGTTTTATGAACTTCAGGAAGAATTAAAGAACCTTTATGAAATATTGGAACAGTAAGATACACATTGCAGAATTGACTGCTTTGTGGTAACAATAAACTTGCCTCTAGAGGTTTGTGTGCGGGAGCAACCATTAACACACACTGATGAGATAGATGTTAAACTCCACAAATAGAATAAAACTTCCCCTCAAGTTTTAGATAAATTATCAATTTTTTGTGAATTTCAAAAAGTGAAAAGACATTTTCACAAATTTGTCAAGGAATTTTTCTTGAGCAACAAATTAGTTATGAATGAATGAGATAAAAATAATTCTATGGTGCTAAAAGGAATAATGAATTCACAGATGGAAGTTCAAGTTAAAATATACTTTATTTGGTTGATACTTTACTTTATGTTACCTTTCTTTTCTTTTAGAATATAATTAGACACTGTGGCAGAAAGATTTCTTGAAGTTTGTGGATCAATAGTTGATGAATCTATCAATAACCATGGCCTTAGGAGTTTTCCACCATGAAGCAAACCATTTGGTCCAGTGTAAACATCAATCACCTACTTAAATTGAATCAGGTTGTTATTTTGACATCAGAACAAAGTCATGTAATAATATTGGGAGCAATAAGACAATTCATCCATACCCTGTAATATTGGGAGCAATAAGAATTTCAGATACACAATTAAGAAAACTGTTTAGCTAAATAACAGTTTACAAACTTTAATTATAGATGCGACCATTTATATAAAGCTAAATGAGTGAAAGTATATAATCACACTACACATGAATAATTTGATAAAAAGCTTGGCTACTAAATAAGTTCATTTCTATGTCTCCAAAGATAGATTACAAATCCTATATTGGTTTAGGCAATATGCTATACTAGGTTAAATAGGAAGAATTGATGAAAAGAGGGGGGGGGGGGGTGCAAGCATCATGTTTCATCATGATACAGATTCAGAAGCCTTCCCTTTTGTATAAAAGAAAGCAGTATGGGTGAAATCAAAGAGATTTATTTCCTTTTTTTATTTTACCAAAGAAGCTGTGTAGGGAAGTCAACAAGCACATAATCTGAGCTAGTTAACCAAAAACTGAAATCATTCCATAGAATAAGACGTAGTTGAAAACTGTAGACGAAACTGAAGCCACTAATGTTGTAATGTATTCACATTGAAGGAAATGTCATAGAGCTAATGGCCATACTTACATGGGCAGAAGAAGGTAACATTGTAATTACAACATCACAGGCTTCTGAAACTTCATAAGGTGTTTTCTTCGTGGGAACTCCCATCTGAGAGAACATCTCAAGAACATCAGAGTTTCTGCCATTTTTTCACAAATTCAATTAGCACCATAGATATTCTGCTTAAATTAACAAAAAATGAAACAACCCAATTATATTAACATTGCCATTAACTCAGACTCCCCATATCAAGCACATTCTCATGCCATGCCTATATCCTATGAATTGCATTGCACTACCAATGAAATGAGAATATATTACACTCACACGGACAAATTTAGTAACTCACAGTCACGCAAGAAAAAAAAAAGGGGCATGATAAGCTCAAGAAATTGTTTAAAACAATACGCGTCGTGAACTGTAAGTCTGAATCCAGCTTTGATCAAATTATTTGCCATTCGGGATCCCATATTTCCAAGCCCAATGAATCCAACATTCTGCAGTGTATCAATTAATTGAAAGCGTAAATTAACAAAACAAGCATTAAATTAACATGTCTTCTGGGGATATGCCAACATGATAAATTGTAGCTGAACCTATAAAGAAACAGTTAATGATCTTTCAACTCAAACACAGCAAATGAAGATAATAAAAATCATAATTCACGATTGAAGAAACTAGTCATACACTTATTAAGAGCTTGTCGACAAAAGTGTTGAAAAAACATCAAATTCATGCTTCGCATTCCAGTGTTTTAAATACTCAACTCTCAACTTATAAATGCAAAATCAATCATAAAAATAAAACATAAAAAACAAAATCATATCTTCACTTTGAAATAAAGATAAAAAAAAAAAAAGACACCCCACATATAAAATGAGGCAAAAAGCATCACAATTCATTAGCATGATAAAGGGTACAAGTTATTTGAAGTACCCAGTTAAGAGTTGGCATGAAAGATGCAAGCTTCGCACGTTTAAGAGATAAAGAATGAGGGTTGAGAGAAAGGGTAAGATAAAGCAAGTAGAAGGATGATAGTAGTAGTGATCACAGACCTGCAAGTGAGGAGGGGGAACCTGTGATGAAGAGAAAGTGCGTATCGGAGAAGAGATAAAAAAAGAGTTGCATTTCGAAAGAGAAACCAAAGATTTCAACCTGCAAATCGCCATATTATCCTTTCTCTCTTCTTCCTCGTTTTTTTGTTAGTTCAAGTTCCCATTGCGGCACCTTTTTCATTGCAATATCGTATGGGAATTTTACAAGAAATATATTTATATTATTAAGAAAGACAAATGTTAATTGGTTAACGAATAAAAATAAAAAATATTATTAATCTGCCATTTTTAACGTAATTCTTTAATGCAATTAAATATTTTCTTCTTCTAGTAAATAAGAAAAAACAAGTGGAAGAAATTATAATAGAATCATAATTATTTATTTTGAAAACATAGGATCAATTTTAACAGTAGAACTCTGATAAGCTCAAGAGTATGAGACCAAACAAGATGAGGCAAGGGGGTGTTGCAATGCTGGCCAAATTGTTGATATCTGTAAAAGGTATTCCATCCAACATTTAAATTATTGTGTGCACTAATTGATCAACAATGATAGAATATGGGTGATCATAAACAAATCAGAATATATATCTTGTTGGGTATAATTAATCACCTAAAGTTTTAGAGCTCTCTAATACATAGGATGTTAGAAAGGGTTGAGTTAAGGTGGGCCTTGAATTTTGCGTCCAACCCAATAGCACCTTTGAAGTTTGAGTTTTATATCCTCTTAAATCGACCCATAAGCATAGTATATTACAAACAACCTTTCACTTTAAGGTTAAAGTAATGAAGAGATGAGGTTGAAATTTTAGTCAAACTCCCTAACTTTTTCCTCTCTTTATTCTCTCCTTTCCCTTCATGGTTTCTATTTTTCTGTCCCAAAACTTCTTTCTCTATTCGTTTCTCTGCTATTTTATTTTTCTTTTCTTTTATATTTACTCTCTCTCTCTCTCTCTCGGTGATATCTCCAGAATATTTCACTTATTTCGTTCTTCAAAAAGATTAATCATTTATTCATTCATCTATAGGAATAAATATGGTGAGATTTTTATTTTTAAGGATTAATTTGATAATAGATTAACTTTTTTAAGATTAATTTGGAGATAATTTTATAATATTTGAGAAATTAATTTTGTGATGTAATTATATACATAATTTTGTATGATCCAATTGAAAGTTTTAGTAGACAAAAATTCCTAAAATATATTTTTTATCATTAGATAAAATTTACATATTTTTCATCGTATGAATCCTACATCTATAAGAGTCTTATTTGTACAACTATTTATTTAATATGATTCAACATATTAATTTATATTTTAAATTTTGTCAAAGAAACTTGAACCTAGTTATTATCATTATTAGCAAGGTACCTGTGTTATATATGAATATGTTATTTTATACTTTTTTAAACAATGCAATAAAATTATGTATGATATAATATACTGTGATTTGAATTTAAATTATAATATTAAAAATGTTATGATTAATTGATATGTTTTAATGACACAAAAAAATAATAATGACTATTTTAAAAAAAATACACCTATATAAATTAAATATAAAATAAGAATAAAATGTATAAGAAAGGAGAAAAATTAAATTACATCAAGTGAAGTTACATTAATTATTATGTCATTTAAAAATGTTATTAATAAATTTTATTTTAAAATTAATCATTAATTTTTTAAAAATTATTATATGAATTATATTTATTAAATTTTAGATCAGTTTAAAATTATTTGATACTAAATTTATATTTATCAAACTTAATGTAATATATACTTTTGTAACATATAAAAATATGGACTCTTTAATTGTATTCTTATAATTGTTCAATTTTGATTAAATTTAACAAATAATGTAAATAATATATAATTATGATTAAATAGATTAATTAATAAAAATTTTATATAAATTATTCTTCGTCATCTTATGAAATTCGTTTAATATTTTTGTCTCATAATCTTTTTTATATTTTAGATGATCCTTTAAACTTGGCTTTTGGACTTATATTCTTAGGCAAATTAATATAATTAATTTGTCTTTCTATTTTTTCTTTACTAAAATATTAAAAAATTTGTAAATTTATAACTTTGCAATATGTTTCACGAACATAGTGTCAAAATAAATTTGAAAAGTTCTAAATATTTCTCACCCATTAAGTAAAAATATTTAAATTAAAATTGAAGTTTTAAAAAGTAAAATTATAAAAATAAATAAAATATGGATGAAAAAATATTTATTTATGAAAAAATTATAAACATATTATTAAAATTAATGTATTTAATATTTATTTATTTTTACAACGTGAGATACTCTTTTTCACTGACGGTCTGTTATAAAATAAAATAATATTTTACTATATTTAAACTCTTTAAAAATAAGTAAAAATGTTGAGAATATCATAAGAATAATTAGAAAATAGCGAGTTTCTGTTCTCATTCAACGTTGATATCATCTTTAACATTAAAAAATCATCATTCAGACGAAATAAATAACTATACCTATCTTATTGATTCATTGCATTTGAATCATGAATCACGTAGATTGGGCATCAATAATGTAATACTATTATATTAATTATAATACTTAATACTATCTCTTAATCAACACCATTTATATTATAATTTTAATATAACCCAATTCATAATAATCTTGTGACATTAGTTTCAAACTTCGTTTGCAGTGCATGGTTCAGAATAAATTTGGTATCAAAAGATTTTGTGTATAAAAGCCCCCATATAATTTTTCCCAATTCGAAAGAAATTAAGAAATTGTATGATTAAATCACTCATTTTGTGAATAAAACACTCGAAAAACCCATATATGATTAAAGCAAATGCAAATAAATTGGGAATAACATTTATTATGCATTTATCTTGAATGATGAATTTTCTTTGGAGTTAATTTTCTCTCTCTAGGAAGTACTAAATTAAAATGCACATTTAATAGGCAAATAGCCTATGCCTATGTATAATGGTGTTTATGGAATGTTAGCAATTAAAATAAACTGTCTAGTTGAAATATAGTTGCTATGATAAATATGAATAAAAACCAATACACTTAAAAGATTTTAATTTTGTTAATAACTAATTACACACCTAAACAACTAATATATAGATATGGTTTAAAAATATTGCAGGTTGAAAGGAACTTTACTAAGAACTAAGATGGAAATTACTCAATATTTTCTTGTGATGCAAACTTGCAAGAGAAGCAAATAATCTGCCAAAACTTCATTTTTTATTGTAAATAGAATAAATAAATAGAGAATAGTATATGCTGATGACTTTTCAAAAATTGTAGACTGAATAAATTCATATTCTAGAATGTAAGGATCGCAATCGATCGACGACAATTCCAAATACGATTTGCTACTTAAAAGATTTGTCAATATTGAAAAGTAAGAGAGCAAAAATTCAAAGCAAGAAAGTGCAACAAAGAAAGAATACAATAAAATTCAAAGATGTCAACATAACAACGGTCTGTTATGTTATAGTAAGTTTGCAAATCACATATAAAGCTTTAGGAAAAAAGTGTATATTTATTTTTAAAATTATGTTAAATGTAAAAAAGTACAATTTTATTTGAATGACAAGTGTTTTTATGTTCTTCAAATTTACTTTAAAGATAAATTTTTAAACATTTTACTTTTTCTTTTTTTCAAATTCATCTAAATGTAAATCCGAACATTATGCAACTAATTAATTAAAGCTATGCCGTTATGACTAAAATTCTGCCACTATAACTGTCACATTATTTTTTTATTATAATTTTTCCGTTTAATTTATTACTTCATTTGTTTTTATTATATTATCTACATTAATATTTTTTTTTAATTTTTATAATTTCTTGACTTTAAATTTGTATATTTATTTTAAGATTTTAAAACAAATAAAAATAAAATTTTATTAATTTTAAATATATAAAAAAGTAAATGCACATTTTATTCCATATATTAATCCAAAATATAGAAATATATGTTTTAGAAAATTATTTTACATTAATTTTTCTATATTTGTAAAATAAATTGTAAAAAATCATTTATAAAACAATTTTTTTCTAATAAAATTTATAAAACAATTTTATTACATATACTGATCAACATTATATTATATTAATGGTCATATTTGTAATTACAAACGTTGACAAATCCTTATATGGACTTTTTTGGTCAGAACAAATCCTTATGATTAAGTTTTAGAAAATAATAGAAAATTTGAGACTTAAACACCAAGGAACAAAGACTAGTATGATTTCGGCCATGAAAGAGACACAACATTTTTTATTTTGGGTGTGTGCTTGTGTTCAAGCTATTAGACTATTAGTAAAAACAATTTAAGTAATTTTTTAAATAAATTTTTATGAAAAAATATAAAAAATAAATAATTTTTTACGAGTAAAAAATAAATAATTTTTTACGAGTAAAAAATAGCTTATTTTTTATATAAGATAAAAAAGTTCTAAAAAATAGAAAAAACACAAGTTAATTTTTACTTATGAAAGAGTTTAATATTCTTATAAATAATTAGAGAAAAGTTTATCTAAAGTGGACATTGTCTTTCGCATTCTATACAAATATTTTTGGTGTTACACAATTTCTGTGACATTTCCGCAAGATTTTATATGGTAAACATGAACAAATTATTATACAGCCTTATCCATTACGTATTAAACAGGCCTTTCACACTAATATTAAACAGATCTCCTACTTCAATGAACAAGACACTAATGCTTAGTATATAGTAGTTTACGAAATGAGATAAAGAGAATATGAGATTAAATTGAAAGGTGACAACATCAATAGATTGTTAACATGGTGAAAGTAAGCTAGTTGATTGGTATTAATGCTATGAAATCCAACCATCGTTATTTAAAGTTACATGTTTATATATAATTGTCATTTATTACAAATAAAATATTCAATTAAAATCCAAGCTTCCTGGTTGGTGGGTCTAATCTTGGTATTTTATCGTAATTTCGTGGTCTCCATTGCACTCTATCAATCGCTCTCTTTTATTAGAAGTATTCAAACTTCAAACACACACACACACACACACCACATTTACTTTGAATTCATTATCCATGTTTGGTAAACGTCATGGCTTAGAGCATCTGCAATGCACCTCCACCTATTTCTTCTATATAAATCTCTTGTCCAAGGTTAACAATTGAACCACGTAATTTGTAGTTGAAATCGAATCAGTTGGTACCTTAATTACAAGATAGTGGTTACTCTTCTATTCTCAAACAAAGCCCAATTGTATAAGGTACGATCCTTTATTTTCCACACAACAACTATTTTCAATTTCTTGCTTCATCCTTAACAATCATCATCATTGAAAATTTACATATATAAACATGAATATCTCTACCCGATCTCTATGATCTAAAGGGAAGCTTCAACTATTGCTAACATGGCATGCTTATGTTGTTCATTAATTTTGTTTCGTTTTCATGCAAAAGAAATATAATTTATGGCTCTTAAAGAAGGGGTTATGTGCCTACGAGCAAATAATGAGAAAATATTAAATATATTTCATTAAGTATTTTAAACTACTTGAAAGCAGTAATCAATAATATTTTTTTTATATAAAGTCTAAGTAAAGTAAACTGTTATATGTTAGTACTTATTGAAAAAAATAATATTTTTTTTCATAAGTTAAAATCAATTTATACACTTTATATTTTACAATGTCAATTGAAAAAAAATTTAAAAAATAAAAAAATATAAGTTAACTTTAATTTATGAGAAATATTATATCTTTATCTTTTTATTTTTTTTATAAAAGTATTATTGCATAAGTTTACTCAAATTAGATTATAATTAATATTTTTAATAATTAAAAATCTGTTTAAAGATTAGTCATAACTTTGATTATGTGTACTTTTTAGTTTTTCCATCATTTTGAATTCATATAGTGGCATGATATTTTTCCTTTGTTAGTGAAATTCTTGTTGGTCTTGCTGAAGATGGTGCCTAACTTCTTCAAATTGAAGATATATTTATTTGCTTTTAATTAATTATAGCTAATAAAGATTATGCTAACAGATGAACATGAGTTTTGTATCTCGAGATTGGGTGCTTTCATGGGCAATACTACTTTTGGTGTCAGGCACACAACACTCATCACTTGCTCTTGGGAAGACTCAAAATAAGATTCAAACAGATGTTTTTCTATCTCCAAAGTTTGAACTAGGTCCAGGGTCAGTTACAAATAAATATTACTATGATGTTGAGTTCCCAAAGGGTCATATTGCACTCAAGAGTTTCAATGCTGAAATAGTTGATGAAACTGGGAATTCTGTGCCTCTCCAAGAAACTTATCTCCACCATTGGGTTGTTGTGAGGTACTATCAACCAAAAAATGTGTCACACAATAGTCAATCAGGTATTGTTGTGGTGAGAAATAGTGGCTTATGCCAAGGTAATGTTCTTGGACAATATTATGGCATTGGATCTGAAACAAGAGGAACAGCTACAGATATTCCTGATCCTTTTGGAGTAGAAGTTGGTAACCCTACAAAAATTCCATACGGGTATGCGGAGAAATGGGCAATTAATGTACATGCCATTGATACAAGGGGTGTGGAAGATAGGATGGGGTGCATTGAATGTAGATGTGACCTTTATAATGTTACAAAAGATGAAAATGGTAACCCTTTGAGTCCTAATTATAAAGGAGGCTTGCAATGTTGTCCTGATAACTCCCAGTGTAGGATGAGAAAAGGGTTTCAAGGTCCAAAACGAAGCTTATATCTTAAATATACAGTAAAGTGGGTCAACTGGGACAATTTTATGATACCTCTTAAGATTTATATACTTGATGTGACTGATACTTTGACTGTATCAAATAAGTCAAAAGGAATGAGTCCACAACATAACTGCCAGGTAAGTGAATTAGTTATTAAAAAACATATATCATGTCATATGTTTTTGTTTTAAATACATTCATCTCTCTTCAAGTAAGCGTTAATTAATTATATTTTCACTTTATATATTTGTTTTTTTTTTTAATAAATCTTACTTTATATATTCTTATATGTTACTTGTTATTTATTTAGTTTTAAAATTATACATACATTCCTTTTGTATATATGAATCATACACAAAGTATTCTTAAAAATTACAAAACAAAAGAAGTTAATTAGATGTAGTTTTTAGGTAAAAATAATATGTTTAATTAACATTAATCTCAAATGAAGTCAATATTATTATTATTATTATTATTATTATTATTATTATTATTATTATTATATGATTTAAAAAAAAAAACAATATAAAATCATTAGATTATTTAGGGAATTGACCCAGACAACTTTTGAAAATATAAGGGTTCGATGGTGAGTTATACACTTGGTTCTTGGATCATTTCTTCTTAATTAAAAAAAATCAGTCGTCTTAGAGTATTTTTTTTTAATATATATATTGAAATCATGACACTGAATATATAATTATCTTTCTATTAACTTTTGAGATAAAAATAAGGAAAAAAATTCTCAAAATAAGAATATAAACTAATAATATGTGTTACAGAAAGACCAAGAATTTACTCCTGATAGGAGGATACAAGAATTCTTCCACACGTTGTATGTATGTAACACAGATTTATTTGTTACAGGTTGAGTATGATATTGAAGCTTGCAACAAAGACCATAAGAATAGTAGTGGTTGCGTTGATGTGAGAAGAACAAGACTCCCACTGCAAAATGGGGGTTATTTCATTTATGGAGTTGGCCATCAGCATGTTGGTGCCATTGCATCAACTCTATACGGACAGGTGAGGTTGAATAATTATGGTTATTCTTGACCATTCAATATTATTGCTTTCTAGTAACATATGAGTGCATGAGCAAAAACTAAACGTTGCAAAATGCGTGGTATACTATTGTGCCCTTAAAATTAAAGAAGGATTATAAATATGCATCTATTTGTTCTTTCATGTCATTAATTTCAATGAGGATCGTCAACCTTTTTATTTATGACAAAAATTAAGAAATGGTAAACTTTTTTTTTTTTTTTACCATTTTATTAGTAAGAATAGCCTTTCATTGTTTTAATCTTTCTATTGGTATGCTTCTTTTTCTTCATCAAATGGATAACAACAAACACGAAAAAAAATAAAAGGAATAAAAAAGAGTAAAAAACTTTATTTATTTAAAATATTTATAAAATAAATTTATATTTTTTAAACGAATTAATTATATAAAAAAGTTAAAAAAGTGTGTTCAAAAAATATATTACTAACATTTTTTTAAAAGAAAGATAATTGTAACTTTGTAAGATGTCAGAAATCATGAGATGTGAACTAAATATTGGAGTAGTGTTTATTCTTTGAAATTTTGGTGTGTGACAATTTCAGGATGGGAGGGTACTATGCTCTTCAATACCAAAATATGGAAATGGAACTAAAGCTGGAGATGAGAAAGGGTACGTTGTAGGAATGACCACATGTTATCCTCTACCAGGTTCTATCAAGATAACAGATGGTGAAACTTTAACTCTAGAGATTATCTACAGCAACAGCCAAATGCACAGTGGATTAATGGGGCTTTTCTATTTTTTGGTGGCAGAACAAGTGCCACACAAATACCTCTAAGTGCATCTATGAGGCTATTCTATGGTATCTATCCAAGTAAAAATGTTATGATAAAAAATAATAATAAAGTCATCACTGATATGACAAAGAATGTAGCAATTGTTATCTGTCATCAGTTCATTTTTGTAACATGTCATATGATTTCGTGTTGATTGTATTTTGTTCATGATATACATTTTTGGAAGTTCTTTCAAGATAATATAAGTGTCTATTTATATTATCAATTAATTGTGTGTGCGCGCACTTCATTCAAGTGAATTCATTTCATTTAATTCAGATTGATTTTGATTAAAAGAAAAAATTTTAAATACTAAGAAATATTAGACTAAAAAAGTGGATTAAGAATTAAAAAAAATTATTTTTTTATGCTATAATGAATGTAGCATAAAAGAATACGGGTAATAAGAACAAAGCAGACAGAGAAAGTTGGATAATAGACACATAATCTTAATCGATCAAGGGATAATCAAATTTTGTTAAGATGAATTTGGAGGATAGATGAGTTTAAATTAATTAAACTAAATTGAATAGGAACAAAGTAAGTTAGTGCAAATAATTCTAGGAAACTTGAATCAAACCAACTCAAACAAATTTACGAGTTAGTTCAAGTTGAATAACTTAATAGAGAGGATTTTTAATTTTGCTAAGCAAAATTAATTTGAAAAATATTACAAAATAAAAATTAATAATATCATTTACAAAATAAAAAAGGGACATAATTTGAGTTTAGATTTTCTCAAGCCAAAACCTGCCCCAGCATATATCAAGTTTGACACTTAAAAAATCAATACAAAATGATGAACTAATCCAAACCGAAAAAAGAAAAATGCATGTAAATTGACCTGATACCCTTATCGTCGAATATGATTTATTGATTTAATTGCTACCGACTACTATTATTTCATAATAATAATTTTGCATATATCAAATAAATCGTATCTAATAAGGCCAAAAATAAGAAAATCTGGATATCCTGTTTCATATAGAAACCAACCGCACTTTAGAAACTTCTTAGTTTTTACTAATTTTTTCATTCCAATTGATGTTCTCTCTGACACACACTTGCACTTTACGTAACTAAGAAATACACTGATTTCATAGTAGTGCAAATGATGATATTTGCATTCCTTTTGTGATGAGACTAATCGCTATAAGTTTATTAGAATTTAGATTTATCTATTTTAAATTGATTTTCTTTTCTATTTTTTATTTTGTCTTATTAATTTATTGTTTAAATAATTAATTTATAATCACTCAGTATTTAATAAAGTATTTAATAAGATAGTTCATGCGAAAAGAATAACTTTTTATATTTCTTGATAGTAACCGTACACTTGGAGATCTAACATGCCCTGTTCTATAACAGAGCAAGGGGTTCAGGAATGGTAGGTGGGCTGAAAATCCAGCCTTAAAAAAGCAAAAGTTGGCCAGACAAAACCTAAGCCATGTAATAGGAAAGGACTTTAATCAAATGTTTGATTGATAGCCCAAACAAGAACTGAAATCGCAAAATTAAGTATTACAACCTTCAGTAATCGGTTAACCTTCTTGCGTACAGTACACAAGTTTTTAAACTTAGGGATCCTATAATCCTCCTTCCTTCAATAACTTCAAAATTTTCTTGCAGACTATCTTTTTGGCTGTTTTCTTATGATCAGGACCGTTATACTCACCCTCTTGAATAACCACTCCATTAGATTGTATCTCCATTCTATAAGTAGTGACACCATTATCCCTGCTGACCTCAGGTTTCGATATAACATAACCTTTTTTATGACAGAGTTCATACAATTCTCTGGTGGGATTGAGCTTCAATGTTTCAGGTGTGACAAGTGGTTCCAAAAGGGGCCTTATTTTTTGCCACACAACCTCCTTATTGTAGCCTGAATCAACAAGAATTGCTCCAGCCAAAGACTCAATTATGTCTCCAAGTACCTGTCAAACAATAGGAAAAATCCATGGGTTTTGTAATGGATAAGATAGCTGATCATTACAATCACAAAATAGAAAAGCACTAAACGCTACCAACAATACATTTTTAAATTATGTCAAAGAACTAATGACCCTATAGAAGCGAAAAAAGCAGGTATATGTTGTTTGAACATGAGTTATGACAGACGATTAATATTTGCAAGGACCTTCAACTTTGGAAAAGCACAATATTTTGATCAAAAGAGGCTTAATACATTAGGGTACTAGTTCTCCTTCAACATTCCGTGGGCTTTGAAAACAAGAAAATGGATTGCAGCTTCTAGAAACGGAGTACTATATTGAGTGAAATAACTAATGTATCCTTCCCAGCATTCCAAAAAATTGCAAGAAAAACAGAATAAAAAGCCAGAACATGCTGCCCCTAAAATGAAAAATAAAACGGTACCAATGGATTTTCATGAAAAAACTTACAAATGGGAAAAATTAAAGAGTTCAAAGAATTTTTTAAATTACCCGTGTACTCTTCAACTTTGCTTCCCCCAACCCCCCTCTCTAACCATGGTTGTTAGGCATTCATAATAGCTTTTATAGAACAACTTTCATACCAAATAACATTGCTAAAGAAAAGAAATACGGTCTATGTTGCCTCCCATTGCTTAAAGACCGTGTTTTCTCCAAGGTTCATCCACTATAAAAAATGATATATTTATTTATTTAGTTATTAATTCTCAAGGATAAGGAATCTCTGACGTAAATTTGTCTACAAGGTGAGTGACCATGTATCCATCCCAGAAATTTTAGGATAAATACACCCCCTTCACAATAAAGTCACTTTTGAGGAGCTTTTTTCACTATTCAAACACCACTACAACAGTAATAGTGTAGAGTAGCATTATCTCAATACTTAGACAACAATAACCCAGAGAACCTATAAACCAAATTTTAACAACTAACCTTGGGGAGTGATGTCTCTGAATCCCATCCAGAAGTTGACAATGAAGACAACTTATCAAAATCATGAAGTGTGACAGCAATATCCTTATGCAGTTTTTGTGAGGCATGTAGTACATGTTTGTGCAACCCAGCCTTAATAGCAGACCATGCATAACAATCATTATTCACAGAAGCTGACCTCATGTCAGTTAACTGCCCAGGTGACATGCCAGGATATTCATTGTACAAATGCCAAGTAATCAGAAAATCCAATACTGAATCTCCAAGAAATTCTAATCGCTGCAAGGCAAGGAGTATATATGATTCACAAATTGAGATAAAAGAGAATAACTGGTTACAAGAATATGAGGAAACATATTAGACATATCATGAAGAAAAATGTGTGCAATTACTATTTACTTGGTTCCACCAAAACTTGCAAAAGATAGGCTAGCCAGTATAGAGCTGGTAACAGTTCTGTCCTTCATTTATATATATATGCATGCTAATGTTGCTAATGTATTGTTTCCATATTATGAATAATATCCCGTACCTGATAACATCTAGGAACTTCAGGCAGCATGTAAGAACCATGGGTCAGAGCTTCTAGTAAAAGAGAACAATCACGGAATGGGTACTTTAATAGTGATTCTAGAAAGCTGACATGTACAAGATTCTCCACATGATCATTGAAGTGCCTTTCATAGGGTATGGTATTAAAACTCACTTTAATACCAACTGAATCCATAAACAACAACGCAGCCTTTTCACCACCATTGCTGAGGCAGGCACCAATTAGTGCCTCAACAACATCAGCAACAGTCTTCTTTTTTAATTTTCTTTCTCCACTAACATAAATTTTTGTCTCATTGATAACCAACTCTTTTATTTTAGAACTTATAGATTTATCACCAGGAATGATCCAGGTATTAGGATCAAAAGGCTCATTTTGTATGAAGCCCTGCAACTCAAAAGAATAGTTGTTCAATAAAAAATAAAAACATTATCAGCAAGTACAGTTTCAAGATGATAATGCAAAAATCTAAAACCACAAGTTTCATCTGAGAATAGTACTTGTCATGACAAAATACAGCAGATAAAAACAAAGAATGCTGCAGATTAAAAATCAGCAGCACATTTGAATAAATAGGATTTCCAAATCAGAATACAGATAAGAAATCCTATGAAATCTTAATTTAAATGTGAAGAATGCTGAAGAATATCACCATAACAGATGCAGGGCATATAAATGTAACACAAATATCAGAGAGAAAGAGAGTACCGGAAGTTTAGAACTGCAACCTAACTTACAGAGGGCAGCATTAGAAATTATCTTTTGCCTCTTCAAACTAAGGAGACCTTCATGGTGATTTTGATAGGTTTTAAAAAGCTGTTGGCTGGCAGCATATTTTAAAAAAGAATCTCCAAGAGTCTCTAGAGACTCGTAATGAAAGGTCTCTTTGCATTTTTTTGTAGTGATTGCTTCCAACACCTATGGTGCAAAACAAAGATACCATCAATGCAAATATCTTTAAAATGTTTGACAACAGGAAAAAAGATTGGGAATCTACACATTCAGATAACATCAAGACAAATTAACAAAAGATGCTAGCATAGAATGTTTCCATACAGACAAGTTTCTTCCCAATCTCTTCGCTGAGTATTGGCTCAGGCAATGGGGAGAGGGTAAAAGGAGGGCAGGCCAGAGGGAATTAGTTACCTTCACTGTCCAGAATGCCCTGCTTTCTACCTTTCAGAATCAGAACTACCACACACGCACTCACTCACTCACTCACCCACACACACATAAGTTGTTTATTCTGGAGGAAAAACTTTAAAAACATGATATTTTCTAAATTGTAATGATGAGCAAATTTGCAGAATAGCAGTAGTAGCACACCTTGACTGTTTGAATTTCATTCTGTGTGCAATGATCCAAATGCATCTTTTTCAAATTGAAAGCTCCAAGCAATGACCCAAGTCTATGCATGATTGACGGAATAAATGAGAAAGAATAAATGATCCTATCTGTTATTGGTGACATGATTATAGAGCACACTTCAGGCGGTAATTCAACAAAGCTCTTGCTATCTTCTGAAAAAACACAGTTAAGCTTCAGACTGGATCACTTATTTGTAGTGATTGAAAACAGAAATCACTAAATATGGCTGCAACTTCTTCAGTACAAATACAAACATAATTTGAGAAAGAATAAATTTAGGCATCATAGCATTGATAACTAAAATCTTGTTAAAAGAAGTAGTTACTGATACTACAAATCTCATTCATAAGAAGATTATACATTTACAGTCAGTAACAAGCAAGCCAATATACAGGTAACAACTAAGAAACTGAATTACTGTGTATCACACAAGGAGGCAGGGACCATTTTAATAGTTTTAAATCCCAGAAACAGCAGAAGAAAAAGCAAACTAACAAACCTCATTTCCTTTGCAATTATAATCAGAACAGAGGGCATGTAATGGCATTCAGAAAATTCCAATTCATATATTGGTCATATAGCCAACCCTAATTTTAAGATTCACAAGCATAATCAACTTCCTAGGTACTTTGGTACCCAAAACTGTTGGATTTAACAAAAAAAAGATGTATCACATGCATTTGTGGGCAACAAAGATTTTACATCATTGGTCCAATCTCACCAAGATTAAGGAACAAAAGAAACGAATGGAAAAATCAAAGGTCAAACCTCCTTCCTTCTCATGTCTGCTTCCGTGACAGTAATTTTTAACATGAAAATTGTGCCTTGCTTTAAGCAGCCTTTGATGTTCAAAATGCAATTGAATGCCATGACTGAAAATTATGGGGAAAAAAGATAAATAAGAATAATGCACTCAAGTAGATAAATTAACCTGAAAAAACAGCAACCACAAATAATTATTTACCGTTGCTTATAGTACTTCTTGTATGTAGTAACTTCACCAACCCTTAATTCCAGAGGTGAGTTTCCATCCAATTCTCTTATACCAGTGGTGATATAAATATAACCATTATGGGGTGTACAAACCAATGCATTTTGCAATTTACAAGTGCAAGCTAGACCATTTTTTGTCTGTATATTGGGTGTATGATACTTGCATGAAATATTAGATGGATTTACAGAATTAATGACAAACCAATCAACCAACGGACTGTGCCCTTGAGTAGTAGCCGGAAGCAGAAGATAATCAATTTCAAGATCATCCTCCAAATTGCATCTGTCCAAAACAGTTGCCAACTTTTCCACATTATCATCTATGAGAATTTTAAGGACTGTAACCTGGAATGTTTTACATAAAAGAACCTGGAAAAAAACAATAACTGCATTGGCTTTTCATAACACTTGCAAATATGTCAGATACATTTAAAGCAGAACTGGACAGCATACCTGATCAGGTGAAAGATCAATGGTTCCTTTATATCTTAAGTTTACTGACAAGCTACCTCTGTCAAAACACATATCGTTGAATTGCATGCATCCAATTTCTGGATCAAGCTCAATTCTGGTTGCAAGAAAAATGTCTTGAACTGAGATATCATAACTAAAATGTTGATTTAGCTCCAGTAAATAACAATGGTAGGTTGTGCGACTACTGTATGACACACGATTTACCAATCCAAAAGGTAGATAAGTTGGTTGGTTCTCATCGTAAGGTTCATTTCCTGTAAGAATTTGTTTGATGTTGAATTCAAAGAATTACATGGATAAATTAGTTTCATTGTCATGATATATTATTCAAAAAGGCAGAAGCAGAAGGATAAATGAATAGAAGGCATGTAAGTTACCAAATTCCTCCACCTCTGCTTCTTCAATGACAATGTCAGGGACGAGATTATCTGTCAGAGCTCCAATCTCATGAAGTTGTTTGCATGCTTCAAGGCATGCAATATTCTTTAAGAGTTTTTTGTCACCTTGTACATGAATAGGCTGTAGAGGGCAGCTCTTTGGAAGATACAACGTTCCAGTCTCTTTGTCCCACCTTGCAGTTGGTTTAAAGTACCTGAGAGTTTAATCTAGATGGAATAAATGAAGAACAGGAACTAGGTTGATGCAAAAGAAAACATATCTTCTGTTCATTAAAATGAAGGAAGAAGAATCAACAAGTAATAAGGACAGCAATGAGCTAACTAACCCATCTGCAGGGAGCCGTGAGCAATACAAATGAATCAAAGTAATGCTAGAACTAAGATTGGCAACTGCCTCAGTGCTTGCAACGCGATAAGCTTCCTCATGAAATTGATCACTTTCAAAAGGGTCGCATGGAAGGGAAGAATGACGCAATGACTCCTTCCTCATAATATCCCCACTGGCAAGGTATTTCTCTAGTCGGGAACGTGTAACTGAATCCCCACTGTAATTTCAGAATTAAATAAGGAAGGTGTTTGGGGGAAATTTAATTCAACTATTAAAACATAGATAGAACAAAATAAGAAATGATTGTATACATAATAATATTGAAGTAGTATTTATAATGAAAAAGACAGAAAAAAAATTAATTAAGGTGGTTTGAACAAGTGCAAAAAAGATTACTGGAACCACTAATGAAGAGAATAAATGACATGATTTTTAGTTTGATAAAAAGAAGTAAAGGAAGACCTAGAAAAATTTTAGAGGAAATTATAAAAAAAATATCTAATGATAAATAACAAATCAGAGAATTGACTTTTTGACTGAATTTAATGGCATCGTGTAATCTATGTAGTCAACTTTACCAAATGAGATAAAATTTAGTTGGTGCGATAATTTTGTTTCATGCAGAATGTTAATTAGCACTTGACTAAGTGCTAGAGTGATCATAATACTGAGAGGAGTTATGTAAAAAACTACCTCTCAACCATTAATATGTAATCTGAATTTTGCTTTCTGGCACGGCCTCGGGACTGTATAAAACTGCACACTGTGGGAGATGGGTCAAATCTAATAACCAAATTGCAACTCTGAACATCTAAACCCTCTTCAAGAATTGATGTTGCAACAATGATGTTGACCTGCATATTAAATTATTTGTTGCTTAATAAGAAATTGTATTTGGTTATTAAAATACAGGGGATTATCTAAGAAAGCAACATACCAATCCCATTCGAAATTCTTCCACAATATCATTTTGTTCATTCCTTGATTGATATTGCATTCCAAAATTGTCCCCTGCAATGAATTTAGTTTTCCAGCTATTGTATTTTGGAAGCAAGGCATTCAATAATGCCTCAAGGACAATGGCAGTGATGACTCTTTCCACAAAAACTATGCATCTCATTTCAGTCAAACCCCTGTAATTTTATTATGCATATTAGATATATAAAAAAAGATTGAATACTAATCATAATGACATTAAAAGATCATTGCACACAATCAAACAGTGCTATATTATTTGTCAACTATTTAGAACAAATTTTACTCAGTGAGTATAAAAAGATTAAAATAAATAAATAAATAAATAAAAATTGGAGTTTCACAAATTATGTCACAATCCAAGTTCAACACCCATCTCAACCTGAAGCTAACTATGACAATGTTACATGCAGACAGAAGAAGGACAATAAAGATGCTGAGGTGGACACAAAAAAGGATAATAAACGTGTTAAGGGAGAAAACGAGCAAAATGAAAATTTAGTTAGAAGAGGTGAACACGTGGTAGTAGACCCGAATATTGAGTGCATCAGAAGAAGCACTAGGCAGAGGAAACCAAATAAGAAGTGGTAGGAATTCATTGAAAAGGGAGTTGATTCTGGTATAACCTCCTTCTGCTCATATTCTCTACTCTGCCTTTCCTCTTGCTATTCTCTTCTTCTATCTATCCTAGCCCTCCTAATCTCCTGAGTCTAACATGATATTGCAGGTGTAGAAGATCAATGGCGTAGTGATTGCAGTCCATGCCATCCTTCCCTTGCCACTATTTCTTATTCCTTCGATTGTTATATAGCATTACCGATTGTGGGTTTACGAATGTTATAGATCTTATACCGCTATTATGCCTTCATTCTCATACTGATATATAGTCAATTACTTGATTGGTCATTAATTCATACCCGTGAAGTATTGCGTTAGATTAAATTCTGAAGCATAGCACTGTTATAGACAAGCTCATGTTCTAGAAATTAGACCAAGTGTATTTTCAAGTCAGGGTTCAAGTAGTCACAACCCAACTCTGCCTGATGTCATGCAACACGTTACAATGTATAATTATTTTGATAATCAGTGATAAATAATAAAATTTCTCAACTTAAACTAATACCTTTGCCCATGTCAATATATTTATATGATATGATTTGTCATAAAATAGATTTTTTAAAGCATTCATGAGTTCTAATTATCTACCTTCAAAATTGTATAGCAGCTATGCATAACTTCCCAATTTGAACTTTTTTGCACATTTTTTTCACAATATTGATTCAGCTTATTACTGGCCCAGTCATTATTCGAGACATGTCGCATAGCTAAGCCATGATCTAGCCCAGTTATTAGTTGAGACTCAATATAGTCAACCCAGTACTGGCCCAATTATTTCTTGAGACATGATCAGGCTAGATTTGTATCCAAAAACATGGGCTATCAAATGTTGGGATGGGTTAGGATTAGGTTAAACCATTCAAAATCAGATATCAGGAATAGAAGAGATAGATGAAACTTCAGACTTCACAGTAAATGACCAACCATAAAGACATCTACACGTTCAATAAGAACCTTAAACAGTCTAATATGGACAGGGAAAGCCTAGAGGTAAGACCCATCCATAATAACAACTCACATAATTTCAAAACCACATTAGAAATATTTTGCAAGAAAACTATTCATGATGACAACCTGTACTGAAGTAGAGAGTCAATAAGACAGCAAACTTTGGAGGTTAACAGCCCCATCTCCACAGCAGATTTCATATTGTCACCAATAGACCACTGAGGACCTGAGTAAGAAAACAGTTTTGTAGAAACAAGAAATGCAAGCAAAAGATTTATATTTAAAGTTCAGGAATTCTCTCAATGGTTGTAGAATCATTACCAGATGGTAAGTATGTTTTCAGTGTAAGCATACTAGCCAAACTGAAGTTCTTAACAACCTGATCACCAGAGGTACCCCATGAAAATGATTCCAATTCATTGGAAGATGACAATTCTGCAGCCTGTCATAGAAACAAACAATTGTTGTCAATTATGAAACCAAGAAGAGACATAAGGATCATTAATTCATCACAGTGTAGGGCAAGAACCTTGAAAGCCAACCAAACACCAAGCTCATCCAAGCAAAATATTAAAGCAGAATAAATCTTTGTTATTCTCTTGTGTGCAGACTCAGCAGACGATTTAGTGAAATCTGGACTTCTTAGAGAGAGTTCATGCTGAGGAAAAGAAAATTCATTGTCAATAACTTCAAGGAAATAATCAACTATGATCTGATAAAGAAATGCAGAATTTTTACAGTAGCACTAAACAGAAAATAAAGTGATCCAGATAAATACAGGAAGATGACAGGAGTCGCAATTGAGAATTAATACAAACACAGTATGTCAGTAAAATGACCTAGAGACTCATATTTCTACTTTCAACAAGCAGGCAATTTTTCTTTTTCCTCATTGTTTCTGAGCATTTATTGAAAATTGATCTCCTCAAATGTACACACCTGTTGTTTTAATGTCTTGAGTTGAACTGCTAATTCTTCAAATAATGCAAATTGAATTCCATTTTCCCTGTAAAACTTGAATTTTGGGGTTGAGGTTGGTATGAACTCTGCAATGACAGCTTCACTTACACATGTATATACCTTCAATTCAGAGGGGAAAAAAGGTCAAACAAATGATACATAACAAACCAATGGTTTGCGCCTCAACATGAGTATTAATTACATAAGAATAAATTATCCTATCCACATTGCAAATAATCTTTCTAGCGTAGGTGTAAGTTCCACTTGCTCTAGGCATGTTAACATCCACAAGGGACTAAATAGTTACAAATGCTCCTTAAAAACTAACAAAATAACTGCTAGAAATAATTACAAAGGAACAAATAAGATAACAATTTACATAACATTAATTCCTATTCTGATACTTCTTGCGATAAAACATGTCACTCGAACTAGCATCCCTAACAGTAGGCCCTATCAATAATATTCCTTAATGTCACTAAGTATGGTAAACTTCAAAACACCAATGTTAATAGAATTATACTAAGTAGCTAAAGGGAAAAAATATTATCATGGAATACAATAACACAAATAGAAATGAGAAAGCAAAAAAAAAAAAAAAAACTATACACAAGGGGGAGAAATAAAAGGTAACCTTTGAATGCATTAGACTCATTAGTTTCCAAATATTTTCTGACAAGGTCAATGCAGAATTTCCAACTGGATTAAAATTAAAAGATTAGAAAAAGAAAAATCAACATCAGAAAATTAATAAGCTAGCAATGCAAAGAGATATAAAGAAACTTTCTCTATGCATGCATACCTTTTGCCTTAATTGGAGATGCAGTCATGCCAAAAATTCGAGGGAGTTCAGAGATACCAGATTTTAACTGGTGATGATAAAACTCCTGCATGCAACCCAATCTTACAAAGTAACAACTACTTACACAACACAAACTACAACCTCATGATGCAGATGATGTGTCATGCATAACAAGGACATAACAGTTTACAATACAAGATTTAATAGTCCTCAAACAAACTCTTACAGAACAAAATAAAAGTAGACAAAGCATGATACTGCTGAACAATATCTTCTCACCAATTAAAATTATAATCTCATTCCAAGGAGGAAAGTCAACAATGCAACAAATTTTCAAAAAGCATGCATCAGAAATGGCTACTTACTGCATCCATAAGATCTATGGTCAACATCAAGTCCTTTTTCATATTATCTTTGGAAAATGCAGTAGTTCAGAGTCCAGACCAAATATTGTCACCAGAAGTTCATTGCCATTTGCCATTCATATTATAACATACTGTGACTAGGGTGTGTTTGATAAAAATGCTCAATTAAGTACTCCAATAAGAGTTGATCAAATTTATCAAATATTCAACTTTTGATAAGCTTCGCCATTAATTTTATAGAAATAAGCTAAGCTAAAAAGTGCATATAAAATTTCATAAATCAATTTTATAAGCTTAACCAAACACCTGCTTAAGTGCTTGATGTTAATGATAAGATAGAAAGAAATAAGCTTCACATAAGCCCGATTAGTTGGCCTTCAAACATATCAAATTTTCCCTTTTTGCCCCTTTCCACAGGTCTTTGAACCTTGTCATATTCATAGTTATCAATAGCAGGCTATAGCAGAAAAGCAGAGCAGAGCAGCCATAGGCCACTATAAAATTTGAGCATAGCAGTTTTGAATAGCAGCTGTAGCACTGCTATAGCAGCGCATGAGTGAAACTTTTCAAAGAAAATTCATTTTTGCCCTAGGAAAACACTGCTTTGAGGGTGTTTTTTACTTTTATTGTTATTTACTTATATGTTTTGCCTAAGAACTGTGACTTCTTATTTTTAAATTATGAATATGTCTGTGTGTGGAAGACCAGCGCAATATCATCACATATCAATCAAAATCACCCAATTCTGATTTGTACAATCTTTTATGATTAATGTAAATAGAATCAATTTATTTCCTGTCTTTTTCTTATTTAGGTACAGTGTTTATAGTCAGGGCTAGATTACCACTCAGGTTTATTCCTCTTTTACCCTTTTTATACCACTGTTGTATTCTTGGTTCAATGAGATAAATATACAATATATTTCCGCACATTGCTTTTGAGTTTTTTTAAAAAGCTTTTAGCACTTATATATAGTATAAATTATTTAATTTATATATAAAATTTCTAAATAACGGTCACTCACTGTGCACTATCCTACTATAGCATTTTTAGAATCAGGCACGAGATTGATAACTATGGTTGTATTACCCAAGGAAAAAGAATGTTAAAGGTCAATGACTCAGAAGGGAATTTACAACATATTAATGAAGAACATAACAAAAATCATTATTGTAATTAGAGTTAGTAAGCAATTCAAAGACACAAACCATAGAAAATCATGGAGAGGGTATAACACTTACAGTCATGATGCATGCATAAGGGTGTCTACCCCTAGCATGATGACATTCATCCATTATTAAAACCTTAATCATTTTCAGCTTGATAAAGCTGTGCCTCAAGCATTCAAGCAATATAGAAGGCGTCATGACAAGCACCTACACATACAAATGCGTTAAATATGTGTAAAGCAGATTCATACAACTAACAACAACATCAAAAATATAACTAATTAAGTTAAGACTTAAGGAACTGAAAACTAATTAAAAATGTATAATACAAACATATTAAGTTAGCAAAAGGAAAACAACAGACACCCAACTGGAATGTCACACATGATACAAACAGATAAACAATGGTTATGCAAAGTAGATTCATATAACTAACAACGGAATCCTCCATTTCTGATTGAAATGCAAAAGGCCTCACCTCATGTTTCTCCATTTCTTGTTTCCACATAGCAGCATCCCAGAAATCAACTCTCATATCTCCCCAATACATTCCCACTTTTAAATCAGTGTGCATTTTCAAGGCTTTAGCTTGCTAAAATTTACAAGTGAATAGCAAAAGTTAAAAGATAATGAAGAACAGCATAATGAAAGTACCCATCCATTACATAGCTCCTCAATCAGCACATGGCAACTAATTATCTAACCCAAATTAACAAAGGCATAATAGAGAAAAAAGTGTCATACTTGAGACACCAAAACAACTTTAGGAACCAAGAACACTGCAATGAAAGGAGAAGGCTTTCTTAGATGATAAGCATAGCTGCGAAGAAGCATGATGGCTATCAAAGTCTTGCCGGAACCAGTCTCCAAGTACACAATGGTATTTTCACGGATAGCCTTATCCAATGCTTCAAGCTGATAGCTACAGAAAAAGAAAAAAAAAATCAACTCAACATCAATGAGAAAGGGATGATCACACTCAACACTAGAGAAGTGTAAATATCTACACATGAAACTCACCTTCTAGCAAATTGAAGAACATTGGGAACAATCTGCTGTTGGCTATGGGTATCTATATTCATTGAGTGCACTTCTTCCATTATTTGCTTCTTTGATGAAACAACCTGCAGTCAAACTCCAAAGAAAGAAAATCACCTATCACCAAAACGATCAACCCTCTCCATGATACAAAAAGCAGAAAAAGAAAACCCAAAAACAAGAAATCGAGAGTGAAAGTGGGAAAGGTCCTATCTTTACCTACAGAGCAGTGAAGTGAGAGTGAGAAGGTTAGTGGGTGTGTGCCTATTTAACGCAAACAAAAAGTAGTAGAACCAGTGTACTACTACTTGTTCCCTAAGCAGCTTGAGAGAGCGGGAGTTGCACGTGGCAAAAAAAGACACGCCAGAGTGGCACTACTAGGAGTCAAGAAGGGTCACATTGACCTTTGCGGTGTGTGCCCGTGACATAGTAAAAATTGTTTGGATTTAAGCTGAAAAATCACTGTAAAATTATATCCTGACTTTGAAAACAGGTAGAAACTGTAAAGGGTGAATTCAATCTGAAAATTACAATCAACATTGTTTTAAGTGAATGTGAATTCACTTGCATTGTGAAAGTAAATATAATAATAACATTAAAATAAACATGAAAATTGTAAAATCAAACATGCTTGATTCTCAGTAACATTTTACAGTTACAAGGACGATGGTTCGTATCTCTCAAGCCTCGGCAACTTAATTATTATGGGGCGATAGTGTTGACTACATTGGGAAAGCGCTGCGTTGGGACCACACGGATTGGTGAGTGAGTTACAAGGAATGTGAAGGAATATCTCAGTGTCACGCTCTGTTTATATTTCATTTCTCTTTTTCGTGTGATGCCGAGGATTTGGGTCAAATTGATTCCTTGTTCCATTTTTAAATTTTGTTTCTAAAATATTTTAAAATAATAATTTTTAAAAATATAATAATATTTTTTCTTAATTTTAATATACCCTAACATGATATTTTAATATAACTTTATTGAATAATCATTTAATTGTGTTATGTTACTAATAAGACCATAAGTTGTGAACAAGTGTCAATCATAGAGTAAATATTAATTTAACTAAGACATTTCTCGCGTATCCTAACAATTATTCCAATTCTTTGCCTGAAAGATTATTGAGTTAAGGTTGCAACTTTTTATATTTAAAGGTTTACATATATTTTTAGGAGAAATGTGTTGTCATTAAAATTTATTAAAAAATTATAAAATATAAAAAAATATTAATTTAAAATTAAGACTTACATTATTTTTATAATTTTTAATAAATTTTAATTAATAATAAAATACAATACAAATAATGTGTTAGAAAATATGTTAATTTTTTTATAAATATTTATATTTATTTGTAATAACATCGCTTTTTTTTTATTGTGATAATCTTATATAAATCTATTATTCGTACAAAAATTGTACGAAGAATAGTAACAAAAAATAAGCTTGTTTGTAATTAAGATTTAATATATTGAATAATGATTATTAAAGAAATAAAATTGGAATGGAACATATGATAAATATTTTATTTTATATTACATTTAATATGATTTTATAAATTGAGAGTGTTAGACATATATAGCATATATATTAATGGATTTGGATTCTCTTATAACCTTGTTAAGATAAATTTATTTTTATTTAAATGAATAAAGATTAGCTTAAATAAAAATATTCTTCACTCATAAAATGGATTAGATAGATCAAGATGAAGATAAGATAGTTGAGAAAAAAGATAAGTTATGTGTCTCTCTTAAAATAGTGTCACTCCACTTTTATTAACAATATTATGAAAAATTAAACACTATCACCATATAATCAATAAAAATTATCCAATAAAAATAAAGTATTAGAAAAATTAACTTGAAAGAGGAAAAAAATTAAATTTAGAGGAGTAAAAGTGATGCATCTTCTTAATATGCAAAACAATAAAGATGCAATCAAAAGCATCTTAATGATTAAGGACATGAGAAAAATAGGTCATTGCATAGATTTTCATGTTCATTTCATAGTTTGAGTTGTGTGTGAGAAGGGAAGAACTTAATAGATTCTTTTTAGTGAGTTCTAAGGGAGGAACCAAAATTTTATGACAAGTCAAAAATGTCATATCAATCAAATTCCAAGATAGTGGTAGATTCACTCAAACAAAAATATAATTAAACATTTTATTTGTGCGTAATTTAGAGATAATGTAAAATTATATATGTACTGATATTTATAAATGTTTTAAATCATAATTAATATAAAAAAATAATGTTGACATGAGATTAGATATCAAATAAATTGTTATTAGATCTTAATGAATGTAACTGTTAATTACTCTAACTTCTAATATTTTTATGTTTCATCAAAATAGTTCTTAAATTTTACAAAATATTTTTATTTTTATTTCTTAATGGTATAATTGTTGATATTTTACTATATGTTGTTATTTAAATATTAGTTGTCTAAATAAATAAAATAACTAACTAGACATGATATGTGACTTTTAATAATAATGTGGTGATTGGTGAAGTTATATGGTTCAATTTTTTTTTTCTTAAAATGTGTCAATTTAGTCCTTAATCAATCTATAGACTCAAAATTATATGAAAATTAAATTAACTGTTTAGATCTTTTACATTATTATTAAATATTATATATCATGTCCAACTAACATTTAGGGTTTATTTGGTAGACAATATTCCATTTGGTAGATAAAATATAATAATAACTTATCTTTTCTTATTTTAATTTTAATATTTTTTGATTAATAAAACATGATTATTTGATTTTGGTGTGTTATCATATCCTATCATCATAATTCAAATTATCATCTTGAGGGAATGATGGGTTAAGAATTATTGAGATATGATAACTTTTTACGTTATTACTTATACTTTATACCTTTTTTAATATTTTATAAAAATATAATTTTAATATTTTATTAAAAATTATATAAACATTTTTAATAAACAATATTTTTAGAAAAAAAATGTAATTTTTTTATAATTATTTTATAAAATATTTTAAAACTTTTTATAATTTAATAAATGATTATTTTTATAAATAAGGTGAATAAAAGCACATTATAATATATGGAACTTGATAAATTACTGGTCTTTGGTTGGTTAATTATAAATTACTGACTTTTTTTTTTTTGGGTGAAATTACTGATCTGAAGGTGAAGCTGTAAAAGAGTGTAAGTTGGGCTCAAATTTGAAGCCCAAACCCAAAAGGTATCTGAGATGCGAAACCACACGTGGGAACGGTGACCCAATAATCCCAACGGCTAGTAATTATAAAACGGCTACTTTCTTTTACAAATTTTTCTTTCACCTTTCTTTCTTTTTTCGTTTTCTCTTTCACTTTCTATCGTTACAACACTCATTGCTTTTGTTTTTCCTCTCTTAAATTCCCTCTCTTTCTCTAATTGTCTTTCACACCTTTCAATCAAAGGAAGAAAAAGAAGCTTCATTTGAAGAATTCAATTCCCTTCTTCTGGTTGGTCTCATCATTTTCCCGGAAAATTTTTGGCTAAGAAAATTCTTCCCTCAATGCTGTTTGAAAGAAGCTCTCCGGCGAGGTGTTTCATGACACCGCCGCCGCCACCTTTGTCCTGGAAGTCAAGACCTTCACGTTCTCCCTCTATGCCACTTTCAGAGAGAAAGAAATCACCAAACTCTGTGAATAAAAGTGATCTTTTTCATATAATTCACAAGGTTCCTGCCGGGGACTCACCCTATGTTAAGGCTAAGCAAGTTCAGGTAACATGGTTACTTCCGTGTTGAATTTGGATATGATTTCTTTTTTTTTTCTTTCTTGCAAAAGAAGGTTTTTGTTTATGCAACATTGCTTTGTTTCTTTGATATATATACTTTTTTAATGTTATCAATATGATTGAATTTGAGGGTCTGAATCATGAGACTCATAGTGTTTTGAATTGGAAAGGGTGGTTGTTAGTTTATTTTCTTTCATGATATTTGTGCAATGATCGTGAATATGAATCCTTGAATGATCACAGTTGGTGGATAAGGATCCCAGTAGAGCAATTTCTTTGTTTTGGGCTGCCATCAATGCTGGGGATCGTGTTGAAAGTGCATTGAAGGACATGGCCTTGGTTATGAAGCAATTGAATAGATCAGATGAGGCAATTGAAGCTATCAAATCGTTTCGTCATCTATGTCCTTCTGATTCTCAGGAATCTTTGGATAACATATTGGTTGAACTTTTCAAGGTAAAGCTAATTCTCGTTTATTTGTTGATGCTTTTTTTTGTGTCATTAACTGAATTAAATTCTTGTGTGTGTATGTTTGCACAGAGGTCAGGAAGGGTTGATGAAGAGATTTCCATGCTTCATCACAAGTTGAAGCAAATTGAAGATGGTGTGACTTTTGTGGGAAGGACAACGAAACAAGCACGATCTCAAGGGAAGAAGATTCAAATAACTGCTGAGCAAGAAATATCAAGGTGGGGTGTGTCTATTGTCACTTCTAACTATCTATGTTCAATCCCATTTAAATGATTTATTGTCTAAAATACCTCCTTTTCTCTTGTAACTATATATTAATAGCAGGGAAATTTTCTTAAATAGGAGTAACAATAGACATGTAGGAGCGGCAATAAACACCTCTCTCATCTGTGCTTCTCTGTCATTTTGCATTTTGCATATGGGCCATGTGACTTTATTTGACTTTGAATGTAGGATACTTGGGAACTTGGCCTGGGCTTACTTGCAAAAAGGTGACTATAAAATTGCTGAAGAACATTATAGGTGAGCTTTTAAGATGGAAAATCCAAAAGGATTTTGTGTTTCATTTTTCTTTTAAGAGAAAAGTAACAGTTCCATATTTGATTCTACAGAAAAGCACTGTCTTTTGAGGTTGATAGGAACAAGCAGTGCAATTTGGCAATATGTCTGATGCATATGAACAAGATCACAGAAGCTAAGTTTCTACTTCAGGCAGTGACCACTGCGTCAAAGAATAGAAAGATGGACGATTCTTTTGTCAAATCATTTGAACGTGCTACTCAGATGCTGGTTGAGATGGAGTCATCACCATCAGGGAATGCAGCATCATCTTCAATGAGGAGTATGTCACAGTGTTCTCCACTAAGCTCTGAGAATTCAATTGGAAAGAACTCTGATATTGTCAAGAGTAGGACAGAAAACCGGTCCACAACATCGGAGGGCGAAGTATCTCGTGCCAGGAGAAGATTGTACCAGTCCCCTGATCCTGCTAGAAGAGATCTACATGTTACTAACACAAAAACAAAAAGATGTTCATGGGGCTTCAATAATGGATATAGAAGGGAAACTTGGGGAGATAGAGATGTCCATTCAGATCCTAAACCTTCATTTGGAAGTACTTCTGGTGATAAGAATGACTTAATGCAGCTAAACTCAAAAGAAAATGGTTTGTCTTCACCTGCTAATGGAAAGTGGAGGGCAAGAACATGGGAAGATCCTGCAATGTTAAAGCATGAGGACACAGCAGTAATGGGTTCTGATTCACTGCACACTTCGAATAATACAGAAGAAGTTATGGAGTTTTCAGAGAAGGAGGACATATCTGCCGTAGATGAGAGTAACTGTGGGTCCTTACTGTCAGAATCACATGAAATGGTTGTGAATGGTGCTCATGAATTTGCTTCAGGAAACAAACCACTTGAGAAGAAGAGTTGGGCAGATATAGTAGAAGAAGAACAAGATGAAGAAGAGGACTTCTTTAGTGGTGGATATACAAATTTTGATGGTGAGAATGATGCGCAAGTGTTTAATGATGAAAATGAAGACTCAAATATAATATATCAACATCCTTGGCAACAGAACCAGATTGAATGTTCAAGCAAAAAGTTGGAATCATTGGACCAGAAAGATGGATATTATGCATCTGGGAATGCCATTTTGTCAAGGAATCCAACAGCGAAGCGTTCTTTGTGTTTCAATCCGGAGCTGACTTCAGGTCCAACATATTTCATTTGCGCATCAAAATCATCACCAAAGAAAGCAAACTTGGAAAACCACAAAATTCTGGCAAAAGAAAGAGACTTGTTGTCTGATGAGAAGAAAATAACAAGGAGACACAGGTTGCAGGTATTTCAGGATATTACTCTTCAACCTGGAACACCATGATGTTTTTTGCCTATGATTTATGTCTCTGGCAGTAAACAAGTGTCCTTATGGATGGGGGAGAAGGGTCACACTGTTTTAGACTTATTGGCTTAATAACAAGATCATGGTTAGCATTTATTGATTAATATAGCTTATTCTTTCATTAATACACTCAAATGTGTTTTATTTGTAAAAACCTTTGTAAATCCGTGTTTCATTCCCAATACTGTAAAATAGTTTCCTGAGTTGTATTGAAACTGGAACAATGCCTATTTCTGCTACACTTTCAGATTGTGCTTCAATTTGAATAGTTTCATTACTGATATTATGCATGGCTCCTGAGTTGTATTGAAACTGGAACAATGCCTATTTCTGCTACACTTTCAGATTGTGCTTCAATTTGAATAGTTTTATTACTGATATTATGCGTTACTTCTTCTGCAATCAATGAAAAAAAATTATGTTTCTGTTTATTCCTATTACGATTTGTGAATCCATGTTCATGCTTCCCAACTATAAAGTAGTTTCCTCGCTTGTATTGAAACTAGGAGTGCATATTTCTGGTACAATCACAGATTGTGCTTCAATTTCATAGAGTCATTACTTATATTATTACAATTAACGAAAAGAAATTATGCTTTTGATTGTGTTCCTATTAAGATTTTGTTGGTCCTAAGCTGCAATGCTACAGAGGTGGGGGTTAATCATATTTTGAAATAGAGACATTACATAAAGTATTGAAAAATACAGATATTCAACACTCATAAATTGTTTAAAACAGTTGTAGCCTCAATGATAGCTTTATGGTTTTGTTCATGGACTTCACCTGCTTTAACTAATAGGTAAAAACAGAACCATACAACTTTGATAATTTCTTTTATTATCTAGATCAATGTTCCATACTTATATTAAAACCCTTGATGTGTTTTCCTAGCTTTACTTAAATACCCTTGTGCTATTCATATAACTATAAAACATTATATACATTATATATAGCATACCAAACCTTTATTTATTTTAGTAAGACAATATATTCAGTGAATAACGCCAAATTGTTCGACAATGACATCAACTTGTAAGGCTTCTTAGATTGTTGATACTTGAATATTCGTAATTTACATCATCATTGAGAATCTAACTCTAACGCAACTCTTACCGAATACCAAAAATCTTTTGGTTTGTTAGTCCTTTGAGGTTTTAGCAATAGTCGTCTTGGCTCTTCAAACTTCCTATCACTTGGATAGACAAAAACAATAAATTGTCTATTTTAAGAAGAAAATTAAAAAATAAATATATGTTAAGAGAAAAAATAGAAGTTAAAGAAAAGTATAAAATTTTTTTAGACATGCAATTTTCTTAAGAGTACATAAGTCAGATATGCACGGATTCGAATCCTCTACAATTTTGGCAAAAACTGTGCCCTACAGTGCGTTTTCGCTTAAGTCAATTTTTTTATTTAAGTGAAATTTGAAGCTAATTTGCTTGAGTGCGGAAAAAGGCTTAAGCGAATGGAGAAAAGGCTTGAAAGCACGCTCAAGCGAGCCACAAGAAATATGAATCATGACTCGCTTAAGCTCAGAATTTTGCTTAAGCGATTTGTATTTAGCTTAAGCCCTGCCAAGCGAAATTAATTAAACCTAAGTGAATATGGACCAAAGAGACATGTATTTGAGTCTGTCATTTAGCTTTAGCGAATTAGGAATCGCTCAAGCTATTGGTGATTCGTTTAAGCGTTGATAAGCAATTTTAATTATTATTAAGCGAATTTGAGGCAGAAAGCAATGATTTCAGGCATACAAAATGACTTAAGCGACAATGAATTGGGTTAAGCGAATGGTAACAAGGCCTGAGCCCAGAATTTAATTTCCTAGCGAATGAAGATCCTCTTAAGCGATTTCCTGAGCTTAAGCGAATATATCAGAAATTGCAAAAATTATGCAGAAATAGATAATAGGCAACAAAATGGCTTAAGCAAAAATTAATTAGCTTAAGCGAATGGTAACAGGGCTTGAGCCCAAAATTTAATTCTCTAGCGAATCAAGATCCGCTTAAACGATTTCATGAGCTTAAACGAATAAATAAGAAATTGTAAACATTATGCAAAAACAGACAGCATGCAAGTAGGGGCTAAATACACTTGATTACATCAGTTTTTCAACTTACATCTTCCACCAAAAATAGTTTATAAATACAAATTTAGCTTAGAAACAAAAGAACTTTTGCCAATTGCATAATCAAATTTGATCAAGGATTGTAGCATTGGTATCATCAAGTTGTTCCTATAAAATTAAAAGATATATAAGAAGACACATAATGAACAAGAATGGATGGTAGTTGAATAGTCTTACCTTCAACAAATCAGTGAGACTTAATTGATTAACTAATATTTGAGAGGGATCATAATATGGAGGTGCTGAACAATGTACTTGAAACGAATCACAGAACATTGGTTGATATTCCTTAAACATTTATTGACAGTGAAATTTATGATATGGTTATAATAAGGAAGTTAAGCATTAATCGACAATAAAAGTCATTATAACAAAGTACTTGAGATGCTAATTGACCTAAAGTTGGAGTTTTGTTCTTTTTTTTTTTTTTTTTTTTGCTTGTAGCTCAACCTAACCTTTGAATCTTTTTCACCTTTTCCTCTTGGTAGTAGGTCTATGCTTGAATCTCTTAGGTTGTGTACCATGAATATTGACCTTATTTACACCATCATCGTTATTGTTGTCATTTTCTCGTGGTTGTAAGCGAAACTTTGTGATTTGAATGATTAAAGTATTAATATTATCATCCACTAATTGACAATATTCTTCTGAACTAGAAACCTTTGAGGCCAACCTAATCATTTTACACCCTAGGTGTGGGTATATGCGTGTAGTACTCAACTTATGATCTCCTTCCACTTGTATTCCTTTTACATTATGAATAATACCACAACATCCTTATGTTGTTCATCTCTTTAGTATGTATTTGTCAGGAACAACCTTTACATCATTGGCTTCAAACACTTTCAAAGCATGACAACAAAGTATGTCAAATGTTTTAAACTTTTTATAAGAGCAATTGATAATAGTTAAGGAACAATCAAATGTAACTGTCCATGATCTTTGTTGATTGATTTTAGTAATTACATATTCAATCAAAAGGGGAGTTTCAATCCTTTGTGATATGCAACAAGCCAAGAATTGAGCAAACTCTTATTGAAATAAATTATACACTGTATGTGTGTAAACTTTGGCCATTTGTATTAGTATTGATGATACCTCATATTGCAACATGGCTAGTTTGTGAGGAGTCATACTCACACTTGAACTCATTGTAACGTTTGTCTTCAACTACCCATTCAAAGTGTCCAATTACTTGATGTCAACACCAAGTCTCATATAGGCCTTGAAGTCAAAATTTAAACTTTCACTTAACTGAGATAACATTCTAAGGGTTAAACAATCCTTGAGATAACATGATGCACATTTCTCCTTTATGGAATATAGTGAAGTAATTCAAGTATGTTCTTCAACATTGTATTATGTAATCAACCTCATTCAAGCATCCTCAAAGTCAATTGAAGTATCAAAGTCATATATGCATCTTTTCAAATCTCTTAAGAAATTACTCCCTTCTTTCATCAAATTGCCCAAATGCTTTATGCCATTTTGCATTAAGTGCCATTTGCATAATGCATGCTGTGTCTTAGGCATTACTTGGAGAAGTGTCTTTGCCATTGCTTGATCTTGATCTGTAAAAAGAGTTTGAGGTTTTTTGTTGTTGTGTGCTTCCAAGAAAGTCTCGAACAATCATTGAAATAATTCAGTTGTTTCATTATATAACAAGACTGCCCAAAGATAACAATGTCTCTTTAATGGTTAAAATTGAAAAACAATGCTAGAGGTCTATTAGCCCGATTGATGCAATATGTAGTGTCTAGTGATACAACTTCACCAAAAAATCTATAATCAATTACCATCTTTGCATCTGCCGAAAAAAACATTTGTGATTTGCTCCTCCGCATCCATTTGGTACCCATAAAAAAAAGATAGGTTGTCTACTAATTGTCATTGGAAGTATTACATTAGACAATCGACTTCTTCGTATACCATTCCCTTTTGTCTTTTTGCCTTCAAGTATTTTTTTGTGTCCAGACTAGTATACCCAACATTAGCTTGGTGTCTAGCAAGTGTGCTCATTAGTTGAAATGATGCCTTTTGTCGCAATCCGGATGCCTCAGCCAAAACAATTTCATGAGCTTGAATGTCAGTTACATTACTATGAGAAGCAAGCATGTGTGTTGTTTCTAGCAATTGTAATGGGTGATTATGCTCTTCAACAAATTGATTAATGACATATTTATTATTGTTTACCAAAGATAATGCTATTCTTGAAAGACATTTAGTTCTAGTTTCTGGTTGATGCTTTGTTACTTGTGGATCTCTTTTATCTTCTTTTCGATGCCTCTCTTTGCAACAAACATATATGCAACCCATGATGACATTATCTACCTTTCACTTGTTAAAGTATTGTTAGCCTTCTATATTCACACCAAAATTGCCATGCTTGTTCAAGACTCTCAAACTCTAACCCGACACTTGATTTTCTTGCGACATTCTTCTTTGTGACTATCTCTATACTCCAATAACATTACTATATACATGATAAGTATTGATTTCAGTAATCTTAAATTTAAAAAATTATGGAATACATGTGTGCCTTGACACTTTCTCTGTTTGAAGATGATATTTGCCAAAGAAGTAGGAGAAAATGTTGTCAAATGCTATGAACTTGTCAAAGATTTTCCTCACCAATGAACTTCCTTCATCAAAGCTTCTTAGAACATTTGTTTTTTCAGTGTTCCTTCATTCATAAGATTAGGGAAAGTGTCTTTCTTCAGAAATACGTCACTACCCATATATTTGGCGCCAAATTATCTGCTAAAATCACTTAAGCGCATATTTTCTTTTAAGCGCCTATTCGCTTGATATTTTGCTTAAGCAAGAATATTCGCTTAAGTGAATTTTCGTTTAGGCAGAAAAATTCGCTGAAGTGAAGGTCGCGACTATTGATTTTTAAAAAATTGAATCTCTTTCATTTTCATTTTTAATCTTTATCTCTCTGTCTACTTGCTTCAGCGCCATCTACCTATGTCCTCTCTTCCAAAGCTTCAAAGGCTTCATAAATCTTATTTTTTTCAGGTACAATATGCAACCCTAAGCCCTTGTATATTTCCTACACCTTTGTTTGATTTATATTGTATTCATTAGGGTGTATGGTGTTAGATTGTTGATAGAGATGTATAATTTTCATGGATTATAACCTTTTACATCCATTTTATATTGTAAAGAAAGATATTTTTAAACTTGCATATGTGTTGGACTAATTGAAAAATTTGTTGTTGGTTAGATTTAATGCCTTTCTTCTTTTATTTTCTGTGCTGCAATTTTCGGTTAAGCGCCTATATTCGCTTAAGTGACTATGTTTGAAAAATGTTCTCTGATTTTGGTTGCAGGATGACACCAAAGAAATCTATTCTTCAAAGAAAGAGGCAAAGGGTAGCAGTTGGTCAATCATCATAGTAGTCTACTGAACCTATTGATGAACAACAACAATCACCATTTGAAACTTAAACACAAACAAAAATCATATCATGGGATAGATATAGATTCAAAACCAGGGCTAAGGCTCAGAGATTTATTGATTTACAGGCTAGGGAATTGCTACCTGAGATGAAGGAGAGTATGAAGATTTTATGCAAGAGATTAGGAGAAGAAAATGAGAATTCTTGGCAAATCTCCCCAACCACATTAATGAGGTAATCGTGAAGGAATTTTATGTAAATATGTGGCCTTTGATACCAAATAGGTAAGAAAGAAGGTCTTGGGTCAAAGACATGCAATTGCGTATGACAGAGATGCAATTTCAGCTTTTTTAGACAACCCTCTTACCTTAGAACAAGGAGAGTTATGCCAATACCAGCAACTTCAGAAATAATTCTCAGGTTTTTTGGATGATAGAGTAGTTAAAGTCTTATGCATCCCTAGAAAATCTTATGAAACAAAATCAGCTGGGAAGCTAATGAGATTCAAGAGACAATCTTTGAATACTTTGGCCCAAAATTAGACATCCTTTCTCTTTGCCAACATAGCTCCAACCATACACACTTCAGATATTCGGATGCCTCAAGCATATCTCATTTATAGCATCATGCAAGGGATATTCGTTGACATAGCAGCAATCATTTCAAATGAGCTACATCAATTTGTGATCTCCAATGTATCTAGTACTGCATCAGTTACAAAACCTTTAGGATTTCCAGCACCCATTACTGCTTTATGTGCTTCCCAAAGCATCACCATTCCATATTGCTTCACTCAAACTATTAGTTTGAAGAAACTAATCAATTCCTAGTTTATCAAAAATTATTGCATCAATTTATTGGAACAGCCTGTAAGACCTTCATCTCAACACTCCTCATCTGTGCCACCTACATCATAGCCAAGACAACCACGAACACAACCATCTATGCCTGACATGCTACAAACGGATTCAAGCATCCTACGCCATCTGAGTCACATAGAGCAGCAGTTGGCAGCAAACAACCGCGCTTACACTCAGCTAAATGAGTCCTTCTACAAGTAAGCTCTTCTCTCATTTAATATTTTAAAATATCTAATCAATTATGCAACACATTACTTTGATCTTCCGATTTCCATAGGTTCACTGATAACCCTACCTTTTCACCTGAAGAAGAAACTCCACAAGATTATGTGTCACAGCCACATGAAAGAGCGTTTGATGACATTCAGGACAATGACGAAACTAAAAGGAGAGATGTAGAACAAAGTCAGCACTTAGAGGAAGAAGGGGGATATGATGAGGGAGATGAGCCACAACCCATGCAAGATGAGGAGAATGTAGGAGTTAGAGATCCATGATTACAATTAGGATTACATTATATTTTAATGGATTTTAGTGATTAAACATTTTCTATTATGTAGTTAATTTTAGTTTTAGTTTTTCAATGTTGAACTCTATAGTTTTCATTGTTGGATTTTAATATTTATCCAAAATGGTGCTTATATTATAAACTCTTTTGGATGATACCAATGCTTCAATACTTGATCAAATTTGATAACGCAATTGCCAATACTTCTTTTATGTCTAAGCTAAATATGTATTTATAAACTCTTTTTTTTTTTTTTGTGTGTAAGATGTAAGTTGAAATGGTATTATGTAATGTAATCAAGTGTATTTTGCTCCCCTTTGCATGCTGTCTTTGTCTACATAATTTTTGCAAATTTTAATATATTCGTTTAATCGCACATATGGGCTTAAGTAGATTTGTATTCGCTAAAAAATTTAAATCTGGGCTTAAGCCTTACTCCCATTCGCTTAAGCCATTTCATTTTCGCTTAAGCTATTTTGCAAGTCTGCAACCATTGCTCTCTGCCTCAAATTAATAATAATTAAAATCGTTTGTCAAGGTTTAAGTGAATCCATAATAGCTTATGCAATTCACAATTTGCTAAAGCGAAAAGAGTGATTGAAATACATGCCTCTCTGATCCATTTTCGCTTAGGTTTAATTAATTTTACTTGGCAGGGCTTAAGCTAAATACAAATCGCTTAAACGAAATTCTGAACTTAAGCAAGTCATGATTCATATTTCTTGTGGCTCATTTAAGCATGTTTTGAAGCATTTTTCCCATTCGCTTAAGCATTTTTTTGTGTTCAAGCAAATTAGCTTCAAATTTTGCTTAAGCAACAAAATTGGCTTAAGCAAAAACGCACTACAGGATGTAGTTCCCGTCAAAGCTGCAGAAGATTCAGATCCAAATATGCACATATACATCATTTAGTGACTTTTTTTCGCACTAGAAACTAAAATAAGTCAAATGATTTTTTATAGGGATCAAATTTTTTATTTAACAAAATCAAGTTTTCATTCTTTATAATGAGATAATTTTTACATACACTTCTCTCTTCCTTTTTTTTTTCAACCACGCATCTTCAAAATTTTCATATTAAATTAAATTAATATTTTAATTAATTATTCAGTTAGAATTTTTTTGTTAATTTTTAAATTAAAATTTCAATTTAAATTTTTTAAAACCTCTTTTTTTCTGGTGACATAAAACCTAAGTTTTCAAAGCTATTGAATAAAATAAATTTCTTTGTCTGTATTAAGTTAACCTTCTTTTTTTTTCTTTTTTTTTTTCAAATGTAAGAAGTTAACCTTAAAAAGTTAAACGAAGCTAATAGAAGAGCAAAACAAAGCATAATAGCAGTGTTGTGTGTCACTCACTCAAATTCCAACCCCTGCGTTTCGATGAGGATGGAATCTGCGTTTACGGCTTCAAACTGGAACCGTTGTTTGATTCATCCACCACTTCGTAACAGTAAGACACGCTTTGCTACGACTCAGCCCACCGTAATACGGTGCTCCATCAAGTCCTATCGCTTATCCAACCTCACGCCCTCTCAGCTTCAGAGCCTCAAAACTCGTCCCCGCATTGATTTTTCTTCCATTTTCAACGTGGTTCGTAATGGGTCTCTTTGTTTTCAAGTGGTTTTTCCCTTTTCACTCTCAAAATCATTCCTTTTTCTTTTTCAGGTCAACCCCATTGTTGATGATGTTCATAAAAGAGGGGATGCTGCAGTTAAAGAGTTGGTTTCTTATTATCTTTTGAATTATCTATTGTTTTCTATGCCTATGTAGCTTAAACTTGTGTTTTTTTAGTTATACTTCGAAGTTTGACAAAGTTGAGCTGGATAAGGTAGTTGAGGTTGTCTCTGAGCTCCCTGACCCTGTGGTATGTTTGTTTCTTTGGATATTCATATCTTACCATAATAATTTTTGTTGGCTTTTGTTTGTTTAAGATGTGCTTTATTGTGATTCAGTTTGTTTAAGGGTTTGTTTGGAGAGGGGTTTTGGAGAGGGAAGGGAAGGGAGGGGGGATTTTTATTTTAAATAAACATGTTGTAATTTGATGTTTTTCATAATAAAAATCCAAAATGATATTAGGATAAACTTGATGTATTAATCATTTATTTATGATCATAAATGGTATATAATTTTTTTAATTTAAAAATAAAAAAATTTGTTCTCTCCCTCTTTCTTTCCAAACAAATGTCTATGTGGAATAGGAATTAATAAATACAATTGTAATGTAATAATAATATCTCAAAGGAAATTAATTAAATTAATAGCATAGTCTACATTTCTGTTGAGATCTCCAAACAATCCCATAGTGAGCACATGACATGGTGCTGGTTTGGATGATATTATATTATTGTTTTTGCCTTTTGCAGCTTGATCCTCCTGTTGAGGAAGCTTTTGATGTCGCCTACAGCAATATTTATGCATTTCATGCTGCTCAAAAGTCACCTGAGAAAAATGTTGAGAACATGAAAGTATGTCAATTCTGATTCTTGTTTCTAGCCTAGGTTGGATGGAGAAAGCAGCGTTTAATGATTCAAGGCCAAATCGACACTTACCATAAACTTATTATTGTGCATTATTAAGTCAAAATTTGAGTTATTCAGTGGCAAGATGTTTTTAGTAAGGCTAAGTTTTGTAGCATTATCTTGGAATAGTTAGATGACTAGGCCAATCAAATGGGTAGATCATCTTTTTCAGTTATGATTATGTTCTTTCCTGGCCTTGGTTAGTCTCTATCTTTTAAATTTTCATTTTTTTTATTTGTGTATATCATGTCATTCACTATCATGCCTACATATTTGTTTTTTCTTGGTTCTTAGTGTTACCCAATATCTTATTTATGTGAGAGTCTTGAGTTTCTGAAAATCTCAGGGAGTCCAATGCAAGAGAGTTGCGAGAAGTATTAACTCAGTGGGTCTTTATGTTCCAGGGGGAACTGCTGTGTTACCTTCAACAGCTTTGATGCTTTCAGTTGTAAGTTGAATAGATATTTCAGTGGCTCTTATGTCTTTCAGTGTTCTATGATATTGACTGTGTAAATTGATATTTATCTTGCCAGATTTAGCTGACGGTTAATTATTTTGTATACCAGCCAGCACAAATTGCAGGATGTAAAACTATTGTTCTTGCAAACCCTCCAACTCAGGATGGCACTACATGCAAGGTATTTGTCTATATTGTATGAAAATTATAGCTATGATGTTGTTCTTGTTCTGATCATTTTTTTCCTGCAGGAGGTACTGTATTGTGCAAAGAAGGCTGGGGTGACTCACATTCTCAAAGCTGGAGGAGCACAGGTTTGAAGCATGATAATATAAGATTGCCTTTATCATATAAGATAACCTTTATCTAGTTTTGTAATTCAAATCTAGTATCCTTATATTTAATTTTATTTTAACATATTTATAAATTATACTATGATTAATTTGGTGTTTTTCTCCATTGTAGGCCATATCTGCTATGGCTTGGGGAACAGAATCTTGTCCAAAGGTGGCTAGCTTCTCATCTAACTCATCTTGTTTGCTGCTCTGTTGATAATTATTGTATTCAAAGATCCAGCTTTATTTATTTTCTCTGTAATAGTGTATCATATTCCAATTGCATTATTAGATATAGTGTAACTCATCCCATGATAGATTATCAAAGACTATCCTAAATAGATTTCGTAATCTGGTGACTGAACAGTACTTAAAATGTAACCTTTCCTATTTTAGCAAAAAAAATTATACTTATTCAATCATTTTTAATTGTGTATTTGTGATGAATCCTGCAGGTTGAAAAGATTTTTGGCCCTGGAAACCAATATGTCACAGCTGCAAAAATGATACTTCAAGTAAGCATGTTTATATTTTACAAAAAAATTTGAGCCGGTGAGCACTACTACATAATGTATGTTGAATCTTAAATATTCTTCTGCATATCTTTACTTTTTAAATATCTTCTGCAGAACAGTGAAGCCATGGTTTCAATTGACATGCCAGCCGGCCCATCGGAAGTTTTGGTCATTGCAGACGAGCATGCTATTCCCTCTCATGTAGCTGCCGATTTGCTTTCCCAGGTTTAATAAGTTTTCAAATGCTCCTATCTGCTTTACAAAAATTATCCACTAATTCATCTTCATAATGAAAATAGTTTATCTTTCTTTATCACTTCTGATAAGTGAAACTTGTGTTCTAGCACAGTTTATACATTATTCTATAAGCTTTTGTTTCTAGTTTCTACATGATGATGTTAGCTTTCCTAAATTCAATATAGGATGAATTCATAATATGATTATAATCTGTCGATAATCAAAGCAACCAGATTTGTAAACTAAGGTTATAGGGTAAAGAAACATTCATTTGTTTGACTTTGTTTATAATCTGATTATGATTCAGAGTTCTCTTAGTTGACATTGCATGTAAAAATACACGAGAGAAGAGACAACTAACTGGAACACCTTTCTTCTAAGGCACAAAATCTACCAAAACTCAACAGCCCACATAGACCTCAAATGAAAGGACCTCCTTAAACTGAGGCTCAAAACTTGCCAAATGTCCAGATGCTGACTTGAAACAGTCATGTGAACATAATCCAACAAAAAAATAATATAATGTTTAAAGACTCAAATGGGCATGCTTCACTATCACCTTACGGAATCATGACTTGAGATTTTTCTGCCTACATACTTCTAAGATGATTCTGAACCTTTTTTGCTTCTTGTACACTGCTGATATCTATGCACCATATTTACAATTTTCAGGCTGAGCATGGCCCAGATAGTCAGGTTGTTCTTGTGATTTCTGGAGATGGTGTGGATCTAAATGCTATACAGGAGGAGCTCAGCAAGCAGTGCCAGAGTCTTCCAAGAGGCGAGTTTGCCTCTAAAGCACTGAACCACAGTTTTATTGTGTATGCACGTGATATGCTTGAGGTCAGTTCTGTTGTCTACGTGTCTGTCTCGACCCTCTAAAAGAAGAACAACGAAATCAGAATTAAGAAGGATTAAGGTAGAGAACGAGAAGAACAATTTCTTTGGAATCACTAAACAGACTGTTGAGCTTCTGTGTCTGTATTTATATATTACACAGCAAATTTAGTTATGCATAACACTGAGAAGAATAGGAATGGGAAAGATAGGCCCAGCTCAATACTAGAAAATAACCTAAGAAGCACATGAATACATAAGTATTCTCTTAACATTTATGCGGCAAGAAATGTTGTTATTATCTCTTGATATGTTAGAATTCATAACTTTCTTTGGAAGAGTTCAAGTTTAACCTTAGATTATTTCTGTTTTTATTTAATTAATAATTTACATTTAAGTCAGAATTCTCCTCTAGCATGTCAAGTCTCAATTCGTCTGACATCAAACATAGTTTTTGTAAGTTACTTATCCATCTTTCAGGCTATCACTTTCTCAAACTTATATGCTCCCGAGCATCTAATAATCAATGTGAAGGATGCAGAGAAGTGGGAGAGTTTTATTGAAAATGCAGGTAATTTGTCTATGAATTTTCCTTCCGTTGCTAATTTTTTATTTTTAAATGTAGGATTTGCAGGAGTGGGAATAGGCTTAGTCTAGTCAGTTATACTTGCGCTTGCAATCTTAGAGCATCTAATACCTGTTAGATTACTCATTTTATATTCTTGATGGCATCAAGAATTCTAAATCTAAATGTTTGTCAATGCCTCTGCAGGTTCTGTGTTCTTAGGGCCATGGACACCTGAAAGTGTTGGTGATTATGCAAGTGGGACAAACCATGTCCTTCCTACTTATGGATATGCAAGAATGTATGGTGGTGTGTCATTGGACTCTTTCCTCAAGTACATAACTGTGCAATCTCTCACAGAGGAGGGTCTAAGAAAACTTGGGCCATATGTAGCAACAATGGCTGGAGTTGAAGGGCTTGAAGCCCACAAGAGAGCAGTTACCTTGAGACTCCAAGACATAGAAGCCAAGCAGGTTTCAAGATGAGATGATGTGCATCAACCCATTTTTCTCTTTACTCTTGCAAGCTACTTGCTCTTAGTTTATGTACCACAAAAACTAAATATTTAAAAGTACTTTTTATATTTAAGGTATATTTTTGAGATGCATATAAATAAATAAATATAATGATAGTATTATATATCATATTAATTTTTAATAATTCAGATAACAAAATTAGTTTGATAGCCCACCAATTTGGACCGGGTTTTGTGGCATGTAATTTGAAATGTCAAGAATTCAGGAAGACTAAAGTTGATCCTCCCCACCCTGCACACACACCCAAAGGAAAAAAAAAAAGTAAGACATACAGTGTCCACATTTATCAAAAGAAAATGAATTTGAACTACTTTAGATAGTTGTACTTTGACCTTATTTGAAAAGTAGTATAACTTAATTATTACAATACTATAACGAACTTTAAATAAATAATAAATTAGTTTTAAACCCTATCAAACAGACAAAGATTAACTTGACCTTTTAGCGCATGCCGCCAAGGGACATCTAGTTGGTCCAAACAGCAAAGGTTGAAGCAAGTGGGAAATGGATCTTGTCGTCACTCGTCACATGACTCTTTCATACTATAAATAGAGAAATGTTGTTTCAACTCCCTTTTTTTACAATATAATATTGAGTGAGAAGAAAGAGAATGGAAAGAGAAGTATGGAGTATGATGGGGACTTATGTAACATAATAGAAGGAAATTAAAATAAATACATATATTATATGAATTAATTTTATAAATAACACAATTCTTATGAATATGCACCCGCTGACTCAGTCCACGTTCCGTGTATCTTAATTATTTTATCTAGCAACTTGTTTGTACAGCACAAGCACACGACCTTTCCTCTCTTCTTCCTTTTCTCATTATTTTTTCCATTCAAATTCTTTATTTGTTTGTGTTTTCCTTTTGAAAACAAATATAGTATTAAAAAAAAAACTATCAACATACTCCTCTAAACATATATTTTACATGATTAGTTTATTTTACGTAGATGTTTGAAGTGTTTAATAATAAGGAAGGAAAGAAAAGAGTATAGAGTTAAATCCATATACCATGGTGGAGGCTGAAACGAAACAACGTAGGAGAAATGTTCTTCTCATGTGTTTTGGAGTACGTGCATGCAGAAAACAAAAGCTTCAATTGGTGCCTCGTGACATGGAGGAGAGAGGAACAAGCAATAGCAGCAAAGCTTCAACAGCTGTGGATGAAAAGCCTCTTAAGAAAATCGCAGAAGCTTTCAAAGAGCTTTCAAACGCTGTTACTTCCGAAGGCTCAGAGGTCGATGTTGCTGCTTTCTCTCGCGCTTGTGCTTTCGTTTCTCCCCTTTTTGGTTGTGTCGGTTTCCATTTCAAGTTCATAGAGATGGATTACGTTTCCAAGGTACGAAGCCAAATAATAACAACAATTTTATGGCTTTAATACATTTTTAATTATTAGTTAAAATTTATAAAAATAACAAAAAAATATTAAATTAAGAAGGCATTATTTTAATTTTTATAACATAAATAATAAATTATTTATTAATTTTTTAACATACTCAGTATGAAAGTTCTTTGATTTTATCACGTTAAGTTAAACACAAGTTTAAAAGCAGAGCTAATTATATTATAATCACTAATCATGCTGACATAAACTGAAAATTACGTATACATTTTCAAAGTTGAGTTTAAGAGCTATTAATATCCAAATAAATATGCACTAAAAATGATATTTTATTTGAGAAATTCACATTGACATGCACATTTGAATGTCAATCGTAAAATATTCGATCATACTATGGTCCCGTCTACCTGTGCTACATATATGTGATGTTTCATTATTGTGTTATATATGATTCAGTTTATGTTGTTTGTATGTGTTAATGACAGGTTAAAGATATAACAGAGGCATCAAAGTCCTTTCGGACATTAGAATCTATGGTTGATAGAGATGTACAAACAAATTCTGTGAGAACACAAGGAAGCCATTCTAGAAATCTTTTGATGATAAAACGTGGACTTGATTTTCTCAGGGTGCTCTTTGAGCAAATTCTACTCACAAAGTATGTTCATCCTTTACTAATTACTTTCTCATTATCATATTTTTTTAAGAAGATGTCAGAGCATGTGACACTATATATATATATATATCATGTTTAAATGCTTTAACACCAGTGCTAGACAACAATGAGTAATTATTCTATTTACAAATTTTAAATTCGAGTTCAAGTGAATAAGGTGAAAAAGGTGTCCTATCGAGTAAGGTGTGAACCTCAATTATGTAGTTTTTAAGACATTTTTTCGTATAAGGTTTTCAGGACTTTGATTAGTCATAGTTCAATGGCGAGTAGGTTTGAAAACTCTTATATACAAGACTTATTGTATTTGTAAATTTACAATTTATTTTAAAATAAACCCTTTTCATAAAAGTTTATAAAATAAAATGTTTGTTATTAAAATTGAAAAATGTGAATCAATTTCGTCCTTAATATTAAATATTAAAAATAAGTGACAAAATATTGATACGTCATATTAAATCTGACAAGGGATTTAAAATGACAACATTTTGGTTTAGTATTTTCTTTCCATCAATTTTTATCCTCCATGAGAAACTTCAATAGCCTTCATCTTCTATAGGTTCAAATTTAGAAGAAATTTTAGATCTTCCGAACAAAAAGCTTGTGTTTCCTTTCCTCCATAATTGACCTCCATCAACCTTACTCATCGTCACAGATTGCCAATGGTGGGAAATGCACATAAATTCGTAGTATCATAAAAAATGCACATCAACTGAGGATGATGACTAGAACATCTCACTCATTTGAGTGCTACTCTGTTTCTATGTCAGGCTTGTTAGGATGATTTTTTTTTCTTCATTCAAACAAGAGATTGGATTTTGTTAAATAAAACATTTTCTTGAAGAGAAAATAAATTTAGAATTGACCAAAATTTTTAAAATGCAGAAAAGTTTTATTTATTTTTAAATATCAGGAAAAACTGAAAATAAATGACACTCTTGGCTTATTCAAAGATAAAAAAAAAGTACTTTCTTTTACAGTAAAATTGATTATCATAATTCCTATGGCTTACACATAACAAAGAATCATTTTCCTATTTAAGCACATGGATCTTGTGCACAAGAAGCAGAGTGTTGGCAGTGTAGTATAGTAAATTGAGTTCTTATAGTTATGTATTATGGCAGGGGAAATTCCATTAGAGATGCAATTTCCAAGGCTTATACACAAATATTTAATTCATATCATGGTTGGGCACTCAGAAAGGCCGTTGCTGCAAGGATACATTACATCCCTTCAAAGCAGCAGATAATCAGGAAACTCTGTGAAGATGGTAAGTCTAGTATCACATTAAGTTTTCTGAGGTTTAATCATGTCAAATACTTCACTTTTCTTTTTATTTTAATCTCTTCAAATAATATTTTTTGTTTTAATTCTTATATTTTTATAAATTTTTGTTTTTAATCCATATTGTTGATTTAGTCTACTAAGAGAATGCAAATGTCATTTTTTTAGTTGAATCACATAAGTGAGACATACTAAAATCAATAATTTACTAAAATGTTTTAAAAAACTAAAACAAAAAAATTATTAAAATTGAGGATTAAAAATATATTTAAACCAAAATAATAGAATTATACTTATCCTTACTATACTAGCAATTTAGCATATATATGTCATAAGTTTAATAACATTATGTTATGATGTTAATGTCTCTCTTTTTTCTTTAATGTGATGTTCTGCAGAGTCTTCAGCAGGGGACCTTATGCAAACTTATATCTTGGCATCCCCAGCTCTGCTCCAATACATAGAGAAAATATTCCTTGAAAGAGAATTGGGTATAGATTGGTGAACCTTTTTTTTCTATTCAGTTTAAACAAATTGTACAATGCAATGATATGTTTCAATTGCTTTGAATAATTAGCCAAGTATTTTGAATTTGTCATTTATTTGTAATCATTTTTATGGAAAATACTTTATTTGTCTAATCATAAAACTACTCTTGCTGTATTTTGACAGAAAAATTGTTGTTTGTAATTGTGCAAATTGTAAGGGTTTGTTTGATTTAGTTTTGATTTTTAATTTTTAAAAAATATATTTTAAAACAATTTTATAAAACTGTTTTTAGAAAAATAAAATAAAATAAATTTTGTTTGATAATTCAGTTTTTAAAACTGTTTTTAGTTAAATTTTTGTTAGTTTTAGAAAGAAAAACAGAAAAATAAAAACAAAAACACCTAAATAACAATTCTGTTTTTCAGTTTTAAAAACTGAAAATAAAAATTAATTTTTAAAAATAGTTTTTAAAACTTACATTAACAAGCAAGTTTTTCTATTTTTTAATTTTAAAAACTAAAAAATCTATTTAAAAAGAGAAAACAAACAAGCTCTAAATCTCCTAAATTTTCATATCCAACGAATTTTGGTTAAGTCTGAAAAAACTTAGGGAAATAAAGAAAAAACAGCTAAAGAAAAAGGTCTTATTGTTAAGAAAAGAGAACTTGATAGTGAAAATTCTTTAAAATTTTAAGTATACAAAAAATGATTTTTTATGTCAATCAATCAGGCATGAACAAAATTAAATACTTGTATTTTTTAAAATTATTGTGTGAACACTTTTTTTATATAAAAATTATTTCTGATTCTAATATTTCATACTTAAATGTTCAATGAATAATAATATACTTTGAGTAGAGAAAAATAGTGATGGTAAAAAAAGAAGCTTGATAATTATTAATGCGTAATTTAAACATAAACATAATAATAATAATATAATCATCCAAACTTAGTACACATATAAAGGATTATATATTGTTGTTGTAAATAAATACAAAATTAATATTTTATTTATAATATTTTTTATTTATTCCTTCTTTAAAATTGTTAACGTGAGATTTGAATAATGTAATATCTTTTTAACAAAGGAAACAATCATGGTTCGTAAAGAATAATTAGCAGAAAATATAATAGTGGAAGTGTAAAATGGAGGAATATTTCAGTTCCCGTGCTTTACATTATACAATCCCATCTTCAAACTACGACAAATAAATGCTTGAAGGATGTTTATATATATATACTAAAAATCAGTATCACCAACGTAAAAGAAAGGAAAAATTAATGATTATTTTTCATGTTAAAAATGGATAATTATATGAAGAAAAATCACTGGCTTGTCCTTTTCCCCAGAATTATTTAATCTATCTTATCAAGGTCAGAAAATGGAAAACCCTGCCAAGAACCACATCCATATGTTTTTTTTTTCTCGATCGTTAAGTTATAATGTTATTCAAGTTGAATAAAATCATAATGAATAATAATTTTTTAAAAACATTTAATACAATTATATTCAATAAAAATCAAATTAAAAATCATAAGTGAAACTTAAACAACATGTATCTTATAGAACTTGAATCAAGCGGATCAACAATTAAATTATCAGAATCTATAAGAAAAGGGTTTCATAACATAATAATGTTAGAAAGTAAGCCAAAAAAATAGGCTATTCTGTTTTTTTTTTTTTTTTTCTGTTGTATGCCATTAGCTGTCTAGCTATAAAAGCTGATACATTTTCTGTAATGAAATACGACATACAAGTTTTCTCTTCTGTTTCACTGTATCTCTTTCTCTATGAGTTTTATGTTCCTTTATAGTATCTAGAGCAAAGTTCGTGTAAAGTGGCCTGTGAAAAAGTGATGATAGAATTAGAAGGGTTGTAAAGTGTGTTGAAGACTGTCTTGATTCTTCAAGATCGTGTGTATTGGGAATTAAGCATAGTTTGAAGATCCTGTGAAGATTCTTTCATTAGAAGACAGGAGGATGGCTGGAAATGGTAGTATTATCCAAAGGGCTCTACCCGTTTTCGATGGGAAGATGTTTGATGATTGGCGAATCAAGATGATGGCCATATTTGGATTTCAAGATGTCTCAGATGTGATAATGGGTGGTCTTGAAGATCCTGGGAAGAAAGCTAGTGAAGAAGAGAGAAAGAATTACAAGAATCAGCAGAAACTTGATAGTAAAGCCAGGTTTCTACTGTATCAATGTGTAAGTCTGAGAATCTTTAACAAGATATCGAGGGCAACAACTACCAAAGAAGCATGGGAGATTCTTGTCAAGACATATGGAGATGATGACAAGAATAAGAAGGTGAGACTGCATACGCTGAGAAGAAAATTTGAGCTTCTAATGATGGAGGAAAATGAGTCTATTGCAGAATATTTTGACAAAGTTCAGGAACTTGTTAATGCCATGCGGGCATGCAAGGATACTATCACAGATCAATCAGTGGTTGACAAGATATTAAGAACTCTACCTGACCGATTTGATCACTTAGTGGTTACAATTGAAGAAACACGTGATCTTGATTCAATGGATTTAGAAGACCTGCAGCATTCGCTCGAAGCTCATGAGTGTAGAATAAATGAAAGGAAAAAAGTTCAAGAATTGGCTCTTCAGGCAAGAACTGGCTATAAAGACAAGAGTAAAAATTTTGGCCAGAAGACAGACAGAAAATATGTGACTGATAAGGGAAAGTTGAAGTTAGCAGGTGAATCCAAGGAAGGCAATCAAGAAGAAACTTCGTCTGGTGATGAAAAGAAAGAATGGAGGTTTGATAAAAAAAAGGTGAGGTGTTATAAGTGCCAAAAGATGGGGCATTTTACTCGTGAATGTCAAAATGGTAATGGAGTGAAGGGTAAGAAGAGTCAAGCACATCTTGCTAAAGAAGAAGAGACGTTCGATTATGAAGCTGTAACATTGATGGCACAAACTGATGCAGTAAGCAATGATGAATCTTCCTGGTATCTTGATTCAGGATGTTCAACTCATATGACCGGGAGAAAGGATTGGTTTGTAAAAATTCAAGAAACACCATCACATGGAAAAATCAGGTTTGCTGATAATAGCAGTCTGACAGCAGAAGGCGTTGGAAGAGTTGTGCTACGGGATCTTGATGGAAGAGAAATTGTGGTTGAAAATGTGCTATACGTGCCTGGTTTGAAGACTAATTTGATGAGTCTTGGGCAGCTTCTTGAGAAAGGTTTTACAATGAAGATGGAGGATAACAATTTGAGTGTTTTTGATCAAAACAAGAGGGCTGTGATACAAGCTAAATTGTCACAGAATCAGACTTTTCAGATTGCAATGAAGACGATGAAGCATCAGTGTTTTTCTGCCTCAGAGGGGAAAATTGAATGGGTATGGCATCAGCGATTCTGTCATTTAAACTTCAGAGATTTACATCAGCTAGGAAAAAATCAAATTGTTTCTGGACTTCCTAAAATCAGCATTCCAGAAGAGGTGTGCAGGGAGTGTGTGCAGTGCAAGCAAACTCGTATGAGTTTCAGCAATGCAGTATCTCTGAAAAATAGTGAGAAATTGGGACTTGTTTATTCTGATGTGTGTGGTCCCATCCAAGTTGAGACACCTGGAGGTAACAAGTATTTTTGCACTTTCATTGATGATGCCATAAGAAAAATTTGGGTTTATCCTATCAAAAGAAAAAGTGAGGTGTTTGATGTTTTTCGAAAATTCAAGAGACTTGTTGAGAAGCAGAGTGGAATGAGGCTGAAGGTGCTACGAACGGATGGAGGTGGAGAGTATGTCTCCAATAACTTCATGAAATTCTGTGAGGAAGAAGGGTTGGAACATCAAGTCACACCACCGTATACACCCCAACACAATGGCTGCGCTGAAAGGAAGAATAGAAGTTTGTTAAATATGGTAAGGTGCATGCTACGTACCAAAAATCTGCCTCAATACCTATGGGGTGAAGCTGTCCGCACCGCTTCCTATGTGATGAATAGGTGTCCCACTAAGAGACTGAAGGAGTTGACACCTGAGGAAGCTTGGACAGGTGTAAAACCAAGCGTAACACACCTCAAAATTTTTGGATCTCTATGCTGGAAACGTGTACCTGATCAACAGAGGCAGAAGTTGGATGATAAAGGTATACCACAAGTGTTAGTGGGGTATCATTCAACTGGAGGTTACAGGCTTTTTGATCCAAAGACTAGACAAGTAAGTATTAGTAGAGATGTTGTTATTGATGAAACAGCAAAATGGAACTGGGAGCAGCCCGTGCCCGATAAAGCACAGTAAAAAATGTTACTTGTTGATGAGTCAAAATCAAATGAGGAAGAATGCAGTGATTAGGAGGTGAGGCGTTCATCTCGTATCAGGCAGCAACCAACACATCTCCAAGATTATGATCTTGGACATGATTCTTTGGTCTCCACCGAAGGCAATCTGATTCACTTTGCTCTTGTTGCGGAGGCTGAACCTCTCACGTTTGAAGAGGCAAAGAAAGACAGAAGATGGTGGAGTGCTATGAAGGAAGAAATCAGATCAATAGAGAAGAACAACACCTGGGAATTATTGGATATGCCAGCTGATAAGAAACCAATTGAGTTGAAGTGGGTTTACAAGACAAAAGTGAATCCGAAAGGTGAGATAGTGAGACACAAAGCTTGTTTGGTTGCAAAAGGATACTTGCAACGAGAAGGGGTGGATTATGGAGAAGTTTTTGCTCCTGTGGCACGTATTGAAATAGTTCGTTTAGTAGTGTCAATGGCTAACCGAGAAGGTTGGAGCATGCATCAGCTAGACGTCAAATCTGCGTTTCTAAATGGATTTCTTGAGGAAGATGTTTATGTTCTGCAGCCTCAGGGATTCAAGAAAGAGAAGCATGAGCACAAGGTGTATAAACTCAAGAAGGCCTTATATGGCCTAAAACAAGCTCCAAGAGCTTGGAATAAGAGAATAGATGAATTCTTGTGTCAAGTGGGGTTTCTAAAGTGTGTATCTGAGTTTGGAGTTTATGTTAAGACTGTGATACATAACAAGCTAGAAGAAAAACTGATAATCTGCTTGTATGTGGATGACTTACTCGTGACAGGAAGCAGTGAGGAATTGATAAATGAGTTTAAATCTCAGATGTTATCTGAGTTTGAAATGAGCGACCTTGGAAGATTGAGTTACTTCTTGGGTATTGAGTTTGTACAAACCAAGTCTGGAATCGTTATGCATCAGACCAAATACGCATCTGATTTGCTCAAGAGATTCAATATGCTGCAGAGCAATCCTGCAGGTACACCATCAGCAGTTGGTCTGCATCTTGAGCAAAATGCTGCTGAAGAACCTGTTGATCCAGCAGTCTATAGAAAGATGGTTGGAAGCTTGAGATATTTGTGTCATACCAGGCCTGACTTGAATCACAGTGTTGGGTTAATAAGTAGGTTCATGCAAGAACCCAAGCAATCACATATGACCGCTGCAAAAAGGATCTTGAGGTATTTACGTGGAACGACTGAGTTTGGAATTCTGTTTTCCAGGAACACTAACCATGAGGATATGAAGCTAATTGGTTTCTCAGACTCAGATTGGTGTGGTGATAAAGGTGATAGAAAAAGCACAGCTGGTTACATTTTCTTTATTGAAGGAGCTCCAATCAGCTGGAGTTCTAAAAAAGAGCCTGTAGTTGCTCTTTCATCTTGCGAAGCGGAATATATTGCTGCTGCTGAAGCAGCATGTCAAGCAGCATGGCTGGAGAAGTTGATGAATGAATTGAAGATTAAATTGAAGTCAAAGACAACACTTATGGTAGACAACAAATCTGCCATTGATTTGGCTAAGAATCCAATCTGTCACGGTAAAAGCAAGCATATTGAAATTCGGTTTCATTTCTTGTGTGATTAAGTTAATCAAGGAAAGCTGAATGTTGATTTTTGCAAGTCAGAATTTCAGCTTGCAGATATCTTTACGAAAGCTTTGAAATATGAAAGGTTTAAGTGCTTGAGAGAATCTATTGGAGTTGTTTGTATGAAAATATTTTTGGCTTAGGGAGGTGTGTTAGAAAGTAAGCCAAAAAAATAAGCTATTCTGTTATTTTTTTTCTGTTGTATGCCATTAGCTGTCTAGCTATAAAAGCTGATACATTTCCTGTAATGAAATACGACATATAAATTTTCTCCTCTGTTTCACTGTATCTCTTTCTCTATGAGTTTTATGTTCCTTTAAATAAATGTTTAAAATCCAACCAAACAATAAGTGAAGGCGTTAATTAATCGATTTTATTTTCTTAAGCAGTTTAGTATTAATTTGAACTTCGCACTATTGGCCTTGGACTTACAGATTTATGTGCTCCCAATCATGAAGTCAATGGTCACATTACTGGTTCATATTATGAATAGTGAAATGTTGTTTGAACTTCCTTTTTGTATAATAATTTTTATAATAATGACTAAGAAAGAGAAAGGAAAGATAAGAATGGAATATGATAGGGACTCAAATAATAATAATTGAATAAATGAGACGATTCTTTTGAATATGCATTATCAGTCCACGTTCCCTGTATCTTAATTATTCTATCTGGCTACTACTACAATACTAGCCCACCACCCTTTCCTCTCTTCTTTTCCTTTTCTGGTTACTTTTCCATTCAAATTCTTTCTCTGTTTCTGTTTTCCCATTGAAAACATATATAATGTAAAATAATATTATCAATATACTTTTTCGAAAAATATACATTTTAATGTGTTTTGCATGATTTGTTTATTTACAAAAAAATCACAGATCATGAACAAAAGTATCAAAAAATGTGTTATAAAGAGAGTATATTTATCCTTATATAGTATTCCTTGTACAGTGTAAGTTTGGCGTGAATAAATAGATACTTGAAGTGAAGTGATTAACAATAAGGAAGGAAAGAAAAGCGTGTAGGGTTGAATCCATACACCATGGTAGAGGCTGAAAAGAAAAAAAGTGCTCTTCTAATGTGTTTTGGAGTACATGCATGCAGAAAAAAAAAGCTTCAATCGGTGCCTCGTGACATGGAGGAGAGAAGAAGAAGCAATGGCAGCAAAGTTTCAGCGGCTGTGGATGAAAAGCCTCTTAGAAAAATCGCAGACGCTTTCAAAGATCTTGCAAATGTGGTTACTTCCCAAGGCTCAGAGGTCGATATTGCTGCTTTATCCCGTGCTTGTGCTTTTGTTGCTCCTCTTTTTGGTTGTGTCGGTTTCCATTTCAAGTTCATAGAGATGGACTATGTTTCCAAGGTATGAAACCAATTAATAACGACAATTTTATGCTGCTACTATGTTTGTATTAGAGTTTGCAGATGCACAAAACTTTGTGTAATGTTATGAAATTCAAAGTTTTTATTAAAAATTGTGAGAATGAGTATATTTTACAATTTTAATAAAAAAATATTAGTATTGTTATTAATGCATTGATTAACATTTTTCTGTTACAAATATACTTATCTTAATCACATTAACTCATTTAGAATGAAAATGTTAAACCCTATCATTACTTGAAATCAATTAGACAATGTTTAGAAATATTTTTATTTTGTAAAATTAATTTTATTTAAGTGTAATAAATTTGAAGTGATTTTTTTATCAAGTATGCTTGTAATAAAATTTAAAATTAATTTTTTTACTTCAACATACAACAACAATAAAGTCTTATCCCATTAAATAGGATCAACTTAAAGGTTTCAACAAATTTTATGTTAATTGTCAACGATCTGACACAACACAATGTGATTTTTTGTTTGACAAATCATTATGGGCATTTCAATATCAATTGTAAATTCGATCATACTATAGTCTTGTGTATTGTGCTTAGTAAATGAAGGGGTTTAGGCATGTTATGTTTTAATTGATCATGTTTTTGTGTAAATGACAGGTTAAAGATATAGCAGAGGCATCAAAATCCTTTCGAACATTACAATCTATGGTTGATCAAGATATACAAACAAATTCAGTGCGAATACAAGGGAGCCATTCTAGAAATCTTTTGAAAATAAAGCGTGGACTTGACTTTCTCAGAGTGCTCTTTGAGCAAATTCTACTGACAGAGTACGTTCGCCAACTTTAATTACTTTATCATTATCGTATGTAGTGTATTTTGTTTAGAAGATAAGCAGAGCATGTCACTAGTGGTAGACAACAATGATTAGAGAATAAAAATCAAAAGAAAGTGGCAATTGGATGACAATGGATGATTCCACTTACAAATTTTAAATCTGAGTGCATGTGGAAAAAGTAGCCGGTTGACTTTGGTGTAAACCTCAATTATGTATTTTTTTTCCAAGGTATTTTTGGTTTAAAATTTTTAAGGATTTTGATTATTCATAGTTATGCTTTGACCTTTTCCAACGTTGAGGAGCAAATTCACATCTCTGGAAACATTTATATAAAAGAAAAACTGTATTTGTAAATTTATTTTGTATAATTTATTTTAGAATAAGTTCTTATTTTCATCCCTCATATTATAGAAGTTGTTTCTTTGATTTTTAAAATTCATAAGATATTAGTCTCTAAAATTATAAAACATCAATTATATGGATATACAAAACAGAATAATTTTTCTATTTTAAGCACATGCATCTTGTGCACAAGAACCAGTGTTGGCAGTGATACTGAATTCAGTTCTTATATGTCTTCTGGAAGGGGAAATTCGATTAGGGATGCAGTTACCAAGGCTTACACACAAATATTTAATTCATATCATGGCTGGGCATTGAGAAAGGCCGTTGCTGCAAGGATACATTACATCCCTACAAAGCAGCAGATATTTAGGAAAATTAGTGAAGATGGTAAGTCTAGAATCACATTCTATTCTATGTAGTTAATATGAAAGTGTTTGTAACTTGTAATTTTAGTGGGTTGAAGTGTTTGAAAATTGACACCAATTGTTTTCTGAGGTTTAGGCATGTTAAATGCTTCATCTTTCTTTTACCCCCTACACCCCAGAAAATAGAATTATATTGATTCTCACTAGTAATTTTGCATATAGATGTCATTGGTTTAACAACATTATGTTATGATGCTTATGTCTCCCTTTTTTTTTTAATGTCTTCTGGTCCAGAGTCCTCGGGAAGGGTCCTTATGCAAGCTTATATCTTGGCGTCCCCGCCTCTACTCCAATACATCGAGAAAATTTTCCTTGAAAGAGAATTGGGTATAGATTGGTGAACCCTCTTTTCTACTCAGTTTAAACAAACAAATTGTACAATGCAATCCCCTATTGATGGGTTATGAATGAGATGCTCATTGACGCTTCGGATAAAGTACTTTTCCGAATGGAGATATTTCTATTGTTTTGAATAATTAGCCAAGTATTTTGGATTCGTCATTAATTTGTAATCTTTTTGACAGAAAATACTTTATTTGGCTTATGACAAAACTAGTCCTGCGGTATTTGAAAGAAAAATCGTTGTTTGTAGTTGCGCGTAATGTAAATCTCCTAAATTTCCACATCCAACGAATTTCGGTAAGTCTTCAGAAACTCAGGAACAGAGAAGAAACTGCTAAGGAAATGTGGAATTTAAGTTTGGCATAAATAAGCACTCAGTACACGAGCAATACTAGAAAAGTAAAAGGTCTTACAGCTGCAGTTTCTTCCAAGTGGTGCCCTTTAATACTTAAATGCTGAACACTAGATGGTTAAAAAATTATCCGAACGATTGGCATAGAACAATAAATGAACTTGTCTAAGTTAAGAAAGCAATCTCGGAAAGGATAAAGAGCAGACAATAAAATGGGGGAATATTTCATCTCAGTTCCTTGCATTCCAATACCATCCTCAATCTAAGGGGGAAAAAACTATGCTCCAAGAATGTGAGCTATCAGCTTCTGAATTAAATACATCATCAGTGCATATGACTAGAAGCCTAGAGATCACCAATATAAAAAATAAGGAAAAATTATTGATCTTTCATGTAAGAAAGGATTAATTTTACATAAGAAAGGAGAATGCTAATTAAGAAAAATTGAAAAGCTTTAATGAGGAAGTGTTACCAATACACTCCCATTGTGATTTTCAATGTCTATCCATTGTGATTTCTAATGGATTTTTTCTATTTATTGATTTCTTAACTAGTATTCATAGGGCACTCATTAGCATCACCTTGTAAGAAATTACTAACTTGTATTTTTCCCACAATTTGCAAGGTCAGAAAATGGGAAACCCTGCCTAAGATGACGTATCTTGTATAAGCTTGCTACCAACTCTGTTAGGGAATGAAGTATCAGAATCTATAAGGAGAGATTCATAACAGAAAGAAACGATACCCCTCGTCATCAGAATCTATAAGAGATTCATAACAGAAAAAAACGATACCCCTCTTCATCAAACTCCCAAAATCCAATGCAGGAAAACTTGAGTTTGTCACCCAACAAACATGCATGTCTATCACTTCTGGAACGTGCTATAGCAGCAGCCTTTGAAGCAGTACATCTGGTTGTAACGAAGTTCATCAGATGGCCATAATCACAAAATGCTTTATCTCAGCTACACAGCTATAGATTAAAAAAATTAGAAGAATCCTGAGAAAACCTACTTCCAAACAGTCTCTTCCTGATATGGATGTACAACAAGTCAACAATTATTTTGTTTTCCATGTCATCTTAAAGGGCTAACAACCCAGCCTGTAATTGGGTTCTGCCTGCGAAATCTCAACCTCCCATGTCCCCCGCTTTGCAAACGTTCAAGAACTGCATATGTAATTGAATCTGGTGTTAATCCTTGCCGCTTAAGTTTTGCATAAAGGTCCACTGCCTCAGCTGTTCTTCCACACCTTTCAAGACAGTCAAGCAAAATATTATACGTGACTAAGTTAGGAGTGCATTCTTCAGCAAGCATTTCGTCGAACAGCCTACACGCCATTTCAACTTTATCTGTCTTGCCAAAGCACTCAATAAGTGTACTATAAGTAACAACATCAGGATTTAATCCCTTCTCTTGCATCTCTTTAAATCTCATGTGAGCTTCATCAACATCCCCATTCTTTCCTAGGCAATTGATCAAACAGTTATAGGAAACAACATCAGGCTTACAATTGCTATTCTCTAGTTCTTCAAATATTTTAACAGCACTGTCAACTCTCCCAGCCCTGCCAAAGCTGGAGATCAGAATATTGTATGTAAATATGTCGGGCAGAGGGCCATCTTGTTTCATCTGTTCATAAAGATCATAAATATGTGATATTTGTTTCAACCTGCCAAGAGCTGTGAATACTGTATTGTACATGAAAGTATCAGTTGTTATACCCTTTTCATGAATTTTATTCAGAAGGTCTATAGCTTCTGTCATTTTACCAGCACTGCATAAACTCTCCAACATGGACATGTAGGCATCTCTATCACCCTTGTCATGGATGTTCCACATGTTGCAAAACAACCTATGTGCTTCAGAAGCATGACCCAATTTGCTTAATGTCCTAACAAAATATGCATATATCTGCTTATTCATATATTTCTTTGACAACTCCACAATATCATCAAGCTTATTAAGCTGCCCTTCGGCAACCAGAAGGTTCAAAAGCACACTGTACGTAAATTCATTAGGCTGACAATCATTCTCCACCATCTTCGAGAAAAGCATGATGGCCTTGTCAACCATCCGACCCTTGGCAAGTGCCTCAATCATTGTATTATAAGCAATCAAATTAGGAATACAGCCCTTGGCTAACATCACCTGAAAAAGTGCCAGCGACTCATCAGTTTTGCCAGATTTCCCAGTCATTCTGATCATAATGGTGTAAGTGAACACATCAGGCTCACAATGCCTCCGCTTCATATCCTCAAAAACTTTGTATGCTTTATCCACCTGCCAAAACAATGAACATAAGCCATTAACTCAATTAGATGTTCATCAATCTCTCCACACAAACCTCTCCTGGAGCCTGCCTGCATGGAAAAATAATTTAAAAAATTGAAATGCCCCACTAACACCAAATCCAACCCAACAAACTAAGCTACACGTTTGCACTGAACTGGCACTAAATAATTAAACTTTATCCAAAAGGGTGTTAGAGTAATCCAAACAATTGGAAAAATCAGAAAGCAAGAAGAATGCATTGCAACTGCAAACCTTGTCATCCTTGGCCAAAGCATCCAAAAGCATGTTGTACCCAAAAATGTCCAACTTATACCCGCGGCGATGCATATCCAAATAGATTCGAAAGGCATTGGAAGAATCATGGGACCTCAAATAAGCCTGAAGCAAGCATTTGAAGGTATAAGCATTGAGGCTGAGGTCCCATTTCTTGACCAAGTCAACGCATCGTTGCAAGTCTTCGCCGTTGCCGAAGAAGCCGATGAGGATGTTAACGGTGGAGATGGAGCCGCGAACGCCGTGGCGGTGCATGTGGTCGAGGAGGGAGCGAACTTGGTCGAAGCGTAGGGGATTGGTGGATTTAGAGAGAATGAGGAAGAGACGGTTGTAGGTGAAGGACTCGTGGCGGAATTTGGGGGAAAGGGAGGGGCAAAAGTGGAAGAATTTAAGGGCCAGAGAAGGGCTTTTAAGGGCTTTGAGGATTTCAGAGGCTTCGAGAGGAGTGAGGGAGAGGGAGAGGGATTCGAGGTAATCGGAGAGGTCGGAGAAAGGGTCGGAGAATGAGGGGGAAGAGAAAGAGAGGAGGATTTGGGTGGCTTTGCAGATGAGGTCGCGACGGGGGAGAAGGTACCCTCTTACGTCGTATGGGAGTGGCGGTGGCGGAGTTACCTCGGCGGCAAGAGAGCGGCCAGTGGGGGATGTTGACGTGATCTTGGCGGTGTACTTGGTGCCGAAGTGCCGTCGGAGATGGAAGTGATGGGCCTTCATGATGTTCAGCCGGCAAGAAGCTCAATGCTATTGCTTCCCTCCTCTTCCGAAGTGCAGGTTTTCTGTATTTTTCAAAATATTTTTATTTTAATGAAAATTTAATTAAAATATACTCTCACCAATTTTTTGTCTGGCTAAAATCCTAATTAAAAAATGATAAAAGTAAAACTGTTTTTTTCCTAGAAAACAAGTTAGATTATATTAAAATATACGGCAAAAATTCAGTAATTACATTTTTTACTTTCAATTATTTAACTAAAAATATTGATTAATATTTATTATTACTTTTACATTATAGTTATTAATATCATTAACAATTATTAATTTTTATAATAATTATCTTTAAAATTACATTTATAATTATTAGAAAAAAAAATTTATAGTGCTCGACGTAGTATTTATAAACTTAAAAACACATTATATATTATTTTTAAATTAAATATTATAATTAGTTTAATATACTAAAAATTAAGAATATTTTTATTTTTTATTTTTAAAATAAAAATATAACACGATAAAAATTATTTATATTTTTTTAAAATAAATTATTAACCTATATTGTCTATTATATATATTTAATATAAAATTAATAGTAATAATTGTTTTACATATAAAAAGACAGTTTATATAAAATAGTAAAATTTATCAAAATTTATATTAATATATTAAAATTAAATTCTTAACAACAAATAGGGAAATATAAATAAAAACATAATTTTCAAAACCCTTGTGATGTTACTTAACTTAAATATTTAAAAATTCATTTCACCATATTGTTTTGCAAAATTGTCGTAAAATTGTAATGATGCATAAATTATTAAATTCATTTCTTTTTTATAGTTTTTTATGTAAAAATAAAAAAAATAAGATATTACGTATATATTTTGAATTGAAAAATTTTACAAAAATATTTTATTTTAAAGCCTTGAGTCCTAAATGCTGTTCAAGTAATTCTTAAGCATGATCTACTGCAAGCTAAATGTTGCTATTGATCATATATCACATTATCGATGGTTAATGGTTTTAAGGGCTATATTAAAAACACTAGAGAATTATATTTCATTGAATATCAGTTTGAACAACAACAAATTCAAGTTTAAAAGTTAGCAGATACCCCTTAGCAATTGAACTTAATGAACCTAACAATTGAACTTTCACCACTAAAGCCATATTTTAAAAATATTTCTTCGACCATGAACTGATATAAATTTTGCTTGAAATGGAAAATCAGATACCCCTTAGCAATTGAACTTTTCATTTGTTGGTTTTCTTTCTTTTTTTTTTAATTTAATTTAATTTATCTTTAAAAAGAGTGTAAAGACTGAAGTTGAACAGAAAAAATAACTTGATTCAATTTATTCTAAAAAAAAATAACTTTTCAACACTGTATACTTTCTTGAGACACATTAGTTCCTGTCAATAAAATCCTATTTAAATTGAAAAAAGTAATTATATGTCACTTTAATTAATTAAAATGATACTTCCATAATTTTTTAAATTCCCTAAAATAATGATTTAGCTTGTCCTTGAAAAAGATCACGTGATCTAATTTAGTTGCTAAAAAAACTGTTGGGTTCTTTCTCAAAATTAAATCATTAAATAAATATTAATATTTTTATATATTGAAATTATTAAAGTGTCACTATAATATATATATATATATATATATATATATATATATATTTCTGTTAACTGTAAAAGAAAAATAACTGGATTTGTGTTCTAAAATTTTAGCCTGCTGTGTTTTTGAGTAAAGAGTGTGTGATCAATTTTTGGAATGATTATATCCATGCTAATTTTTAAATGCTTTGGGCCCAATATTGAAATTCCAATTAATTGTGGTTGTGTTCATCTATAATATAAAGTTCAGTGCCACCATGTCCTCTCATTGTGTAAGAAATGAGAAAAGGGAAAAGGGAAAAGGGAAAAGGGAAAAGGCTCCTCATTAGAAATAGTTGATGTATTATGTTAAAAAGAAGTTTCAATCAAGGAGAGGTAATTTATAATTTTATAACCTCTTTTTAACTTATTTAAAATATAATAACAGTCTAATATCTTGATGGATAACATATGTTGGTAATTTATTTATCGCAGTGTTAATGAAATTAAAATATAAAAATTTCTATACTGTCAATTAATTAAAATATATTATAGTTTAAAAAATTGGAAGGCTTAGGAAGAAAAATAGTTGGTGAAAGTATGTCTATTTTATTCAACAAGACGAAGTCTTGCTAAGAGTTTCAATAGAATTTTCTGAAGGTAACAACACTAGCCATGGATATTTCTGCTCCGGAGTCCTTGCAAGAGTTAAACTCCACGATTTACAAACAAGACGAAGTCGAGCGTAATCCTCGTAAGAATGTATGTACTTGACAATTTGATTCAACAAATCAGAGTGAAGGTTCGCCCACAGATCATCTTTGCTCATCTCGCTCCAAAGTTAGGCTTATCTAGAATCAAAATCAACGATTTCACTTATGGATCTGAGTTCGTATTATATATACATGTATATATATACCTTCAAACGCGTAATAACAACTTTTCAACTTATTTAGATAAAGATAACGTTAAAATATGATCCAAATAACTGAATCCGAGTTTGAGATAAAGATTATAATTCAAGTAGTGCAATTTTTTATTAGATAACAGATTTATATTATCATCAACTATCTAAATTCTTTTACACATTTTAAATTCAGTTACGTTAAGAAATTAATAAATAAAAAATTTTCATTCAAAGTTATCTATCCTGCGAATTATTTTCATTAAAAAATTGTTCTCCATAAAATTTATTGTGTCTTGACACGTGCTAGAAAAAAAACTATTTTAAATTTTTTATTTTTTCATCATGGCACACTTATTTTCTTTAATATAAAAAATTATAAACAAAAATATTAAATAAATTAATACGTATTTTTATTATTAGCAAATAATATTGTACTATATTTAATAACAATAAATAAAAAGAAAACTATAAAAATCAAAATACCATATTAAAATTTTTGAAATCAAATTTAATTTAAGATTGATTGAGATTATAATAAATATAATATATCAATATCAGACATTTAAAAATATACAATCATGTTAAAACTATAAAAAGTAACATTACCTAACGAGAAAGAGGATAAATACTAAGAATATTTTTTAAAAAAATAGCTCTTAAAAATGATTGTATTCATAACTGAAGACATATTTTTAAATAAAAAAATTAAAATGTAGTGCGTGAGTTTTAAAATGATTAAGTTTAAAAAGAGTAAATGTTTTATTATTTTAAATAGGATTAACTAAATAAATTTTTTAAATCACAAAACAAAAATTCTAAAATATTCAAAACTATAATTAAGACAAATATAAAAGGTTTTTTTATTATGATTTATCAAAATTAAAGATTCAAATATAAATTTAAATTAATTATTATAATATAATCACTCAACCAGTTCAAGCTCATGATTCTACAAGAAAATCATAATTGAATTAACATTGGAATTCATAATGAAAGATATGATTTATATACCTAGACAGAAAGGAATCAATGTAGTGTATTAATTATACATATATAGATGTGAATTCTTTATCATTAATACAGTTTCTTACTACTAAGTAATGGGAATTAATGTACAAATTTACCTATGGTACAAAGTGGCATTTTATTGGTTGGCGAGTAATAACTTGTTCTCAAATCTTAACTTCTTGGAAATTAGATATCTTTCAGTTAACTATGAAAGGAAAATAACTGCATTTGTGTTCTAAAACTCTAGCATGCTGTGTTTTTAAGTAAAGACTTTGTGATTAATTCTTGGATTAGATTTTGTGGAATGACTATAATACAAAGCTCAGTGCCACCATGTCCTCTTTTTATAAGAGAAAATAAAAGGGAAAAGACTCCTCATTAGAAATAATTGATGTATTATGTTAAAAAAATTTAAATCAAGGCGGTAATTTATAATTTTATAATCTCTTTTTAACTTATTTAAATTAGTTTTCTATTATAATATATTAAAATAATTTATTTAAATAAATTTTATTATTAAATTTATAACATAAATTATTATGAAAGTTATAAAATAAATATTAAATTAAGTTGTGCTATCAGACACACTTTAACGCTTTGTAATTTAAGATAGAGATAAATTCATGAGTAAGGGTGAGATCATTTTTCTCTTTTAAAATAATTTAAAAAAACTACACATTTACCGATCTATATGCACATATGTATAAGTAAACAGATAGATTTTTTAAAATTATATAATTTAATAATATAATTATGTATATGTATAAGATTAACATAATTAAAATTAGTTAAAATTTTTTAGTAAATGATTATGAAATATATTGTATTTATTTTTTTAATAATATATTTATCATAAATAAATTTTAAATATATGTAAAAAATGCATTAAAATATATTTTTGGCTACCCCTTTATATCTGCCCTTCCCTCTAGACAAATGCATTTACCTTAAGTGACACTAAATTTATTAATGTTTTTAAAATTAGATTGATTTACTTTGTAAAGGTATTAATTTAAGGTTTGATGATTTAATTAGAATTATAACAGTAATAAATAAATAATGTTTGTAATATATAATAATTTAAATAATAAATTATTTTAAAATTATACAAAATTAAAACAAACCAAATTTTAAGTTGATATAAAATGTCATGTTACTTGTTTTATTAGATAAAAATTATAATTATGGTAAGGGTTGCGTAAATTCCCGATCTTTCGTGAAGAGAGAAAATAACATTTCGGTTGGGAAGGGTTTTCTTTAACCCTAATTCCCTTGCGGCGACTAAGTGACTTCAACATCCTGATGACTTTTGCCAATGTAAGGAAAGGGCTCTTCCTTAGATCCCTTCTGGTGAGAGGAGCATACAAGGCATGGACCAACTAGATCAAGAAAAACATTCAATTGAGGAGATTGACTTGATGGTTCGTAGCACCAAGAAAGTAAAGATGAACCTAGATCCAGTTATAGAGGACCTCAACTCCTGCATGCAAGAAGATAGCGTCACCGAGGGTCCTACAAATCAACTGCTTTCTTTCCCTAAATCCCCTAGATGCATGTAATATAAGGACAAAGTGTTAGCTGATAATACCATAGATCTGGTTCTAGATAATGAGGAAATTATCAAATCGGTTCTAGAGGAGTTTAATCTTCCTCTGGAACCTGAAGATGCCATTTTTAAAAAGTCAGATGTTAGTAATCAAGTTCAAATCATTTGCCTTGAGCTCAAGATTTCCCTAGAAGACTATTAATCTTGGTGTAATCCCTGGAAATTAAACCTAATCATTAAACTTTTGGGTAAATCTATTAGCTTCAATTTCTTTAACCAAAAGCTAACGAATATAGGGAGGGGAGGGGGAGGAAATAGGAATCTTAAAATTTTAGATTTAAACAATAATTTTTTTCTTGTTAAATTTGATAACATTGAAGATCATAAATTCACCTTATTTAAAGGTCTGTGGCTAATATTAGATCATTTTCTTGTTCAATGCTGAAAACCTTTTTTTAGACTTAAAGAATATAGTCTTGGAAAAATAATCGCTTGGGTTAGAATTCTTGATCTTCCCCTTGAGTTGTATAATAGAAAATTCCTTTGGCAAGTAGGTACTTGCTTGGGAACACTGTTAAAAATTGATTCCATACTTCCCTATTGTCTAGATGCAAATTTGCTAGAATATGTGTTGAGTTAGACTTAAATAAAAAATTAATACCTTCTTTCAAGGTTCTAAGTCAAGAATTTAAAGTTAAATATAAGGGTTTACACCTGATTTGTTTTCAGTATGGTAAATTTGATCATAGGATGGAGTCCTGCATAGATAAGATCTTAGCTTCTAAAGATAACCCCTGCACCCCCATGACTGAGTATGCAGAAAGGCCTATTAATACAGAAGTCCAACTTGACCAAGGGAGCCAAAACACTTAGGTGACTAAGCAATTAGAGGACGAGGAAAAATTTGGCCCATGGATACTACCTAAGAAACCTTTAAAAAAGAAGCCTAGGACTCCCAAGCCCTTAGGAATGTCAACCCCCGTTGGGAAGGGTAAGGAACTTTCTTTAGGCTCTAGATTTGAGGTGCTAAATTTGCGGTGCTAAGTACCCCTGCTCAGAATAAAGACAAAAAAATAACCTTAGTTCATAACATATTAGTAACTAATCATTACATAGATGACAGAGAGGGAAATAATCAACCTGAAATATTGAGATCTAAGTTTGCAGGCAAAGGTCCCTCAGATTTCAAATCATTACATACTACAGATCCACATATTTTTCTAGCTACCATGACACAATGCGCATGAACATTCACTGCCGCGGTGTTATAAATTCATTCAAATCAAAATCAATTGTCCAAAGTCAATTGGAATCCACTTCCACGTAAAATTGATTATTAAAAATTGACAAGAGCTAACAAATTTTGATTTAAATCAATTTTCCTATAGAAAACATAAAAAATCTTTAAAAAAAAAAAAGAAGTCAATGTAAACATAAATTAAAATGTAAAAAAAATCAATTTAAATCAACTTCTTTATAAACAAAGAATATTAATTTAAAAAATTTCAATTCAAATAGACTTCTGTTTTTTTCTATTATTATTTTCATTCTTATGATAAAATTTACTTTAAATCTTAAAACAGGAAGGCAACGGAAGGCAAAAATAGCCTCTGAAGTTTTATTATTTTACTACAGTATAATTAAAAATTATTTCAATAAAAAAATGTCAACCACAAGGAACACATTATTGTAAATGACTGGAACAATCACACATCTATCTACGTCCTGATTGAACACGGGGTACAATATCCATACTTCACATTTAAACAACATCGGTGTGATAATTCCCCATTCTCTAGACCCACATTCTGATTGGACTAGTTTCCAATACCTGATATTACTAATAATTTGGCTACACCGATCCATTAAACACAAGTAATTAACGCTTCAACAAAAATATAATCATGCACATAGATTAGAGGCATCTAGAAAAAAAAACCCCAATCACAAGGTTCAATGGCAGCCCGGTCCTCCTTGGTTGATTGAAATGTTTTGTCTTGTTACACATCCATGCCTAATCAAGCTTGACATTAGAATACAGAAGTGTGTCCCTTGTGAGTGGCATATTCATAAGGTAACATATCTGCCAGCAAACAAATTAATTAGTAATCATGCACACAGATTCCATTGTGAGTGGCATAAGATCATGCATCAAATATCAACATTAACTATCGACCACGACATAAGCATCTGATTATAGTATAATTTTATTGAAAAAACAAGTATTTATTATACTTTTAAAACTTTAATATAATATGTATATTTTTCATAAAATTTTTCTATTTATGGATGTCCGCATGCCTTACACCATATTTTGATGGACAGGCAGACAAGATTATTCAAAACAACTAAAACTAATTCTAATACTTTCATCCATCGATTGTCCAAACAAAAGAATCATTACAAGAATCTGACACTAGAATTTCATTGCTGAATAAGTTTTCAAATGGTAGTTGCTAAGATATGCTACTCTCCCGCTTCAATAAAAATAAAGGCAAAATAAATACAGAAGTGAAAAGACAGAAATTGATGGAAAAACCTCTGTCGCATTCCAATACTTAGCTAGATCTTAAGACAGACATCTTAAACCGTACAGAAAAGGTTTTCTTTTCGGATTCCATTTTTCATTTAGGTTATATTACTGGTATAATTATTTCAGCAACACTTACCCCTATAAGAGTTGAAACGAGCAATATAATTCCGGTTACCCAAGCAAGGGTTCTTCTAACAAACACCACTTCTGGAGATGTTGAATTCACTGCATTTGTTTCTGCCAACCATCGAGCAGTAGGGTGAGGAGTAAAGATAACATCAAACTTCCTGCCTGACTGTTGAGTATTGGTCGAATGAGAGTAGATAATTCCAACAATTTGACCTGCTCGGTCATTGATCATAAAGATGTTAAAAGAAACCAAATTGACACTTCAGACCAATAAAGTTGACATCTGAACAATGAAAGATCAGCAGAGTTTGCAACAGCTATTTGACTAGGTTTTTTATAATAAAGCAAATCATCACCAATATTGTAAGGCTATAATTTAAAATCATACAGCAATTATTTAAGCCTGACAAAATTAACCTTTGTATGCTTCTTGCAATGAACCAAATATCTTTTTCAAAGTTGCAAGTAGCAATTCGACTCCATGCTGAGCAATACTTTCATCTTCATATTCCTCTTGCAAAACCTGCACCATATTAATCAATAAGACAATGGACTTAAATTTTGATACACGTTAATTGAGAAAAAGCATTAGAAAGAAACTATTGGTATCCACACCAATATAATATCAACAATACCATGTATTCAAAGAACTGTTTTACTTTCAAAAATTTGCATTTATATACAATTATTATGTCATTAACAACAAAATAGAAACGAAGTGTTAATCAGGCATTTAAAAAAGGATTGTTTGGCAGGACAAAGGATGCAAAATTTCTCAGGTAGCACAGCTTGAGTAGAGAAAGAACAAGGATGACTTAAGCACATTCAATAATAATGGATAGTACTCAGGTCAGCATAGTTTAAGCTCACCTCACAAAAGGAAAATTGTGTTCTTTAAATATTTCCTTTTTATTTTAAAAAATTAATAGTCACTTCAATTTTATCAGATTCCAGATTCTACGACAATAAAACAAACAAAGAATACGCCCTAAGAAAATCCAATATAAGTAAATAACAAGATCCATGTAAGACTAATATCATTTTCTTTTCTATAGCCAAAAGAAAGAACAAACGATTAACTGAAGCAATAAACATGCCATCACCAGGATGATCTTAGGTAGTAACTCAATTAAATTTGATTTGGGACAGGGTTATGTTTTTGAAGGAAGTAACCATCTTTGAGAAGTGAAAGAATTGTGCAGCTTGCAGAATTTGTAGTTAACTTCATTACTTCTGTTATGTTTTAGTTATTCTTTTAGCACTTGAAGATACCTTATCTTTGCCCCTGTTTCACTTACTCTGTTTTTAAAATGCTTTTCTTTACTTAAAAAATCATAACATAGATTGAAACTTGAAACTTGAAAGACAAAAAGAACAGTCAGGAATGCTAGAGAATCAAGAATACAAGCAAGGTTCTCAAACCTGCCTTCAAATCATAAAAGGAAACTCCTTTCAAACATACATACACAAATCATTTGACTAATAATATTGTCAAGTTAAATATTCTATCATGACTATAGAGACACTTCTGCCACATTATTATGTCCAACAAACTTATTAGTAAATGCAGTCTTTTCAAAAATTGAAAAAGAAGAAAGTAAGGAAGAATAAGAAAAAGAGCAAGGGGAAGAACATTGCACACCTTAATGCCATTGAAGCATCCTATTAACAACTCAGCTGGACTCTGTGTACTCAGTGACAAATCATCATGCATTTGAATTGCCCTTTGGACATTTTGAGTGAGAGACACAAGACCTATCACAAACTTCCTTTCTGCTCTCTGCAAACACAAACATGTAACCCTCCCAATTAACACATTCACATATAAGTAGAAAAATATACCTTAAAATCCTTATTATACCTTTGACATTTGGAGATTCACTGAGGCACCATTTGCCAACGGAATGGTAAGCACTCCATTTAAAGGCTCAAGAGCATCAGGAGCATATGATCCACCCATCAAAGATGACTACGGCAACAAAAACAAATTCAAATATAAAATGATAATCAAATGATATGGAAATAGCTCATAGACATGTATAATATAAAGCAAAACTAACAAAATCACTAATTTCTTTGTCAGTCCAGTCTTCCAATTGCTCATCCAAAGAAACCACAGAAACATCATTTTCATCTGCATAAATTAAAAGTAAAAGTAAAAAGAGAAGCCCATCACAAATAATTAAGATGAAAATCACATAGGTAGTGCCTAGCACCATTTTTATCTAGTATCCTTCTTTTCTAAACTTATGAACCTTTTAAAGCCTCACCTGGAAGTTGAATGTCAACTTTGTCTGAACCAAGAATGTTTGTACTCCAAAATGAATTGCCAAACATTGCATTATCTTGGACAATTTTTACAAGACCTGCATTCATAACACGTTAATGTTATCTTTATGAAAAAGAGAATATAGTTTACAAATTGATCATTATACTTAATTCAAGGCCACAGACCATCAATTCCATTCACTTCCAGTAAAAATACAGCACGGGGCCTTTTGAATGGGTTAGGAATCAAAACTTCATTCAACTGCAGAAAGACACAACGTCATCATCTATCAAACCTATAATATAAGTATGATGTAATGTAACATAAATACAGAAGTGAAAAAATTGAATGTCATTAATGATTTCAACTTTCAAGGACCTTGGATGAGCTGGCAGCTGAAAGGGTGGAAGGAGGTGCAAAACCAAGCAAGATTGATGCAGCAGCACCAATTTCCGGAAGCAACAACGAAGATTGCTGCAAAGTGAAATAATGCCACCCAGTGAGTTAGTTACTATTGATTTAACATTACAATAGAATGAAGCAATATTGTTAAAGGGGAACATGGAAAAAGATTAAAATAAATACAATATTTAACTTTAATTCCAATAAAATCAATCTTTCCCAAAATGAGCAAAAGTGAAGAGAAGACTATAAAATAAGCTTTTATTGATTTCAAGTAGAAATTTGTCCTCCTCAAATATCATCTGAAAAGTTTAGTTACAAAACTTATTCATAACAACATTATTAAGAGAAGAAAAACACTCTCTTCTGCTTAAATTTTCATTACCTGTGTTTTCATTCTCACATGTCAATATTTTCTTTCCGTCCCCATTTCTTACCAAACAGAGGATGTCTCTAGCACAATTAATCTATTTAACTAACTGGTCTGATTGGTAATGTTTCAAATGGGTTCTATTAATACAAGAAAGGGCATCTGAGCACTGATGTAAAGAGAAAATCCAGTTCATTTAAGGCATGGCAATTTTTCCTTGCTTTTAATTTAAGATGAATGTAAAGAAATTTTAAACTTCAATAAATTAATATATCATCTAAAAGATTTTTTTTTTTTAAAAAGCAGTAGTTTACGCAAGTGGGTGCTTTTTGTGGTTAATTTGTAAAAACAATTTTCTCCTTGTTTTAGTCACAGAAATTTTGGCTTCTAGGAAAAGTGAAGTGGACTCCAAGAGAGGGGGAATCCCCTGTTTAAATTTCTCATTTATGCACCACCAAGCACATGTGAGTTTGCAATTAAATGAATAATTTGTCAATTTGTGCAAAATGTTTTCTCCATCCCCCATATACAAACACAGAAGAAAGCGTTCTCTATTGATTCAAATGCTATACTTATAAGATATGAATAGAGAAAGAGAAAAAAATCCAAAAATTTCATTTCACATAGTACTTTTGATAAAAAAAATCAATCTGATTTATTTCATACTTCTCACTCAATGATAAAATGGTCCCATTATCCATTTCTTCTTCGTAGAATTCCCTTCAACTATTCATGTGTGTGAACAATAATAATGATAATAACCCAATTTTGTTAAATTGAAGGAAAATATCCAAATACATGTCATATTCTTTTAATTAATCCATATCTCTAGCAATGAAATATATTCCTCCCGAAAATAATGAATGATTAATTACAAACATTTCCTTTTCGTCTTTTTTTTTCTTCCAAGATCTGCTTCAACATATCTCCTCATTTCTCTTCTCCAAACTGCAACCACAAAACTAGCCACCGAATTTACAGTTTGACAGTAAGTTCCAAAGCAATGCTACTGCTCAAAACCCCAAAAAAGAATCCCAATTTCCATCTATTGTTCTGCAATTTCACAAACCTATAACCACGTCAACTTTTTCCGAACCAAGCGGTGCACTAACTTTATTGCCTTTGATACTACCAATTCAAAATCCAATTCCTCCTGCAATCATAAATTAGCAACGAAACCCCGGAAGTCTGACCTTACAGAAAATCATTTTATTCACCGATATAAAAAAAATATTGAAAACGGATTTGTTTCATTGACAACAGTAAATTTAAAGATAATAACTAACGCCATAGCATCTGAACCCGCCAAATGAACAAAATTCCAGGGCTGACATATTGCAATTCAGTACTCACGTCTACTGAAAATTCCTATTCATTCGTCACGTGTAACTTCTCCAACATATCAAACCGTAACGTGTAATTCTTATTCACGACTAGGCCTAAATGTCGCGTCGCAATAATTAAGATTTCAAAATGAATTTCAAATTTTATATCATTTAAATTTTTGCACCTTTCTATCTTGTCATAAACGAAGTGCGTTTGAAAAATAAGAATTAAAAGAAAGAACTGAAATTCAAATCGATCAACAAGTTGAATTGGAAGGGGACATAAAATGCAGAAACGAGTTAAGAGACGAATCTGAACCTCATCGTTTGATGATCTTGCGCGAATGAATTGATTAGTGGAGCTATCGAAGAAGAAAACGGATCCAGAAGCATCACCCTGCGACAAAACACAACCGAATTAAGCAAAGAGAAAATTGTTAGATCGAAACCGCCATCAGGTGCGTACGGGATCGCAAGAGATTGCTTAGAGAGAGAAAGGTACCCTAATTTGAGGAGAGAAGAGGGAGAAAACGACGAGCAGGCTCCAAATGACGGAAACGTGAAACTCCATCGGAGAGAGAGAGGAAGAGATCTAGAGGTTCTACTTCAGCTACGTGCTTTGTTATTTCTCGCAACGATGGAAAATCAATCGCATTCTGAAGACAGGTGTTTGTTTGGGCTTTACATCTCTTGGGTCATCAGGTGATACATAATATAAAAGGCCCTATGACATCGTGACATATTTTTATAAAATTAAATATGTTTATATTCCATGTAAAATTACTATATTCACTTTCTGTTTTTTTTTTTTTAATTCCTAATTAGTATAAAATATTAAAATTCGTCTTTATTTTTATTCAGTCTCCATTAAGTTTTAACATGACTTACACCGCTCATCGTGATTGTATTATTCAAAAAATTAAATTTATTTTAAATTTTTATAAAATTATTAAAATTCACTTTTTTATATAAAAAATATATTTTAATATTTATTTATGATGTTAGAAGTCTTCAAATTTTGTCCAAAAGAAAGTGGTGAAGCACATATTTTATGTGATTGAAATGTCCCCAATCCCCATTTAGTTTATTTACGTGCATAATCTCTTTTTTTATTTATTCAATGCTATTTCATGTATATAGTTGCAAACAATATTAGGTTTTTAAAAAATTAAATAGTGTTCAAAAGATAATTCTAAACCAAAGTATAATCTAAGGTGGTATTTAAAATATTATGATATTGAGTATTAAGTATAATCAACTCCAACTTCTTTATCTTTAGTTCCATAATTTAACTCTCCGTGTGTTGTCTCTATATCCTTTACTTATCAATGCTCACAGGAACAACTTAAGTCTTACCTTTAAGTTAATACTTTATTATTTCTTACATTAAAATAAACAAGAAGAGATATAACCAAATATCGAACTTCATTACCATAATTACTGTCATTTTTGTTGTTTTTACTTTTGTTTGAAATTGAACTCATTTTACATTCATTATAGTTTTCACTTTCAATATCCTCTCTCACATTGCAACTTTTTCAACAAAAATAATACCAGTCAAACTCAAATTACACACGTTATTATATTAATAATCTCCATTAACATGTATGATTGCATCAATGCATAGTTACGGTGAAAATAAATAAATAACTCCAACATTTTTGTTCAAGGAGGACTTGAATTTATAGTACAAGAATAAATTAGAGTGGCCAACTTAGTTATTTATTGAGTGAAATATACGTTCCTTTCTTATGAAATACAAATAATATGTTGTCTTTTTTTCTTATTATAAAATATACAATTTATATTGTTAAAAAAAATTCTTTGGAAAATTTAAAATATTTTTTTAATTTAATATTCATATATTATATTGTTTTAAACTTACCAATTTTTTTTTTATTTATAGTCTAATTTTTACAACCTAATTTCTTGAACTTTATCACGCTCCACATTTTTTTAAAGGTCAGGTTATTTACATCTTACAAATTTTTTCCAATTGTAAGAATTGTTTTTAGTTTTATTTTTATTATTTGATACTAAGACAATAGTATGTACTTAATCTTTCTTAAAGGACATTTTTTTAACTCATTAAACTTCTTGAAAAATTAATTATGTACACATTTTTTAAAAAGGGAATTTTAGTAAAAAAGTGTTAAATAAATGGTTAATGTTGTTTTAATAAAAAAATTAAAATAAAATTAACTGTGAAGTATTTTAATTGTTTTAAGAGAAGTTATAATATTTTTCAATAGAAAAAATAGTAGTATAATATACATGCATATTATATTTAAAGAGTTAATTTTTCATATATTTTACTTTTTTATAATAAATTATATTATTTACTAATTAACATGCATATTAAAAGAATACATCAATAATTATTTTAAATTTTATACTTGCCAAATTTTATAGTTTTTTTACTGAACTTAATAATATCGTATGATCCATATATTTAACCTTTTTCAATAAGTAAAATTTTATCGTGGTTCTTGTTAAAATTTATGTTGTAAGTATTTAAGTATTAATTATTATTTGATGTTACCAAATGTAAAAATACTACCTTAAGAAATTATTATAAACTTTATTTTTAATATTAAACATTGACTATTGAATTTTGAAACATAATATAATAATATCAGTTTTATTATTTATTTTCAAGTTAAATTTTTTTACACTTTTAAAGTGACCTATATTATATTTATACATAAAAAAGAAATGTTAAAGAAATTATATAGAATTTAAATATAATAAACAGTGAATTATTCTACAGAATGGTAATTAAAGACAAAAGTATCACATCATAAAAAAAAATTGTGTATTTATGTTGAGTAATAAATAATAAATACATCAATTTCAATAATATTTAATTAATAAAAAATAAATTTACAATTTAATTATTCTTAACAAAATCTTATAATTACAAGTTATATGACATTTTTATAAAAAAAAAATATATTATAACTGTCTAATATAATTTAGAAAATAAAATGATATAAAATAAATTTGTTTAATAATTTCATAAATATTTATTTATATAGATAAAATTATCATATAATTTATTTTAATATAGACAAACATTGATAAAATTGTTTTTATAATTATAAGAATTTTTATTAAATTTATGTGTAACTTGTATTTATATAAATAAAAATTTATTAAAATTAATTATATTTTATACTTTTTTTTTCAAATTATATCTTATATTTGTAGTATTTTATCTTTAAAATTATCAAATAACTGATATTTATATAAATAAATATTTGTTTAAATTGTTTTCACAATGTTTTGTTTTATTAAATTTTTAATTATTTTTAAAATTAGCTTTTAACTGATATTTATATAAATAAATATTTGTTTTATTTGTTTTCACAATGTTTTGTTTTATTAAATATTTAATTGTTTATTTGTTTAATATTGATACAGTTGATGCATTTATTATTTAAATATGAACATGATGCACTTTTAATATGTTTTGGTGAGACGGTGAGGTTCTCTTCTTCATTAATCGACTTATTGTAACGCTTCATTTAATTTAAACACATTTTATTTTATGTGTTTTATTTTTTTTCCTGAAAATTTTAAATTTTGTACTTAGCATAACAGATATATATTTTTAAGATTTTATAGGTTGCTACTTATTATCATATTTTTGAGTAATTGATATAATTTTTTTATTGTAATATAATATCTTTAGATTTATTATCTTCAATCTTATTTTTATGAATTTTAAAATATTTAATTGGTGTTGAATTATTTTATTAAAATTAAAAGTAATTTTAAAAATATTTAAATTAAATTAAATTATATACTCATAATATTTTGGACTTGTTTAAATTTAACAAAGCAAATATATTAAGATATAAAATCATATACTACAAGTGTTGAAATCATGTGAGTATTAAGTAATAAAGACTAATCAGGTAAATCATAAAAAAAATAATTTTATCATACCAATTTGATTCATTTATATCGTGTTCAAATGTACATTTAATGCATAAGGAAATTAAATCAACTTTTTAAAAATATTTTTAATTGCTTTAAAATAAAAATTTATTTAAATATAATAAATTTTTAATTAAAAATTATAATATTTCTTTATCTATTCATTTAATATCTAAGACATTAAATTATTAATAAATTTTGTGTATGATGATAAAAGCAAATATTGCTTAAAATTTATTTATAAAAATGAGTTTAAAGATTATGTTATGAAATTTTATATTAAAACATGGTATAAAATATTAATTCTAAGGTAATCAATAAGTATAATCTTTTTATTAATCATGTTATAATTAGTAATTCCCTTATAATATACCTTAACAATTTATAGTTACTTGTAAATATTTTTTTAATTATAAATATATTATTTTCTTATGTTGCATTATAATTTTATAATATTATGTTTTTATATTTAATTAAAATATAATTTGATATATTTTATATTTGTAATTTAATCTTGATGTGCATTGTACGTGTGGCATGCTTGTTCTAATTAAAGAATGAATTTGTACCCTTTCTGACTATATATATTGTTAAATATTCGGTATTAGATTTCTATTAAATGAAAAAACATTTGGTATTAAATTTAAAAGCACTTAATTTTTTTGTTAGCTTTTAAATTATAACTTGTTAAGGTAATTATACCTACTAATTACAATTATTTTTTCTTACCAATATTACACCTTAATATTAATGTATTTTAATTATTATTATTATTATTATTATTGATACAATATATTAATATTTGTTTTAGTATAACTTTTTAAGGTAACTATAATTTAAAAAATAATTAATGACACTTTATATAGTCTTCAAGATTAGATATTAAACTCTATATTTATAAAAAGATGAGATATTAAATTTACAAACATTTAAAATATTTATTAGTTTTATTATAAATTTCTAAGGATATTTTATTATGATTATAATTATTACTTATAATAATAATAATAATTTATTACCACGGTTAAACTGAATATTAATGTCGTTGTCATTCTTATTTTTATTGTCACAGTTATAATTAATTAATTCAAAATTTTAGTATTTATTTATTTTAATGTAACTTTAATTATTATAGCCCGGACTATAACTAATTTAAGAGAATAAATACATATCTTTTGATTCAATCACTTGTTTGTAAATTCATGTTTTATATATATCGTAAGTATTTTTTTATAGAAGATAATTTTATTAAAATAATATATAACATGACAAAGCTAGTTTTGTTTTTATAAATATTTATTTGCAAACCTATTTAAGCTCTCGCATAATAAATGACGATAATGATTAATAAATTTAAGAAATGATTAATGAAATTTTATATGTTATTAAATGTTATGTGTTAAATTTAAAAATAATTTTATTTTTTATTTATTTTTTTCATTTATTTTTTTATGTTGTGATTTTAAGATTTTTTATATATTAAATTTCTTATGTTATGATTTAATTTGATTTCTAAAATCTCTGTTTTAATTACTCAGAACTTTTTATTACCATCTCAAATATTAATTATGTATGCTATGTAGGAAATTAAATCTGCCTTTGAATTTTTTTTTTTAATTTGTTCCTTATTTTCCTTAAATTCAAATAACTTATTTTTTATTTATATAATTTTAAAAAATTACTTGATATACTTGTTAATTAAGTATAATAATTAACTTCTTTATTGTATCTTTTAAATGTTTTATTGTTTATGTAATAATAAAATGAAAAGGTAACACTTTTTGAATTTTTATATAGAAATAAATTTAGTAGATAAAGTTTTTGAAATTGAATAGTAAAGTATGAAAGTAGATTGGTATTGTTAATTTTCCATTTCAAAGTTCATTTTTTTTATTTCAAATTTATATTTGTGGAAAGTTTTAATATTAACATCAGTAATTTGGCATGAAATAAATTTAATATATATATAAGATACTTGATATTAAAAAAATGCCATGCAACATGCAGAGTAGATTGAAAAATGTTCCCATTCTCAAGTGTAAAATTTTGAAATTATTCTATAAAGGTTTTTTTTTTTCATAATTTTAATGCAGTTAAATTTTTTAATTTTTTTTATTCTTTTTCAATTAATATAATGTTTATTTTGATTATTACTCTTTATAGAAAATAATTTTATTCTGAAGATGCTTTTGCAATATGCTACCACTATTATTTGATTTATTGTTTCTGTTATTCATATTTACTTTTAATAGTTTTTAGTTATACTTTTTTTAAATTTTTTTATATCATTAAACATCTCTCAACATAATTTTATTATATAACAGAAGAAATTTTAAAGCTTCAATGGTGTATTGCATACACTTTTAGCAATATATGAATAAAAAAAGGTCCTTAAAAAATGTTTATTAAGTCTGTATTTTTTTTATAAAGGATAACAATCAGCTTGCAAATCCAGTTTAATATACACACACAGACACTTAGAAATTAAAAGCTCATTTTTAAAATAATATTAAAATTATATTTTTGCAAAAATATTATAAATACAAAAAATAATCAGTACTTAAAATATTAACTTGCATTAAAGAGTAAGTTATTTTTCAAATAAATAAAAACGTCTTATATAATGTTTTTAATTATTCTTGAAATTGTACCTTGAAAGGAAATGAGTTTTTCAAAATTAAAATGAATAATATTTTTTTGGTATTTAAATGTCAAGAAAATCGAATAATTTATCTATATCATATAAAAAAATTTCATTTTCAAACTTAATTATACAAATTTAAATTAGCTTAGACTTCTATAAAACAATTTGAATCTTTGTTGGCAAATGCATTGTTTATACAGTGCCTCAAAAAATATTATTTTTTTATATAGGACACTGAAATGATAGTAATATATTTTTAATTTTATTCAGAAAAAAATTGTTGTAAATTATGAGTTTAATTTTTAATTTAAAAATTTTATTTTAAATTTATAATTTTAAATAAAATTAAACCACAAGTTATATATTATAAAAAGTTCTTTACTATCATTGAGCATGTGATTAATTAATATATTACAAATAATTATTTAAATATATGTAAATAATTATTTAAATATATATTATAAAAAGGCTTTGTGTACAGGTATGAGTATGAATATGAGTATCAATGCTTTAATATTCAGGTTATATTTTAGAATAATTTATAAAAATAAGTTATAGTTTCAATAAATTATTTTTAATTTACTTTAATAATTTTTTATTATAATTTATCTAAATATGTTTTTTCTTAACTTATTATAAGAAGTTATGGTTAAATTTATAGGATAAATAATAGCAAAAAAAATTTATAGGATAAATTTTATAAAAAATATTAAATAAATACTAAATTAAAGCTGTTTTTTAAGCAAATTTTTAATTTTATTTATTTGTGTATAATATATTTATTATAGTTTATAATTAAAATTGAATTTTTAAAATTATTTTTTAATAAATTAAATAATATGTATAATATTTTATAATCAATAGTTTAACTTTTTAATATTTCTTTTTATAAAGTTGTATATTTTATTTTGAGTCCATGCTCCTTTTATTTGTTTTTTTATTGCTATATGTTAGTAGTATAATGTTATTTGCATATATATTTTATTATTTTATCAAATAAATACATTATTATTATATATAAAGCAAATAATTTAAATATTATTATATTCAATATGAATTTAAAAATAAATAGTTTTAATTATATCAACTCAACCATCCAAATTTAATTATTACCGGTAAAAGTTATGCTTAAGTAAATTTAAGTTAACACAATTGATTTTATTTTAAATATAAAAATTTTATTTTAATTTTTTTAATGTATGTCAAGAATCTACAAGAAAAATCTGTAAATTAAATTAATTTATTAAAACATAATAATATTTAATATTATTAATATTTAAATTTTATGATTTTTAATAAAAAGTTAATATAAAAAACTATATACAAATTTTTATTTTAATGTCTCTAAAGATACTATTTTTTAAAATCTGACTAACAATCGTAATCCTGCCAAATAACACAAAAAAAAGTCTAATTAAAAGCCAGTTATCTTATCTGCCACCGAAAGCAAATTTGAATCCCTTTTTTCCCTCCGCTTTCTATTCTTTCGTCTTTCATTATCAGTGTAAGCAAAATCTCAGTTCCATGAACCTGGATTTTTCTTTAAAGGATTTTTTTATCCTTTGAATAAGTTAAGCTTCATTAATTATGTATTTTTAATTAATTAAAAAATTAATAAAAATAATAAATAAGAAAGGAAAAAATAATTTAATTTTGTAATTAATTGAAAATATATAATTAATGACACTTAACCTGTACAAATTTTATACAAAATAAAAAAAAATATTTTTTAAAAATCACCATTCAAGAAACCTAACACATTTCAATTTTCGAAGTCAATATTTCAGTTTCACTGACTTTTGTTTTTTAGTTTCATCTTTTCCTGGTTCTCTCCTTAATTTTGCATGCATTCACTTATCTAAAAGCTGTACTCATCTATTGATATAAATGAAGGGCTAGGAAAAGCATCAGTTACAATTCTGAATGTTTCCAAATAAAATTTATTATTTTCATAAATATAATTCTTTTATTTTCACAAAGTATTTAATGCCCATAATTTATTTAATTTTTGCTATCCATAAGTGACGTATAGCTGTTACAAACCGTGTTGGAGTGAAATGTTCTTACCTGAGAAAATAAAGTAAAACATTTTCCATTCACCACCGTCACACCCAAGAATCTAAGAGAAAATACTTCCGAGGTGGTAATTTCATGGTTATTACTTTTTCATTTGGGGTTTTATTGCCTTTTGTGGTATTGGAATGCGAAGGGTAATTCCTATGTGCTAACTAGCTAAATCTGAGGTGTCCTGAAGAGTTTATTGGCATCTATAAATACCCTAACAGTTCACATATCTCACCCACAGAAAAAGGGTAAAGCAAAAAAGAACAAAAAGCTCTAATCTTAATTTGAAGGTGAATTGAAAAATGGATGTGTCCATGGGAGCTGCTGCTGGTGGGTCTGGTGATGAACACGAAAATCAGAACCCTCAAAAAGGGAAAAAGACCTACCATCGTCACACCTCCGATCAAACAGCTAGGCTTGAAGCGTAAGATGATCAATCTCTTAGATTTTTTTATTTTTTGTTTTAATTTTCATTTGCTAGGTTTTGAATTAAGGAGCATTGATCTTGTTTTATGTGTGAAGGATATGCATGAAAGTGTTAACCTTTTCTCCATTTACACCATGGAGAAGACTGAGATTGACAATTGACACATCCAAGAACCCTACGATTATTCTTTGTTTCTTTAATTTGGTCTCTTTCATGCCTTGGGTTTTGCTTTGTTTAATGGTTTTAAAGAGAATATTTTTTTTATAATTTTTTTTCCATTGATCTTATCATGACTTTTTTTTCTTCATTTTTAAAAAAATAATTTTTGGACCAAAAGTCTCCACCGTTGTTGTGCATATGAACCGCTTCCTTTATGTTAAGCTATTAATGAAATTTTATATTTTTTGTTTTTTTCTTGAATATGCTATGATGTGAACAATTTAAACATCCTAGCTAAATCCTCCAAAGTTGAATGATAATGCAATACTCTAACCCAATTACATACTGATAATTTAGTTTTAAAAGAATAAATTCTCTCTTAATTACAAGTATAAATTTTTCTCTCTTTTTTCATGATTTTACTTAATGATTATTGGGTTTCACATGACTTTTTCGCCATTAAGCCTGTTGTCATCTTTTCAAAAAGATCTTTGCCATGTAAGGCCTGTGCTTCATTAATAAATTTTGGCAATCTTTAAAATATTATTAAGCTTGTATTTGATAAAATTGATTAAAAATATTATAATTTGTAGTTTATGATTGATATGTTATTTGAAAACTTATAGCTTATTATGAGTTAATTGAATTAAAATTATTTAATAAATTTAGCATCATAATTTGTTAAAATGTATGAAATGATTAAAAAAAATATTAATATTATTTTATGAAGTATAAAATTTACCCTTCTCTCTTTACAAGTTTTAACCCTAAAAAGTTTAATACCATAAAAAAATTATATTAAAATTCACACCTTGCCAACTCTTCTCTGTATTTATGAGTCTTCTAAATAGATATTTTTTTTGTTAATCAAGAATAAATTTAAAATAATACGACAAAAATTTTAAATTAATCCTGAAAGATAGGAAATTGTCTAAATTTTTTAAAAATATATATTAAAATTAATCTTTAAATACATTATCTATCATTCATTTAAAATTTTAAGCAACGTGGCATGTAAAGTATAACACATTAATGTGTCTTTAATTTACTAATTAAGATGTTATAACAGAAGTCAGTTAAGAAAATATTTTATTTTATTTTTTTTATATAACACTTCATTAAGAATATGTATTTTTTTTCTTTTGTTATAATATTCTAATTGACATAATTAGAGACATTTTAGTGTACTGTATTACACTTAACATGTTAAGTTACTAGTTTATGATAGTTAATTAACAAATTCTAATATTGAAATCAAAATGAATGACAAGCTACATGTTTGAAAAATAATTTAAAAATATATTTTTTAAATATCAAATTGAATGATTCTTATTATTTATGGATGAGTTTGAAATTCTAATCTGTATAGATAGATTTATTTTCATGTACTTGTTGCTTCCTACCCGCTTACACACACATGGCATTTTATATCACATTTTGGCTTGTGTCTATTGTCCATAGACCATTATATCCTTCAAATCTTATATGTATCATCTTTTTTTCTTGTTTTTGTTAATCAACTCATCTTGCAATGCTCTCTCAACTAATTAGAATCTTTATTTTTTCGAAATGAAGAATATTCAGCGAGTGCCCTCATCCAGATGAAGGCCAAAGGCGTCAAATAGCCAAAGAGCTTGGGCTGGCTCCGAAACAAGTCAAGTTTTGGTTTCAGAATAAGAGGACTCAGAAAAAGGTCATATATATATATCTCTTTCTCTAGCTATCTATCTACATTTATTCTTAATTTTTCTGATACTTGAATTCATTTAAGGACAATTCTTTTATATGCTTTGCTAATTAAGGGGTGCTAATAATTTTGCATGTGTTATTATCTTAAGACTCAAGGGGAGCGAGCTGATAACAACGCTCTTCGTGTTGAGAATGAAAGGATGCTGAAAGAAAATCGCCTAATCAAAGAGGCATTGAAGACTATAATCTGCCCATCATGTGGGGGGCCACCCTATGGAGATGAAGAACATACTCTCAAGCAACTCCGCCTTGAAAATACACGTCTCAAAGCAGAGGTTAGTTAACTCATTTGATTCATTTTTTTGTATGCTACTCCATTTTTTCCTGTTTAAGGTTTCGTACATAAATTAAGAAAAATGAATTTGAAGTACACTTTTTAAAGTGTTTTTTATTTTTTAAAAATCAAAATTAGTATTTTACTTGAATAGCAAGTTCACATTTTAGGCTGTTGCGAGTTGCTGATGTGAAATATTATTTTTTATTGAAAATAATATAAAAAATATTTAAAGAATTACACTTAATTTTTTTCATTGAAAAAAGAAAAATGTGAGAATAATTTTTTATTAAAAATTATAGGACTTCGCAAGATGAAATGCCTTGATAATATGTAATAAAAAATTATTATTTGTTAATTTTTTATTGTGTGCTCTTAAAAGGAAATAAATATTGTTTCATTAGTTTTTTAAAAAATATTTTTGGTTCTTGAAAGTTTGACTCATTAATGTTTTAATGATCTTTATTTATTTTTTATTTTATTTTTTGAAATTATAAAAAAATGTGTTTTTTTATATCTATTAAAATTGAGGGATTAAGATCACGCGATTTATATTAAATATAAGGACTAAGCAGAAAATAGTTAAACAAGAACTAGAAGAAAAAAAAAAACTACGTACATATCGTATAATTCATATTTATTTTTGAATTTCTTTTCAGCGTGAGAACGTGTCTAAACTTCTTGCAAAGTACTTGGAGAACCCGATGGTAGAACCAGAGTTGGAGCTAGCTACTACAGGATCTTCTTCATCACATGATCCATTACTGAAACTAACGGTTGATGGTGCTTGCATGAATGTTGGTGGTTCAACAAATGTTTCATTCCCAGATGAAGATATAATGTTCAACCCTGTGGAGTGCAAAATATCAGACATGGAAAAAGCAATGATGTTACGGGCTGCAATGAATGCTAAGGAACAATTACTCAAGCTTTTGGCAGCGAATGAGCCCTTGTGGATAAAGTCTTCAACTGATCGTAGATTTGTTCTTCATCCTGAAAACTATGAAGAGCTCTTTCCAAGGGCTAATCACTTCGAAAATTCCAAGGGGCGTGTGGAATCATCAAAAGGTTCACGAATAGTGAGAATTAAGGCGATGCAATTGGTTGACATGCTTTTAGATTCGGTTAGCACTTTTAACTTTAATATTTCTCCCTCAGTTATTAACCAAAGATATGTCTCTATGCATACATGCAGGAACAGGATCTTCTTAACTTATTGATTTTTTTTAATTAAAAATTACAATGGAAATTATACATTTTCAATTTTTTTTTTATATTTTAATTTCTTTAAGGAATGCCCTGATAGTATTTGTTACCATTTTTCACACTCACACGCTCACACCCCATATATATACTAACTCATAATGTGTGTGATTTTTATCTTTCTAGAGAAAATGGACAAATCTTTTCCCAACAATTATTACAAAGGCGCGCACACTCGAAGTACTTGAAAACGGTTCGTTGGAAAATCGAAGTGGAGCTTTGTTGTTGGTATGCTTTCATGAAAACCTTGCTTTATGTAATAAGATTTTTGGTTATGTACTATTTTGATTTTCTAACAACTAACAAGTGAAGACTTTTTTTTTCTGTAGATGCATGGAGAGATGCACGTTCTTTCACCTTTAGTGCCATCTCGGGAATTCTTCATTGTTCGCTATTGTGAACAAGTTGAAGCTGGTATATGGATGGTAGCAGATGTGTCCGTTGAGTACATGAAAGAGAACAACCCTAATCTTTCCTTTTGGAAGTTACCCTCTGGATGCATGATTCACGAAATTTCTAATGGGTCATGCCAGGTTAGTTCGTAGTTGCGTTGGTGGTTACCCTCTAGCTTTGAGCTAACCTTGCTTGTTTTACTCAATTTTGAGGCTATTTAACTTTTGCTATATATGTAGTATCACGTTAACTAAAATAACTAGCTTTTGTTATAATATTATATACTTTCTTCTAGGTTTTTTGGGTTGAACATGTGGAATTGGATGAAAATGTTCAAACGCACCAGCTGTATAGAGATCTTATTAATGGCAGCATTGCATATGGAGCAGAGAGATGGCTTATGGAACTTCAAAGAATGTGTGAAAGGTTTACTAGTGCCGAATCTGAATACATCCCTGATTATGACACCGGAGGTTACTTTTTGCCATCTTTATTCCAAGCCCTACCACTGTTTATTCGTTTATCCGTTTTTCAATTGTTTTAATCGTACGTGATTATAGGTATTGATTAAATGATTTTTCTAAAGTGTTTGGGAAGACACATGTTAAAAAAATTAAAAATGGTAAATTTTTATGAAAATAAAAATATTTAGTATCTGAAAATAGTTTCTGTTTTTATAAAAAAAAAAAAACATTTATTGTATCAAAGATTTTAAAAATATTAATGTTTACATTCAGGGCCAGTACAACTAATATTTAGGTGATCTAAAATAATTCCTTCCTAAAATTAATTAAAATAATACACTAAAACTATAATTAATTTATCTGAATTTTTTAACAATTTTTTACTAAATTATTAAATTAATTTTATTGAATACTTTTAATTAATATTAAAGTCAATCTTTTAATATATTTATTGAGACACTGTTGATGCTACGTAATATTTTGTCAATTTTAAGTTTTAAAACTTATTCATGTTGAAATAAGATCAAATTATTGACATTATTTTGTAAGTATTATACGGGTAATAAGTAATCAACGTGTTTATAGCAATTTATATGATGGTAATTTTGCTTTATTTCAATATTTACAGCATATTATATATAAATATTATATATATATATATATATATATATTGTAATTAAGACTAATAAAAAATAAAATAGTTACCAATTGAGAAAAAATGTGCAATAAAATGATGAATTTATTTTTTAAATAAAAAATATTTACTCTTAGAATTATTTATATATAATAATATTTATTTTTAAGTAACAAACAAATAATTAATATTTTTTTTAAAATCTTTTTTTATCCATGAACACTGGAGGCTTCAAACGTAGGCTTTAGTTGCCATTTCATATTTGGACCTACCCTGCTTATATGTTTGAGTAATTAAAAACTTAATTGTTTCTTAACAAGCGTTCATGGTCACATGGAAAAATATGGTTAATTTGTTGGTCCTTTTGATCCATTGTGCATGTTTTTATCCAAGTTTATGTGATTCATTTTTCAGTGATCACTCTACCTGAAGGAAGGAGGAGTATGATGAGGCTTTCTCATCGAATGGTTAAGAACTTTTGTGCAATTTTAAACATGTCAAATAAGATGGATTTCCCACAACATTTAGCTGAGGAGAATAGTGGGGTTAGGATCTCCGTTCGCAAAAGCAGAAACCCAGGCCATCCAATTAGTGCCATGTTTATCATTACTGCTGCTATCTCTTTCTGGCTTCCTCTTCCTTCTAAGAATCTTTATGACTTCTTTAGAGATCCAACAAACCGTGTTAAGGTTCACAATCTAAACATTTTTTTGTTTTATTTTATCGGAATATCTTCAATTAATTTCCTTTTTGTATTTTAATTTTGCATTGTAGAATCATTCATTCACTAACTCCTTATTTTCTTGTAGTGGGATGCTCTTTGTTATGGAAATCCAGTGCGCGAGATTGCTCGCATCGCCACCGGAAGTCATCCTAGTAACTATGTATCAATTATTCGGGTACTTACCATATTACTTTCCAAAGAATGTTTTGTTTATTATATGTTAAAACTGTTTTAGTTTATTATTCTGTTTGTTAATTTTTCACGTAATAACCCCTTTGTTTTAATATAGGCACATATAGGATCATTTATTGCATATGATTGCAACCCAAATTTCATAAGATACCCTTTAAAATTGGAAATAAGATGAAAATTTTAATACTAGATTAATTATAAGATAAAAATTAGATGTAGTTTTTTAAGTACTTTTAATATTATTTTTAATTGAAATTAAAAAAATTTCAGTAAATAATTCACAATTATTATTTTTAAACTTATTTCAACTGTCAAATTTATTATGATGACCCTTATAACCGTATCTTTATATGTATATTGGATGTAGCAAGTAGGACATAAAACCTACTGCAAATATTTTGATTTACTGCTTAGGAATAATCCAAAGCCTTGATTTTATTATTATTGTTTTTGGTATAAACATGATTAAACTCATTTTAATCATTCATGTGTATCAGCTTGTGAACCCAAATCAGAACGGTGTGGCGATCATTCAAGAAAGTTTTATTGATCCTTTGGGATCATATGTGGTGTATTCTCCTATTAATATATCAGACATAGAGAGGATTATAAATGGTGAAGATTCAGCATTGGTGTCAGTTCTTCCATCAGGCATTGTGATATCAGAAGATGAACAATCTATTGCAAATGCTCGAGCATCTAGCAGTGGAGATGGTGACAAAAGCACAAGAGGGTCACTCATAACTGTGGCTTTCCAAATACTCATGTGTAATCCTGCTGCTATGAACTTGGAATCTGTGGCTGCTGTTAACTCGCTCATAACCTCTACAGTCCATAACGTAAAGGATGCTTTGCTCAGTGATTACCATTTGATGTTTTAGTGTGATGTTTTCTTTTCCTTTGGTCAAAGATTATATAGATGCATGATTCAATGTTTTAGCTGTCGTAATACATGTTGCCAGTTATTGGAACTTTTATGTGTCATTATGTGGAATGATATTATAGACGTTATATGTATGCTTTATATTTTTATTATATTTTGTATGTTTTTATTTTTATAGTATGAGCAAAATAATGTTTTATATGCTTCAAGAGAAGCTTAATATTCAGAGGATCTCATTTCATCTGTTAGGAATGTTTACAGCACGCATTATTGATCAGATTTTTAAAAAGTTAAAATAATTTTAAAAAATTATCAATTTATGAAATAAGTATTATATATATTTTTTTTTTCAAAATTGACGATCACAAAAACTCTGTTAAGAAGTGTATTCAGATAAATGTGTTACTGGTATTTTTCTTCGTCTGTTAGATTTAGACTTCTCTTGCTGATCATGCTTTCTTCTTTGGAAAATGATAAAATCTCGTTGCATTGAACTGGATTGATTTGAGCCTTTTGCGTAGTCTTGGCCAGGCTCCATTCATTGACGCAAGTGCTTATGATAAAAGTGAAAGTTTTAGATAAAACCACCTTTTTTTTAAAACATTTTTTCACATTTTAATTTATACATTTATTAGGTATCGGTGTGATACACACACGTGTGATATACGAAGTTTTTCTTTTATAATATTTTTTAATATAATTTAGTAAATACAGAAGAAGATTATTTAAAGATTGCTATGTGTGTTCCGATTTATTTATCAAAAGAAAAAAAATCATTCTTTAATTTGGTTAAATCTTAATGATATATTTTAATTTCTTTTTTAACATATCTACTACCCAAGCTAATTTAAGTAGTGAATTTTCAATAATTTAATTAAATTTTTAATGATTTTGTAACTTAATAATGATAATAATCTATGTTATTAAAATTTATACCATTAATTATATTATTAATAATTAACAAATGAATTATTAAATCAATGACAATGAATAATAAACTTTGTGCACAAAATTAACTTTGTCTTAATAATTACCATTGATCAAAGCCCAAAGTAGTAGTGATCAACAAGTTAAGAGAAGTAAGGCCCAAAATCTACCTAAATGCCAAACACAAAGCAAGCGTGGTTTTTTCAGTTCGATTCATCCTAGTGATTGATAACCCAATAAATCAATATAGTTTGTGACCTTCATTGTCGGCCTATTAACTACTACCTTTAATGCTTACAGAATTTATTATAGAATTAAAAGTTGAAATTGGAATTAAACTTTAGAATTTTAATTATTATATTTAAATATATATTTAAAATTGAAATTATAATTTCAAATTTTATGATAACTAAATTTAGTCTACTTTAATTCTTACATAAAATTTAAATTCTTAAATATTATAATTCACAAATACACTCTCATATATTATATCGTGTCTTTTTCTCATATTTATTATTTTTTATTTTCGTTATTCTTGTTCTTCTTTAAATATTTTCTTTTCAAGTACTTTTTTCCCCTCTCTTATTTTGTTTTCTCTTTTCTTATGCATTTTCTTTCTCTTCTTACATTCTCATGTTTTTTGTTTTTTTAATTAACACATTATTTTAACAAAAGTTATTAAATAAAATTTTAATGTAAAATTAAATTATTTTTAAAAATTTTAGATCTTACATAATGATATAAAATTTAATTTTAACTTAGAATTTTAATTCTAAGAACGAGCAATAAAATTTACGTCACTTCAAAATTTAGAAGAACATTCACCCTAAATTCACGGTCAAAGTTCACAAATAATTACCCCAAAAGCTAGCATATTAAAGAAATTATAATCGCAAATAGTGAACAAACCAGAGACAACCTTGACAATAAGCAACAACATATGTTCATAAAATTAAAGATGAGAGTTTCAATCAATCTATCGAATAATGAGACTTCACTACTGCAAAGACAACAATCAAACTTCTCAAAACATGACAAAGAGGAGTTATGCAAAAAGAGAAAGAATCTGCATGGGAAAAAGAAGTCCTAAGAAGAAAAGTAATATGAAATTAATGTTTTTTTTAAATAACCTATTTAAAATATTTTTAAAAGTTAAAATACTAAATTAAAAATTTTAAAAATTAAAATAAAACAAAAAAATATGTAAAAGTTAGAAAATAAAAAATATAATTTCACTTTAGTAATCATTGTTTATCTGCAGGAGATATTCAATCAACTTTTTTAAATAATGATAATAAATAATGAATTAATTTTCATATCAATTAGTGTCAAAATTATTAATATAGTGTTTGCCATTGATTTTGTAATTAACTACTGATTCATCATATTTTTTATATGTTTAAAGTATAGGTTAATACGGATCCATTCTTTATAAAATTTACCTTTATATACATTTTTAGTGATTATACTCATACGATATTTAGGAGATGGTGTTGCATCATGTGTTTAGGAGATGGTGATTAGTGTATGGTTGATGCTACGATGTAGAGGTTTTGGCATTAGACGAATTATGGAGGAATGCTGGCACCCAACTCTTCCAAATCCCTCAAATAAAAATTTAACTGCTTTTGGGAATGGTGGTGATCATGGTGTGTTGTATGGCATCTTGGTGAAGATGGGATTTACTGCGTTCTTGCCAAGCTTTTGGCTGAAAACTTTGTCAAGTTAATATATGTTAAGATCATCACATGCTAACATATTCATTGTAGACATTGAATGATGGAAATTTCTTACTAATTGTCACAAAAAGTGATATTTAGATCCACCAAAATTGTAGGTTAATTTTTAGTTTTAAGAATTTTCACTGTCTCCCTATATCACCTATCTTTTGTTAGCCAAGGCATAAATTGCACATAGATGCATGTCTCCGTAGTGTTTGAGAAAACTCTTGCTCTTTAGCCTGAGCACACATTTTCAACTGTATTTATTTTTCTTATAATACGTAGCTTAATACTATATTTCAAATATTTATTAGTCTTAATCAATTTTTATTTTTTTTTATTTTTATTCAATGTTGAAAAAAATACAACAAAATTATTCAAATTAATAGGACTAAATTATTTAATTAATGATAATAAAATTACAATAAATATTCTCAACGACTAAATGTCAATAATATCATGAGGTCAAAAAGCTATGATTTTGCCATTATATCGACAAATTATTGACTATTGAATCATCAATATATTCACGAACAGTTTAATTTCTTGCGGCTTTGACGTTTAACAATAACAAAATTTTCCATTGAATATCAACAAATATTTTGCATATTTTTATCAAATGGGTACTCGAAATGCATTGTTAATACAAATATTAAATTCATCTTATTAGTTATTAAAAATTAAGTATCGAAATTTATATTGTAAAACCGGAAAAAAAATCCTATATTTTACATTCTTTTAATGCTATCGTTGACTTGTTCTTTATTATTATGTAACTTTATGCATGTCTCACTAAATAATTTAAACACGTGCTCTATTCAACTCACATAATTCATCTAATAACAAAAAATATATATTACTAATATTTGTTTAATTATTTTCATTTTTTAAAATTCTATGTACCTATGGAAGGTTTTAAAAACCATCCATTGCTCTTATAAAGTTTGCCAAATAATTAATCTTTTCCCAAAGGTGGTGCTTTATCAAGAAAACATCCTTTCTATAATTTTTTAAACCTTATCAATTATTTATTTACATCCTTTACATGGTAGAAAATATATATAATGTACTTATATGGAAAATTTTAATAAACATTTCCATTTTCCGTCATACGCGAGAATCCAAAGGAAAAGTCTCTATCTAGGAAGTAATTAAATTTTGCTTTCTCTTTATCATTATTATATTATTTTATTAATTTTCCCTTTTGTGGAGGCTAAGTCATGTATGCAAGCTACATTGAGGATGTGAAGGACTAAGCAACACATATAAATTAGCACTAATAACGATTCAAAATTAATTAAATGTCAACAGGAATAGAGGAAAAGGAGCAAAAAACTCTAGTACTTGCAGGTATTTCCTTACCGTGGTTGAAAAATGGATTCTTCAATGGGAGGTGTTGATGGGTCTGGTGATGAAGGCACTCATACCTCACACAAGGGAAAAAGACCCTCCTACAAACGTCTTAGTTCTGCTCAAACAGCCAAACTTGAAAAGTAAGATGACTCCAATTTCGTAAACAATCTTTTCTTCAATTGCTACTACTTTTTGGTATATTACTATTTGATTTTCTTGAACTGGTTTTGAGGGAATATCTTTTTTGGATGAAGGGTATGAAAGGTTAAACCATATGTCAATCAACTTAGGATTAAAAGATATGATTAACAAATGACACAACATAAAACCATTGAGAATTTTATAGGGTTTGCTAGCTATTTCATAAAACCTTATCAAGCTCAACGCATTTCCCTCAGCATCGATGATAAGTATATCTTGGTTTTATTTTGCTTGGCTTATCAAGCTCTTTAGTAACGTGTTTTTTCTTTTTTCAGTTAAATTATATTTAATACCCGATTGGTTTATGATCTAATCACATTAAGGAGTACCAAAATTAATTTGTATTATACACATGCTTGTTTGGGTAATTTTGCAGTTGAAAAAAAAATCAATTTTACAATAAATAAAATTAATGTTCAGTTAAGTAAAATATTATAACATTTTTAGTGGGTAAAAAATTGATTCTAGATGAGACCTACCAATGATATTTTATAGACACTCTAAAAATAATTAACTTTTTTTTTTTATCTACCAAATAAGATAAACTCTTCTCAATTTTAAAAAAAAATCATACCCAGACACAAATTAATTTTTAAAATACATATTCAAAATCAATTTTATGAAAATCTAAACAAACTACCTCTTAATTATTTTAAAAAAACACTTTAGTATGCTTGACTTGATAGTGGATGTTGATTTGATGAAGATATTAGTTTATAATTTATTAATTTAACCATAATAAACTCATAATAATAAAATATATTAACAAACAAGTTAATATAAAATGAATTTAATTTAAAATTTTTTTACAGTGTTTTATTCAATTATGAATATATTAGTAAAGAATTGTTAACATTTTTTTTATAATAATTAATAGGAAAACTATATTTATAACATATTATAATTAGTTGAAAATGTAAAAAAGTTACAATTTTCATTGAAAATATACTAAAACTAAACTTATATAAAAGTATTAGATAATTGAGTTAAGTGAAATTTTAAATTAAAATAAAAGATTATATTACATAAGTTATTTAATAAGAAATTGATGATAAAAGATTTGTAGAATAACAAGTTATGTGTGGATCTTAAATATGATTTTTTTGTTTATCTAAAGAAATTAAATAAAAAATTCAAAATTTTAAAGAAAAAATTGGTTGAAACCAGTTTTTCTATCAATTATTGTCATTGCTTTCACTAATTTTACCTCAATTACTTCATTAATTTTGTGGTATCCAGATTGTGAATATTTCATTTTTTTAAAAGTTCAATTCGTCTATTCATTCTAGTTTTTCCATATATATAAATATAAGTATCATATTTAATTCACTTAATTTTTTTCAGTTGGTCACATTGATCTATTGCCAATATCTCACTGTTGGTTTGCGCTAATAGTAGCGAATATTGAAAGAATTTTGGGATTTATTTTTTATTTGAAACTTGTATCATTTTTATTAATATTAAGTGTTCATGTTTTAGTTTTCAATATTTGTATAACTTAAGAATTTTGATTCCTTTTATCAACATGATCACATAAATAATTAATATTTAATAATATTTTCATTAATTACTTCAATACTTAATGATCATTTGGAACCAAAAGTGATGAGTTAAAATATTCAAAGACTAAAATAAGTTAAAAAAAAGTATAAATTGACTACAACAATTTTGTAAAATGTATAAATTGAAAACATATTTAAGTCAAATGAAAAATTACTATCTGAATTCCTAACCTTAACTAACTCAAGTTAATATGAGTGAATTGGTTCAGATTAACTATCCTAAATGACCTAAATTTGAACCAAATCAACATAATGATCCACCACATGTAGTTGTAGATATAATTTAAATGTTGAATTTTTTTTCCAACACGTTTACTTTAAATATTTTATTAAAAAATCCAAAAAAAAATAATTAGCACATTTACTTTAATTAGTTGTGCATTTGTTAATTTACTAACTTATCTCTCAACACCCTCTTAACTAATTGGGGGATTTTAACTCTTGAAAATAAAGATTCATCAAGGAGTGCCCACATCCTGACGAAACCCAACGACGCCAATTAGCCACCGAGGTTGGGCTTGAGCCTAAACAAATTAAGTTTTGGTTTCAAAATAAGAGGACTCAAATTAAGGTGATCAATATTCTTTAGTCTAGTATTTTTCATTCAGAAGTTATTTTAAATGTGTCCATACTCATTGTTGATCATTTTGTGTATGTTACATTAAGAATCAACACGAGAGAGCAGATAACACTGCTCTTCGGGTTGAGAATGATAGGATAAATAGTGAAAACGAATTCATGAAAGAGGCGTTGAAGAATATGCTTTGCCCATCTTGTGGGGGTCCACCATATGCAGAAGGAGAGCATGAACACTTTATGCAAAAGATGCAACTCGAAAATGCTCAACTAAAAGATGAGGCTAGTGAATTCATTGGATTTATTCTCTTATAATGAATTTGATATGAATATTATATTTTACCTTTTTATTACAAAGGGATATACAATGAATGCTTTTAATCAACATTTGTTTATGAATCAATTTTCAGCATGACAAAGTGTCTAGACTTCTTGCAAGGTACTTGGAGAAACAAATGTCACAACCTGAGTTGCAACAAACTGTTATTCCTATCACAGGTTCAACTTCATATGATCCACCACATGGAAGTTCACTTAACCATGTGATTGATGAAAGTCTATGTCTTGATCAAAGTTTTAGTACACAAGTTATAGATGATCTATTATTGTCGAACTCATTGGGAGGTGTAGATGTAGAGAAACCATTTATGTTAGAGGTTGCTACTACTGCAATGGAAGAATTAGTTAGGCTTCTTCGCATCAATGAGCCCTTTTGGATCAAGTCTTCAACTCAAGATGGGAAGCTTGTTCTTCATCGTGAAAGTTATGAGAAAATATTTTCAAGAACCAAACAATTCAAAGGTGCCAACATACATGTAGAAGCAACAAAAGATTCAGGGATGGTTAACATTAGTGGCATTCAGCTAGTTGAAATGTTTCTAGATTCGGTAACAGTTTATCATTTTTTTTTTATTTTCTAAATATTATCCTATTTTTCTTTAACATTACGACATTGATTATCTATAGTAAAGAAATATGTATACTAATAAGAGCATAATATTCTTCACCTTTTCATCAGGACAAGTGGGTTAATCTGTTCCCAACAATTGTTACAAAAGCAGAAACAATTAAAGTACTAGAAAGTGGTTTCTTAGGAAATCGAAGTGGAGCCTTGCAGTTGGTATATACTTTCTTGCAAACGATGTTTTATGTAATTGAGCTTGTTTACTATAATTTTTTCATTTGTTGACAATACTCTTATGACAGATGATTGAAGAAATGCATATTCTTTCACCTTTAGTGCAAGCTCGTAAATTTCAATTCCTTCGCTATTGTCAACAAATTGAAGATGGTCAATGGGTGATAACAGATGTGTCATTTGATCCCTTTCAACAGAACAATTCTCCTTCTCGATCTTGGAGGCATCCATCTGGATGCTTGATTCAAGAAATGCCTAATGGGTATTCCATGGTTAGTAATTTACATATTTGTGAAATAGAGTACATGAATATTGAAATGCACTACCTACTATTGAGGAAAAACGTGCATTTTATATTCGAAACAAATTTTACTGAAAAGTATCAATCCTCGACTATGCTAGAAAGCATCCATACCTTGTTAAGTTGAATAGCTATCTTGGAATTATATATGAATTGAAGATTTTTACCGTTCGTAAGTTTATATTTAAAAAAAAATGGTTGTTTGAATGTGATAGTCTAGCTGGTAAGATTAAAATTCTAAAATATCCTCGAAAATAAAATCGTATTATAAATAATTTTCTTAAAAAATTTATGCTTTTTTTAAAAAAAAAATTTCAGAATATTCTGTCAATATTTATTTTTTCTTTCAACTAACTGTGATGCAAAGGCATTAAGTTGGAAATGGGAAGTGAGGGATCATACTAGAATTAGAATTATAACTTTTGTCTTTAATTGAGAATCTTTGCCAAAAAAAAGTTCTAAGATTAACCTTCATATTAGAGTAGTAGTCAAGCAAAGTCTTTTTCCGAAATTCTCCAAGATTTGAATTTTTTATTGACTTTGTAGATAAAGTGTTAGTGTGGGTCGCAGTCCACTTTCACTGTGATCAGCTACTGTTGAGTGATTTATAGTCTTTGATTGATGAAGACTATAATTAATTTAACTTATCTAAATTCATTAACCATAATTCTTCAGATAACATCTTTTATTTTGGGATTAACTTTTTAATATTTCACAACATGATACAATATTCCAATAGTAATTAAGTAAAGCTAAGTAACGAGTGCACTCAATTGGTTTAGTAACTTTTGTGGATTGTGTTCAAATATTCATATTTCACATTTTTTCAAACGAAATCAATAAAATTACTATGATATGTTGTATGTTAGGTTACTTGGGTTGAACACGTGGAGGTGGATGATAAAATCCAAACGCACCCACTGTACAGAGATATTGTTAGTATCAATATGGCATATGGAGCAGAAAGATGGATGATGGAACTTCAAAGAATGTGTGAAAGATTTGCTTGGTTTTATGTTGAAAAGATAGCCAATCATGGCTTTGAAGGAGGTTACACTTTGTCATCTTTACTACTCCAAATTCCAACACTTAATTATTCATTTATTTGCCTTATGATTTATTATGTGATTATATCTAAGTTAACATTTTACATTATTGATTGTTCAGTGATCAATTCACTTGAAGGGAGGAGGAGTGTAATGAATTTTTCTCATCGAATGCTTAAAATCTTTTGTCAAAGTTTAACAATGTCGGGTAACTTGGACTTCCCACATTTAACTATGGAGAATAATAGCGGTGTTAGGGTCTCCATCCGAAAAAACACAAACCTTGGTCAACCAAATGGCATGATTGTTGTAGCTGCTACATCCCTTTGGCTACCTCTCCATTATTTGAAAATTTTTGAGTTCTTCACAGATGAAAAAAGACGAGCTCAGGTTCATAATAAGTTAGCTAAATAATCTTCTATTTTATTAAAATAACTTATATTTGTTAGTTAATTAAATTTAAATAAATCTTGCTTTGTAGAATTATTAATACATACTAGCTTGTTATTATCTTGTATATAGTGGGATGTTCTTTCCTGTGGAAATCCAGTGCACAAGGTTGCGCACATCTCACATGGAACTCATCCTGGCAATTGTACATCAATTATCCGGGTATTTAAAATCTTTCTTTTTTTTTTTTATGTTCCAATTTTGTTATAAGACAAATTTACTTTACTTTTAATACAATTATAGAGGGCAAATTTTGATGCAATGGTGATTTCTATTTGATCAATCTTTAAAATAGCATTGCATATATCCATCTTCTTCATACCCCAAGAAATTCAATACAGATATAGTCAATATGGATATAGTGTCTTTGATTGCAATTCTCATAACTTGTTGAAAATAATGACTTAAATCCACATAACAAAAGCTTAAAAAAGGAATATGGTAATTTTATATGCTTAAATGTTGTGAACTTAATGTAAATTGTCCAATTTATATGTTTAAATATGAATAAGATAATAAATACTCTAAATTCCTAACCTTATTATTGTTTCTTCAAGTAAACTGATTAAATTCATTTCAATTATTCATTTTTAGCCATTCATCCCTAGCGAGAACAATGCGTTGATTCTTCAAGAAAGTCTTACAAATTCCATGGGATCATATGTTGTATATGCTCCAACCGATGTAAGAACTATGAATATGGCTATACAAGGGGAAGACTCTTCATTGCTACCAATTCTTCCATCGGGTTTTGTTATCGTTGCACATGATGATCCAAATGCAAATTTAGGAGCATTTGATAATACAAATGTTGATAGATCAGAAGGCTCATTATTGACTGTGGCTTTCCAAATATTGGCTTGTAGTCCAAGTGGAATCAATCTGTTAAATATGGAATCTGTGGCAGCTGTGAATACCCTTTTAACCTCAACAATCCTAAAAATAAAGGATGCTCTAAATTGTAGTAACTTGGAGTAATCTTTTGGTTATGTTGTTTTCTTATCCCTTGTTTAAGGACAAGATATTGTCTTATTTCCTTTACATGACAAGTTTTCTTGACATTTAAACTTAATAATATGTTGCTTTTGTCCATTTTTTTCTCAATTTGTTATGCGCGATAATTTAGATCCTTACAATGTCAAATATTCCATTTAAAAAATACCATACCATTAGGATAAGCTATTTTTTCTATTATTTTTAATGCTTTTCCATTCATAAATTATATGAACACATTTTAGAACATAAGATGTCAATCTCTAAAAGGCACTTTGAACAATGATTTGACATAATTTGTTAAATAAATTAGATATTAAAAAAAAAAAAAACCTAAACAACAATACATTCTCATTCTCATTCGTTCTCTGATTTCTTGTAATACAAATGGTTATAGCGCTAATGGTGTTTATGTTTGTTTCACATGCCATGTGGGGTAAATAAAAATATTTAAAAGAAAAAAAAACATGTTTGGGTCTTTTAATTATAAAGATTGCCATCATTAGCGACCAAATTTTAAATATTTTTTCTTCAATTTTTTATGGCTATTTTAGTAACATATTTTGATATGGTTATACAATTCATACAAAAAAAAGTCTTCATAATTATAATATCAAATATAAATCAATAAATTTAATAATAAATATTTTAAATTAATTTTACAAAAATTTAAACCAAACAAATTCATATGATGGTAAAACAATCTAAATAATAGTTACACCATATAACTAATCAATTTTATTTAATAAAACAGTTATAAAGGTGATTTTGGTTCCTAAACTATAATTATTGTATATATAAGTTAGGGTATTTTTTAGATTTTTTGTTGAGTAAATTATACATGATTTTCTAATGTTTTTCAATCAATTTGATTGTTCATTCATAAATTTAGTTATGTAAAAAAAATGTATAATAGTTTCGATTTCTTAAAATTTAGTACTTGTTTATTATTTGTATATTATACAAGCAATATGTTGGCATTTGAGAGTCTAATATTGTTTAGAATATGTGTAGGTTGGAGTCATTTTAATTATTTTTCTTTATTATAGTAATAATTAATAGATTCTTAGTATTTTTTTTTCTCTTGGTTGTAGTAGATAATCTCTTCAATTTCTTTCTGGGAAATAATTAAATTTTTGGAAGATTATTGAATGTGTAGAATGAGCTAATTTTGAAGCAAATTATGCACCTAGGCACAAATTCGTGTGCTTAGGCATGTTCAACTATCTTCTATATCTACTTCAAAAACATAAAATCTCTCTTCTTTATATTATTTTTGTTTTAAATAAAAATTGTGCTTTTTGGAGAAGAAGGAAGAAGGAGAAATAAAAGACTCAAGAGCCACTAAAAGTTAAAGTTTAAAGGATTTATGAGACTTTTCTTAGATTGGTCTTTAACTTTTCTTAAAAATGACTAGAGTTTTTTTTTTTCATGTTTCTTATTCTTTTATTATAAAATTTTAATTTTTTTACCGGGCTTGATAAAACTCATTTAAAATTATGGTGTGATTAACTTCTACTAATCTATGTCTAGTACATTATTTAAAGTAATTAACACTGCACATTAACTTGTCAGCCCTTCATAAATTGAAAAGTGGATAGGCTATTGTTTATTAGACATATTCATTGATCATTTTAAAAATTATATTTAGTGCGTGATTTATTAAATGTTTGTTTTCGATTTTTAGAATTTAAATAATTATTTGAGTGAGTTAAAATTAAATTTTCTAAACTTGTTATTAATAAATTGTTAATAATATATATATATATATATATTATCATTGTGTGTTGTTTATTTAATTTTAGTTTATAAGACTGATTTTTTTTAAAAGAAATATAATTTTTATCAATCCTGAAAATATTTTTATGTAAATAAAATTATATTTTACTTTACTTGTTAGAATAACAGTATTCAATAAATATTAAATTAATAAAAATAAAAATAAAAAATATTATAAACAAATTAGTGAATCAAGTATAAATTTTAAAATTATTAATCAAATTAAATTTAAATATTAAAACTTACTCACTTAAATAAATGAGTCAAATTTAAATATTTAATTTTTTTATGAACCAAATTTGAGCTTTAAATATTCAGTTTAACTCCACTCATTTATGTCTCTACACACATTACACCAAGGTGTGTGATGCATGTCAAAGTAAGTACAATATTCTGTTTTGACGTAGGCCACTGTGATCTATTTCTCATGTAAAGTTTCTTTAGCAAATTAAATAATATTTCACGATAAAAACTTCTATATGATAAAATTTTATCAAAATTTATAAGATATAATATAATATATTAATAATATTAAAAAAATTATAAAATTTTTATTACAAATTTTTTATCATGAGACTTTAAACCTTTATTAAAAAGTTGTTATATAATTAGCATTTCATGATGAAACTGTAATCGAAATACCTATCTTAATGCATAGACACAAAAGTTATATATATATTGTGATATCAGTCGGATCATTTTATTAAAGATATTTAGACTCTTCTTTCATGGAAGAGGAAATTTATAAACAAATTTTTATACAATAATAATAACTGACATAAATTGTGGCCTATCACAATATACTTAATTAGTAGACATAAATATAGATAAAAATATGTTCATTCTGATGAGCATATGTTCAGATATAGCAAACGCAGTAAGGAATAACTTTGAATGGAAGTGGAAGTTGAACCTAGACATGTATGCTAAAAGGACTACAGTTAGTTCCTGGATAACTAATATGATATTTTTTTTTCATTCTAATTATTAATTAATCTATTCCTCTAACCCGATAACAAAGGAGAGAAATTTTTTAATATTATAATTCATGTCTGTAAAGGTTGATATTTGATAACTTTGTAAACAAGTTAATGCGTTACATAATAACATTTGTTTAAGTTATATGATTAACTTTTATTTATATATATTTAAATAGTATAAAAAAAATATAAACTGAATTAGATAAATTATATATGAATATATATATATATATATATATATGTTAAGTTATAGTTAATTTATTTATATTTTAAAAAATACGATAAAAAAATAAAAATTATTATCATAACTTATTATGAACACAATATAATGATATTATGGGCAAATCTGAAGTTTCAAAACTAAAAACAAAGCATCCCATTTCTTTGGGTGCAACAAAGCATCCCTTTACTTCATATTAAAGTGATGTATACCATGTTCACTTTAAAAATGTTGAAAGGTAAGAGAAGCAAGGCTAAAAGCTTTATCATCATGCAGAACAAAAAGTGACTTCAACTAGTTTAGTTTATCAAGGAACCATGTGAAAGATATTTTTATTGTAAAGAAAACTAAGACAACACAGTCCTAAGGTCCCGGAATTCATTAGTTCTTCAAGTCTTATAAATTCTCTTCGTGCCTATAAAAGGCAATGCTCTTGGCAAGATATTCTCACTCAAAACAAATTGAAGAGCTAATAGCTGTTTGACTCTAAGAATAACAGCTAGCCAAGTGGTAATTTGTTAACCTTCAATGGCTCAAATAATTGTTCAAGTTTTGGTGCCAATTATACTATTGGTGCTATTGGAAGTGGCAGGGGCTACCCCCCCTGGAATTGCCAAAAATCCAAGCCATGCAAGCTGCAATATAAAGAAGTACAAGCATTGCTATAATTTAGTACATGTATGTCCTAAGTTTTGCCCTGATGGTTGTACAGTGGAGTGTGCTTCTTGTAAACCTATTTGTGTTGGGAGTTCAGACCCTCCACCAGATTCTCCCACCCCTTCTACACCACAGAATCCACCACCTACTCCTTCTACACCTGAGAATCCACCACCCACAATTTCAACCCCTCCAATTAATACACCTCCTACTCCATCTACACCTAATAATCCACCATCTTCATCTCCTCCAACATCACCATCTACTCCTTCTACACCTGAAAATCCATCACCTCCATCATCACCTCCTTCACCACCACCCCCTACGTCTACTCCTGAGAATCCACCACCAACACCTTCTACCCCTCCTTCATCACCTACACCTACACCTCCAAATCCACCACCGACTTCCTCAACACCTCCAACAATTCCATCACCATCAACACCTGCTCCTTCACCTCCTTCAACATCAACACCTTCTCCAACAACTCCATCACCATCAACTCCTGCTCCTTCACCTCCTTCAACATCAACACCTTCTCCAACTCCTCCTGGAAGTGGTGAATCTTCCTCACCCAAAACAGTAAGATGTTCGAACAAGAACTACACAAAGTGCTATAATATGGAACATGTTTGTCCCAACCCATGCCCTGGCGGGTGTGAGGTTGATTGCAACACTTGCAAACCAGTTTGCAGTAAGTCTTTCATTAATATTTGCTTCTCTGTACTTTAACATGCACTATAAAATCTTACATTGAATTAAACACTCTGCACTAATTCGAAAAATGTAAATGTTTGTTTCTCGTAACTTCTATCATATCCTCCCCTTACATCCCTGGTAAAATATCCAAACTTAAAGAAGAGGGAGAGAAAAAGGAAAAAGCTTAAAAATACAATAATAAAAAAAAAAAAGCAATGTCAAATAATCAATATTTTGAGAACAATTAATATTGATCTGACTCTATTTATATTTTAACTCTTTTATCCGTTAAAAATGTCAAATTACTTAATAAGGAGAGAAAAAATAGTAAGTGTAAAAAAAGTTAATATAAAAATATTAAAACTCATTAATATATAACATATAACAAGGTAAATGCACGTCATTAATTCAACCTTCAATTTTTGTACCCATTTTATATTTATTAGCTTGTTCTTTCTTTATTTTTCTCTTACTTTCATTTTTGTGACAAATTTGATGTTGAATATACGTATGATTGGCAGAGTGTGACAAACCAGGAGCTATTTGCCAAGACCCTCGTTTCATAGGTGGTGATGGAATCACTTTCTACTTCCACGGCAAGAAAGACAGCAACTTCTGCCTCGTATCCGATCCAAACCTACACATAAACGCCCACTTCATTGGCAGAAGAAACAACGACATGAAGAGAGACTTCACTTGGGTCCAATCCATTGCTATTCTATTTGACAATCACCAACTCTTTCTTGGGGCCCACAAAACATCCACGTGGCAAGACTACATAGACCACCTTGCCCTCACCTTTGACGGCGAATCCATCACCCTCGACGAATCAGAAGGTGCCACGTGGACATCCTCAACTGTCTCTGGTGTCTCCATTGCTAGAACAGCTTCAACAAACAGTGTCATAGTTGAAGTCGAAGGGAAGTTAAGGATAACAGCCAAGGTTGTCCCTATAACTGAAGAAGATTCCAGAATTCACAAATATGGAATTACCAGAGAGGATTGTTTTGCTCACCTTGATCTTGGATTCAAGTTCTTCTCTTTGAGCAATGAAGTAAGTGGTGTGTTGGGTCAAACCTACAAGCCTGACTATGTGAGCCGCGTGAATGTTGGAGCAAAAATGCCTGTAATGGGAGGTGCAAAAGAGTTTGAAACTACCACCTTGTTCTCCCCAGATTGTTCTGTGGCTCGTTTCGTTGGTAACAATGCGTACAACGATGAAGTTACAATGAATTTGAAGATGGCTATGCCTAGCTTGAGCTGTGTGAGTGGAATTGATGGACAAGGGGTTGTCTGCAGGAGATAGTTTCCTTATTTAACAAGGGATATACAAGTGCATCCTGGAATACTTAATCAGAGTTTTTTTTTTCTTTATGATAATAAATTACCAAATCATCAAGTAACTTGGATGATGGTGTGATTGAAGTCTCACATTATGTATCACGATTATATTGCTAAAAATAACATACATATATTATTTTTATATACATATGTTTATCTTAAATCCAAACCTATGATCATTTGAAGAGAACACCTCTTCAAGCTGCATCATGGATTATATTTTACAGACATTACCTGCACATTTAAAGTGACCTAAACTCCTTTATTATACTAGATTTTTATAAATTTAATTTGATTGTAACCTTCTTACGAGCGAATTGGGGCAACTTTTATCTTGTCTGAATAGGAACTGATATCCTTAAGATCATACGTACCAAGTGATCATGAAGAAGATTAACACCAAATTATATTAAATTAATCAATATTGTAAGATAATACAAAAGGAAATGAGAAAAGACCAACAAATAATGAATCACACAAATGGAAAAAAGTACAAAAACCACACAATTCAACACACAGAGGATCAATGAAATTTCTCTCCCATGTTTTTGCCTAGAACTTGGACTGCAGATAATTAACGGTAGCATTGTCCAAATAGAAAGCTTTAGCAAGAATGTCACTAGCAATGTCAGGCGTAGACCCAAACACTGCATTAGCAATTGTGATGACACCGGGATTCTGGCTGCTAAGAGCTGCAATGGCAACAGCATTAGCATACCCCACATTTCTTTGATAGTGAATGAGTCCTATGGGAAACACAAACACATCACCCTTTTGTAGCACTTTCCTCAAGTGGCGGTTTTCAGGGTTGGAAGTGATGAATCCAACTTCTAAGCTTCCTTCAAGAACTGTCAAGATTTCAGAGGCACGAGGGTGTATGTGAGGAGGGTTAATGCCCCATGGTGCAAAGTCAATGCGTGCTATGGAGATGCCAAGAGTGTTCAATCCTGGTAACTCAGTTGCAAAAACTGGTGTCACTTTTGACCCAACAGGGTTTGTGATGTTGCCTGCTATGTCAAGGCCGCTAAAGTAAAAGTCATTTGGCTCAACAAGTTTGGGATCCTTGCATACCAAACCATTCACTAACACTGCCATAATTTATCAAATTGTGAGTATATAAACTTTGAAGAAGGCAGATAACTCAATTTAGGTGCAAGGTAATTAGATTAAGGACAAAACTGAAAGCAAAATTCTTATATCTTTATAATTAAGTTCTCTACTTAAACATTTGTAACAAATATTTAATGAGAATTATTTTAATATTAAAAAAAATGTCTGTTATCATTTGATCAAAGACTTTAATAGATAGATAGATAGATAAGCAAGTTGATTTAGGTGTTGTTCCAGCTAAAACATAATTATGAGTTAGTGCATGATCAAATTTATAAAGAATCGTCATATATATTAATTTCAAGTCAGAAAGTAATGACTACAATATGCAAGAGTGACAATTTATTTACTATACCTGCCCCATTTGGGTCTGCCACACAGAAATCTTGGAGAGCACTAGTATCAACGGCTAAAGCAGCTGAAAGTGAAAGAGCTAATACTGCCAGCAACAATGAGAGATTGGCCATTTGACAATAATGCAAAAGCACTAGTGGATTTTGTAGTGTTGTGTTGTAGTACTATTAATTGGTAATTGTTGAATGAATATGGCATTGCATTAAGGGCTATTTATAAACCAATCTACAGAAAATATGAACCCACAAAAATATGCCGCCCTAATTAAGAACAGAAATGGTCATCTTTTGAAGTGGTAAGAATAACGTAAGTGGTGGGTTTTGCTTATGCTGGCGTGCATACTGTGTTATGTGTAGAGAGGTATTTTGTTACTCTGGATAGTGCCGGCCAATGTTGCCGCCATTCGGCTAACTAGTCATTTACAAAAGAATCTTAATTGATTTAGCTGAACTCTTCCATTTGTGAAAAGCATTATAAAAAATAAATGCAAGTGAATATAAAATAAGGGTATATGGATCGAAATGGATGACAACCGCATCTATTTTGAATTGGAGCTAATGTACACATTCAAGGGAATGCATTCTAGATTTTGAGTGTATAATTTTTAAGGAGAATTTATTTGGTACGAAGTTTTTGCACGAAGTTATCACGAATGTCTAACAAATCGTGCTCAGAAAGAAAATGTTAGAAATATATTTAATAAATATAAAATACAACAAATTTCTTTTACATTTTCTCCTTAGTCATTTTATAAATTGAGTTTTTAAAGAGACCTTTGGGCCCAATTGCATGAGCTTGTTCATTTGATGAAGGTTGTTTCTGGATTATTCAAATATGTATATCAAACATTTTGTGATTATTTGGGTGAGGTTAAAATATCTTATGAAACATGTATAAAATGTTTTGAACTGTATATGAATTATAGATGTTCAACTTCAATAGCCTTTTCCTTCTTTTTTTTGGGGGGGTGGAGGGGGGGGAGGCGGGGCGTCATTGCTTTTAATTTCTCTTGAAAGTTAATTTTGACCAAAAGAGCTTACGCATAGTTTGGGTTTATTTTATTTTTGGGCCCATTCATATCTATTTTTGTCAATGTCAGTTCATAGCTTAGGCTTGGGAATTTTTTATTTCCAGACGGTGATTGAACCAATACCCGAAAGCTCACTATATTTACAAGCCTTCACCAACGAAAATGATATGCCTACTTAAAATGCCTGTTTCAACAGACCCCTATTCTTACAAAAAGTGAAAAGGCAGACCCATTTTAACCAAAACAATTTATTTATATTTGAACCCCCCACCACCACACACACAAAATTATTATTTCTAATTTGTATCATGTATTGATAGAAGAGAAAATTGAATTAGCAAAAAAATTTCCCGATGAATACACATACACGTAAGCTATCATATGCTATAATCTTTTTAATATTATCATACGTGTATATTGATTTAAAAAAACATGAATAAGAAAATCGGATAGGGCATTTCGAGTGAAAAACCAATAAATCTAATAAATCTAATCACAGTTCCAACTACCCAGAATAAAACCAAACAGTTCAAGAAAAGAAACCAAAATAACTGATGAAGAAGTCCTGCTGTAGCCGTGTAATCGGAACTTGCCTTCGATTCTTCCTCTTTCTGTTTCTTTCTACTTTCCCTCTTTTAAGTTGCACCAGTTCTCGTACCAGATAACATTACCGATATCAACAGTGCTGATAACATAATCCTTTTCGTTTTGTTCATATTGGTTATTGACAATTGGATTACAATTGCATTAGTCAAACATCACACAACTCTATTACTACCGAATTATTGATTATTTACTATTTTAATTTCCAAAATAGGACTATAAGCTCAGGCACTTTGATCAGGATACATCATTAGTCTACCCACGCTTGCCCAACCGGGATTACGCACATATCGGAGCTTCGGTCTCACAAGTAACAGCATGCCAATTAAAAAGAAAAAGGCAAAAATATTATTGTTTAATTCAGAGGCCACTGTAATCAACATATCAAAAGGGGGAAAGAAAAAAGAAAAAACGATACTACTCATTAACCATTACAAACATCCAAGACTTGATTTCAAGAACAACAGCATTGTCAACAAGACACAGTTTATACAATGTCAACAATCAATAATAAGCATACACATTAACGAGTCAATCTAATTTGACCGCACCACAATTAAAACTTATACCACAGGTTCAAAGCCAATCATTCATATGATATTTGAAACAACTTTGACAAATGACAGATGCCTTAAGCAGTAACCTCCTCCTCTTCCTCCTCCTCGTACTCTTCCTCATCAGCGGTAGCATCCTGGTACTGCTGATACTCAGCAACAAGATCATTCATGTTACTCTCAGCCTCAGTGAATTCCATTTCGTCCATTCCCTCCCCAGTGTACCAGTGCAAGAAAGCCTTGCGCCTGAACATAGCCGTGAACTGCTCACTAACTCTCCTGAACATCTCCTGGATTGAAGTTGAATTACCAATGAAAGTGGATGCCATCTTAAGACCCTTAGGTGGAATATCACAAACGCTGGACTTGACATTATTAGGTATCCACTCAACAAAGTATGAAGAGTTCTTGTTTTGGACATTGATCATCTGCTCATCTACCTCCTTGGTGCTCATCTTACCACGGAACATTGCCGAGGCAGTCAAATAACGACCATGTCGAGGATCAGCAGCACACATCATGTTCTTAGCATCCCACATCTGCTGAGTCAATTCAGGAACGGTCAAAGCTCGGTATTGCTGGGATCCTCTTGAAGTCAAGGGTGCAAACCCAACCATAAAGAAATGAAGTCGTGGGAATGGGATAAGATTGACAGCAAGCTTGCGAAGATCAGAGTTCAGTTGTCCAGGGAAACGTAGACAACAAGTGACTCCACTCATGGTGGCAGAAATCAGATGGTTAAGGTCACCAACTGTAATCAAAACATTGAAAATTTTAGCTTCGAACAATGGCCAGCCTGTTTAAGGCCCAAAAGAATTGACATGTACGGCGACAATATCTCAAAACAATCCTGTGGCGAGTAGAGTAGAATTGATTGAGAGAAGTAAACATTTTCAACTTTTCCAGTGAGTTAGATTGTGTTTAGGGGAAGGAACTAGCAAAATTATAAAAAGCATACCTATATTTATTCTTCAAAATGTTTTTACTTTATAGAAAATCAATTCTTCTAAATTCCCAAATACAAATAATTTTTTTACGTAAGTTCTTTCAACGTCAATTCTATAAAAATCTCAAACAAACAGATGAAGTAAACACATTCCATTCAGAGAAAGCGACAGAAAACCAAATTGATAGCGGAAGTTGAACAACAATAGCCACCAGCAATGAGCAAGACACGAGACCAAAATCCTAAACTCACTGAAATCCTCCCATGGCCCCACCAATAAAACGATATCTATAATTTAACCTTAATTTAAACAGCAAAATTGAAAGTAAAACCAGTCAATTGTTCCAATTATTTACTCTACGATAAAAATCACAACAAAAGCAACAGTAATTAAATGAAGAAGCCAGAAACTTACACGTGGGTGTAGCAAGCTTGAGAGTGCGGAAACAGATGTCATAGAGAGCCTCATTGTCCAAAACCATACACTCATCAGCGTTTTCAACAAGTTGGTGCACAGAGAGCGTGGCGTTGTAAGGCTCCACAACGGTGTCAGAAACCTTAGGAGAAGGAAACACTGAAAACGTCAACATCATACGATCTGGATACTCTTCACGAATCTTCGAGATCAGAAGCGTACCCATGCCGGAACCAGTACCTCCTCCCAAAGAATGACAGACTTGAAACCCTATCACAATAAAATCGAAATAATTAGCTTCAACAAAGGAAAATCATGGCAGCAAAACCATTACAAAATCGCGATTTAATATTGAAGTTACCTTGCAAGCAATCGCAATTCTCTGCCTCCTTGCGAACGACGTCGAGGACGGAATCGATGAGTTCGGCGCCTTCGGTGTAATGTCCCTTCGCCCAGTTGTTTCCGGCGCCAGATTGGCCGAAGACGAAGTTGTCGGGGCGGAAGATCTGGCCGTAGGGGCCGGATCTGACGGAATCCATGGTACCAGGTTCCAGATCCATGAGGACGGCGCGAGGAACGTACCTTCCGCCGCTGGCTTCATTGTAGTAGACGTTGATGCGCTCAAGCTGAAGCTCGGAGTCGCCGCTGTACTTGCCAGTGTGGTCGATTCCATGCTCATCGCATATGACCTCCCAGAACTTGGCTCCGATCTGGTTCCCGCATTGTCCTCCCTGGATGTGCAAGATTTCTCTCATTTTCCGGGAAAATTGATGAGAGGGAAAATAAGGGTTTGGATTTTCTCAGCGATGAGATTGGGGATAATTGAAATGAGAAGGAAGCGATATTTTGTGTTGTGTTTGTGTGTATACACCGGAAGGAAGGGTGAAGAGAATTTGAAGGGTGGTCCTTTCCTGTAATTGTGTGTGGTCCTGAGGGTATTTTTGGAATAAATGGAATGTTTTTTCAGTTTTATTCATTTAAAATGATCTGGTGCTGTGCTGAGCTGTGACTCTGATTTTGTGAATTCTGATCCGAAAGGAAACGAAACGACGCTGTTTTAGAACCGCTTCTCTCTTCTCAAAATATCGCACATACCAATCATTCTATACTTTCGAATTTTAGAGGAAAATTTTAATGGCAATTTTTAAATTTAATAAAAATTATGGAGTGAAATATTAAAACGGCAGTTGAATAAGTGTTTATTGGAGTGTGGTGGGCCGGTAAGAATTGATGGCTTCTAGCCCAGCCCAGCTGTCATTGATCCAACCTTCCCCTGTTTATTTAAAAATTATTTATCACTAAACTCTATAAATTAGATTAATTCAACTTTCCTTTGATTCAATATTGGCTCACTCTCACTAGAGTTTGGAGTAAGTAAGTCAGAGGAATCTAATTACAGTGTGTTGAATCCTTTGTATCTTTCTCTGGACTGCAGGCTCCTCTTTGACTTCGTTGAAATTATAGTTTCGAAAAGCCAATCAATTCACGGTTTTGAAATTTCTTTCGGTTTATATTCCATAAATAATTATTGTTTTGAAATTTTAAAAATTAAATATATGTCTTAATAAATTGAATTATACGATTATATTTTTTTTCATGGTTCCAGTTTTCCTACAAATTGAAGATCTTTTTCTCATTTTAAACCACAAGAAACGGCAGTGCAGAGAGAAAAATATGAGTAGCGGATAACCTACGGCTAGACTCTAGCGTCCACTGCATTGAAAATAACGGACATATGCACTCTTATTCAAAACAATGAATTAATAAATAATTATCACAATATGGGGCTCAATTAAGTATTGATTTATATTGGGCCAATAATTTGTTCTGACCCAAATTCTAATTCTCTCAAACAGATTAACCTGTAGTTGATTTAGGTGGTACATCAATAATTACCCTTAACTATTCTTCACTTAAATAAAATTTCTCCTTGTAAATGAAAAGTGTGTTAAGATATACATTAAATATAGAGGTGTTAAGATATGTTAATTATGATAATCTAACTCGAATAACCCAGCAAAACATATTAAATGATCTATACAGTTTAACTTACTCTAACTCAAACCCAACCTTTGCTATTTGCAAGTTCAAAATTATCACAAGCATAAAAAAAAAGTTAGCTAAATACTACTTTAAAGTAACATCCATCCATTTTAAAAAATAAATATTTTTAATGAAAAAATAATAAAAACTTTAATCTCTAGTTAATTATATAAATAAATAAATAAAACTGTGGATCAACGGACAAAACCTTTTTTTATTATTTGCCAACATGTAAAAGACTTGTTAGCTAAGCTAACAATTTATATGACTAATACTTGATCTGTTCAAGGTTGGTGAGCCTAGCTACCATTCGGCCAAACCTATAATTGAAAAATAAAATAAAAATAAGAGCCTAACCCATAATAGATATACTAAAACAATTTTAAAGAATTTTTTTTAGAATCACAAGTTATGTATGTATAATTAAGTTGGACATATATATTAAAATATATATTTTTTTAACCGTGTTTGTGGATATTTTTAATATTGGTGAACGAGAAAATAAAAAATTATAATATTTCGCTTCTACTAGAGTTATTTCCGACAGACACTGAATTGCATCTTAAAAAGAAAACGACAAAAATCGAATCTTTATGCATGAATCAATAAAATAAGATGATTCTAGACACAAACTTAAAAAGAGAATTCATTGCACACAAGAGTTTTCATTATCCACCTAACTTTAATGGAAGTTCGATTGTCCACAAAAATGGCCATTGAAGTATTTGAAGATCTTTCATGCGTGCCCCCTCAACAAGGAGACATCTTCGTGTGGCGCCCCTTAAAGAAAAATATCATACCTCCATGCCGAATTCTCTATTCATAAGGTAACATTTTCCTAGAACCAACACTGCTACACAATAACACAGCATCTTGAACACTAGAATACTTATATTTTTTGGTGCATATAACCAGCCAATTCACACACACATATATATGAGTTGTCCCTATCCTGCATTATATCTAATCAGATATTCTAATGAAAAATTACTGTTCGTTTATATATATTAATTACTGAGCTTAATCGACCTGTATTAATAATGTATGTCACTGTGTTAGGTATCGCAGATTGAAATTTGGTGTCTTAATTGTTTGATTGATCTCCACAATTGACACAACTTTAAAAGATTGATTCCCTGGCCTCCAACACCAACACAAACTCAGCTGTTGATTCAACTAGTAAGATTTTAGAATTTTTGGCTTGTAAAATTGTGTTTAGGAAGGAATCAAAGTTGCTGAAGATATAGCAAAGTTAAATGCTCCATTTGCATTTGAAAGGCTAATCATGGCTGACTAAGGACCGTGGGTGGTTTATAACAACACTACAAAATAATTGAAGAGTGATGAAAAAATCAGCTTCTAATAATATTTTTTTCATAAATATCTCCTTACCAAAGCTAGACAAATTACATCAAATAAATAAGATGTGCTGTGAGGGATGCTTTATGCAATATCTCAGTGCCCACACCGCACAACCCATCCAGGACAACAATGCATGGCATCCAGCAATTTATTTATTTTATTATAATCAGTTTAAGAGATCAAATATAAATATAAATATGAATCAATAATACCTGTAGTAAGTAATCTAATATTTTGAATTTATCATTATTATGAATTTACCAAATTGAACTAAGATCCGTTGATTTCTTAATTGGTAAAAGTATCACAAAGGGGTTTAGTCTAGTTGTGCTTAGTAAGCAAAGGTTTACGTAAGTTATAGAGGACAACTTTATTACCCAAGAGTGTTCAAGAGATAATCTTCTTCCTACCATTCTTTCTTGGTTGGTGATATTGTGTGAAATTTATAAATGGTTCCAGTCCAAGTCTTACATTACAAGGAGAGTAGATGTCTTTTTACTGAGATTGAGGTTGCTATTTCGTCCAAAACGTCTGCAGTAATTCATGTTGTGCACTTCAGTACTTAGTTCATCTCTCTTATTTTCAACCAACATGGGACATTTTTATTTTCCTAACATATTAACAAATATTTTCGACTTCTGGAAGAAGGAAATTAACTAGGAAGTGAAAAGGCTTTGTTTTGAAAATGAGTTGCAATGACATTGTGTTGCTCAAGTTCCTATAGATGGAATAGACATATGGCTGTGGTTCATTCATTAACAGAATTATTTAGGGAGGTCCTGCTCAAAGCTTTTATTAATTCTTCTTCGATGGCTCAATTGTGATGAATCTTGTGAGAAAAATGGAGAATTTATTCGACGATTTAAGAGAAACTGAGATAAAACTCAAGAACAAGAATGAGAATGACACACATTTAAGAGAGATAAGGTTCCTTACCTTTAACCACATCAATTAGAAGCTGTTATACATTTGTCTCAATCCTCCATATAAGCTAGCTAAGGCAATCCTGAGCCCATGATTTGTGCTCTTGATAGAGGTGTTTCATGTTGCTGATGGTGGCTTAAGTCATTTGCTTTATCATATGAATTGTGTTCTATTAGCTTGTACAGTGTGTTCAATCAATATTTTTTGTTGCATTAGCCAGCCCCAACCGAAGGTCCTTCCTTAAAGAATGATTAATTGCTCATTAATTTATAGGTAACATTCTGAAATGCACAAATTTGACCAACATTTTCAGCAAAGAAGGTGATATATATATATATATATATATATATATTGTGACAATTGGATTGGTATTTTGGGTTAAATGTGAATATTCAAGTGATTAGTTGGTGAATTTAGATAAGTCAGCTTATTTTTTTCGAAATTTTCCTAACAATATCTCATATGTTGATCCATGGGACAAATATATTTGATTGCATGCTTATTTTCAGCTTTGTGAAAAGCAAACTATTGCTTTTGTCGAAGATAAAGTAAGGAAGTTGCCACGGGGAAAGAGCACCATGCTATTGGTCGAAGGAAGAAATTTCTTTCAAAAGGAGCGGGCTTAGCTATGCTTTTATGTTAGGACAAAATTTGTGTTGTTCCTTAGGTACTTGTGATGTTATTCTCCTATTAAAATTGAATTTCTTTTCTTATAACCCACAGCAGTCGTTAATGCCAGGATTATTGAGATAAAACTAATTTTAATTGAAAAATAATACCAAACACCTAACCAGTGGTACATAATCTCTGTCTTTTTGTCCCCTTTTAAACTCCCAAATGGTTTTGCATAATATTTTGCTTACTTTTGGTGGGGACAAATATCCGAAATAAAAGATTAGCATAGCTCGAATTGTTAAGAGTAAATAAACAAATCAGTGGTATAAGTTTTAAGGATTTGAAACTGTTGAAAGGGGTTTCCATTGGTTGATTTGTCAAGGAAACTCCATACTGTTTTGATGATCTTTGGATTCGGGTATATCCCTTTTGGATTTGACCATGTCTTATTGCTTCAAATTGAAATTGGGTCTCTACATCGCAATAATTGATGCTGGTACCTTCTTCATGCAAGATTGATCTTTCACTGTTAATAGGCTTATAGTCTCTCTTTTCCTCCCAAATGGCAGAGCATATTCTTTGTTTGAGGCCTACTTCACATGAACTTCGTACCAAGTCAATTAAGTATTAATAAATCATTACTTTTTGTTGAATAAACATTACACTTCCTAATGTATTATTTAGGTGTCAATTAGCATAAGAATCTCTTGTGTTCTAAATATGGCAATCTGGTCCTTGTGCCACAGTTAGTTCTGATTACAATTGGCATTTGAAGTGTTTCTTATTTTAACCCGTTAGTTTACTTTATGGGGTACACTTCATTGGTAAAGATTAAAAAAACTAGCACATCATAAACTAAGATATAAATAAAGCACAGATTATAAAGCATGAACCTATGACACATTCCATATGAAGTTTAGAGGAATATGAATCAAAACATAAGCTAAGGGATGAAAAGGAGTAGACAAGGTATCACTTTCTCTGAACACGAGACTGAGTAGAGTCAAACTCCATATGATTCCACGTGCCTCTCGTTCAAATGTTCCCCAATCATTCTGACTTAGCATTTACATCACCTGTTGTTGCTCTCAATAAGGCTTGTATTATAAGGTCCAAGAAAACATACTAAATTATTCGTTTTTGTTTATGTCTTTAAAATGATTCCTTTGTGCCTAGAAACGCTGCCTGCGTGCCTGGGATACCCACCAACCCCACTGTCACTCACTCACATACCAAGCCATAATCACATAGTTTTTCTGAGGATTAACTTTTCTCTGTGGGTCTTATCCCACTTTTTGGACCCCAAAAGTCAATCTTTTTTTATGGTTCTTTCTTCTGAGGCATGCATATATATTCATTAAATGGAATTTTATAAACAGGAACATGGGTCCCATTAAACTATTATCTAGTCTGAACCAATTATTAAGGCAACACACAGTGTTCATTGTGTAGTGGGAAAAATTATGTAGTCAATCACGATGGAGTGATATGATATCTACAGGCAGATTAAGAAAAAGAAGATACAAAAATTAGTAGTTGGAATTCCATAGTGGCAGCTCCTTTTCGCTACATTTGTAATTGAATAGTTTATCTGGCAACTTTTCATTTCTCTTTTTAAATTTTCTTAATTGATAAACGTAATCTAAAATTTCTTATTGGGAACCAGTTAGAAGGAGGACCGTGTTATGGTTGATATGAAAAAGTCATAAAGATAGAAAACGAGTGCTTTGGATTACTTATTTAGGCGGCTCATAAAGCGACAAGCGAGTCTATATCAGCATGCCAAATAATTCTACACAAATTAAGTCTCATGTTACATTACCTAATACAAGGGCAGCTAGCTAAGATAACCAATCTTAAAAAATAATTACAAAAAGCATCTTAAAATTATCTAAAATATAATAAAATAAGATATGTTTAGATACTATAACACTTTTTGAAATTATAACGCTTCCCCACGTTTTGTTTAAAACTGAATTTGGAATCCAATATATAACTTGGCAAACAAAACATTCCTTCACCATTGAATGGAAAATTTTAGTTATACCTCCCCGAAGAGGTACCTTGTTATAAGTTTCGTGATTCCCTCTTCCCTCAATTTCCTCCTAACAAAAGCCCACCCTACATTTTCCTTCGAAGGATAAGATAAACACTATAAGATAGTGTTTAGGATAAGGTAAAAAATTTTAAGTTAGCTCCCCTACCAAGCTTTTGTGGTAAATAAAGGACGTAGTCCTTTCGAGAAATTTACGAGGATTAGGATTTTCTAACCCTTGAAATGAAAAATAACTAAAACTGGTCGAAAAATATGATTGATAAAAAAATATTCTAAATTCACAAAATAAAAGATTTTTTAAGAAGTTTTAAAAGATTTGTAAATCTCTAACATTTAAAATTGCTCAAAAAACAGGACTAATAGAGAAGATATTCTAAGTCGACAAAATTGGGGTGAGATTTCAGACTTCCCTCAGAATTACTCAAAAATCAAGAATTGACAGAAAATTATTCTAAGTTCACGAGATTGAATGAGCTTTCAGATTTCTCTCAAAATTAGTCGAAAAGTTGAAATGAAGGAAAAATTATTTTAAGTTCACAAAACTAAATGATCTCACAAATTTTCTTAAGAAATTGCTCAAAAAATAGGAATTTAAGAAAAAAATATTATAAGTTCACAAGAGACATGATAGAGCTCAAAAGTGATATCGAAAGAGTTATAAGGTTCAAAGCAGTTATCAATGGTTACCAAGATACGAAGAAAGATCATGGGGTGATAGTAGTTATGGAAGAAGTCTTAACCGATAGCATGATCATAAGCAGTCGTGGATAATATACAGCAGCAGTTGAAGACAAGCACATATAAAAGACTGAGAAGTATCCACACAAAAATGAGATCGAGGGTGGTTCATTTGCCTATAAATACTATAAAGCTTTACATCACGAGAGACGATTTTTTGTACCTAAACTCTCTGTACGCTGAAATTCTGTACCAAGCCAAACACCAACTATCAAGAGACATAGTTGTTGATTGTTTGTTGTTGTTAGAAGTCGTATATTTATATTTTTTTACATTAATTCTAGTTCATTTTGCTTATTTCTTTTTCTGCAATTTAGTTTTTGTTTGGTACATTTTTGTAAAAACTCACGTTTCATTCAGTTCTAGGTTATTCTTACACATTAATTTGCTCTACGATGTCCATTTAATTATTTTAATCACAACACACTTAAAAGAACCCTAAAGAACTTAAAATTTAATCTCCAAATTATTTTTGGATTTATTTATTTACATTCTGCAAATTTTTATCATAAAGAGATAGTTATAAAAATCACAACATTTAAAGGTAAATTTCTTGAAAGACAAATTTAAAAGTTATATAGAGAAAGATGTTAGCCTAATCAAGGAAAAATATTAAATATCAAATTCATATGTATACCTAAACTCAATATATACAAAAATAATATTCACTTTTTAAATAATTAAAAGCACTTAACATTATATGTATTTAATATGTTTCACCAATAAAATACAAGTCTCTTGATAGATAATTAAATTTGTTAAGCACATTAACCAAGTTTAAGTTTTAATCGGGCATGTGAAAAATACCTTACCCAAAAAGATAAAAATTAATGATAATAAATTTATACACAAAATAATTGATATTTGATTACTAGTTATGAAATATTTTTGGTTTACTTAAAATACAAAATTTATCACTATATATATATATTATTTGATTATAATATATTTAAAAAAATAGAGTATTAAATTTCATTAAAAAACTAAATTAATTTTTTCATATAATCAATACAATATTTATGTGTAATAAATTTTTTATATATTTTAATATAAAAAATATATAAAATTTTATTTATTATTTTAATAATAATTTAAATATTTATGTATTTATATGGAAATCATAGCTATTCATTCTTTAACAACATTCAAATATAAATATTTTATTTTTTAAAATAATTAAGCAAAAAAAAATCTATAGATCTTAAAAACAAAAGTAGTTATACAATTAGAACTAAGAAAAAAATTAGTTTGAAATAAAATTTAAATATTTATTTATTTTAATATTTTAAATTCATCTTTTCTTCATGTAACAAATTTAATTTTTCATTTTAAAAATAGAGTATTTTTAAAATATTTTAATGGTGAATATTATTTTAGATTTATTAAACACAAATAATGAAAAAATGTTTATATATTTAATATTATACATTTATATTAATTTTTTAAATAATAAAAATAATTATTTCCTAAAATATACATCTTGTAATAACTATCTATATGTTTGTTATTACTTTTGAATTTTATTATATTTTTATAGTATTTTTTAATTATTGTATTATACTCATATCTATTTTATTTATTTATTATTTTAATTTTTTTAAAAAAATTAATAAGAGATCTAAGTTTATTTATCATTATTTTATCGTAGTCTTGAAGCATATATGTACACAATTGTTTAAATCGTTTAATTATTGGAGATTAAATTGATCCTGCCCATGACTTTTTTTATTATTAAAGATTATCTAGCAAATAAATAATTATATGTGAATTTAATATAACAAGTAATTATCATTAACAGGAATGTATATTAATTTTGAACTTAATTCAATAATATTTAATTTTCCTAATGTCAAGGATCCAGCTGATTAACGGGTAATAGCAATTTGAAGGAAAAATATATTTTGGAATTCATTGATGTGTAATAAAAAATTAAAAATATACATTTGAAAATTGTATCAGTATAATCCTAATAGCCCTCACAAAACATGTGGATCTGAAAATTGAACACGATTTTATTTTCATTACAGAAAGTTTCCAAATAGTTTAAGCATTGGAACTAAGTGCCATTCCATCAAAGTCTAAAACTTTCAACTCCCAACAACAACAACCTTCTTATAATATTACACATTCACACACACACACACACACGCACGCGCCTTTCCCCTCTTTGCTTCATTTTCTTTCTCTCTCCGCCCAAACCGCTTCATTGTCTCTCCTCCAATTTCACCCTATAAACAATGTTCCATTCTTATTTCTTCCGTAACTAAACCAAACCCATTCCCTTCGTTAATCCCTTTCTTCCCACTTCATCAAAACCACCATGCCCTTTCCATGGAAGAAAAACCGTGTCACCAGAATATCCCAAATCGTCGCCGATCTCCAATCGCCAAAACGCGGCGCTTCCCTCGTCGTCCAAACCGGATTCCCCACCTCCCTCATCGACCTCTTCGTCAAGAACCGAAGTCGTTTCAAGAAACACCGCTCCAAAAAACCTCTTCACCATGATATTCCCGATCCGCCGCCGCCGTCTCCGGCCACCACTCCTCCGCCGTCCCTTTCCCTCTCCGAGATTCCGTTGCCTACTCCAGAACTAGAACCAAACGCCGATGAGGCCGCGGTATCGGGTCGGGTCGGCGAATGTGGTTCCGGGTCGGGTTTTAATTTGGTTATTGTGAAGATTTTGATGGTGGTTGTTTTGCTGTCGACCGTGAAGAGGGTCACGGTTGGGATCACCGTGTCGGCTTTTGCGCTTCTGTTTCTCGAATACGCAATGAAACGCGTCGTTTTGTCTTCCAATTTAAAGTTTTTTTTCCAAAGGGTATCCGATTGTGTGTGGTTCCGGAAACTTCTTCTTCTTGGTCTTCGGTTGAAGCAGAAAAAGGAAGTTTTTGAAGTTGGCGAAGGTGAATTGAGCTATGATTCATTGTGTATTAATGAAATTGAAGTTGTGGAAGCGAAGAGCGAGGTGGGGGTTTGTGGTGAATGGGATTCTCTCAGTGGTGGCGTGGCTTGGGGGAGTTCACGGATGTTGGAGGATGATGAATCTTCATGTCACTATGAAGCTTCTGAATGCAAGATTAAGGGTAGTCGTAGTGGTAGATTTAAGGCCAAGATGGTGAAGAAACTTGTGCCTAAGAAGTTTCGTGGTTCTAAGAAGGAGAAAAAGGAAAAGGGTGTTAGTAAGCAGAACGAGGGTGAGTCATGTAGTGAAGTTTCTAGTGTTGTGGAGGAAGATAAGTTACCTATTCTAGAGATTGAAGAGGAAGTAGAAGAAGATGTGGGAAAAGAAGCTAAAGTTGGGTGTATGAAAGATGATGAGGTTGATGGAGGAATCACTTGTTCTCATGAGAAGAGAGTAAACAGAGTTGGGAATTCAGGTTCTATAATTTTAGTTATAATTGCCCTTGCTGGCCTTCTTGTGGGACGTTTCCAAGCATTGTTACTTTCAATGGCATGGTGCTGCTTGCAAAAGATGGTTACAAGTTTATGGAGATCCCACAATGTGCCTTTGATCAAGGGTTGTTCCATTCCGAACTCTTGATTTGGGTGGCATTGTTATAATTTAGTTGCACAATTTTTATTTTTATTTTTTTTTCACTCTCTTCCTAGATGATACATAGAGATTCATGCTATTCTACGAGATCATTCCCTTGATAGGAACTACGACTTGATGCGTTGTACATCGAAATGTAAATTTATAGATACTAATGACAGTTTATATACATTCTTTGTTTAAGATGTTACATTGTTCTTATGCTACCTTACAATCCTTGCTATCGGCCAAGTGTCCTAAATATTTGTTTTGTTCTTTTGTTTCTTTATTACGCTTTGTTTGGATTGGATCTATAGTAAACGATGAAAAGGTTGAAATGAAATGGGATGACAAGGAACAGTTTTGTTTAGATGTTAGAAGATTGTGATGGGAAGGAATGGAACTGGGAACTTTATTCCCCGAGGTTAAGAATTGAAAAGGCTGTGAAATTATTTGTTTCATTAACCATGGGATTTAGTGTATTTGAGTTTGAGATAAAGATAAAAGGGAAATATTAAGTTTGTAGTTATTGTTATTTGATTCGCTTACACTGAAAATTTCAAATTTGAAAAATACACTTAGATTGGTACGTTATGTCTCTTTCTATTTGGTTTCATAATAAAAACACACCTCAAAGTTAGCTAAAAAAATTAAAAATTGGGAAATTTTCTTTGCTTTTGTTTGTTTCCCGTGTCTTTATAGATGAGGTAAAGTTTCATGCTATTAAAAAGCATTAATAAAAAGTTCAATTCCCGTGATAGGATCTCCAGCCTTTTGTTGGGAAACGGACGTGATTAGATGCACTTTGAATTGTAAATTTGTTGGTACTAATGGCAATGGTTTAGTTTGTGCTAATGCAACCCATAGTAATAGTATAGCAATTAATATTATTTAAATTAATTAATTGATATTGTATTCAAACATCGCGCATAGATTTTTTTATTAAAATTTTTATAAAACTAGTTTACTTAATTACTTCCTACACAGTCCTTTGTCTCGTGCTAAATATTATTTTTCTAATTATTTGTTCTTTTTATCTACCTCAATTTTGAAACTCCAAAAACACTTTCTAATTTTCTTTAACATTTGGCACTCCCTCAAAGCTCCTTATTTCGTTGCTATTTCAAATTAAATTAGTAGGTGGGGATGGGGCAAGATGCAGATGCCGGCTACATTTCCCATTAATATTAAAAATAATGCCAAGGATATTCATAAAGCATTCATTTCCTTTCAGAAAATTGTTACTATCTTTTTATTTCATATAGAGTCAAAAGTTTATTTTGTGAACTAACAAGATTTATTATAGAAATTTATAGCCAAAAATAAATAGAATGCAAATTGCCAATCTAACAGTTGGTATCCTCTAAAGTATATATGCTTTTTTTATTTTAACATTATTATATAATATAGAAATAATTAAATGTTTAGATTATTTAAGATATACATCAGACAGGAACTGATCTATCTATCACAATTACTTTATTGTCATAGTCAGGGGGATACCAATATCATAATAACAATGTCAAATATATAGACATAAAAATTTAACTTTGTGAGTAGTTAGTACAATATGAACTTCTTTTATTATATATCACTACACAAGAAAGGTAGTTGCTCCTCTAATTGAAGTTACTTGAAGGAGAATTTTTGTGTAATCATTGCTTATCACTTGATTGAGATATTTAAAGGTATTAAATATTGAAAAAGGGACAAAAAATAAGTAAGAATTACAAGAATTAGGTTATGACATTTTAAAATTAAAGAATCATGAATATTTTTTATTTTATTTTTATTTTTGTTTAAATACGGTGCATTATACCTACTATTAGAAAAAAAAAAAGAATAAGTAACATATGCTGTTCATATTATAGCCACTAAAAGCCTTAGTTATTATTCTTGCTTTCTTCTTATCTTACCTTATTTTCCGTCATTTTCGAGAATATATCCGTCCATTTGGGTTTTCATACCAAAATAATGCATCCATAATCCATACGAAAATCCATCCGTTCATTTATTCATGGGCAAATAATGCCCTATTTCATAAAGGACAAGACTTGTATGCAATTGGTTTAAATGCTGTTAGTAATATTTATTAATTAAATTTAAAGTTTTATTTTAATAATTTATAATCATTAATAAACAGTGTCTTCAAAATAACACCTAAAATTTTTGTTTCAATGATTTATTGTTAATATCCTTTAATTAGGAGTAAATCACTACTTAAAAGTGTTGTTATCAGTCATTCTAATTTCTAAAAGTAACAAGAAAAACCAAATAAATTCCCAAAAATGCGTTTCACCACTCAATTGACGCTTCACTTTTTTAACTAACTTGTGTGACATGCTAGATGTTTGAATAACAATGATGTCACAAAATGATAGTTTACTCCTATAATTATATTATGTGTAAAAACCTATACTCTTCTAATTATACTGTGCACTATATTTTATTCATAAAATTAGTAAGACAAACATGATCGTACAAGCTGTGTCACTAAATGCACAGTGCTACTACTTCAGCACAGTGGAAGACCAAACATTTGCCACAAATTTACTAGTAACCATTGCTAGGGGGGAAAAAATATAACATTTGAATAGATAAACAAAAGTGGGCACTTTAAGAACCATTTAAAGGAGAAAGGTGAAGGATCATGGTCTAGAAACGAAATAAAAGAAACAGAGACTTTTATGTGAGAAAAACTGATAAAAAGGGAACAAACAAGCACACCCATGATGCTCTCCATTGGTCACACCCATCATAAAGAAGTAGATGATGATTCTCGTGGAAGAGCCAGTTACCCCTTGAGCTGGGTATAGTTTCATTGATTAATAATATTGGGGAAGATATGGGCTTCAATAAGTGAAGTGGGTTGTTCAGGAGACAGCATTTGTGGTGCTTCTGTGCCTCTCCCAAACTGTACTTTTTCACTCTTTGCATGGAAGACAGTGATGTGTGCCAAATCGGTAGATTGTTGCCAATTTCAAGTGAAACATGGCAGCGAATATTCTGGTACTTGTTTATTTTTTTAGTATATGATAAGTTGCCCAATGTGTGTAAGGTCTTGATTATGTTATGTTGGATGCAATACTTATAATAAATCCAAAATTGAAAGATCTCAAGGAAAACATTGTCATATTTTCTCTTCATATCAATATTTTAAATTAACATTTTCGGCTTAATAATTAAAATAAAGCTTTTTAAAAAAATAATTATTAAATTAAAACAAAATTAAAATTTATTTTCTGTCTGGAGTCTTTTTTAGTCACGTCAGCATGTATTTTGTATACTGATCAGATGAAAATAATTTTTTTATTTTAAATTTAATCATTTCGTCTAAAAGAGGAATAAAATACGCTACATGTTGACATATGTCACTCAATTCGTATATGTCAGAGGCGAAACAAAGGACACGTGTCTTAATACTAGAAATTCGTCTCAATTCAGGACGAAAGTATAGGATTTGAACACGTGTTTGAATCTAATAATTTTATCCACAAACAAGACAAAAAAGGGACTCATCTCGCCTTCTTTCAAGACGAAAAGATGTCATTTCGCCTATATCTCAAACGAAAGCCCTTTTATCCTTTGTCCCTTCGTTTTTGCTACACTTTTTTATCCAGCCAAAATTTCCTATATAATATTTAAAATGTGGGTCAAAACCAGCGTAAAAGTTTGAAAGGTGGGTGTGAAATTGAAAGGGATATATCTAAATCTCAAATTGAAAGCGATTCCTGCAGTTTGAAGATTGAAAGCAAATTTTTGAGGTTAATAAATTTCAAAACTTTTTTTAATATTTTAGTTATTAAAAAGTTTTAATTATTATAAATAGAGATAGTTAAAATTTATGAATATTTAATAAATATATTTTTGTGTATATTAAAATTAAAATTTAATATTTTAGATAATTATAAAAAAATATAAAAGTTTAGTAGATATTTAATATAAATTTGTTTAATTAAAAAAATAATGTTATATTTATTGTGAATATTTTATTATATATATGTGGAATATGTATTAAAAATATAACATTTTTTATAATATAAAAATGATGTAAAAAATAATAATATGTTTGTGTTACAAATAAATTATTTATATTATTTATATAAATAAGTATAATTATAAATAATTATTGATATGTTTTTTTTATAAATGCAGGATGAATGAGATTATTATTATTGTATATTGAAATGAAAAAATTGTTGTTGGAAATGAATGTGTGATATTTGAAGGTAACAAAAAAATGATAAAGATAAGAAGAGGGATAAGTTATATGAATTTAAAGAAAAAGATTCATGACAAGTTGAATATTAGTAATAATCATGTCATATCTAGAATATTTTCTCGTTTTATGGTTGATTCAAGCGCTAAACAATACAATGCATTGGATATATGTGATGATGAAGATATTGATTGTATGATTAGTGCGTATCAATAACAAAGTATTACAAGTCTTATTGAATTATATGTGAATATTGCATTTGGTGAAAGTTCAAGAGGTGGGTCAAATATGTTGGACTTAAGCTTATCAATGTCACCGCTTAACCTTATAAAAATGGTCAATATAAATGTTACAGAAGGTATAAATTATATTATTATAATTTATTTTTAAATTTTTTTATTGACAATATATATTGAATAAGTGTTTGTATTTTGAAGGATGTGGAGATCTATGCAGTTATGAAGATGAAGATGATGAAGTCAATAGTGATGATGAAACAGATGATATTGATGAAAGACATATTCCTTTAGACAGCTCGTCAGATACAGACATTAATGGTGATTTTGATTCAAACTTAAATTTACAACAAGAAAATGTTGGAGGTAACATTTAAAAAGTAAATTAATTAAATTGTTTATTTTATTTTAATGATGAATATTGTATGTTTAAATGTAGTTGTAGGTGAAATACCTTTTTAGAATGTAAGTCCACACTACAAATCTATTAATTGGGACCACCCAGACCAAGAAATTGAAGCAGAAGAAATTAGTAAAGATAATTCATGGGTTATTGGAGATTCGTTACATGTGGGTTTGTTATTTAACTCAAAAGATGAAGTTAAAAATGCCTTAAAACAACATGCAATGAGAATACATCAAAATTATTTTGTTGTTGAGTCAAAACTAACAAAGTTGCATGTGAGGTGTTTAAACCATAACAATGGTTACCCATGGAGAATAAGAGCATCATTGCTTAAAAATTCAGTGAAGTGAAAAATAACAAGGTGTGGGGGTAAGCATACATGTCTCAATC